GATATAAGGGATTAGAATTATATATATTTATTTCTTATATTTATAGAGATTATAAGAGGACTTATAATAGAAAGAGCTACCTATACAGGATAAGAAAATAAAAGACTACCTATATTAGTATACTGAATACCCCTAACTAGCAGTTACTAGCTGGTTCTGGCTGCTTTGATTTTCCTGAGGTTCCGTGGGGATGGCTCCCCATAGTGTAGTGACTGTTAAGGCCTAATTCAGCGTCGCATGAGCCGTGATTCTTACTGGACTTGGCCATCGGCCCCTGGTTTTCAGCTGGGTGGGACGGCACCTCAGGGCGACCAATTTTCACAGGGGAGATGATAGTCAGAGGATTGTTGCAAACAAAGTAGCGCGCATGTGTCAGCTAGAAGCGAATACAGAAGCATGCCGATGATGTAAAGATGGGCTCTCGATGATGCCTGCCGGGCTTCAAAAGGCCCTGGTTGCGCCCTACTTGGCTTCCCATCCGCAATGGTTATATTGGTGTCTCTATTTAAACTGCCTCTCCACTACCCATACCGGATTTGTTATTTTGTTTCTCATAGTCGTGATACTGCATAATTCTGGTTCCTCGGTGCGGCTCGCCTGCTTCAGTACCCTTTCCCGCATGATGCTCTTGGCCTTTTGCTGACACTGCCGAGTAGAAGCCAACATGGCACCTGCTTTTCTTATTACCGGGGCTACTGGCCGTCAGGGCGGCTCAGCAGCTCGCATCTTGCTTGAAAGAGGAATGGCTGTTCACGTTCTGGTGCGAAAACGACACTCAGCTGCTGCTCAACAGCTGGAAAGCCTTGGCGCGGTCGTTTTCGAGGGTGATTTTAACAACGTAGCCGTAATCAAAGAGGCCTCAAAGGGAGTCTCGGGCATATTCCTTAATCTATGGCCTACGCAAGATCCCGCAGACCAGGCCCGCCAAGCTCAGGCGTTCATCGACATCGCAAAGGCTAATGACGCGGCCATTGTGGCTTCAACCGCATTTCTTGCTACCCGATCGGATATTTGGGGTGATGTGGATGGGCTGAAGCAATATTACGCGGGCAAGGTAGGCGTCGAGAATGCCTTGCGGGAAGCGAAGCTGGCTTCCTACACAATCCTGCGCCCAGCCTTGCTTATGCACAACTACCTGGTACCCGACTCCAAGTACCACTTTCCTGAGCTATCCACCGAAGGGGTTGTGGCACACGCGTACGGGCCAGGGCGCCGGATGGCACACCTAGATGCCGCTGATGTTGGCAAGTTTGCGGCTGAGGCTCTTCTTCAGCCAGCCAAATTTAATGGCCATGAAATTGAGCTTGGCTTCGACAATCTGACACAAGAAGAGATCGGCGAGGCCATTAGTGAGGTCAGCGGGCGGACGATCAAGACCCATCGTTGGACTGAAGACGAGATCAAGGAGAAGCGAGGGCGCATTGTAACTTTGCCCTGGCAGCTGTTGGCGAACGAGCACGACCTTTCCGTTGACGGCGAGAAACTTCAAAGCGAATATGGAGTTACCATGACATCGTTCTCCGAATTTCTCCGCCGTGACAGGGCCAAGGTGATGGAGTCACTACCATCAACATAAATCACCTCGGCATGGAGTCCTGGGGAAATTCAGGGGAATTGGAAGACCGCCCAGAATGAATTGTGGGATCTGAGACAGTGACTTGACGTCTTTAAATTAATTAACATTTGAGCCTCCCTATGAACGAGTTGTTAGCCGGAAGTTGGAACTCTCTCATGAAAGAGGCCTTAGCCGTAGAATTCTACTGGTACGGTAGAAAGGATGAGCAACTTGACCAATTACATGATCATTTATGAGACTTCGAGTGCAGAGTAAAACCAGCAATGAATTACGCAATTACAAGGCATGATTGAAATCGATACAGTAAAGATAAGATGAGTATTGAAATTGGTGCTAGGTACGCCACCCCACCGGTTAATGGGAGATATTGGTCAATTCCCTCAAAGTCCTGCTCGAGTCTCAAGTCTTGTGCGGAGATTTCGCGTTCACAAACATTGAACAACATGATTTCACCCCCCTCTTGTGAAATGAAATGAAAATGATTCAATAGATGGGAAATTGGTGGTATCAATTCGGACCGTTCAGGGAATCATAACATTCCTAAACTGGTATATTGCTAAGCCGAACTCTCTGCTGGTCAAGTAACAAACTTAAGCGGGAGGCAGAGCAGAATGGCCGACAACCCAGCCTCCATTCCAAGCAAACTCTGTGACAGCGGTGCCCTGAGTGCCGTTCTGAAGGTAAACCCGAAGCACGGGTAGGGGGAGGGCAGCGACATTGGAGGCGGGGACAGATGGCTGGGAGAAGCCGCCATCGTACCAGCCGTTGCCATCCCAGGCCTTCTCCTTGATGACGTTGGACGGGGCGCTGTAGTAAAGGCGGATGCCCTTAACAGAACTGCCTTCGCTCCATGAAGTCACGCCCAGAGTCGTGCGGGTGACACCGTTAGAGAAGTGTAGGCCGCCGGTGTACCAGCCCGTGCCATCCCAGGCCTTTTCGATGATGTTAAGGTTGGTGTCTTGGTAGTAGAGCCTGAGAGCTGTTAGTAAACTTCGAAGGCCATGAAATGAATGCAAGAAAGAATCTGAAAAGCTCAGTATGGGTTCAACCTACCGGATGTAGTGATGGGGTGACCCGTTGCCCCACGAGGTGGCAGCAATAGATGTGCCCGGCAGAGCAGCACCAAAGTTGGTACCAGTCGTCCAACCCTTTCCATTGTTATCCCCTAACAGTTTCAGATGTTGAATCAGCACAGCACACCAGCAACATTAATTGGTTCGAAGATGGAAGAGCAGTGGCTATACATACAGCACCATTCTTGAATCGTGTTGTTTGCAAGCTGCCCGTAGACGCGGAGGACGCTATGGTTGTCAAGATAGACACCAGAGATCCCAGAGTATGGGGCCACAGCGAATCCTTTTTCAGTCAAGGCACCGTTGTACTATTGAATAAGATGTGAGAACTTGTGTGAGATAATATTTGACCCGATCCATGTCTGCACAGAAGAGTGAACGTACCCAAGAACGACCGCTGTCGTAGCAAGATTCGTGGACCTTGCTGTCGGCACCGATGAAGTATACGCGGATGCTGCTTAGGCCCAGGGAGGTTGCGGAAACGGGGGTACCAATCCTACCGCTTCCAATTACGTTTGAGGAGGTACCGCCCGTCCACCTGCCCTCATATTGGGTCTCGCGGATTTTACCTTCAATGTCTGTCTCGTAGACACGGAGGTGGGAGCCATTGTGGACGGCGGCGATAGAGGTACGGATAGCAATCTCATTGACGGAGGCCATGGTGAATCGAAGGAAGATGTTCGGGTGGAAACTTGTAGATATGTGAATGAAGATCTGTTTTTTTTGTTTGTTTATCTTAAAAGTGTGATGGACGAGAGGAAACGGCCAATTTATAGATGATAGCAGACCTACCTCTCCTGTTCTACGCGACTCTATCGACACTTCGCTTGGTAACTATTGGATGAACTCGCGTTGGTCACAAAACTCAACCAAAACATCCGACGAAGTCCAATCATGTTTAAAGGCCGCCAATAATCTGCATAGTTGAACCGCCACGATCCAAATTGGTATCAAGATGGCTGGCTGAACTTCCCGCATTTTCGCTTTCAGCTGGCCTCGGGAATCATCTAGCCTGTTGGGAGTGGCTCGCTCCGGCATAGGTATTACAGATATGCAGTAAGCTTTTGGAATACGGCAGTTTTGGGGATCGTGACGTATAGAAGCTGACTTAAGTATGGGGAAGAGGGGTGAGGTAACATCAACTACCCGAAGCGTGCGTCGACTATCGCTGCGTGCCTCCACCCGACGGCAGAGTCAATGTATGCGGCCAACGTAAGCCCGAGCATCAAGATGGCTCGATTGGCTGCATGTTGTTGACCCCACACTCTTCAACTAACGACGGATTGTCTAATGATTGGCTCAGATGTCACTTTCAGCTGAGCCCATGCACGGCTTACCGGTTTCCTAATGTAAATATATCTTCTTTCCGAGCTCTCGAGGAAGCAATAGTTGCTTTTCGTAGTTGGCTGCCTCTCAGCGATGCGGGGTTGGGGCGTATCACAGTCTTATATGCATTAATATGGACATGTATGGAGTACACAAAGTGTGAACACAATCGTTTTCGTTGCAGTAATATTGGGCTCCACGGATCCACTGATCTGTAGCACCAAGCTATCTTTACGTTCTTGTGCAAAGAAGTAACGTGAACAGCTTCTAGGGGTAACAGGCTCTCGAATTATATTCATGTTATCTTTCAGTAATAATCTGGTGATACGGACACATCTTTCTACAGGTTTATATCACGGCTGGAGGTACTCACAACCAGCCAATTCATCGAGTGGCGGTGCCAGGTGGTCGATCGAGAACGCGGTAATGTAGTCCCATGGGTGTAGTTTTTCAGTCCCTGTAGGCCTGACCAACAGTTGTTTAACTTCCTTAGAAGTACTGAATACCAGTCATATCTATGACTGCTCTCGCACATTCCTTTTAGATGTACAAAGGCCAGATAGAGCCAAATCGACATGCCGCCCTTTGCCATCAGGAGCCCGCTGTCGTGTGCCGTGAGATCAATTTGGGTGAAACAAATTCTAGCATCTCATTGACGTGGGCTATATAGCAAAACTATGTATATTCCTTCTCATTCATATGAAAGGGGGGCGATGGCTGTATCATTAAGTTTCCCTAGCTGTGTCAAGCCCTCCTGCAATAGTCTCCGCTTCTCGGTCATACGGCTTCGTTCGATGGACATGTCGGCGCTCTCACCTGCAAGTCTCCCAACTTGTTCGTCCGTAAGATCACATATAACATCAGACGAAAAAATTGAGGGGAGCTTCTGGATCAGGCATTGTTCAATGGCAAGAACGCTAACGTCATCAACGAACTTCTTCAATGCTACCTGTGACTCAAGTCAGAATGCATCATAACAACCTAGTTTGTAGCTATATTGTGGAAGCTCTAGCCAGGAAATCGAAGAACATGCCTTGTAATACGCTTCCATAGTGTCAATAGCAAGCATTGCGGCGTAGTTTTCCATGTTGGGTTCCGTTGCCTTCGTAATAGCAGAGTAAAGCTTTGATGGCACCAACTGCCCCCTCTCCATCGAGGTTGGATCCGCAAATCTCTTGAAAACTTCGAATATTTTGGAGCTGTGTCTCTCGCTTTGCGCTTTCTGAATGTTTTCCGTCAGATAATGGTTGTAGGTGATCGGGTGACCATTGGTGTGCGGCTGTAGAAGTTCTAGCAGCTTACTCTCGACGGCACCCTCGAGAGCAGCAAAGGAAGGGTTTAAAAGACTGGCGATAACTCGTGCAGCAGTCTCGTTATCCGCAACATGCTGCAGTATTGTGATGAGCGTTGCCTTCGCGTAGCCAGACACCCTTTCCACATGTCTTCTGGCGAGCCTTGCCCACGGTTCACATTGGGCGCTGAACATTTCTCCAACCGCTAATGGATTGAAAGTTCCAGGCAGCTCACGGCCTCTATTACCTCTCAGTAGAGTGTTGACTTCCTGGACAAATTCGAGGCGAGGAACTTTTCGCGGTGGGAATGCATCCGGTCTTATCGGTGATTTTGTTGTGCATTGTTCGTCTTCCACAATAGTTGTGGAATGCCCTCGAAGCCGCATGGATGTGGCAAAGTCGCTCAAAGTATTTTGGATCTGGGCCCGGAGTCTTCTTTTATCACCGTCTGGCGTATTGGAGACTCCAAAGAAACGGCGATCGGAGTAATCGCCATCGACAGCACAATTTACTAAAGCGACAAATGCCTGGCTGAGGGAGAAGAGATAACGACGCTGTTCAGCAACAGTCTCTCTGGCCTGACCGAGCTTTTCAAGTGCTGCGTCGCAATCCGCCACTCCAAGTTGAATGTCGTCAAGCACGCGAGGCAGATGGGACATGATGTGATCCTGCAGCACTCGACTTAATCGAGTCCGCAACGCATCTACACCAACTTGCTTAGGGCTGAGAGAGACCCAAACTCCCTGTGAGAAAAAAGCCTTCTCCGCAATATCACGCTCTGCATTCGTGGCGTTTCGCATGCTGAAATCCCGATTCCGCACAACATGCCAACCGAGACGGAAATTCACATCCTTGTTCTGTGCGAGCTCTAGGTACGCCTTTTCACTCTCCGATCCCACATCTAGGGTATCGGGCTTGGTGATGAGCCCGAGAGTGCGGTCTCCGGCGCAATCCACCTCCCTTGCTCGTTGAGTGACCTGTTGGAGCGCAAACTCGCTTTTCGCAGAAACGACCGCAAGTATGATGCTTCTTGGCTGCTCCATGTAGGACAGAACCAGAGATTCTACAAGTTTAGCATCCTCGAGAGATTGATCTTTATTGCCTGCCACAAACAGGCCAGGAAGATCTACCAAAGTAAGGTGTGGCTGGTCAGGAGACGCGACTTCCACACGGAGAATATCGGTACAAAACACCCTGTCTGTGCCAGCCAGGCCCATAACGCCCATGGCTTCATCAATGATGGCATCAAGATCCAGCTCTTTCACATTTGCGCCGAATGCCTCGATTCTTTGGCGTTCGTCAGCAGAACGGTCCTTCCCCGGGATGATAGACACTTTTAGCTCTGTTTGATCCCGTTCTGACGATCGACGGAGGACCAGCTCAGTTGCAAATCTTGTGCACAACGCATCCTTGGTCGGGAAGGAAAGTCCTGATATAGCTTCCAGAACAGAGCTTTTACCAGATGATTGATCACCACAGACGATAATTTGAGGGAGATCAATGTACTGGCTAATTCCTTGAGACCGCAGGGAGTCAATGATGTCGAGGACAACTCGACCGCCCTTGGATTGCAGGTTTGGGCGAGCGTGCTTGGTCATATTCAGTGTCCGGTCTGGGTAGTTGTAACCGCTCGCGGCACAGTGGCTTCGTATCTGAAATGACAGCGACCTATGTAGGATGAAAACTCCAGCTAGGTAGGAAGGAGGGCGGGATAAATAAGGATCTGACGAGGGACTCATCAGCATGAAGGTTTATAAGGTTTTCCTTCTGCATAGCTGCAGACTTAGGCTGGCAGAGTTTATTTTTGCCTTTCGTATTCCTTATGTTAACGTGTCGGGTCTGGCATCTTCTATTATTATTTAACTTTATACCCGAACTCTCTCTCCCGTATGTTAAGATGTCGGGTGCGGCATCTTCCATTCTTGTTTTCTACTGCGTATTTGAACTCTCACCCGTCCGAGCTGCTACGTAATGGTAAGTCCGAGGGCCGAGACTATACCAAGTAATCCAAAATATAGCTAAGATATTTTGTGAGGTAAGCTCGACAGCCAGGGCAATTGGTGAATTTAGCATTTATACGCTTTAAACAACCAGCCAGGCGCCTCTTATATCGTGAATACATGAGCGGTCCTTGTGACTTCGATTTTGAAATCAAGATTTGTATGTTTTTCTATACCGGTTTGACTCGTGCGATAATCTTATTCAACTTCATTTAGGGTTAACGAGGACAAAGTCAACACCACCCGCACACGAAATAGGTATTAAGTCCGAATTTCCACACAGATCTCCAACGATTTCGAGGCAGGATGTTTTGAAAACCGCCAAGAGGATGTGAAAATTCAGAAGTAAATATTTAAAGAGTAGAGAGAATCTCCTAAAGAAACTATTGAAGTTATGAAAGTTGATGTTTATTTTGCTGACTACGGAAGCCTGAGCTCCTGCAGATAAGCGGATCTAAAAGCTAACATGATTAATAAAGACAAAAGGGAATTTGGTGAGCGAAGATAGGCTGTCGTTAGGTCGCTTTCTATTTGGCAACTAGAAGGAAGGGTGCTAGATTAGGCAGGCCAGGAGTTGGAGGCAGCGTGGTCTCGCTAGTCGCTAGACACAGAGGGAGAGACTCGTCGTATCGCACTCTCTCGCGCGCAAGCCGCTCGGGTTCATCGTGTAATAGCTGAATTGCACCTAAAGCGTCTGGAATAGCGAGCGGGAAAGTTTTTTAAAAGTTAATTCATTGTCGTTGGTGGCCTACACGGATAGGAGGACGAAACTAGGACCAGGGCGAGCATAGCTCCGTTCCTCGAAGTATCCGGGCATCAATGGACGATCGTTGGTAGGTACCTCACCGGGTGTCAAAAAATTCAGAGATGTTTCAATACAGTGAGGATCTAACGGAATCTGATAGCAAACTTGTAATGGCCGTGCAGTAAGTCTAATTCTAGTGACAGTTCTGCTCCCTAGATCGAACCCATCAAAACTCCAATGCATAATTCATCCTCTAACGCCGCGCTAATGTACATAAGTTGCCCAAGAAAATCCCTCATATGAAAAAATGATGTTCTCAGAAGACGATGATTCAAAAAGAAAGTAAGGAAGGCATATATGAATGAGCACGAAAACACCAGTCACGGCCAGGACCAAATACCCCGTTAGAATGAGTACTCAGCGCATTAAACTGTTTCTAAATCTCGAAAACCGAGTCTCTCGTGTAGGGGTCGCAAATATGTCTGGAGAAACGGATGCGGATACAGGAGAAGTGACCGGTGTCTTGTAGTCTCCATTCTCTGTGATGCTTCCAAGAATCAGCTCGTTGACATCTTGGCAGTTCCATGGTTTGGCGTCAACAATATCTTTGCTGTAGATGATAACAAAACTTAGCCTCAATGATCTTTGGGTTTGATACATCGATTGCAAAACTTACCGCGCTTCAAGTTTGTCGTCGAGAAAGGTCAACCGCCTCAGTGCAACTTCATCATCTCCAAAAGAGACGAACTGGATACTGAACCAACGATCCTCCATTCGACCCGGGTTTTTTTCGAGGCGTTCGATGAAATCGATTATGAGATCCTCTACATCTCTTTTCTTGCTTGATCCTTCCCACTTTCCATCTGTCAGTATGATGAGGGTCTGCCTCTTCTTGCGATCTCCTTCGAGATACTCGTCGAAAATTTTGGAGAGTGCTGCACGCATATCAGTGCGAACGTTTTCGTGGATTCTGCGCCCGACTTCGTCCATAGATGTACTGAATTTTGACTTGATATCATATCCTGTGATGTTGCTCAAAAACCCATGGTTCCCACAGGCGTAACGAAGGTCTAGCCCGTCCTTATCAAGTGGACCGATTTTCATCGCTAGTGTCAACAATGTTCGCTTAACATCTGACCAGTGCTGGGTCATGGTAGGGTCATTGTCGACTAAAAAAATCTGCGACTTTGAGTCAGCGACGGCGGGTATTCTCAAGGGGAGATGGGGGTGTCAAGTATGACTGCCATACAATATCTCGATTCACTATAAAGTTTTGAAGAAAGTCGTCTTTGGGAATCTTGTTCAGAAACGCAGTCCAACGATTTGGTTTCCATTGTTCACTAAGCTTGTCGTATTCTTGGTCGACGGCAGTTCTCACGGTCTGTGTGCTCTTCCGCGAGTTTATTGACATTGAAATCGGAGAGCTGTGTTTCGACGCTTGAAATGAGAAGGACTGCTGTATATTGCCTGGGCTCCAGTCGATTGCCTTCCCTTTTTCGTCAGAATAGTACGACTTGTCAGTCATGCCATTCGCTGCATGAGATGGAGGCGTGTTTGGAATTTTTAGTCTGTTGGTGTTCAGAACTTCCTCCCGGTTGGCAGTTTTCCCATATACAATCCTATTGAAGGCTTCGGATTTCTGTAGTCGATTGGTTCTTGAGGGGTGGATTACCGGCAGCCCCCGACCTTGAGAGCCAGCTGTTGATGGATGCGTGAATCGGTTTTCCGCTTCTTTTTGGGAGAGCGATTGCGCAAACTGAGGCGCTGCTTCGTCAAATTTCAACAGGGCTTTCCGTATTATCGGGGATTCTTTTGCCAGCTGTCCGTTCTCCTTGAGTTGAAGATAATCAGATTCAGCTTTGTCGAGAATGGCCTTTAACTTGGTTCTTAACTCGGCAGCGGATAGTCTATCCTCCGGGTTACTGAGAAGCATTTCGTTATCAACCAGATCCAGGACTTGACGAGATATTGTGTCAGAGGCTCTGATTGAATTTCTTAGATGGGTGTGCCAGTCTGTAACAGCACGAAGGACGTTTGACCCGTCGTGGAACGCATCGTCGCAGTAGGGACCTGGTGTATGTGGCATCCCTCCGCCAGTTTCACGCAGCGTCTTGATTGCGTCCTGGCGAATGAATCCATATGCTTGATAGAATGTCGGACCTAATATTACCCATGTTGCGACGACAGAGAAAACGCAACCGAGTGACCACGTGTCGATGCTTTGAGAGTGCGTGATGCCGGAGTCTGCATTGTTGCCATCCCGTTCAGGAGCGCCTCGATAATGTGTTAGTACAGGCCTCACCTTGAAACTATGAAAGGAACCGACCTACCAAATGTTCTTGTCCCACCTATGAGCTGTGTCTTATCATCATGTTGTTCAAATCTCGCAAACCCAAAATCGGCCAGTTTGAACTGGCCACGAACTGATAGGATATTATCGGGCTTGATATCCCCATGCCAACTAATTTCGGCTGCCGTTAGACCGATGACATGCAGAACTGTTGCGGTTGAAGATTACGTACCCTTTGAATACCTGTCTATTACCACCCTCATCTTTACGCTTGAGTTGATGGATCCCGTCAAGCGTAGAGCCAACGTTGAACAGATTGGCCCAGAAGGCGAATGTCTCTTGATACAAGACAGGAGGCAGCTTCTCCATCATGTACTCCTCCAAGTCTTTCTCTCCTAACTCAAGAAGTATGTGATGATCATGATCTCCGCTGATCGTATGATATTCACCCAGATACCGAACCACGGTGAGGTCGTTTTGTCCCATGAACCCTTTGAAAGCGTTACTTTCCTCCCTGTAGACATATTCGTACCCCTTGAAGTAAGATTTGACCGCGAACTCCATGTACTATGACATTCGTTAGCTTTAATGTTCATGAGCGGTAACATCCAAGGTAGTTCCCACAGAGCCATGTTCTGGATCATTCTTCATGGAGGGTTCCAATATTTTTCTCAACGCTGGTTCTACAAGGTCCACTTCTATCTTGCAGTGATATACCATAGCCGTACCTCCACTGCCTATCTTTTTCATGTAGAAAAAGGGGAGGATTGTCTGTGGGTAGGAAGTAGCCTGCCCTTGGTAGCGCAACGGCAGAGACACATAAGCCCAGCGGTTCTGGTCGAATTCGTCGATGACCTCGCCATACGCACCGGGATTATACTTCTTCGGCAGTCTGACAGATTCCTTTTCTAGGTACGTAATGATCGACTCGTAGTGGCTTTTCAGAAAAGGATTCGAGAGCGTTTCGCTCGAGGCGATTGATCGTGAGAACACGTCGAACATATGGCCGCATCCCATTTCGACCAAAATGCAAAAGAGGATTGGGTTCTCGAGAATTCTATCAGAAGACGGAGGGAATGTATTGGGGCCCATGTAGATCTGGCTGGCGAGTGTCGTTACATTACGCACGCCGTCTTTCTCGCGCGATAGCCAGCTCTCGATATTGGCGGTGTGGTAAAACTTCTTTTGTTCAAAATTGGATCGGCAGACCTGAGGACTATGGAGAAGGTCTCGAAATTCGGTGTAGGCGTTCGTTGTCGGCGGAGCAGCCATCAAAGTTGCTGCTCTGTCCGAGGGCTTGGCTCTGCCACGTTTGTCGGTCGGTATAGGCATCGTGCCGGTAGGGGACGTACAGGGAGGCGCAACAGAGGCCCTTGTCCTTTGGAGAGCAATGAAGTTATAGCAGTTATTTTATGGTTCTCCGGGATAACGAAAGCGGTCCCCATTGGAGACGGGAAGAGGTGGATAGTTCGTGGCTGAATGTATGTGAGAGGGGGAGGCGGACTCGAGAGAGAGACGACATTGGGGCGAAGCCGGAAGCCGAAAACATGCAGCTCATTCAGCCTCCATCAGCCCCAATGGCTGAAAAGGGTCCCGGCCGTGTGTGGCAGAGAAATCACAATAGTTACGAAGACAGGTGGGGATGCCAGCACAGTGTGTCACATTTCTGAGTGTTCAGCTTACCCTGATTTATAGGATTCCTGCAGCTCCAATGCAGGCGCAAGCGCCACAGCTGATATTGGAGTGAGACTTGCAGCTCAATGTAAGCGGTCTGCTGACCAGTGACACAAGGACAGTTGTCGGGGCCCAGAAACACACAGCCTGAGGGGAATTAGAGAGCGCAATATGAGAATAAGGCTCTACCCCCTGCAACTAGGCGTCTGGTTGCCTTGCAGTAGTATTTTTGTGTAACCCCAAATTGCTACGTGATCATATCAGCGAGGCATTTTACTTCAGATCATCTTACTCTAGAAGTCTTGGCCTAATGACTTTTTTGAGGCCGCATCAGTATTGTCGTGCACATACAGTTCCTTGGTAATCGAATGTTGGAGGTGAAACTTCTCCTTTCCTTTTTTATACGATATATCTCTGCCTTGCCATTATTTGATTGTCAAATTATGTAGGAATTTTTCAACTTGATATTTTGGTCATTTTCGGTTATCTGTAGGCTGAAGTGATATGAGAAGGAACAAAGGAAATGAAAGGCATCAATCATCCACCGGCAGGCGGTCTATGGTTCTGAATATTGGTCATAGGCAGGGCCAGGTTAGATTCTGGGGACTGAACTTTCGGAATACAGCCCGCTAGTGAATCTGCTGACGATTTGAGGATTGTTCCGCCCGTATTCTTGACATATCGAGCCCATTGGTGCAAGGCGTTCTTACTTTGCCCGTATGTTTTGGTGAATTGTTCTTGTAGGCGCCCCTTTTCTTCGGTTTGATTTATTTTCGGCTTGTCCGATAAACGATTTGCCCGGCGCTCTGCCCATACTTTGCCTCCATATGCGGCGCTCATTGTGATAAACATTAGAGGCAGTGTCACTTGCAGCCAGCGGTACATTGCTACTTCTGAATACGTGCCCTCCGCCTTTATATCATCTTGGACCTGATACTTGATAATATCGGTGCTGAATAAGGTCTATATAGAAAGAGAGGAGGTCAATAAGGGGCACCACGAGAAAGATTCGCCTGACGCTAATGACTTACCGAAACAAAGGTAGCGGGCAGGTAGAGCAGTGTGACAATTGTGACGATTCGCATCACTATTGCCTCATTTTCCAGATTCTTGTTCAGCCTTTCCATCCGCTGTTGCTTTACTAGCTCTGATCGATTGCTGATAACTTTTACCAGAGCCTTTGCTCTGGATATATGAAGTTTGAAGTCATTAATCAGATGCCCCAATTCGCTCGTGAAATCGTCAATGTCGAATGCGCAATTGCCAAAATTAACACTTTGGTTCACCACGAGCTTTTCGTAGAAATCCCTCAGCGACGTCATCACTTCGACGTTGGATTCTAGGGATGTGATCACTTCGCTGATCGTTTCTTCGTACATGAGTAGCTTCTGGATATCTCCAGCTGTGTATATTCGGTGCTGCCGGCCTGGCTCACTGTTGCCAATCACTGCAATTTTGGTCTGTATCGAACTATTAACAAAAATTGACGACTACTTGATGTTCAAGGCGCATTTTTACGAACCTCATTGTCCACGATCAATTCAAGCCACTTGATATGATCGCGCCATCCTTCCATAGACCAGTGGCAAAACAGAAGGTGAGCTGCTAAGCTTGACCGTAAACATTCGCCGAGATTATTGAACGATCTGTCTTCGGGACGGGCGTCACGGCCTGTGAGTTCCTTGAATCGGTCCTCGATATCATTTCCCCCCTTAGTGACAATCCATAAGGCATTCCCATTGTCCACGTCGAAACGATGGTAAAAAGCAGCAGGTCGAATAGAATATTGATCAAGAGATGGATCCTCAGGGTCTTGGCCTTTTAGAGACACTCCTTTGAGGTTATAGCAGAGCTGGTACTGCCTACCAGACCGCGCAAGGGGCTCAATGGCCAGCGATGTTTTGCTAGGCCTAAAAGACCTCTGTTCACGGAAGCTGCTGAATCGATGATCTCGAGGTTCGCTTTGTAGACCAAATGTGAACATGAAATCCAGGTAGTCAGGCATTACTTGATGAAATGTCAATATCTCAGCCAGCATACCACGAGTGATTCTCAGGCGAGCAAGAGTATGTTTCCCGAAGATATAACTGAATCGTACAATCAGTAATCCAGTATCGAAGAACATCATGTAATATACTTCTCAAATGGACAGGGAGGAACCTACATGAAGCGGCATTTGGGGTCTTTGACTTTCGCGACAATCTGATCTGATCCATTGCTGATAGACGGCCTGCGGCTGACTCCCAAGTGATCCGTAAGATCGTCATGGGTATGAATGAACTTATTTGTAGCACTCTCTATTAACGATTTAGCCCTATATCCAAGTAAATCAAAGTTTACATAGTATGCACATACTTGTACTCGTCCCGTTATTTGGTTTCAGATCTCGAAAAGAAACCTCGACGTTCTCCAAATTGGTTTGGAAAAGGTCTCCGGCCACTGAGTCTAACCTATCACTGCACTCTTTTAAAGCACTAGGATAGGTTTTGATGCTGTTCAGCATATAGTTCCGCGGGTAACGGTCCTTGTCTAGATAAGACCTTTGAAATTCGGGAGATAGCGCCATCGTTGACGAACTAGATAACTCAGATTCGAATCAATTGACAAGGGTTATTGCAATTGAACGTAGCAGTAACAACGGCCGAAGGTGATGACTTCTATTTCTATCAAATAGTCCAGATGCATTTCCACCATGTGATGAACCAAGCCGAGTTGGTCACCATGGCGAAACGCATGGCTTTTGCATAAGCATGGCGCAGCTGGAACAGGAAAAGCACCGAAGCGGCTGACATGTAGCTCCCACCACTACGACCACTCTCAGCTCTTGGCCTTGGCCTCACAAAATGAAATGACCGTCACACATTTGTGGGCTGTGTCGTATTAAGGCAGCCACCATGCATGTCTCAGTCCAGAAACAAACAGAGCTGAACACCATTGCCGCCCAGCCTAATCTCCTCGGTTGGAAATTGTCAATATACATAGGTATCGCCCCCGCCACTCTCGTTAATCTAACTCAGCTTGTCAACCTTGGCGGCGAAGACCTTTGAGCGACCCGAGCAGAAACCAACAGGCAGGATTCAGCATTTGTGATACACATTGCGACGAAAAATATGCCTGATCACCCGCCGGAAAATCGCCGCCGACACACAGCCCTTTCGGCCGCAGATAATCCCGCCAGATCCATCTTTCGCCGAGTGACACTCGCATCTAATGCCAGTAGCCATACGCCACAGAGTCATGCTACAATCCAAGAGCTGTACCCGACCTACAACGGCCTCCTTACGTGGGAGGATCTAGGCGGCTACCTCGAGAGCATATGGCCAGGCTGGAAAGCTGACAAGGCAAATATGCGCAAGGTGATGACTGCCAAACCAGATCCCCTTCCACGAATGCAACGTGAGGCTCATGATACGGCCAAATAGGTCAACGACAATTGGGTATTCGACGCCCCCAAGCGCCTTACTCTGGCATGTACTGACCTAACCCTTCATTGAAACCAGAAGGTGGCTAACTTCCTCGCGCCTAATAGGATGACCGTAAGAAGATTGCTGATCTTCGAGACTGCAAACCGCTTGCTCGAAGATCATCCAAGTCTGACGACGAATATTAAATTATTGGATACGCCACTGAAGAAATAGGAAAACGAATACACCACACATTCACGCAGGGTTCTTTCTCTGTCTGCAAGTGTGCCCTTGGGAATGAGGCTTTCATTCCGAGGGAGGCACATTGTGGTTCGCATTAAGGCGACTGCTGACGACCTCCGAGGGGTTGCATCACATGCAAGGCGCACACCACTACGAAGAACTGTGCCGAGCACACTGTGCGCTGACCTGTGCACTTTTGTGCAGCTACTGGGTACATTGATGAATAGCGGGTACGAATAATGCTGGCTGTTTACTTCTTGCAAGCTGGACGAGGGCACAAAGCGTGTATTCAGCCCGTGGATGAAACGGAGCGGCTCGTGATGATACTTCAGGAGCAAGCTTTGATGCATCACTTTGACCACCACCCGTCAATTCATAAGTTATCAATAACAAGAATAAGGAGGAACTTTCTTTGTTAGAACAAAGCTATGTACAATCAACAGCGTAACTTATATTTGAAAAGAAATGAGTGCAAGGAGAACAGATGCTATCCCCCGTTACCACATGTATTTCCTTGATCCACCTCATCAACAACACGTTTTTAACGCGACATCGCTGGAATTAGGCCGAGGTGCTCGCAGGAATGACTTCGTCAGCCTTCAATTTAGAGAGTCTTACATGTCCTCACATATGTTCTAGTTGCCATTGTTAGCTTATTTAATGTGATCCTTTCTTCTACAGCTTAGGATAATTTCTCATTTCGCCCGATAGATACATTCAACCCTGATCTTCTCCCTGCGATTCGCGACAAAAAATCAATCTACACCAATGATGCTGAAAATGGATGAGATGGGTATGCGTCTACATTCCAAGAGCTCAAGGAATGCAGGATGCTCAACCGTGTCGCAGCCTACGAAAACTATTAACGGACATGCCAACATTACTGCAGGGCTACTTCCATGCTCAGATTCAACGATACGAGATTTTGCTGAGAACCGGATATAATACTTGTTGCGGAATAAATTCTCAAATTAGGATAGCTCACGCGCTGTCAAGTGATGGCTCCAAAACTCCACCACTTGGTGAAAAAGAGCTGAGACATCATCTAAGGAAATTTCTGATTACATACGATCACACTGAGTCGTGTTGCATACATCGTCATCAGGAGGCATGAAGCAGGAATGTCAGGGCAGCTAACAAATGTTCCCGTTCGAAGAAGAGACATCATCAATATATGAGTACAAAGTTCCCGTCGGCATCATTATCGAATCTCCAGTCCACTTTCTTCCATCTTTCTGAAAGCTTTCCCTACCGGGCAAAATTTTAAACATGAAGGCTTTACTCACCCTTCTCCTGGTGTCTGTCGCGGCTTGTAAGCCTACTGTTTATCTCATTCGACATGGTGAGAAGCCGAAGGATGGATCCAATGGATTAAGCATTGAGGGGGTTGAACGCTCTCAGTGTCTCCGTACCGTGTTCGGAAACGCCACGGATTACAACATCGACTATATTCTGGCACAAGCGTATAAGCCAAGTGAGTTGTGCTCCCAAATCAACCCAACCAACGACCTTCTGACATCTAATTTAATATAGGCGGCAAGAGAAAGCGACCCTATGATACAGTTCTGCCTCTGGCTGAAGATCTTGGCCTCAAGATTGACACTCACTGTGACAGAGACAAGCCCAAATGCGTAGCCAAGGCTATAAAGGAGTATAAAGGAGACGGAAACGTTCTCATCTCGTATGTCCCAGACCATGGCATTTCATTGTGACGAATATCAAACACTAACGGCTCCACGCGTAGCTGGGAGCACAAGAAACTCACCGATGTCATCAAGGCTCTGGGCGTTGATGACGCGGAGAAGTACCCATCCGACAGGTTTGACGTGATCTGGACGCTTTCTAAGAACTACAAATATATCAAGGATAAAAAGTCAGAAGGTTGTCCGGGATTGGATGAAAAGTATGCTGGTGAGGAGCAGGACTTTTGTGAAGAGGACTAGAAATAACATCATGTAATCTCTCCAACCTATTCTTGATAATCTATAAGATTGAGTGTAAGAACAAACCCTCCGCTGCTACTAAGACCGACCATGGACTGGCCATCTTACTAAACTTGGGTTGGCAACTTATATATTCATCAGATTTCGCATGTATGACTGCACTTTATTTCTACTCGACTCTATAAGAAAGACATTACTTGAAGATAGCCTATATTACCATAGACAAGTAGATTTCTATAGCTCCTAGTGTGTTTCTTGAACAACCCTAGCTTTTCTCCTCATAATTTGATATCAGACCACGACCTTTTGCTTGACAATTTCCTCGCTGAGCGTCCAGAGCTTGTCGGTGACTTGATCACCAACAATGTGATCCAGCTTAGCAGTATCTGGCACAATCTGACAGTCCATTAGGTACTCGCCAGGGGTACTTGCCAGAGATGGATCCAAGGCCGCCCTCAGAGGTGTCGAGGAGCCACAGGCCAGAGGCTTCTTTTCCTCGAACGGCGGCTTGTCTCTGCCTTCCTAGGCCTTGTCATAGGCAGCTCCCACACCCGCCCATACGTCTCGGTCGACAGTGTCCTGCAGGTTCGTCTCGAGGACAAGACCGGGGGTGACGGAGAAGGAAGTCGCGTTCAGGTGGCGAAGCTTGCTGGCGAGAGAGCGGGCAAAGATGATGTTGGCCGATTTGGCCTGGCCGTAACCGCGCCACGGGTCGTACTCCTTCCCTTCCTGGAAGTTGTAATCAGTGCGGATCCCCTCGAAAATGTACCCGTTGCTCGAGAGATTGATGATACGCACCGGGAGCGTGAGGTCACCCGCTGCCGCAGCGGTCGCGGCCGCCTTCTTGATGAGTGGCAGCAAGAGCCCCGTGAAGAGAAAGTGGCCAACGTGGTTGACGGCAAACTGGACCTCGACACCATCGACGGTCTTGGCAAAGTCTTTCGTGGCCATGATGCCGGCATTGTTGAAAAGGTAATCGAGGCGATCGGATATCTGGGCAACTTCTTTGGCTGCCTGGCGAACAGAGGCGAGCGAGCCAAGGTCGAGCGAGCTGATGGTGGACTCTGACTGACGGCTGCAACCGGCGCAGTTCAGCCGCGAGAGGCTCAATCTTGGAAAGGCTGCGCCCTGCTAAGATGATACGTGCTGGTGAAGCACCCTCGCAAAGGTCGGAAGCAATCTTGGCCCCGATGCCGCCAGGGCTCGGGCCAGTGATGAGAACTGTGGAAGGCAATCTTGTCAGCTGTGTGCTATCGGCACATCGCAAGTCACACTATTTGGCTTACTAGTCTTTCCGTTGACCCTTTCAGCATATGCTTGCACGACGGAAACGCCCGTGGTGTTGAAGCCCCATTCAAGGCAAGTCATCTTGGTTGTTTTGGTGAGGAGGAGAAGGAGAAGGAGGAGCTTTAATTTGGTAAAGAAGTCGCAGGAGAAACTTTACAGCTTGTTCTGATATACAGGGTCTCTGGTTGGCTGGCTATTGGGAAGGTGCCTGAGATGAATCTTTATACATTTTCCCGCCTGCTTGGTTTACTCCATTCTTGTCCATATAACATCGATCCAAGCTGATAAAGCGTACATGACGAATGCTAATGGATGGTTGTACACGATCGGAGACATCAAGCACTGACTCTGATTTCTCAGCTAGTCATTCTCTTTTGCAGCCTTTGGCCGAGACTGGAATGATTTCTATCATGCCTAAGCTTCTACGTGGAGACTCCATGCGAATCGCATGACTCTCTAACACGCCGAGCTTATAAATATGCACCTGGGCTGAAAATCCAGTAGATAGTGGGTGACTGCTTAGACAAGCTTGCAGAAACTGGCGTTGAGGTTAGAGCGGCGGCGGACGCGCTGTGGCGATGTCGCTACGGCTGGTCGCCATGGAATAACATTTGAGAGAGGACCTTGCCCGCTCTTTGTGCTAGGATTTAAGAAAAACTCGTAGGCTACTCTGTTTGTAACCCGCAACAGTCGAGTTCACTTCCATGGCGGTGGTTCCGGACGACAAGGTTAATCAAGGAGTTTCGGTCTCATCAAGGAGTTTCGGTCATGAATTAAGACCAGCTTTATTTTTATCTACTAACTACAAACGGCTTACAATTAGCTTATTTTAGCGTGGGTAATCAAGTAGGCTTGCAGAGGTTAGGGTGTAGTGTGCCCATTTGTCAACAAGTCATCATGGTTACATATGCCTTCAGAGCGGGGTGGAGACACTTTGCCCGCTTCTATAAAGCGGACGGAGCGGCCCTCTTGTCGGCTCAGGAATACGGTTCTTGTAACTCTGCCTCTCTGAGCGGCACTCCTGATTGACTCGCGCGGATGACACTTGCCGCTCGCCCCTTCAACTGGCCTACTCCCTACTGTCTTCTTGCGATTTGAAACTACCCACGCGGTCCAAGCAGGCCAACATGCCGCATGTGGCTTCTCAAGCGTGTACAGCCTGCCGGTTCGTCCATCTGTGATTGTGTTTGTGCTCGACTTATCATAGCCAGTGGCCTAACAGCGGACAGGCGTCTGAAGCGCAAATGCTCTCGGGATATTCCAAGCTGTAGGCTTGTTCGTCTCCAAGTAATCCGCCATCATCGATAAGTAGACTGCTGACTTGTAAAAAGTGCCAGCGCCTGGGCAAGGACTGCGAATATCCTGTATCTGCGAATGACGGCAACTCTACCGTACGGGTGCATGCTCTCCATCATAAGCTCCTTCGGGGCCCAGACCACCCGTTTCCTCATGCATTCTTCCTCGATCAGGAACTGCATACTCCACTTCGTACGATGCAGTTGGCACAGTCGGTCCAGCCAGAACTCAAGCTGTACGTCGCCCAGTACCTCAGTGTGGACAGCCCCACGCTTTATAGTGACTATCATGTCAAGGTCCATACCTGGCTACCCATGCTGAGTAGGAAAAGGCTGCTGGACCAAGGCGTCGAAAGTTCAGAAAGGACAAATGCATGCCACCCCCTGCTCCTCCTGTGCATGGAGCTTTGCACAGCAGAGTGTGGAGGCTCGCCCGGGGATTTCCATCTATATACGGCAGCAAAGACGCTGAGCTCGGCGGTGGAGCAGGCTGGGTACCTCTCGCTGCGCCTCGTCCAGGCCCTTGTTTTGATTACCTTTTACGAAGTCTGCCACGGGCTTCAGCCAGCAGCATATCTGACGGTTTCCAGGGCAGAACGGGTCGGTTCCTTAGTCGGCCTGTACACCTCAGGATACAACTCCACCCTATTCCAGCAAGTTTCTACTTGGACTGCAGGCGAGGAGGCGAGACGGACCTGGTGGGCCATCTTCATCCTCGATAGGTAGCCATGCCTCTTTCCCGGGGTTTCTCAGTAGCTGATCAAGACGCAATATAGATACTTGCTCATCGATGCGCCTGGACTGCCCTTCTCCCAACAAGATCCGACTGCCCAGGAGCTGCTGCCAGTCAACGACGGTGACTGGGAGGCTAGAAATACCGCCGCCAGTGAAAGCCTCTACACCTCATCCTTTAGCGGGAATACGGTCCTCGGCCCGTTTGCCATGCTGTGCCAGTCGTCCAATATTCTGAGCAAGATTTTACAACACAAGATGAGCCGGAAATATGCATCAGAGCCCGTTGAGCAACTCATGGAGGAAGCAATACATCTTCACCGGACGTCGTCAGCATTACAAGCGTCCATCCAGGCGTCATCAGAAGCTTCCGCCGATGACAACTCCCCTTTTACATCTGCGTCAGCCGTATGTTCCGTGGCTCGATTATGTCTCTATAATCTCTACGCATGCAACTCGACGCAGAATGGCCGAGGCATCTCCACGCCCATGCAGGCTGATCTCCAATATTTAAGCTTGCAGAGTATCTCGAGTCTGGCACATACTGAGATTCCAGAGCTCGCACGCCAGAGGAACGCGTCTCCGTTTCTGGCTCACTGCCTGTACTATGCTGCCAGCGAAGCAGCCTGGATCGTGAGGGAAGGCTGCGATGCCGTAACAACGGCTATCCTAAAGGATTTGCTGGACGGTTTGCGGTCCCTCGAGTCCTCCTATTCCGTGTCAAGTAAGTCGCTCCATGGCCTACGGTTGGCTTGTGCTAAGACTAAATTACAACAGGCTATCTTCTATCTCTCTTGCAACAAGAGGGAGTCTTGGGGCTGGTGGACTCAGAGCCTGGCACATTGCCAGATTTTCAAGATGGAGACGAAGAAATGTCATCAACAATGAGCGGCGACTCCTGACTGCATAATGGAGATGGAGTCTAGAAACTCAAGTCATGTATTTTTAGGATAGTATGCACCTTGGTCATAAATGCGTCATCTTTTTTTTTGTGTTTATCGGCAAGCCTTCTTCATGGGGGATAGATAGTCGGACGTTCGTGACCTCAGCACGACTCTCCAGTCAAAACATATCTTATTGATTGATTTTAAACATTTATTGGGATTGTAAAAGCCAACATGTTCGGCAAGTAGTTACAGGACGTATTTTGCATTCCGTCCAAGGCCTGCCCATTCTCGATTCCCCTTCACTGTGTAAGGAAATGCCCCAACAAGAAGATATTGTTTTCATAAAGCTATGACTGCCAACCGGCCCACATCTGGCAGGGATTAACAGACTTTCATCCGACCAAGTCCAGACTGTAATTACTGGTTGATTGGTAATCCCGTTCGGAATGATACTGTAAAGCAGCTCTTACTTGAAATCAAAGCATTCGTCCATAGCCTCAGCCTTGTTGATTATCAATCCACAGCAGCTATTCAGCTCTGTCATCGATTAGGAGGCATAGGCTGTTCAGTACGCTGGTTTGTAAGAATCAGAGCTTGTACACTGGGTAGAAGTGAATATAAAACTAACGAGACTATCTATGAGTGCCCATTCCTCAAATAACGAACAACACCCTCACCCACGTATGACCCAAAACAATCCAAGTTTATATATCATCTCAGGCTATCTCATGATGTATGTCTCCTTCTTTCGCGTTGTCGCCTTTGGGCTCCTCAGCTGCAATGTCCTCGCTGCCCCCTCAGCGCCACAGCCCGTGCAGCGCCCTCCCGGACTCTGGCCTCATCTAGCCTAACAGAGTCGCGCCTCCCGGCCTCTGATCGACTTCATAGAAGGGTACTTCACCGCTAAGAACCTGCATGAGCCAGAGGCTTGGACACACCATTTCCATCCTACCGAGGGGACATACGGAGACGTCGGCCTCGGCAATCTCTTCTCCCAACCGGAGCTATCGCCTGTTATCAGGACTTTCGTGAGTGCTTGGGGACCTGATTCAAGATCGTATCCCCTGCGCATCGTGGGTGACAACAACAGTGCCCTGCTGTACATGATTGACACGCCGGACATGTTCGGCGACGAGCTTCGCATCCTTGTGGCCTTGGACTTTAAAGACGGCTTGATCGTGCGGGAGGTGGATTACTGGGATCCTCGCCGGAACACCGCAGCTGAAGCGAATAGGGTGCCACTGGAGCAGTATCCGACTGACTTCGCCTCGGCCCTATCCTCCAACACGACCAATGCCACCCTTCGGAAGGTTGTAACCCAGTTTTCGTCGGCACTGTCGAACGGAGACTACGAGTCCGCTGTTTCTCTGCTGGCACCAGACGTCGTGCTCGAAGACTTCTCCCTGCGTGCCAGAATCGACGGTCGACTATCCGTTGAAAAGTACTTGAAGCGGGCCGTGGCCTCGTTCCCGTACGGCACTGGCTCCGTCGTAAATCATATCGTGGGCAACGAAGATGGCGGTGCTTACGAGTGGGCTGGCACACCGGAGGCTGCTGGCCGTAACGGGATAACTGCCATTGAACTCGACGAAGATCATCTCATCACTCGGCTCACTATCATATGGGATACTTTCAATGCTAGTAACAGCACTATGCAGTCGTTGGTCAGACTTTCTATTGAGCCGTAAACTTTCAGTCTGGGCAAGCTGGCGATTGGTTTTGGTTGGGATGAATAGTACTTGGAAGCCAGAGGTTATAGCCATGACGATGAGGCCCATTCTGAGTTCTAAGGTCTTGTGATATTGTCGTATAGTCTAGGCTTAGGCAAAATAAACTGCCATTGTATTATCAAGTAGGATTCACCAGCATGTTAATGACTTCTACTTATCCAAAGGAAGGGCTGTATATCATATGCAGCTAGATTTTTGTAATAATCTGAATCACTACCAGCAAAATATTGGGCGATAAAGCGAGCAAGTAAAACACTGAGAGATCGCTGTTGGTCTGGTCTTGTGAGCATCATGTACAATCCTTGGTAAGTGGTTCCATGTCTGCTGTTTGGCGCATTGAAGTTTTCGTGACCACGGCTGGTAGTTGCGCAAACGCCTTTGCTTTTCACAAAGTTGTAAGAGGGCAGAGGTTGTATCGATGATTGAACTGCTCGCGGCCCCGTATGGACGATCTGATCCTCTTTAAATGGGCGGTTACAATTAATTCGTCCTTGCCGTCGTCAAGGCTACTTAGGTGCTTGAAATGGCGTCTGTGAGAGCTACCGAGTACTAACAAAATAATATCCCGCCACCGGCTAGAACTCAACTTGGGCAGAGGGCGGGCAAAGAGCGGACAAATAGTGGACGGAGAGCGGGCGGAGAGCGGATAGGCGCAGCATCGGCTTATAAACTGTGGCGTCACTTCTTAAACCAAGTGCCGGTCTTGCGGATGACTATAGTTTAGTCACGAGTTAGTGCTGAGCTCACATCTCATCGAGGGCAAAATGATTGTCGCGTTACCTTGTGAGATTCGTATTCTTATCCCTGTCAAACATCTTCGTCAAAGCTTCCATAGACCTCAAACATAGGATCATGACAGACTTACAATTTATATGACTGAGGACCTGCTGAAGGGCCATCTCTACTTCCTATTGAGGTGACGATCTTCTGAATCGGCCCTCATCAGCCTTCGAAATACGATGTTAACCCTGTCTAGCCCGCTGGCATCGCCCTGTGATGTTTCCATCATGACGTCTGCGAAGCGTGTCCTCGAGTTAATAGTAGCCAGGAACTGTTCATAAATACCTTTCGATCCCTCGCTGTAAATAGTTGCAGAGTTACAACAGAAGCATCAGTTACACACACAGCAAATTTCCAATCAACTCATTTTCATTACATTTCACCATGAGATTCGTCAACACCGCTCTGGTCGCCTCCTCTGGCTTCCTGCTCGTCGCTGCGGCACCGCCAGTTATAAACCCATCCGAAATTCAAATCATGTTCACTTACCCCAACGGCTCAACCACTGACTTCATCACTGTTCCTGGTCGTGAGCAGTGGTTCCCTATCGGTAAGTTTCATCACACCCGAAATCCGAGATACCTCTAACCAGGTTGTCCTAGGGAGCGGATCCGATGTTAGCCATATAACTATCAATCCTAAGGAGGGCAAGAATGTCCGATGCCAGTTCATCTCGTCCGAGCGCGACATTATCGCTTCTCCTGCCTTGACTCACCCAGACATCATTGACATCAACCCAAGCTGAGCTCACCCTCTGCCAGAGCGCTTGAATGATAGAGCCAGTCTGGTAACTGTTGGCAAAGAAAGCTGCCAGTTTTAGTATAGTTCCTAGTGAAGATAGTGTCTCTGAGCAACTAAGAGCAATTCAACTATACCAAATTACAAATTTATTTATCTCTATGTTGAATTCTAAATGACTTTGGAGTGTTGACTTTGAGAAACATACTACTGAAAAGATGTCTATTCAATCGGCATTAGGTAGTACCCAAAGTACCTGGCTGGTCTGAGCGAAACAAAAGTCAAGAACGGCCCGGGTGAACCAAAATACGATCAGCTGTTAGCATAACGCACATATCATTTCAAGGATGAACGGTTGTTGTGAAGATGGCTCTAGCACGTCGCCATCTTCTCTTGACCAATTTTCAATTTTGATCAAACCTCGGCCGGTTCGAACAGCATTCTAATCTCATCGTTAGGTTTCAGACGTTGCGCCTCTTGGCTTGGCATCAGTGACGTTTAACACAGCCATATTTTCATACATCTCGGCCGTTACCTATAACCATATAAGTCAGCTTCGTATCGTGAGTATGATCATGCAGCAGCTTCAAGTCTTCAAGTGTAAAGAATACATACACCGTCAAGAATTCGATCCATGGAGCCCTATACGAAGGAGCATTCTACGGTATCCTTCTTCCTTTTCCATGCCTCACCCACATCAAATTAAGCCTATCTACAATGTGCTCATTCCCAAGTTCCCTGCCACCGTTACTAAGGAAGAAACAGCTGCAATAGATAGACATTATATTTTTGAGATAAGCTTCCAACCGTTGCACTGCAATCTGGCCGATTGTGTCCGTGAAAGGGTGAACCGGGAGTTCCTCAAAAAGGATAACGGTGCCGCTATGGCAAAATGTATCCAAAAACGAGTTCAAAAAAGAGATATTCGCGGCTGCACATGATCTTGCCGTAATCCGCATTATAGCAAACTTCCTGTTCGACGTGGACAAGATCAACCGGTCCATAGATAACGAGTTCTAAAAGACGGCAGTGTTGAAGTATGACCGTATAGGGTAGGCCCTAGACATGGAGATCCTGAGTTGTGGCCGCGAGACAAGCTCTTCTTCCAGCCTTCATTAAATCCATTCACCTTGGTTCTCGCTATCTGTCGAACTCTCGGCTAAGAGGGTATGAATACACGCCTTCGTTTAGAATTGAGTTCTCTGCACGTTAGTAGGGGAAGAATTTGTTCTGCGCCTATGGAATCACGAGCTATGTAGCAGTTATTTTAGTCAAGGTATTTTCTTTTTCACCGTTTTTTGTAATATCAAAAGTGATTCAAATTAAATTTTATTTGAAGTGAAAGTGGCAGCTAAGGGGGATTCTGTCATCTTTTTCGTGGGACGAGTTCTTAAATCTGCCTCAGGCGTCGCAGCAAGTTTCGGACCCTTGTATTCCTCCACAGCCTCACCGCGAGAAACTGCCTGAGCGAACCATGGCGAACCATCTTATGGCGCTGTTTTAGCTGCAGATTGTCAGATATTAGAGGGAATCTCCCGACGGTGATTGGGTAAGAGTCAACTACCCCTGTATCATAGTCAATGGGCAGGCTTACTGCTGTGCCACTGTCGGACATGCCTTGCATTCGGCTCCATGGTTTCCCACGTGGCAAAGATGATTTTTGCTTCTCCCACACGGCTGGTGTTTTGATGTCCGAGTTTGTATCAAGCTTCAGTTCCCGGCAGAGTCAAGTTGGGTCAGGGTTGGTTTGAACGACCTGATGGACCCGGCTTCGGTAATAGGTCTTGCTGGCGCTGTCGCAGGTCTCGCCGACGTCATCGCAAGAACTGTTGTGACTCTAAGCGACCTTCGAAATGCATACAATCAATCGGATTTCAAGCTCAGTGCCCTGATATGTCAGCTTGCCACACTCAAGGCTTCCTTGAGTCACATAGCCGAGATGGTGAACACATCTTATGGCAACGCACCATCGCCGAGCATACAGTTTTGTGAAGATTTGAGGGTGTCAATGTACGGCTGTGAAGCGATGGTGAGTGCGTTGGATACTCGTCTAGCAAGATTCCATCAAAACGAGGGCAATGGCTTGAGTATCTTGGGCAAGATCGAAATTGTATTGGATGATTCAACGATTGATGAATATCTCAGTATGCTAAATAACCAAACAAATGCACTTCAACTACTTCTAACGACGCTTCAATGGTATGTCTATTCTTGGACATCTAGAAGATACATAAACGATTACTAAACTGTCTTGATAGTCAGACATCCCTAGCTATTGACAAGAAGCTTCAAGAGTCCAGTTCTCGACGGATCATTGACAAGGTCAGGGATGATACATCATCCCTGGTGTCTCTATACGACACAGCCTCCCTTGCGTCAACAAAAAGCACTGGAGCTCAAGATATCCCCACCACTGCCCCCGTTTCTTTCTCATTCGATTCAGAGATAGTTACGTCAAGAGTGTATCAAACGGCAATGAGATATCAATTGAGAGTATCAGGAAATGATGATGGGGCAGACGAAAGCGATATGGCATCTTCGCGTCTTGGAATCAACCGCCGATTTTCCTTCTCAGTTCACAGTGAGAAGGCTTTTGACCTAGAAGATACATCATCGGTCAATCCGGACGAAGGTAATACAAACACCAACCCGACGTCCAAAATCGTCTCCGATCATAGGCCAACTCCAAGGGAAACACCTAAAATTGTACCGAAAAAAACATCTCTACCACAGAGTAGAACCTCCAATGTTTCAAAAAAGATTCTCCTGATTGGCTCATCGGAAAGTGGCAAGAGCACTCTAATCAAATCACTTAGTTGTGCATTTGACCCTTTCGATGAGCAGACACGCCAGACTTACATTGAAGAAATAATAGAGAATTGTGTGGAAATAATGCGCCTTCTCGTCATCGAGACAGATATAGACCGTGTTGGAGGCGACTCCGGCCTGCAAAAGGAATGTCGATTGTTGATGGAAGACGACAACGATCGGCGAGAATGCTTGAAAATGTGTGAGAAACTGACGGGGGCTATTTCCTCCATTTGGCAGAGCCCAGAGATGCAAATGAGATTTGAGCATCGTCGCCAGCATCAAGAAATGTACTATCTGCCAACATCATCGGAATAGTAAGTCGCATATCTCTGCGAGCCAAAAGTTACTAACTTGACGTACCAGTTTCCTCGACTCGGTCAGCCGGTTAGCAGATCCTAACTACCTACCCACGGACAATGATATCCTTCGCTCATATTGCAAGACATCCGGGGTTTGCACCTTCGAGTTCAATTCAGCAGGCAGATCATACAACTTCTACGATGTCGGCGGAGCCCGGTCCCAACGTCGAAAGTGGATCGAATTGTTCCCCAAGGCAGATATTTTTATGTGGACGTTTGACATCTGCTGTTCCGGTGAAGTGTCTCAAGATCATGGAGGCGATTCTATGGAGGAACAGCTGGAGCTATGGGAGTTCGTTGTCAATCATCACAGAATTGACTTTGATGCCACGTTTGTTGTTATTTTTACCAAGATCGACAAGCTTACACCAACGGTAATATCTCGTCTGCTATCAATGGAATATTTTCGGGGATATGAGAAAGATCGGACGGATGTGGACATGGTCCTTGATCATGCCGCAGGGAGGTTGGCAGCGGCAGTGAGAGGCACAAGGATAAATGTTTCATTCGGGCGTGCGAGCATAGCAACTTCGCCGACGAAGATGGCCGAGGAAGCCATGAGAACACTAGAGCAACTTAATTGAATATGATCAATCCCCAACATATGAACAGGCTTGATATGGCATCCGAGAATAAAGCTCACTCTTCCGTACATTGAGAATAATTAGACTAGGTTTCATGTCAGACTTGGAAATAGGATCTTGAATGTTTGGGTTGGGAAGCCATAAGCGACCGTAGCTTCTATTTCGCAAATATGTGGTCAATTCATCTCAGCAAACATAGTTCATATGCTACCTTAGCCCGAGACAACTATCAACTGCCATGCCTATGTCATATTGCAAACCTTGTACTTCTATTTACCCTCCCATTCGACTGGTCGGTTGAGTTCAACCCACCATTCCTCAGCCTCGCTCTTCCACATTGGTGGCACCCTCCCATTGATCCTTCAGTAGTCCCGGGCGGTATCGCTGATTGTAATTTCCCAATTCTAACCCTTCTCGGCGATGTGGGGAGCGAGGGCCTCATTGATACGATCACTGAAGATTTGAGCGGCGTTTTCGCCTCCATCGGTTTTATGGACGGCTACATGCTCAATCACGAGACTGACAAATGTCTTTTTTTCTCTTATCTCGCCTCCAATAAAGGCGGTGGCGTGTGGAAGGCAGATAAAGCGGACGACCACATAGAAGGAGGGGAGACCAACTATGGTGGTGTAGAGCTTGGTGATATCTGCGGCAAGGTTTTTCCGAAACTCTGGAGACTCAAAGATTCCGGGAGAGTGGTAGATGTGCCAGAGAGGCGTGTTGGAAAGCCAAGGTTTGTATTTGGTTGAGTAAAGAAGATACTGTTGGGCTGTTATGGTTAAGGTTCAGTTAGAGCAAATAGGTTGGAATATTCTCAAACTTATACCTATAGAATAAGATGCCATTTTACTCAAGCCAAACTTGTTCATTCAAGATCCCAATAGGGCCTCACTTCAGTCGGATCTTTCAGAGCAACCAGCCCATGAAAAATGATCAATGATGACACGTATTCGCATTGCGTTGGCATTCAGCTCAATGTAACCGGCATCATTATATAACGAAGGCGGCATTCGGGAGAATCTTGGCGACGTGATCTAATAGCTAATCCCCAGCCATGTAAGCCAGGGCTTAATAACTGATGTCGAATGATGGCTCGATTGAAACTCAAATAATTGCCCTCCAACGATGGCAACTTTGCAACTTTTTCGATTAGAAATACACTCTCTGTGTTGAAGTTGCATTTCTGACTCAACGACATAATAACTCCGCCAGCGAATGAACAGACTTGACATGTTATGTCTAAGAGCATGGAGAAGAATGTCTCTCTAGAATATATCAGACAACATTTTTCAGTTTCGCCTCTAAAAAGAACATCCGCAATGTCTAGATAATTCTGTCTGCTTAGCATGCTGCCCAGGGTGGTTTCATTGTGCTTACTCTAGGTATGAGTCCCAGGATAGTATTAACCACATAAGGCGCCCGAAGACATTGGCGTAATCATCCCATCGTCGGCACAGGGATCCGTTTGTTCGTGCTAAGCCGAAGCCCGTCATGAAAAGCACACGAGCGTCGTCGCCGACCAACAGCTGTATAAGTTTGTCTAGGCTATTCTTAGATCATCATACTCTCTAAGATTACTGGAAGATTATACGCACCATCACATACGTCTTGGCAATGGCAAGTCTGGTCTTGTTACACCATTGAATGTCTACCCTGACAGGAGGCAAGGTCATGATGAAGGGTTTCGCGCTTCTAAAGATCAGCACCGGTGACAAGAGCGTTATTAGGCTTTCGAGAAAGGCGGAAGTTGTCGAATGAACCTCGCAGAATGGGGTGAGATGTTGCTACTGGCTACGCTGGAGTTTGGGACGAGATTCTCACGCTTAATAGCAAGCATTGAGGAAGCTGGTCTCGGTATTGAAGAAAGGGATGACTAACCCAGTGTTCTCTGAGTTAAAGCAAAGAAGGGAAAGTAGTTTGAAACGGGGATTAGAGGCCCAGTCATGATCAAAGTGTCCTGAAAGCATCCGAAAATCGACCCGCACCAATATCAACCCCTACGAGAGATTTAACTGTCTCTGGAGCGGAGAGGACTAATGTACAAAATTCAGTTCCTCTCTCGCTTGCAAGAAAATATCCACTGCTTGATCAATCAAGCTTTGATAAAGGTGCCGAGTAAGACAGCATCGCCTTGTAAAGATCTTGAAAATGTGAAAGGATTTAATATCAAGAATTTGGCTGAACCATAGGCAACCTAGATATGACTATATTGCAATACCCTTCCGCTACCCTCTCAGTCTAAGAGCTCTGTTCATTCGAAAAATCTCTTGGTTGACTCGGTGCCTCCCTCCTTTCATTGCAACGCAAACGAAGACTTGCGATGAAGTGGGCACGGATGTTCAGACATCCGGAATCCTTCTTGACAGGGGTTTGATCTAGCAAGTTGCCGTTGGATTGGCAGATGGGCGAGCTTAGCACTACTTCTTCTCGGAAAGACCAGTTTCCGATCAGTCGATATCTCGTTATCTGGTTGCCGGCTCCTCTTGTCAAGTGGTGGTCAAATCAGATCAACCGTTTTTCTGATTAGCAGGGTCCTCTTTTTGTTCCCGAGATGAAAATTAGCACCAGCCTAGGGAAAGGTAAACCCTCCAAGCTCGACGACGACATAAGGAAATGCGTGTGGTCTGCTTGCTGATAGGTCCAAATTGTCGTCAGCAGAAGCCCAAAACGGAATGATTCAGCGCGCGCCAACGGCAAACTACCACGGCACAACGGTAAATTCCATCATCGGACACAATGATTTCTACAAGTCGCCGCCTATGCTAGAGTTTAGTTATAAATGATGGATCCCTCATTCGTGGTTGTTTCGTACAGACGCCTACTCGTTCCTCCTCTAAGTAGTGATCGCCGCCTCAGTTGGCATTGATTCAACCACACAATGCTATCAGTCGGGTTATTCGCTGGGCTCTTCGTTCTCTACTGGGTTTGGACTGCAATTTATCGCCTGTACCTGAGCCCCTTGGCTAAGATTCCCGGACCTAAGCTCGCTGGTACGGCTGATTTTTCTCCTGAGTGGCATCAATGAGGGCCAGCTAACAAATTTCAACTTCTAACAGCGTTAACAACGTGGTACTGCGCATACCATGACATTATCCGCGGAGGCCAATACATATGGGTCGTGGAGGAGATGCACCGAAAGTATGGCCCCATCGTAAGGACAATGCCGGGCGTGGTCCACGTCAACGATCCCGCCTTCATCGAGAAGCTCTACACCCTCGCCCCCAACGTACGTCGCGAGCGAGGATGGCCCGTCCTGAACATGTTCGGCAATGACAAGGCCATGTTGCCGACACGTGATCATGATCTCCATCGGCGGCGACGCGCCGTCATCAGCCGGTATTTCTCGCAGCAGAACGTGAGGCGGTTGGTCCCCTTCATCAATGACACGCTAGGTGATCTTCTCGAACGATTCGACAAATGGGCCGAGGCGGGCGATGTCATCAAAGTCAGTATGCCGTACCGGGCTGCTACCAAGGATGTGATCCAGTCCTATGCGTTTGGCGAAGGCGAAAAGTGCCTGAGTATGCCAGATTGCAACGCTAACTTCTTCGCTATCATTGAAACGAACCGTCTGGTCCATATCAGTGTTCATTTGCCTGCTATGATGGCGGTTGTGAACAATTTGCCAGCAAAGGTAGCCAAAGTTTTGATACCAACCGTGGGTACTTTTATCCAGTTCCTTGAAGTAAGCATATCCAATTCATCGAAGGCCTGAGAAACAATCAATTCTAACAAGCCTGCAGAGTCTTGCAGTAACGATCGAAGGGATCCGAAACTCCAAGGAGGACCCCGAGCGACGAACAATCTTCCACGAAATTCTGCATAGTGACATTGCCGACCAAGAGAAAAGCACCAGCCGCATGGTTGACGAGGCTATGATACTCGCCATCGCGGGAGCAGACACGACGGCAGCCACGTTGGAGGTTCTCACCTACCACGTCCTGAGCGACAAGGAAATCTTCAAGAGACTCCGTACTGAGCTTGACCAGGCGATTCCGGACCCAACTCAATTCCCGGACCCCGTCAAGTTGGATAATTTACCTTTCCTCAACGCCTTGATTGAGGAGACGCTGAGACTCTACCCGAGCGCAACGCATCGCCAGGATCGACTGGCTCCTGATGAGGATCTGGTTTATGAATATGCCGATGGGCGCAGTGTGACGATTCCCAGAGGAACTGTCGTGGGCATGACTGCTATGCTGGTCAACCGAAGCCCGTTGTGGTATGAAAATCCGGACGAGTTCAGGCCGGAGCGGTATATAGAGAATCCAAAGAGCTTCAAGCGCATGTTGACCTTTTCCAAGGGAGCGCGTCAATGCCTTGGGATCAATCTAGCGTACCAGGAGCTTCAGACGTTCACTGCAGGAATCTTTCGCAAGTACGGGCCTTACGATCCTAAGCTGAAAGAGCAGAGTGGCCCAACCTTGGAACTCCATGAGACCACGCTAGAGGATGTCAAGACACATGCGGACTATGTCACACCTGGGTTGCGCCCCGGTAGTAAAGGGGTCCAGGTACGGATTCGCCGAGGATAATTGGGTTATTCCTTGTACGAGGAGGATTCTATATTACCCGTTGGTGACCGTCGCTCCGTGGCTGCATCACTCATGTCTAAGGGGGGCGACCCAGAACAAGCGATCGGCCGAGCTGTCAATAACACAAAATCATATACTTCAGACAAAAGTCGCAGTCCTTCAAGCGAATATCATTTGGCTTTTCGTTGTTTGCCCAGTTCCGACTCACACAGTGAGTTGTTGATCGTCCCTGTTGTGATCGTGGAAGGACCCTTTCAGCAGAATTTGTACCTTTAGCTTTATCTCCCCAATAATGTTCGAGAGAAGATTTAATTGAGTCAAGATAAATCGGTGTTCGGTTGAAACTCAACGACACATCTAAAACCGACTGTGCTGCTTGAATCAAATGTGTCTTAAGCGGCGGAGAATTCCCGCTGGCCGCCGATGGTCCCGCAATCTACAAGGATCTCTGTCAGCAATATTAAGTGTTGCTTTCAAACTGAGTTGCATCGATGGGCGGAGTTGCGGCGCTTTTCCGCAGGTTTTCCGCCGCTCGCCCGCGGAACAAACATCACCATCAGCTGCAGTCAGAACACGGCATTCTCCAAGCAATCTCAAGCAGCCATGTCTATCCATGTGGTCCGCAAGATATCCGATGATGCCCAGTTCAAGCGGCCTGCTTGCGTGGCCTGCAGCAAGGCCAAGCGCAGGTGCACCAAGCAAGCTCCCGCGTGCCATCGGTGTCGAACGAAGAGGATCAGATGCGACTACCCTTCATCTCGCGTTCTCCTATCGCCGCCCTTGGCGACGTCTTCAACTTCTGAGGAGACCTCCCAAGTAGACCTTGGTGCTGTGTTTGGTTTGGGTGACGCGACCGAGGACTCCGACGCGACGGCCGATCAAATCGCGGCAGATGGAATCGACCGCTTCGGGGCCAAGTTCCTCGAAAGTCCGTGGTTTCTGAGCGCATCGGGCTGGGAGATTGACAAATCTTGCTCAAATGCGGACAATAGTATCGCCTACATGGACTCGGGGCTCGACTTCTTCGTCGATCAATTGCGGCTGTGGCTGGATCAGTGGACGACGGACAATCACTGTCCGTTCATCCACGCTCGCCTCTATGGAGACGAGCTTCCATGCCCGCTCCAAAATGCATACGCGGCATGGCTAACGTATAGATCACCCGGCGCAATCAAGAAGCGAAGAATTGCGCTCCAGATGGGGATAGACTGGTCGAGAAACATTGTGGAGGAGCAGTCTATATATGACGGGCTCGGCAAAGAATCCATCAAGACCTTACACCATCTCTGCAGGACGCAGGCGCTCATTGTCTTCCAGCTGATGGGGCTTTTTGACGGCGACATCAGAGCTCGCGCCCAAGCCGAAGACACATCTCGTACGGTTCTCAAATGGGCCGAAGGCCTCATCCAAAGTGCCGTGGCGGATGTCACAGCTCAGCATCATCCCGGGCGAAGTGACCAAATCGTCCCAGGGCCGATGGCACTTCGCTCCGATGGAAGTCTAGACTCCACCTGGAAAGCATGGGCTCTGTCGGAATCTATACGGCGGACATGGATAGTTGCAAATCTGCTAGAGGCGGCGTTCCTCATCCAGAAACAGGGCTTTGCTATCTGTCCGGGAAGTATTGGCTTCACCGGCAAGAGTGGCATGTGGAACGCGTCTTCACCGCACGAGTGGCTCAGGAGTGTACAGGCCAAGACAACCACAAATCTCGTAGTATTTTGCAGAGGACTAGACAAGCTACTTACTAACGGCAAACCTCCTGATGTTGATGAGTTTAGTCAAGCTCTGCTTACATATGGCTGTGGGCGGGAGGCGGTCGTGGACTGGTTGGCATCTCAAGTATAGGGTGGGCGGTAGAGAGGTGGATATTGTCCATGGAGGTTGTTCCGGTGATCTACATAATACTGTACCTTTGAGGTTATGACAACGTTTACTTGTCGGTGATTTCTTCATATGACGAACAGAATTTCTCATTTGATGACAATATTGGCTCAATCCTCACGTCATTCGCCAACAGCATCAACACCAAAAGGGGGCCGGCTAGTCGTTTGGAGCAAGTAAAGCACATGTGGATTCAACTGGACCGGGAAGCCGGTGACATGAGTCGGGGATACGTGTAAGCATAAATTTGCATAACAAAAGGGGGGAGGAAGTCAATTGGCAGCGAATCTGCACCGGAATAACCTTGTTTTTTTCCAGTCCCCGCGCGGAGAGACTTTCCCTTGAGAATCAATAGCCGTCCCCGTGTTTTGACTTTCTACGCCGACTGGCAAGGCCTTTGTTTCTTCTTAGTCATGGCCGGCCAATCAGGGCACCTTGGGCGGCTCTCGGAGGTCAGATGGACTCGTCATTTTGGAGCTCTTACGTACATGTAACCAGCGGTGCTATGCAAGGATGGCAATGGAATGTACTGGCGATGGATACAGAGGGCAATTTGCACTGCTGGGAGCCGAGACGATTGGCTTCAGGCTGATCCAGGTACATAATGCAGGGCAGTTGAAAATTTTTGTAGGTGTCGGTCACGATGGCTGACGGATCATCCACCGCATACCTGGAGCTACGCCAATGGCTACGGAATGAAACAGGGGTCACAGGAGTCTCACTGCGGTGATGCTGGGCAGCAATTTACCACACAAGCTCGCTAGCTCAGGCAAGCTTCCAACGCGTTCAGGAGAAGCTTCTCCTTCGACTCAGTCCGTCTTGATGGGGGAAGACGCCAGAGTTTCCCCGGGTCGCGTGACACGAGTCTGGGGCTTATTCTGGCCAGGGGCAGAGGCTGGAGAGCCAGATGGAACAGATCTTTGATTGCCCTTCCCCATGACCGAGACTTGCGGTGGATGCTCGCTCAATAGGCTCGACCCAATGGGCGGCCATGACACCACCACCCCCTTGTGTGCCGCCATGTCACCCGCAAGGTGACGAGCGATTGATGTGATTTCCATCTACAAATGCCAAGTTGCCGGTATTTTTCTGTTACGTACGAGTGGCGCCCCTTTTGTGGGGATGATGTCTTTGTGACGATCACGCGGGCTGCTGATTCTGAGAATAGAGACGGCGGCCAGAGCTTCAAGCAAGCTGCCCCGGCCGTCCAGCCCGAGCGGCACACCCAATTCGCTGCACTGCTACCGTCTGGCGGGCGCAACTGTTGAGGATGAATCCATCCAGGACGAGGGATCCACCCCCGCATCACTCGATCCCTGCCGCCCTGACCCATTCCAACTCCTGATCCATCGAGGGACAGCGTCCAGAGTACGTACCGGCACACGTTGAGCTTGTGAAGAGATCCCGCCCTGTCCCCGAGCTGGTACCTGTGAGTTGCTAACCTCAGGACCTATTAATGGGTTGGCAGCCACATCTGGGGTATCGAATTGTATATAGCCAGGACAATGCAATGAACCGGTCGTCGTCATCACCCCTCTGAACACTCTGTGATCATCACTCTTCTACACACATCACAACCATGGACGACTCATCACCAATGGAGTGCGGCATGAACATTGCTGATCTCCCCCTCGATGTCCTGCGTCTCATCTTTGACGAGTTCCGGGACCCAGAGGTGCTCTCCCACGGTGAAGTCGACTGGTCGCCGAGCCAATCCCGAGCTTGGCGGCCGGCCGACTCAACCAACCTCCAGACCATCCAGAATGCCCGTCTGGCCTGCCGTCTGTTCAACTCCGTCGCCTCACCCCTTCTCGCCCCCGTCCTGCGCCTGGATCTAAGCAAGAGATCTCTACAAATCGCCAATGGCCTGACGCAAAACCCCCTGATCGCGTCCGGCATCCACGGCGTGCTGGTCAACCTCGACTACAGACCAGCTGAATTAGCCAACAACATGGCCCTCTACGCCAACTACCTGCAGCTGGAACTGCAGCAGATCGACACCTACTGCCAGACCAAGATCTTTCACCACCACCGTTTTATGAGCGAGGACGATGATGAATGCTATGACGAGGCATCAGAGCACCTGGATGCATGCACCCAATGCAGGTTCGAGTATCGCTCTCTGTGCGACGCATGGCAGGCCTGCGTCCAGAACAGGGGCATCTCACCCACCAAGGAGACGCAAGCCTACCAAGCAATGCTGCGCGAGGGATTCCAAGTGTACAAGCAGGCTCACGAGGAGCAGGCCCAGATAATCGCCGATGGGTCATTCGTGGAGTCAATTGCGAGCGCCATCGCCAGAGTCGGACATGCTGTGTCCCTGGGCCTCGTTGACGGGCGCGGCCACAACGCCAGCCCGTTCGCTGCGGACTACTTCTCGTCTATTCTGAACAAGGACATCCTTGCAGAGTTCATGATCAGGCCACAGTCCTGGAGCGCTATTGAGAACATTGATGCCAAGCTCGTCCCCGCCCGGATTCTCTCGGAACTGCCTGTCGCCATCTGGCAATCTGGCGGTGCGCTTCGGAATCTGAGCAATGGCTGCTTTCCCCACCGGAAGGATCATTCCCTGGCTCTATCGCCTGCGCTTGAGGGAGCACAAGGACACATCGAGGATGCCACAAGTCAGCTGCGTGCATTCGAGTTCGGTACTCTGGCCTCATCAACAGCCGGTCGGTCCCATCTCGATGAGGAGGGCAAGGCTGCGATGGACGTCTATCTTGGCTCAATGCTGGAGAGCACCAATCTACAGAAGCTGAATCTTGATATGATGGTCTACAATGGAGATGATGACAACGGTAATCGTCCTGGGTACTATCACATCGGCTCGGCCTTGACGTGCGTCAAGAGCAAGGACCTCCGACACGTGAGCATCAACAATGCCGCCTTGTCCCAGCAGGACTTGGAGGCCTTTTGCAGATCTCTTGGTCGTCGCATTGAATCATTAAGCCTGAACAAGGTTGACTTGCTGGATGGGTCATGGTTCAACGCGCTCGAGAGGCTGCGTGACACTCTCTCGTCTCGATGCCTCAGAGGACTCTGTGAGGTATCGTTTAGCGGCCTCTCCGGCGGTGAATTCGGCGACCAGCCAGAGGACCAAACCTCCTCATGGCCTGACAGTGTCTCTGGTCCTCTGTCAATGGTCAAGAGGGCGGAGCAGTTTGTCAGTGGAATGGAGGAGAGGAATGTGTATTTTAATTAGGCGACACAAAAGCCGACCAACAAAAAGCATGGACTAGCGTTGAATTTTTGGGGTTAACAAAAACAAAATGAAGGATATCTTGGCAGAAGATGCTTCTGGCCAATTCTAATGGGTAATTTTATGATGAAATATGAATCTTTGCATATGGTATGCTTATCAACAACATTGCCGTTCGATCCGTGAAGTCGCTTGAAGGGAAATAGTTTGGAATTCTAATGCTATCATCTAAGCGAATCCTATCTATAGGAAACTTGGGCTACCAAGCTACAAGCCCAGGATGGTAATTAAGCAGCGTAGATCCTGTAGCCACTCACCAGTGAATGAAAGTGCGCATGAGTCGATTGAACAAGGTAGGCCCTGAGTTCACACCTCCTATCGATTCTGCAGTCCCGGGCATTCTAAATTCTTTCCGATACCCTTCGATGGCCTGTCGAAAGGCCCTTTCATCGTCGAGAGCTAGGCGCTGTACACCGCTCTGCGTCTCAATACATGAGGTGCCCTCATGGACATACCATGCCAGGTGACTTTCCGAGCACTGAATCATAAAAGACATGAAAATTTCCAGAAGATCAATCCTTTCTGAGCCGGCCAGTCGAAACGCCTCGTGTTTCATCAATAGTGGAAACGTGGATAGTTCGCTGAGTTTGATGGATGCATTCGCAGGGGAGTTGTTCAAAATCGTAATGGCTCCCTTTCGTACTTCTTCGCTCCCCACACTCTGAAGCCTTTCTATCAAGACTCGAAGCGTCTCTTCGGATAGAGTTGCCTGGCCGCCCAGGGCAGCCATGACACTGGCCGCCACTCCCCTATCTTTGTCCGAGATTCGCTCCAGGAGGGATGGCAACAGGTCTTGTGACAGGTTCGGCTGCCCGCCCAAAACCTGAACGGCCGCTTGCCTGACATTGCTTTCCTTATCCTGGAGGAAAGACTTCACATATCGTAGTACCTTATCGGGTAAGTTTGGGTAGTTCCGCAAGACAATGGTAGCGGCTCGGCGAACGGTGCCTTCCCTGCCTCCAAGATTTTCCACAATCCGCAAAAGATCGTCGTCTGAAAGATCGGGTTGCCGGCCCAATGATAAAATAGCTCCGTGTCGCACAATCGCTTGAGCATCATCAAGTCTTTCCCATAGGCGGAGACGTGCTTGCTTCGGCAGAATAGCCTTGCCTCCAAGCGCACTGGCGGCTGCCCATCGACACCACCAATCAGAGCTCTCTAGTAGCGGTAGAATACCATCATATATACTCAGAGGAAGTTTAGGCTGGTTTCTAATGGCGTCGATGGCTGCCTGCTGGATGACTGGGGAATCAGGTGCCAAATGGGCTACAAGAACACTCAATACATCTTCGGGCAAACTTCTCTGACTGCTTAGTACTTCGAAGGCATGTCTTTTCGTATAGATATGCTGGGACTCGACGGACTTTACCAGGTTCCGAATGATATGTAGGGGCAAATTGTGTTGATTACACAAGATCTCGAGTGCGGTTCCATCCCCAGGCCCACCGGGGTGGTCAATGATAGCGGCGATTGTAGAAAGGATACTATCCGGTAAGTTTTTCTGGCTACCCATAACCGTGAATGCAGCGTCCCTGATAGATTCATTTTGGTTGTCTAAAAAGCCTTGTATGCAGAGAAGTTTGTCCTCCGATAGAGACGACTGGCGAGACAAGGCTTCAAGAGCCGCGAGCTGCATGGCTGTATCTGGGCTTTGAAGGAATGCCATCACGGTCACTAGAATATCATCCGGCCAAGGCTGGCAGCCTAGAGAGAGAATAGTAGCTCTTTGTGTTTCTTGATCCGGCCTCTTTAGGTACGCTGCTAAGACAGCCAGTATGCTGCTCGGCAAGCCAGGCTGACTTTGTATGGTGCGTGCTGCTATATCTCTATCCTTGCCTTCCCGATCAAGGCATTGTACTAAAGAGTGTAGAGTGCTATCCGGTAGTTTAGATTGGTTAGAAAGAGCTAGAATAGCCGCCTGTCGGGTCTGAAATCTAGAATTTACGAGAACTCGAGTAAGGATAATTGGGGCTTGATACTTCGCAAGAAGCTTGGAAAAGATGCCCGATGGGCAATCTCTCTCGTGGGTGAGAAGAGGATACAGCCCAAACCCCGACCCATAGAGTGTTTTGGGTTTGTAAACCAGCCATGTACATACTTCGTCCTCAATTTGTGACTTGAGAGCTATGAACTCTTTGGATGTTGTGGTAGAGGGTATCTCGCGCAAGCAGTGCATTCTCAGCCTTTGATGTGCTACGCCTAGAAAGTCCAAGGGTTGTCTATCAAGCTCCGTGAAGAATCTGACAAGCCCCTTAGGCTGTGGTGTTTCCGAGGCCAGGCAACCTGCGACGAGCCGCCAGAAAATATCATATCGCGCGGAGTATTTGTGGCTCTGAAGGAATTGTACTGGAGTGAGGTTTTCCACCTTGAGCTGGCCATGTCTTAAAGTTCCGGTCTGCTGAGTTCTTAAGCACTTCAAACTGGTTCCTTCTTGCCAGTTTCTCACGAAGTATCTAGCGGCAAAATATTCCTGATATGTCAAGTGTACGAAGTGGTACACCCGATGTCTCTGGCTAGCTTCCGGATCCGTTGTTCTCATAAAGGAAATGTTCTTTAACATCCCGTCGGCTGTCTCTTTTGGTTGGTAAAAATGTGCTGCCACAATATCTCGGAAGTTGGCATTAAAAAGAAGAGTGTTATTATACATTCCAGAGAATGCCAACCCCTCGAGGAAGCAAACTTCCTTGGAGACCGACGCCATAGTACCGATCGCTCGATGTTCATCTGTTGTTAAGCCACTAGGTGCTCGCTTCAAACGATGGCTGTCCTTTTTCCACAGTCCTCTTTCAATGGCTTGATATAGGTCGGTCATTGTTTCTGGTTCATTCTTGCAGTGATAGATTTCATCCCACGCAAAGCAAAGTGCGTCGAGCTGAATAGGTATGCGCACCAGATCTCGAATAAGAGGAAGGCCGCCAAGAAACGACAAGATGGCATCGGCATTGGTGGGCTCCACTTTGCGCACAAAGTCTTCTACCTGAGCTGGCTCGAATCCCAGTGTTTCTACCTCGAGATCGAAAGGCTTAACTTCAAGGGGAGGAGAGGCAGATGGGCGAGACATGACAATGACGTTGGGTTGGTTCAACAGTTCTGTGACAAACCGTGACATGTCAGTATCGCCAGACAGGAGATGTGAAATCTCATCCAACCCGTCTAAAATGAAGAGAGTCTGGCCGCCACCGGGACTCTGGCAGGCCCTTTGGACAGACGCGGCTAATTCTTCCCTCAGGGGATGGTGAGGGAAGAACTCGTCGCTGAGCAGCTCAAAAAGGTTGTATCTGCTCCCCCGTTGCTGCAGATTCCTCAATGGGACCCAAAGAACCCGCTTAAACAGTTTTGACCACACTTGGTTGTAGAGAAACTCATGCACCGCTTTCTTGCAGAGTGTAGTCTTGCCAACGCCTGCATGGCCTCTTACAAAGACTCGCCTTGGTAATATGTGTCGCCCATCTGGCGTCCTTCGAAGATCGAATATCTTACGTAGGTCAATTTTTGCGTCTTTTGGTTCCACGGTAAGCTTTTCCAGGAGATAGGGCGAGGATGATTGTGTGTGTTCTGCACCTCTTCGACTGTGGGAGCCACTGTTGGCCGTCTCGACAATAGCTAGATTTATAAAACAATCTTCGATATCCAGACGTTCTTCAGACAGGCGCTTGAGTTTCAGAGAGTTGGCATAAAATTCATTACGAAGATAGTCATCCGCTACTGGAATTGGTGCTATATCACAACGCCAAGTCAGTAATTGAAATGGAAACCGTCTCCTTCCCAAATAAATGCCAATAAAATCCTTGCTCTCACTCCTATGTCCTTTCACCCATTCATTCAATTTGTAGTTCTCAAGGCGGCGAGTCTGGCCTGGAAATCTATATCTGCAGCGTCCTGCTCTGTCACTGCATTCTCTCGGGTGTTGACGGACTCACATTTCGCCATTGCCTTCTCATATAACTTCTGGATGTTGGGTAGCACAAGCTCCAGATTATCTTGATCATCGATGGAATCACTGAACTTGCAGACACCTCCGTGGTCTGCGTTCAGCTTTACTATATGCTCGCGATTACCGGCTAGACCCAGCCTGGCACTTTCCCTCGGGACGGCCTGCAATGAAGGAATTGTTAGACACATCGTCAAAGAAGGTAGAATGACCACTTACGGTATCATGGTCTCCCCAGAAGGACACGATGTCGTAGCTCTCTAGCTGATGTCGCCACTGCTCGGCCATGATGTCTGAAAAGACACTGCCCTTCTTCAGTGTGCTCAAGACATCTGACTTGGTTGAGAACCCAACCGTGTTGGCAATCGCGACGGCAATCCTGCCCAGATTCACTAGTGTCTGATCGCCGCCACTCTGCGGTGTTGCAAAAAACGCAAGACCGCTGGTCGCATCTTTGATGGATGAGTAGACGGGGTTGACATGGGCATTAATCAAGGCCTGCTTGATCAAAATACCGCCCATGCTGTGGCCGAACCACAGGATAGGCCTCTGCTCTGCGCCATGCCGCTTTACATCAACGGCCTCCAGAAGGCTGCTGGCCTTGTCGTGGAAGTTGCCCTTGTCGGTGCCATAAGCGGCGGCGGCATCATACTGATACAAGAAGATCCGAGCCCCAGGGACGATGGCAGGAAGATCTTCGCGGAGCCAGAGATGCCCCTCAGAGCCTGATGGTGTTCGCCACGTGTCCCATGCGTGATCAGCCTCGTTTTTGCTGCGGGGATTTAGACCATGTACAGCGGTGATGCTACGAGAAAAGTTAGCGGAAGGAGTCTTAGCCATTAGTGGAGGCAGAAGAGACTCTGAAGTCCGGTTTACTAACTCAATCTTGAAATCAGAGGCTTTGACACTCTTGTCAGAGGGGTCGGGGAAGACAATGGCTGATAGTAGTAGTAGTTAGCAGGCAACACACCAGGTTGAAACACTCTCCGCAACACACCATCTTAATGATCCCCGGCAACGTGATAGGGATGTCGAGGTATCTACCGACTTCTGAGGATACACGGTTGAATTGCAAAGTCTACTTTTGCTAGGTATGGGAGATGGAAAGAAAAGAAAGAAATCAAGCGCGCAATGCACGAGCTGAGAGCACCTCCTCCTCAGACGAGTGGGGTAATCAGCCGCAGCGCTTCGGCAACCCAATCATGAAGCCAGCTTCATTGATATCCCGTGGGTCCGTCAGCAGGAAGGATTCTCCCTCGACAGGACTGTGGCTGTGATCACATGACCGCGAAAGCTGGCATGAAAATGTGTGAATGGTATAAGTGAGAGGTGCGAGGATGGAGTTGAAGAGTGTAGGCTGAGGGCGTGGTCGAGGATTATGCCCTTAGGGGGCATCAATAAGAACATCGCAGCGATCATAGTTTCGCCAATCAAGCAATCAAAAGTAGTAAAGATCGTCCAGGATTCTTTACTGGTGATAATAAGGGTTTAGATGCCAAGAGGGTGACTTAAGCGGAAGGTCCTAAACTAGGAAGATACTACTCCTAGATATATATGCAATAGGCTGGTTAGGTTCTTATAATTTCTCTATCTATGGGTGGAAACTCTTACTCTTCCCAAGCCTTTCGCATAATGTTGACCCCTGAACTCTCCTGCATACATGCCAATAAAGGGTTTTTCGTATTAAGAAGAACGGCAGTATAGGCGAAAGCGAAAGCGATCAAGGTGCTGACCACCGCCGTCACATCCAAGCAAATCGGAGCGTAAGCCAACGTCACCCTTGCGAGGCTGAGTAGGGCGGGCAGTGAGACGCTGAATACAGGGGCCCATTAAAATTATGTTGACAGGTCCATCGCCATCTTTATTCTTGAAGGTCGTTCTCGTTTATGGATGAATGCCACTTCACGTTCTAATTCAAGTACGAAATGCCCATCAAGCGCACTCACCGCAAATCGCGGTACGGATGTGACCAATGCCGAAAGAGGCGCGTAAAATGCGATGAAAAAGCGCCCCGATGCACGAATTGCGTCAGGCGAGAGGAAGACTGTGCCTTCTCGCGCAAGCCGATACAAAGTCTTCAAGATATAGCGCAAGTCTCTCCTAATGGGGTACAACTAGAGGCATCCAGTCTATCCTCACCCGGATTCCCGAGCCTGGAAGAGACAAACGCCGGGCTGTCTGAGGTGGCACTCATGCATCACTGGTGCACACGAACATGTCACAGTTTCACCCCAAGAGGAGCCGATCTTTTTCGGGAAAATGTTGGCAAAGAAGCGCTGAGACATGAGTATCTTATGGAATCCCTGCTGGCATTGACGTTGCTTCACATGGCAATTGAGACGGAAGACCCAGCGGCCGCCCAACCGCTGGTGAGCGCCGCACTGCGACATCAGAACCGAAGTCTTTTAGGTCTGGGAGAGGCTCTCAAAAGTATCTCTCCATCTAACTGTGACTCGATCTTCGCATGCGGTCTTCTGATCATGCCTTGTGCGGTGGTTTCTTCTCTTTTGTCAACCAGTCAACTGGATCAACCGAAGCCTGCAGCAGAATCAATTATACCACTTGTTGGATACATGAACGGCATTTCGCATATTGTCCAGACTAGTCGTAAATGGATCCTAGACGGTCCATTGTCGCTAATGTTCTGCATTGTCGAGCCAGAGCCCCCCCTGATTCATGATGAATGGCCGCATGCGAGAGAGCTGCGCTCGTTATTGGACGCGACTGTGGATCCTGAGAGCCATAAGCATTCTACATTAGAAGAAGCCATACATGGACTGGGGCAGGTTTACAGGAGGCATCACTGCGCAGTCATGTGGATCGTTCGAGTCTCTTCAGGGTTCTTAGACGAGATACGAAATGGCGACCCGTTAGCATTGGCCATCCTCATGCACTGGGGTGTCTTATTATACACAATGGACGACATGTGGTGGAAAAGATACTCGGGGGTGAGACTTGTTGAAGAAGTCTCTAATGCGCTGGATGACCGTGGGGAAGAATGGGAAGGAATGACGAGGAGGTGCAGGGAGCAAGTGTCATTGTAAGACGCATTTTCATAGTATAGATCTCGTTATATCAAGGTTAGCTTGGCCAATCAATTCACATAGACCTTCCGCAAACTCTCACAAGTCACATTGCTTCATAAGACAGAGGTAGAGACGGGAACAAGGACAATACATTTCGGGCATCCGGCCGGTCCTAGGTTAGATTCGACGGCAACTCGTCAAGGGATCTTGTTCGGCGTAGCTGAATGGCAGAAGGAGAAGGTTGTCAGCAGTGCGGATGTTTTATGCATGCTGTCATCCTGCAACAATGTTTCACTGCATCATGTTGCCAAGGCTGGTTCCGTTATTCTCGCTTAGTCTCGGTCCGCCCATCTGAGTTCAGCCTCGTTCCCTTCTAAGCCACGCTGCATGCTCACCCGTATAGTATCAAACGACGGGATAGGCAAATCCAGATGAAGAGTCAGTTGATTTGAAAGATATAAAATGTCCAGGCCTCGAACTGCTACTTCATATCGAACAAGTTCATTACTCTCTCCAAAGTCATCTACTACTCACTCAACTGACTCACACGCAACATCTCACCAATTCATTGACAGATCTACCAAACATACGCAGAATGCAGACTGTCATCCCCGTCATCATCTTACTCTATGCTGCTCTGTTCACACAGGCATGGCCCGGAATGGAGCGCACTCTGGGAGAGCTGCATTCCATCCAAAAAAGGGACCCTTCCACCCCGGAACTGCTAGCGGACCTCATTTATCTCAAGGACCACGAGCTCACTCCAACAGGAAAGCTCATTAAAGACATGCTATTGCTTGAGAATGCCACGGCACCCTGGGTTCAAGACACCGTCACCGTATACAAAGCACCAGGACCGCTTGGGAGCCGGGAGTGTCGCAAGGAAACCTGCTGCGTATGGAAATATGTCGCAGAGGAGATGGCCAAAGATTTTAGGGGATCTTCAGGCCGCTGCAACATGCTCGCTCGCCAAGCAATCCGCCTCGGATTCCATGATGCCGGCACCTGGTCAAAGACAAAGGGCGGCGGCGGGGCTGATGGCTCGTTTCTCTTCGCCGGCGAAATTGCGCGGAGCGAGAATCGGGGGCTTGAAGAAATCAACAATAAGGCCTGGGAATACTACCACAAATTTCACAAATATGGAGCCGGCATGGCAGATCTCATCCAGATGGGAGCCAACGTGGCTGCTGTGGTTTGCCCCCAAGGCCCACGGATTCGTACATTTGTTGGTCGTAACGACAGTCATTCTCCATCGCCAGAGGGTAGGCTGCCACTTGCTACGGGAGATGCTGTTCCCCTGATCGAACTTTTTGAAGATAAGACTATTGACCGGGGCGATCTGATTACCCTTCTTGGGGTGCATACGTTGGGTCAGCAACGATTCGAGGACAATGCTAGGGCGGGTGATCCTCACTCGACAACCCCAGGCGTGTGGAGCACAAACTTCTACAGAGAGACTGTGAAAAATGATTCGGCACAGAGGATTTTCAAGTTTCACAGTGACGTGTCTGTTGCCAATTATGAAGAATCGATCCCCCTATGGAGTCTATTCTCCGACCCCGAGAACGGGCTCAGTGTCTGGAATGATGTGAGTTGCCTTGGTATTCTTGTATAAAATCCTCGCTGCATGGCGTAGCATGGCCTCGAAGGCATAAGCTTACAATGATTCATTAGGGTTACGCTGCTACGTACACTCGTCTCAGCATCCTAGGTGTCCCGCATATCAACAACTTGATCGAGTGCACCGGGGTCTTGCCGTTACGCACCGAGAAGTACACCTCCCCAGATCAAAAGGAGGTGAACGAGTGGATTAACAGTGACCGCGCCCCCATGCGAGAGGAGGCAATCTTACTAATGAATGGCGGGTCTCTGAAGCAAATGAAGTAAACAGAATGTTCCAAAGGTTGAGCGACCCAAAGTATTCATGTTCATATAATAATGGGATCTCAGCTAAGTCGTGGTACCAATATCATTCTTAGGGGGCGATTTCTTAGACAAGTTGTTAAATTTGTCGATCTAGTGTTGTAGTAGAATGCATCGTGATTTTTTCAATAAATGCATTCCTAAAACCCCCTCCCCCAACTTTCCCAATCAACCCAGCCATGCCCCATGGATGATTATCGTTGCTCACAGTGAACGTCACGTTAGAGCTAGAATCTTCGGAGCTGAGTGCTGCCGTCAATTGCGAGCCTTGGACGGCAAGGGACATGGAGTACCATGCGCCCGGTTCAATTCCTCCGGAGAAGGCTATTGAGACCAAGGCGACGGCGTTGTCCGTGTTCATGTATAGAGTCACGTTCCCTGTCGAGCTTTCAATAGCCAACGTGTAGCCGTAAAATTGGTCAAGGCCTGGCTTTGGTCGAGACACTCGTGCAAGTAGGCCTGCAGTCCCGTTGCTGCCAACAATCTGTGCATCAGCACTGATCTTGTAGTCTGTCCAGCCCGTTGATCCTGTAATGGCCAGAGCAGAAATAGAGTCCCCAACTGTGCCAAAGTTGTATTGGTCACCTGAAACAGACCAGGTCACCTTGCCAGTTGCTCCGGTGTTGATCCAGCCGAGCTGTCCACTAGCTGCGAAGTCAGCCGCGTATGGCAAACCCCCAATAGGCGCCTGTCCGGTTCGCACAGCACAATATCCAGAAGAACCTTGGCTGGTTGGGGACGTATAACGGATGATTCCGTTCGAACGAAGAAGCATGTGGGGGCTGTAATTGGAGTTGCATGCAGACGAAGCATAGCTGACAGCCCAGGGAGAGGGAGCCCAAGACCAGTTACCAACCCCATAGTTTTTGTTGATGTATACGCTACGCTGAGCTTCAGCAGTTCTTGTGTTGGCCGTTATGTCCCAAGTATTATGTCCAGCAAGAAGCAACTGCTTTGTGGACGGGTCCCAGAGCGCATACGGACTGGATCCAAGATAGCGCCCGTCCTCAGATACGACGGCAGTGCCCAGATCATTCTCAACCCATGTTTTCCCATCGGGAGATGTTTTCACGTAGACGGGACAGTTCAATGGATCCCGTCCACAAACCTCGTAGGCCATCAAATACTCGCCATTATCCATCAACGTAACAGTGGGCATTCCAGGGCGATCTGTCTGAATGTCACTCGCTACGGTAGGGATAACGTCGCCCCATGTATCTCCGCCATCTCTGGATACGACTTGAACCAGCATCTGGCTGTGGGTTGTGGCGTTTCTCTCATCGGAGAAGGCAGCCATGAGTGCCCCATCTCCATCTAGGTAAAGGAAAGGTTCCCAGATCCCGGCTCTCGTCGTACCGCCTTCTTGCCAAGCTCCCACGGGGTCCCAAGTGCGTCCGTGGTCGCTCGATCTCCAGGTGAAGAACTCGGTGAATGATTTGTTGGTAGGCACAAGGTTGCCGACTAGGAGCAGCGTGCCTTCCGGATAGTCACCAAGCTGGTGTGGGAACTCAAAGAAGAATGGTTGCCAGAAGCGCGCGCAAGGATGGCCGGGTCCTGTCTGCGTGTCGAAGATGGTTGTCAAAGTGTTCCAGGTCTCTCCGCCATCTTCACTCTCGCGAATGATGAAGCTGCCCTCAGTGCCGTTTGGGTACGCAGCATTCTCGGTGGTATTGGCATACCAATGCTCCCAAGTGGCTAGTAGCTTGCCATTGCTAGACCCGGCATGCTGAAGTTCTACAGCCCTAGCATACACATTTGCTTCATTTTCGTAGGGAGGATCCCAGAGCAAGGAACCTTGACTGTCAGCTGCTGCCGGCGAGATCACAGTTGCGGCCGATGCAATGAACGCCAGAAGGCTCCATAGATGAGCCATGATGTTTCATGGCCTGTATGGCTTTGAAACTTTGTTGGCCGACGGAGTAAGGTAGCCCTAGAAAATCTCTCGCCAGGAAAGGCTTCGTGAGACACAAATTTGAAGGTTCTGTGTAATGAGCCTGTTCCGGGCCGCTGTGGTTATGGGAACAATGACCAATAGACAAGGCAATTCGAGACTTAAAAAGAAACGACATGACAATAATTTGAAATACTCCCTCTCTACCTATATAAGCATGCTGATAAATTTGTTGGCTGTTGCCGGGGTAGTATAATCGCGTTGCATATTGTCGGATCTCGCTTACCATAAGCGAGCGTCTAGAAATACGACGTAATTCATCACGAGGACGGGTAAAAATGCCACTTGCAGCAAAAATAAACTCTACCCAAGCTGCTTCCGGGTGCTTGGCGAATCGCCGATCAACAGCTTTCAGGGAACTATCTTGTGTGAATGCGCCTTGGACTTCGACGGTGAGGGCAGGAGGGAATGATGGATCGGACTTGAGGAGACTCTTGAGCCTTATCTCTCGATTTTAGACTTCAGGCATGGAACTAACCGCGACATCAATTGTATTTCATGTGATTTCGTTGGAGAAATGTCGCAAAGAAACGACGTTTAGATAGGTTACTTCATTCTGTCATTTCAAGAGAATACCCCCGGTTTGGAATAGATACAGACGGAGCGACGGAGGCATCCGTTCACTTTGAATGGGGACTCTCTAGGAAAGGTTTTGGTTAATATCGTGATCAAATTGGTCTAGATCAGATCTATAAACACCTTTGCATATTGAGTGATATCAGATTTAGCCACATCTCGCTTTGGCGTCCTTAGTTGAACCGCACGCCCCAACTACTACTAGTATCCTCAGTCATCACGGAGAATATGGTATCAATTATTGTCTATATGGGATAACTTGCTGTTCATAAGAGTCCCTTTAGCCGGTACAGAGGCACAAAATGAGAATATTTTTCCTGAAATAATCTCATTGACAACCCTAGCAACAATTGTCGTATTCAAACTTCGCAATTTGCTAGAGCAGCCTTAACATGCGTACATATACAACCGGAGGCTTTCCTACCCCAGGGATGCGTTTTGTCATTTCCAATGACCGATCATCCTGGAGAAGGTGGCTGAGCTTCTCGTAACCAAAGCTGCGGGGGTCGAAATCCGGGTGTCGCTTATTGATCAAAAGTCCAAGAGGAGCAAGAGAGGCCCATCCGTCGTCATCAGACACATCTTCTATGGCCTCATATATGAAGCTCATTTCCGAGTCCAGATCCTCTGGGTCCTTCTTTGAGATGGCGTTGAAAGGGCGCTTGCGGTTGGTAAGGTCCCGGCTTATGAGGTCTCTGCCTGTGAGGTCTCGGTTTATTAGGTCTTCAGGGGCAGCGCTAGGCGGGTGGGCCGGGGCAGCTTTCAAATTCGCGGAGAGGTTCTCGGTATAGATGAACTTGTCACAAGCGGTGACTAGAGGCTTGGGGGTCTTACGCTCCCCAACGCCGTAGACGACCAGACCGGACTCGCGGATTCGCGAGGCCAGGCGAGTAAAGTCACTGTCGCTCGAGACAATACAGAAGCCGTCGAATCTGTTGGTGTAGAGGAGGTCCATGGCGTCAATGACCATGGCGGCGTCGGTCGAGTTCTTGCCCTGGGTATAACCAAACTGCTGGATTGGCTGGATCGAATTGGAGAGAAGGTGCTCCTTCCAGCCGTTCAAGTTGTTGGTGGTCCAATCGCCATAAGCCCGTTTCACAAAGGCAGTGCCATACTTGGCGATCTCAGCAAGAACGAGACTTGCTATCTTGGGCTGCGCATTGTCGGCGTCAATCAGCACAGCCAGCTTGGCCGTTGCAGTGGCCTCAGCATCCATGACGGATGCTGCTATCAAGGCTATTTTTCACCTAAAACTCCGTTGATGATGGATCTCTGAATAATGGTGCATCTGTTGTTGTTTGAGACAAAGTGGAAAGAGGAGCGTCTTGGCTCTCCACGACGTTTTAGGCATAGCGGTACGCGGCCCCGCGAATCGCGTGGCTTAGTCATCCGACGGCTTCTTTAGCGTAATTACTGGCAGAAATAAAACAGCCTCCATACAGACTCAGATTTCGACACAACATCAAAACAATCAACCCAGTTATGAATACAATATCAAGCTAAATAATATACAATAATATATTATTTACTGTTATTTCTTAAAATATTATTAATAACAGAATGAGGTCTCAAACTTACACGAAAGAGCTCTGGCATGCCATGTTTTATTTCAGCCACATACAGGGACAATACACCAATTCGGGCTCTATCCTTGATTTACCACGAAACATCCACAAGTCTCAGCAACCTTCAAACTCAATCAAGTAAGTGGCAGACTCTCCTCCTTTATGAAGAGGATTAGCAAAAAGCTAGCCTCAGCGATGAAGCACTTGGACTGGACGAACAGGGAATCGAACCCTGGACCACTCCCAGGAAGCTGAATCTCAGTGAAGAGAACATGCTAAGGGAGTATTATACCACTAAACCATTCGCCCGTAACTGGGTGGCGACAGGGGAAGGAAATCTTGCTTCTGAGTCAAGTGCAAACGTCGCGTGAAGGGCAACGCTTCAAACATCGCCACCATAAGGCTCGATATGCCTCAACATTTCCTTCCCTCTTTGACTTTCTGTCTAGAGAAAACTCGCGATTGTCGCTGCTATGCCCCGTAAATAAGCGGGCACGTAAACAACCAGTTGTCAGAGAGATTTGATATCATCGCTTGCGTTCACTTGGTAGGCTCGTGAAAGTGCCTCTCTCGGAATGGTCTCTTCCCAAGCCAGCTTCTGCACCCACTTCTCCTCTTCGAATTTGACAGGAAAATATGCTGGACCTTCGAACATTTGTTAGTGACTCTCGATTCTAGACAACAGCACAATACCTTCTCCAAAATAACCGTATCGCAGAGAAGTTTCGCGTGCGTCTCATCCATGTGCTGTATGATCGAATGAGTTGATGCCAAGCAGGATTTGCCAGTAACGACATCTGATTTGCTCCAGCTATGACTTGTAGTTGACATTTACACCCAAAAGAAAGTGGCACAGCATCATTCAATTTAAACATGAGCTGGCAGTTATAAAAATAAGAATATCCTGTTTAGTCTCAACACACAATCCTTCTCATCCTTATCCCTCTTTTTCTGTACTTTACCAACCATATTAAGCATCAACCTAGGCAGTAACATGCACCATCTTGTCATGCTTTCCGTAGGCGGTAACATAACGCGCTCAGGAATAGAAAAAGCGGGTATTTATGCAAGGCGATGCAAGGCAGAAATAATTTCTCACCAACCTCCCCCAGTAGTAGGTCTCGCGTGACATTTCATACGGTAACGTGGATACGTAGCTGCCTGGTTGCGTCCAGACCCAGCGAGTACGCACTAGAGATCCAAGGTAAAGCGGCCGGCGAGAATGCGATTCTTGGTACCTTTTTTGTCCTGGTGCCGGCTGAAGCTGCCGTTAGATGCAAATCACCTGCATCTGATGATCTGAGTAAGCGCCAACTTCTGATAACTACAGCTTGATTGAACAGATGCCCCTTCAGCCCCAAATCATTACAAAGCGTGCTCTACAAGATGGCCTATCATTATTGGCTCATTCAACCGGTTGTTGGTTGAGAAGGCCCGACAAGGCAAACAGACAAGGTCTTAGTAGGCTGCCGAACCAACCAACTAATGCAAAGGTCGTCGCCTAACGATGTCTTCTGTTGGTCAAGCGCCAACCTGATGGGTCTGGGTTGACCTCTTACGTGAAGATGCGTATGCATGTTGGCTTGAAGAGCTCTCCGTGTTCCTTCTCAGCTGATTTCCACGTCATCTATAAATTGACTAGAACATCCCGCTCTTTCAAGCAGTGGCAAAGGAATTTCTTTGAACCTTTCATTTGATCAGTCTTCTCAATCTACCTTATCTAATAGCCATGTCTGAATCAACATCCACCCCGGCTCCTCCCAAGCGGTCTGCCAAAGAGCACCCCCAGGCACACATCTCCCGTTTCTGGCAGAGGTTCCACCACAGGACTCCCGGCAAGATCACCTCAATCTTCCCCCGCGAGCTCTACAAGACCATCGACCCGGAGTTCGTCCCCGCCTCGGCCCGGGTCCGCAATGCCGCCCGAAGCTATGAGTTCGCCCGCTCCAAGTGCATCGAGATGGTCAGGGAGACCGTCGAGCACTGCGAGAGCATCAACAGCAGCTTCTGCGACCCGGACTTTGACCTCGAGAGCGACTTCTACCTGTCAGCGGACGACTGCATCCACGGTCTCGTGCGGCCCGACCAGGCGCCCGAGAAACCACCCGCAAGGCCGGGCTCCGTCCATCGCGTGCCGTGGATCTTCGAGAACCCTCAGTTTACTGTGGATGGATTCTCCGGGTCAGATATCATGCAAGGCCGCGTCGGGAACTGCTGGTGGCTCGCCGGTATTGGAACCGTGGCCCACCGCAAGGATCTGATGAACAAGGTCTGCGTGGCCCGTGACGAGGAGTGCGGTGTGTATGGTTTCGTGTTCTTCAGGGATGGAGAGTGGGTTCCGACTGTTATTGATGATAATCTCTACCTGAATCACAAGGACTATGGTAAGAACAGGGATTACGATGTTAGCGGCAAGCAGGCGAGGCAGTGGAGGAAACGCTATCAGACAGGTTCAGAAGCTCTGTACTGTGGAAAATGTGAAGATGAGAATGAGACGTGGCTGCCCTTGCTTGAAAAGGCTGTAGGTTCCCAAGCAAGACACATCATGCTCTCTGACATTAAAAGCTGACCGTTTTTTGTTACAGTTTGCCAAGATACATGGTGACTACAAGGCCATTGAGGGCGGTTGGGTCGGAGACGCTGTTGAGGATCTTACCGGAGGAGTCACAAGTTGCAGTCTCGCCAGTCGTGTGCTTCGCAAGGACAAGCTCTGGCGGGAGCTTGTCCAGGTTGACCAGGACCATGGCGAGTTCGTGTATGGCCTCTCTGCCGGCTATAATCCCGAGGCGTCGGAGCACAATGGCATTGTTTTGAACCATGCGTATGCCATCGTACGGGCGGTTGAGGTTGAAGATGACAAAGGAAATCGGGTAAAGCTGCTCAAGATAAGGTCAGTATTTCCCCCGTCGCAATTTTGGAATTGAAAAGAGTCAAGACTAATTGGAACGACTTCTAGAAATCCTTGGGGCCGAAATTACGGTTCAGGATTGGGCGAGTGGCATGGCCCTTGGTCTGATGGATCTAAGGAGTGGAATGCGGAAATGATCAGGAAGCTCCGCCACGAATTTGGCGACGATGGCATTTTCTGGATGACCCTCGAGGATATGCTGAGTAATTTCAAGTGGCTTCATCGGACACGTCTTTTCGATGAGAGGTGGACTGTTGCCCAGCAATGGACGAGTGTCCCGATTGCCTGGGTTCCAGGATTCCTCAAGACCAAGTTTGTTATCGAGGTTGAGCAAGAAGGCATCGTGGTTATTGTTCTGTCAAAGGTACGAGTTATGATCCTGAAAACAGCAATCTGTATGCAAAGTTGGGGGGTTTGGCTAACTTTCTGGGAACTTAGCTTGACGAGCGATATTTTCGCGACCTTGACGGCCCTTACAAGTATTGCTTGGAGTTCATCGTTCGTGCTTCTGGATCCGAGAAGAAAGTCGCGGAAGCCAGATCCAACAAGGTCATCAATGATAACCGTTCAGTCAACTGTGAGGTACACCTCAAGCCTGGAACCTACGAGGTTGTCCCCAAGGTCCTTGCCCAACAGTGTGGTTGGAAACATCCGGTGGAGGACATCATTAAGGAGTATGCAACTAGGAACCCTATTAAGCTTCAACAACAGGGCATCCAATACGACATCGCTCACGCTAAGGTCGGAGTACTTGATGAGGATGAGGTACATATCAAGAAAAAGGAAGAAGAGAAGGCAAAGAAAAAGGAGAAAAAGAAGAAGGAAGCGGAGAAGGAAGGAGAGAATAGCGAGATGAAGCAGGCAATGGAGAAGATGCAAGCCGCCATGTCAGTCATGCAGGCGCAGCTTGAAAAGCATGAAAAGAAGAAGGATGAAAACGAGAACAAGAAGGAAGAAACTCCCGCAAAGGATGAAAAGGCGGAAACTGAATCAGATGCGAAGGACAAGACAGAAGCCGAATCTACCGCACAGATGTCTCCAAGAGCTGGAGAGAGCGACAACAAGGAAGAAAAGAAAGAAGAAGGGTCATTGAAAGGGGAGGAGAAGGAGAATGAAGCGGAGGAGAAGGAGGAGAAGGAGAGCAAGAGCAATGAGGAGGACGATGATGACGACGACGACGATGGAAAGGATGATGACACAGATGACAAGGAAGGGAGGCTACCATGGAATCCCGTGTGTGTCATGGGACTGCGTGTCTATGCAGAGGATAAGCAGGTTACTATCAAGCTTGTGAAAGGAGAAGAGTGAGACATTGATGATACTTAATCTTGCCACTGGATTCAAGTTTGTTAGGCAAATGAAAGAGTCCGCCCCCAATGATCAGCCTCCGCTAAAAAGTCCTCTTTTGTCAACTCTTTCAATTCTTTCATAAAGTCTGTTTGCAAGGCCGCAAGCAGCGTACGGTGTTGCCGTTAGTCTATGAGCATAGGTTCAGAGGCCCATCCTGTGCCGTTGGTTGTCATCTTCGGCCGCGGAGATGATGTAACGGGAGAGTGCTGTGCGAGTTGCGGCGGCGCCGGACGCGTCACAAATCTAGGATCTATTCTTAGAATGAGGGCCGAATTAATTCTCCACTTCAGCCCAGTTGATCCCCGCATTCGCATCCGGGGGAATGTATAGGCCGTTTGATCCTAGATCTATGCGCGGAACTAAGTGATGGTGGGTTCGTAAGGCTGTTCTGGCCTATGTGTCTCCAACTCGGCGTCACCGGAGCCAACATCTCATTGGTTGACACATGGAGGTGGCTGTGTACGAGTTGGGGATCGTACACGAAAGATTTTCTAGAGAATGGGCCGAATGCTTTGTAGTCTGAACCTTCAAGCCACAACGGTTTGTCCAGCGGCGTCTCCATACCACAGCAACAGCCGTTGACTTCATGTAGCTCCCACGCTATCCCCTATGTGTCGTCGTACTTGGAGAGAATATGATGTCAACCAGAAGGGTTTAGTCCAGATTGAGATGGCAAGATGACCGTTCGCCGGGCCGAATGTTGCATTACGAGCAACCACTGAGGCTGAGGCTAGCACCAAGAACTGATACGGGGGCCAAAGGGGCCGACGAGCACCTGTAGTTGCAACACTTCACAAGATTACGTAGGAAGATATCAATGTATTTAGGAATGTATGAGCTTCTGTTGGCATTCATAAACTATAAAATGGCATGGCCATCCATCTCTTGCCATGTCTTTTTTCATCAATCACTTCACAATCACAACAATCTCACACAATCAATCTTACTACATCCACAAACGCCAACAAATAGCCACTTCCAATCTCTTACAACTCATTCACTACATTTCAAAATGAAGGCCTTCACTGTCACCGCTGCTTCCCTCGCTGTCGTCGCTTCAGCCCTCCCTCAGGGTTCCGGCCAACAGTGCACCCCTGCAACCTACTCCTGCACCCCCGATGATCTTGGCTGGCAGGTTTGCAACACCAGCGGCACCTGGGTTGTAAGTTGAGAAATCTCCAAGAGTTTCCCATAGCCAATGAGAGTACGATGGAAATGCTAACTAAAAGTAACAGTTTGCTGGCAACTGCCCCCCAAAGACCATCTGCAAGTTCGACCAGCAGAACCAGAGCCCCTACTGCGTCGCCCCAAATGTTGTCATCTCTGGAACACAGTAGAAGGCTGTAGATAAACCGGATAGACTAAGAGATCTATAAACTGGGCAACGGACAATGGATTGATACATATTTCGTTCATACATGGCAAATTTCCTTGTTTATCATTTTCTGTTATCATAAACAATACGACGCTCCTTAGTAATTATATCATATCACTGTTAATTTTTTTCATCTTTAAGTTATCAGTGTTTATTATGCAAGTGACATTTACATTGGCCAAACGATACGGGAGAGTCTTCAATCGTTGTTACCTGCATGACCGAAACACACAATCAGAAAATACGGAATATCCCGATGTATGGTAGTTGCTCTATCTAATACATATACGCAAAAAACTTAAATCACGGGGAACCTTTATGGGTCAAAGCAAAGAGCTTCGTGAAAATTAGTCGTTTTTATGTGATTTGGTTATGTCTATGTGTGGTTGTGTTTAGGGTAAGCAGCTACCCCAGCTGCAGCTTGAGATTATCGAATATCCCTTCTACCTACGTCTTCTTTCTTCATGTCTCTTATGATCACCTTTATTCAAATCATGCTGTATGCTTCAGATGATAATGTAATTCGAAAATCTGCGAACTAGGTTCATTATCTTTTCTGTGTAGCAACCAAGCTCGAACAAGTATATCAATTGGCAGTGCAGTTCGGATGGCGACAAGCGCCTTCAGCGACTGTTTCACAAGTTCGACTGTAACTGACGTCATTGAATGGCCCATGAGCCTTTTGCTTCATATTTTGCAGAGGTCTAATGCTGATGCTAATGCATTTAGTTGCGGGTCGGTACATCTGTCCTTAACAAGTTAACAAGGGATTCAAAAGGCCATCAAGAAGCTTAGCCAGCCCTGTAGTTGGCTTTGTCCAGCTGAATTAGGCATAATGATATCACATCAAATATAATTAGCAGGGGTTCTTGTGGGGAGGTACATGAGTTGGTGAGTTGCCAAGATGGAGGATGAGGCTGTGATTCGTCAAGCTGCAGTAGTTGAATGAATCCGTCAAGTCACGGTCTGGAGAATGTTGAAAAATCTGTTACCTAATTGGGCAACACCATGCGATTGAGCATGGCCAAACGCATTGATGACCGTCGGCATAGCCTTTGTTGAGGAGACAGCCAACCAAGTCCCCGGGTTGACCACCTCCGCGAAACTCGGCTGTGTGCAACGATTCTAATTCTAGGGTTAGGAAACGTGGCTATGGAGCGCGCCCTGCTCCATTTGCATTAATACTGAAGATCAATGAGGGCCTTACCCAAGAACAAGGGGCAAATGCGACTAGAGTAAGCGGCAGAAGGAGTATTTGAAGAGCGGATGCCGCACGCTTCATCCTCCACCGGGTTCCCAGACAGCAATCGTGTCATTCACACTCGAAAATGTTTCTTGCGCGCTTAGTTCTGGCGTCTATCCCCCTCCTCGGGCGGTTGGCTCATGGCAGCCCGCACCATATTACACGCGCCGACAATGAATCGTCAATTCATTGGTCCGAATGCCCCAAGGCCGTCCTAACATATGCTACTCTGCCGATGCAATGTTCTACGCTGAAAGTGCCTCTTGACTACACCAACGCCGAGTCTTCAGAAAAGCTGGATATTGCCGTGTATCGAGTCGAAGCAGCTGTTCCGGTGGAGGAACGAAAGGGCAGCATCATCTTCAATTGCGGTGGTCCTGGTTCACCGTGCGGCCCAGATCTTGGAGCCTACGCCAAAAGAATGCAAGCGTGAGTTCTAGAATGCCGTGTCTAACGGAAATGTGCAGTTCATTATATCGATCCATGTTGGCTGACATTGCTTCGAAATTTTCCAGAGCGACTGGCGGTTATCACGATCTTATTACTTTCGATCCCAGGTATGAGACAACAGACTCGAGCGCCCAAAAATGTTTTCAGATTCTAATTATCGCAGAGGAACCAAGGGCTCGCCGATACGATTCATGTGCTACGATGACCCCGTCAGTTTGACCGCCGCACCTCCATTCATTGCGGGATATTCGCACGAATTTGCTCTGGGCCAAGATTGGTCTGCTAGCATCGTTTTGAGCGAAGATTGTGCGAAAAAGCAGAATGAAACAGGTAGCTTGATTGGTACAGCCTTTGTTGCCAGGGATATGATGCAAATCGTCGATGCCTTGAAAGAGGATGGTCTCTTGCGATTCTGGGGTGCGATCGAGTCCTTCCCCTTCAACAGAATCCCGCAGCTAATCGATTGACGGACTAGGTGTTTCATATGGCACTCTCCTGGGTGCTACGACCGTCGCTATGTTTCCGGACCGAGTGGACAAGATTATTCTTGATGGCGTCGTCAACCCTTTCGAGTACTATCATAATCAGTAAGGAAACGTGGAAAATGTGCAGTTGATTCCAGCCAGGCTCACAAATTACCACTAGAGAAATCGAGCTGTTTTCTGATGCTGACGGCGCATTCTCGGGATTCTGTCGAGGTTGCGTCGAGAACCCCGCCGCTTGCCCGCTTGCCCAGAACATGACAGCCGCTGAGTTGGAAGAGTCTCTTTACGGTTTGCTCGATATCCTCAAGGCTTTCCCGATCCCAAACCCAAATCGACATCTTCCAAATCAAGTTCCAGAGTGGACTTATACCTCTGTGAAGAGCAACATATACAATCGATTATATTTCCCACAAACTTGGCCCGCTCTTGCCAAAGAGATCGAGGCGATCATCACCACCATTCTGACCGACGACTCAACCAGGAGCAGATGGCCTGAGTTGGCACAGAAGCTGAATGCGTTCATAGATATTTTGAAAGCCGAGGGTACATTCAGCTCCGAGCAGGCTCGCGGCCTCTACTCCAGAGTGGACAATCAAACGGAGATTATAAAGGCCGCACTGCCAGACCATTCGCTAGCCGGAATCAAGTGTAGCGATATGTTCATCGATAGTGCATCATTGCACAACTTGTTACCCACATTGAAGGCCCGCATGCAGAAGAGCCGAATCGGCGGTGATGCAAGCATTCAGGTCCCTATGACATGCGCCAACTGGAAGTTCAAGGCCAAGGAACGATACAGTGGTGACTTCAAAGTCAAAACGAAGACACCAGTGCTGGTCATTGGAAACACCTACGACCCTGTCACGCCACTGGTTTCGGCGAGGAATGTCAGCAAAACTCTTGGGGGCGTCCTCTTGCACCAAGATAGCTATGGAGTAAGTTGCATTTTCCTCTTTTCCTCTTTTCACTCTGTGCTAACGTGGTAATGAAGCATGACTCTTTACCCCAGGCCTCTTTATGCACCGCCAAGGCCATCCGGGCGTATTTCATTCGTGGTGAGCTACCCCAAGCCGGAACCAAATGCTCTACAGAGGTTAAGCTCTTTGGAAAGAACGACGGATGGGAGGATGTTATTAAGCAGCTGGAGAGCGAGCCCTTGTCCCCTTGATTTCATACTGAAGGGACCGCATTGAAGAACTTGGAATTGAGGTTGTTGTAAATAGACAGGTATAGATAGAGAGTAAGAAATATTTATATTCAAAGGAAATACATTTACAAAAAATATATTTCATGTCTTGTGTAATAGAGAAACAACATTCAAGGTAATTCTTAATGCATCCTCTATCTGACCTGAAGGTACTGGTAAAGACTCTATTACCTAAGCAAAAGCTTCCACTAGCCGGGTTGGAACGTCGCCTGTTTCTGGCCTATTGCAGCTTACTTTCTTCTTCTCAATGACTCGCCCAAGCCGATGCGTTGTACTCGGCCAATTCAAACCCAGCTGGTTATTGATTGCGTTATACTTACCTGTGGTCCCTCTGCATTACTCCCGGGGTCCCGAGCCGCGTCGCGTCAAGGGATAGGACACATCTGTGCGATTTTTGGCGTGCTTCACACTCATCATTGCTGGCTTGCTAATGAAATATGAGTGGCCGGGCCAAAGTCGCAACATGCGTCAATTGCCGCCAGATGAAAGTAAGTCCTTCCGCTTTTCGTGTTTATGACAGGAATTGGATTGGCAATTTTCTGGACTATGACCAGCATGTTAAATTAATGCATATTATGCTCAGAGCTAATATGAACTCAGGTGAGATGCGACGCGAAAGAATTTTTCCCCGCCGCGTGTTCAAGATGTGGCAAAAAAGGGTTGAGATGCTTCATAGATCCTTCGTTTCAAAGAACTGCTAAAAGAAAGTAGGTCTCATATTTATTACAATCGTCCAAATGATCCAGTCTTGTTCTTACACTTAATCAAAGGCGGACAGAGGAATTGGAGAAGGAGCTGAGAGAGATCAAGGCTACTTCGTTCGCTTCCACTTCGAATACCAGTGCCGCACCAGAAGACAATCTTCTAGCATCTCCCACTGAGCAACCACGAGCCTCTCTGGTCTCTAGCTCAGCGTACCCGGAATATAGTTCTGCTGTTCCAAGTTCGGCGTTTGCAACTCAAAGAATTGGCGAGTTAGAAGTCTCACCAGCCGCAATAGCGGAGATAATTACTGCGTAAGTGATTTGATTAAAAACAAGTTTATGGATCTAACCATTCCATTAGATTCTTCTCTTTTTGCCATGAAGACTTTCCGATCTTACCGGATCTGGTGTATTTTGTTCGAGGCTACAACCGATGCAAATTCCTCTTCTGGGTCGTCATCGCTATCGGCTCAAAGAGTACTGAGAATCATCAGGAGTTGTACACCCAATTGCGCCCTCATATCCGTCTTCTTGCTAGTGACTTGGACGCGGCTGTTGAACATGCCTTGGGGACTGTGCAGGCTCTTCTGCTCCTCTGCTGGTGGCCTTTTCCATTCCGGGCGACCCGGAGTGATCCATCCTGGACCTATTCTGGATTTGCGGTACACATTGCGTTGAGAGCCGGGATACACCGTCCTCATCATTTCTCGGACTTCATGTATAATGACCGTCTAGATGATGCTGGAATCCAGGCATTCCGAAAAGCTTGGATTGGTTGTTTCATCGTGAACCAATTGTAAGCGCCACCCGTTCGACCGATAAGCATAGTGCTGTTTTATTGAAGAGCTAAATTTGATAGGCTTGCAAGCGAACTGGGTATCCCATCAACTGTCCCTGTAGACAATACAATTATTTCTGCTTTAGACGGTCGGACCTCGAGCAGATTACCCAAGCCACTCGAACAACATCTAAGGATTGCTTATCATAGCTATAACATTTGCAACACATTAGGCAATAGCGATGCCACAACTTCGGGACTGGTCCACGGTAGCATCGGAATTATCAAAATTCTTGAAAAGGGGCTTCGGGAGCTAGAGATTGAACTCGCGCCGGATATGACGACGCATACGGCTATAGCCTTGCTCAGGGTTAAACTTCAACTACACTCGTTTGTGTTTACCGATGACCAACTGGACAGAAGTGATCTCCGTATCGAGAATAGAGCGGCTGATCATCTATCCAAGGTTGAAACATATTCCACGAAGATCATAGACCTGGCAGCCCAAGTCGCTCCCGTTCGATCAGCCCCTCATATCTGGACTATAATACTCAGGACATCCGTCGTATACGCTGCGCATATCCTGCTTAGGCTTCTTGCATATTCTGAGAACCTCGACGGAGATCTAATACAAAACTCCGTTGGTCAGGCTTGGATGCTCTTCAATTCCCAGTCGGAACTGGAAAACGACAGCTGGGCACGTCTCCGTGAGATCATTACCTACCTAAGCCGCAAAGGCACTAGTCAAGACACTCCTGGCGCTTCTTCCGTGAGGGCTAGGATGTCGGCAAACATTGCCATTGAGTCCATCTGGCGAGCTCGCGGGCGCTTCAGCGAGGAGGTTCTCAGTGAGAAGCCTAGTGACTATACCGAAGCCGAGGCTATGAGAGATCTGATGCGATTTGGGCTTGATCTCATTATTGGAGATGACCCGTTCGAGGTAACTGACCCCACGCTGCTTCAGGAGTCTATGGTCCCAGCAGATGAGGACTTTGAGGGTGGCATAATAAGTACAGGGCCGTCGGTTTGAGTAAGGCGATATGGAACTAATTACCATTGGCAATTCTACCTGTTGGTGTCAGTGACAGGCTATATAGTCAATTAGGCACAGCAATCAGCGCGAGCGCGCTCCGTTTTTGCTGGTGTAGTAGAATTGGCTCTGACATGGTAGCAATTCCTACGTTTAAACAATACACAAGGCCCTGCGTTCGATCCTGGAGTAAGACCGCCAAAATGTAGTGGCTAATAAGATCTAGCCTGACCAACTAGACGCCAGCTAGCGAACTCCATGAGGATAAGATCGTCCGCTATAAGACCTGCTTGACAGTTGTATAGCGTTGCCAAGCAGAAGGGGTGTGTTGGTGTCAGTGACAGGCTATATAGTCAATTAGGCACAGCAATCAGCGCGAGCGCGCTCCGTTTTTGCTGGTGTAGTAGAATTGGCTCTGACACTACCATAAGTAACCGGGTCTTTGTCTTGTTTTATGATATACTCCTGTAGTAGCCTCACTCTTCACTCTGCAGCGTAGATTACTATAGCCATGCTTGGCTGCACCTTAAGGTAAGCTTTTGATATTTCGCTTTTACTAGAATTGTTCACACATCCTCAATACTAAATAATTCAACACAATACGGGTCACAGCAAGACCTTCCTAATCTTTCTCAAATGCTGTGTAAATAGGACGAGCTCTCACGCTGATGTCATTATCTAGGAAGAGCCAACGTTCCTATTCAATTTCCAACTAATTGTAACAGGTGCCGTGACTGGTGAACTGCTCAAGGAGATCCGAGTTCGAGACGAGAAATCTTCTCCTTTCTGATTGGTAGACGTAATTACGTTCATCAACTCTCCTCACCCTCTGACAAAAAATACCCCGCCAGCCTCTCTGCAAATATTCGCAGTGAACAAATTCGTTGGCTGCAGAAGTCAAGAGGCAAAGGTTCGACGGGGGCATCGACCCGTTTTCGCTTCCGGGAGCGATATCGCCTTTGTGTAGCCGAAAGCGCTCCGAAAAGCGATATCGCCATTGCCGGTGGGTCGTCAGACAGCATCCATGAAAGTGTTGCGCAGGGTCGAAACCCTCCATTCTGAGCTGCGCCATTATAATTATCTTCATTTTCGTAGATCATCGGTTGGCTCTCTAATTAAATTGCTCTGCAGTGTCGCATATTTTGGTTGGTGTTTTCCTACGGCAAGAGATTTATAACTTCAGTCACCCAAAATACTCTCCTAACTATTGTCTCCCGCCTCCGCGCATATGTATGCATAGAAGGACGCTTCGAAGGAAAAAGAGGCCCAAGCTGATCCGAATCTTGAAGTATTTTCTACTGGGAGATATTACTACCATTCAATCACGATGGGCACACCTATTGTTGAATCCAGCGCCCCAGCCACGCCATTGTGCCAGATCGTGACGCCAGTGGGCATGATGGGCTATGGCTTCCCAGAGGATCAAGTTGAGGCGGCATTGGAAGTCTTCAGCCACTATACTACTCCAACTGCCATCATTCTGGATGCTGGATCGACCGATTCCGGCCCCTCAAAGCTTGCAATTGGCACCACTACTTGCCCCCGATCATCTTACGTCCGCGATTTTCGCAAACTACTCACCTTTTTGATCAAGTATTCGGTCCCTCTGCTCTTATCATCTGCTGGTGGCGATGGAAGCGATGACCATGTCGACTTATTTCTTGAAATTATCCGAGAAATCAGTCAAGAGCCTGGCCATGAGTTAGTCCCCCTCACCAGCCACAGTATCATCGCATGGTTTTGTTCATTAATCCTCATAAAATACCCACAGGAGTTGGAAACTGAAGACTCTTGCCATTTACTCCGAGGTCCCAAAGACTGTGGTTGTGGAGAAATTGAATGCAGGCACAATCACAGGCTGTGGGGATGCCGTCCCCGAGCTGACTGTCGACGCCGTTGAACAGACACCCAGGATCGTTGCCCAGATGGGCCCTGAGCCACTGCTCGATGCAATCAACGCGCATCCCGACTTTAACGTGTTGATTGCTGGTCGATCATACGACTTGGCCCCTTTTGTAGCCTTTACCGCCTACCATACCCTTAAGGCCCGAGGCTTGAAAGAATACACTGATCTAAGCCCAGGCGAACTTGGAGTGATTTCTCACATGGGCAAGATCCTCGAATGCGGTGGCCTCTGCGCTACGCCCAAGGGCACGAGCGCCCAGGGTATCATGAACAACGACTTAAGCTTTGACATCAAGCCACTGAACCCTGCCGCTCGCTGCACACCACTGAGTGTTGCTGCGCATACGCTCTATGAAAAGAGTCGACCAGATAAATTGTTTGGTCCCGGAGGGTACATTGACCTCAATGAGTCTACCTTTACTCAACTTGAAGATACTAGATCCGTTCGTGTTCGAGGATCAGTATTCCACGGTAATCGCCAAGAGAACACTACTTATTTCACCAAGCTCGAAGGAGCCCGCGTTACTGGATACCGTACTCTAACTATGGGCTCCTTCCGAGACCCAATTCTCATCTCACAGCTTGACTGGTTTCTACAATCCGTCAAAGACTTTGCTGGGAGCCAACACAGTCACGTGAAGGAGAAGTGGGATATTGGCTTTCACACGTACGGCTTCAATGAGCATGACACCGAGTACGTGCCAAGTGAGGTTTTCATTGTGGCCGAGGTGATTGCGGAATCTCAAGAAGTTGCAACTAGCCTGGCTTCGACTGTCAGAGTGCATTGCACACATGGGTCCTATCCCAAGCAAAAGGCCACTTCAGGCAATTTCGCTATGGGTATCGGTGGCAAGTTCGAGTTGGAGACGAAGGAGTGTGCTGAGTTCTCCATCTACCATCTCATGCCACTTTCCAGTGAAGAGGAAGGCGCTCGCCAAAATTCCCTTCCTCAAGCAGATATCGACGGTCAGCGGGGTCTGTTCCGTTGGCAGGAGTACACGTTGGGTAACGGTGAAACATACGCCAAGATTGGGGTTCGAGCCACTCCGAATGGACCATCCTTCGTGACTCAGAGCGCTGGCACCGTTTCTTCGGATCCCCCAGCTCAACCCAAGCCTACGTTCGAGCAAACTCCAAGCACTCTCGTTGATGTGGCGAAGGTGATCCGATCTAAGAATTCTGGTCCATATGAGATCACTGTGGATGTCATGTTCGACAATAAGGACGTCTATAATCTCGTCAAACAGTCTAACTTACTGAACAAGGCGGTGATCGCTGAACTCTTCAGCCTAGACGAAACCGAGGTCTATTGGGCAGGCTTCTTTGATGTTGCGATGGCTTTCAAGGCTACAATGCCCAGAAAACGAAGAGGCGAGCTATCGTGCTCTGGCGGCTATATGGAGGACGATGTTCATGGCTCCCAACAATATATTCCGTTGGTCAGGCTACCCCTCCCAAAGGAACTTCAAGATAGCCTTCTGGCACTTGCAAAGTGAATATAGATTCATCATTTTACTATCATCGAAACCATAGAATAGACTGAGAAAGAGATACTCCTTGAAGAAAACGAGTGAAAACCACACATGGAACACATCGTTTCTTTTTGGGGTGAAACATTTATACCACTGGCGAGGCATATGGTTTTGCAAAATAGTTAGCATAGTGGCATAGTGTACGTCCCTCGTTCATCATGCTCTTGGATATACCCTCCATCCCGAGAAGAGCACGCGGTTTGCGACTAGCACTTCTTTTTAGGGCAACTACGAGAGGCTAGATGTAATTCATTTCTTTCTCGTCTTTACAAACCCACGTAGCAATTGGCTCGGATTAGGTGAATTCAAACTAATCTTCAATTTAGTCATAAATATCAGATGGCAAAATAGGTATCCATCAGTGCCGATACTCCACTGGCATGCAACAAATCTCTCGTTTTCGTTTCCGCATTGATAGAACTGCTGGACCTGACGAGTACTTTCGAATTGTTTATCACTACGGTTCCCAAACATCTGGTAGGTAGGTATTTATGCAGCCCAACGCTGAGAAGCAAGACCTGCCACCATGCCACCGTCAACGAGAAAGTCGGTGCCGGTGATGTATCTGCTCTCTGGCCCAACGAGGAACGCGACTATATTCGCAATGTCCTCTGCGTTCCCTTCTTTTCCTGCAGCGGATGCAGCGAGCATGTGTCTCATTTGATCTCCTCCCGGACCTTCGAACTCCTCCTTGCCCATTGCGGTAGCTATAATTCCCGGGCTGATGGTATTCACTCTTGCGCCTTTGTTTCCCCATAACTTCGCCGCTGCTTTAACTCGTAGAATATTTCCCTTCTTGGCCATTGCATAGCTCATGGGTGTCTTGTTATCGATCTCGGGGTGATCTAGCAGTTTGTCGGTTGGGGCAGTAGCAAGATGGCGTTCCAACTCTTGGGTAATGCCCTCGCCTAAGTGGCCAGCCATGCTTGCGATGCAGACCATGGCGAGGCCCGGTGATGCGATTTCGTAGAAGGAATCCAGAACATTTGCTGTGCCAACAAGGTCGACCTCAAGAACCTGTTGTGGGGAAGCTTGAACGGGTGATACCCCGGCAGTATGGACCACGGCGTCGACTTGTCCTAGGTTCACAGCTGCCTTGGCGAGTTCTTGCACAGCATCGAGCTTTGAAACATCGACAGTGTGGGTGATAATATCGTACCCATTGTCACGTAGGTCCTTTGCTGCCACTTCAAGGGCCGCTGTAGAGTAATCTGCTAGGACTAATCGACGTCCATTGGTAATGCGGCGGGCTACGGCAAGGCCCATGCCTCCAGCACCAGTAATGACGATAACATGGCTAGACATATTGATTCGCTCTCACACTCTCGGGAGCGAGCTCTTGGTAGAATATCTCCTTGGGGGTCATTCAATTCATTTGCAGTGGTCATAATTTATAGAAAACTGCGCATGTCATCGTATCGTTGACTTTCCGAAGATGAATACGAATCCGAGCGGCATCACGGGGCTTGCGAGTCCCCCATCAGGATAACCAGGATTGCGTGTGCGGAGAAGTAGAACTCCCCGTCTACAGTTGATATGCTAGAAAAGAACCCCAATTCACTTTCACGCAGCGTTCTAACGGGCTGTATCACCGCACCTTGGGATCTGTAATAGGCCATGTAAAGATGAGATAAAACAGACTCCTCTCTTCCCAAGCTTTCATCACCCCGAGCACGAGATATGTATGTTGAAGAGCGGAAATTCATGCAAGGGACTAATTTGTTTATTATTGGATTCCAAAGCGGCTTTCTACAGAGATCACCCTGGCAGCCACCATATAGTGTTATTAGGGAAGCTTCTTGCTTCGCCAGACAGTCTGGGAGTTTGTGAAACCCTTAATACCACTCAATCCCCATTCAATACCAATGCCACTCTCCTTGTGACCTCCAAAGGGAGAAATTGGGGCAAGAGCAAAATGGGTGTTGACCCAGACAGTTCCAACCTGGAGCTCCCGACCAAGACGTTCTGCCTTCTGCACATCCTTTGACCAGACAGAGCCGCCAAGACCGACATTCGTGTCATTGGCACGTTCGATAACCTCTTCTTCTGTCTTCCAAGAGAGAATAGGGACGATTGGTCCGAAAGGTTCCTCGACAACGAGCCGAGACTTCTCAGGAGGTCGGTCAATCAGGGTAGGGGAGATGAAATAGCCTTTTGAGGGCTGGACTTCGCCACCGACAGCAACATTCCACCCTTCTTTCTTGATATCACTGAAGAAGGTTTTAACACGCTCATACTGCATGGCATTCTGAAGGGGACCGTGAGTGGTTTTGGGGTCGGCGCCGTCACCGACCACGTAGGTCTTAACATGCTTCACAACCGCATCTCTGAACTCATCAAAGATGGACTCGTGAACATAGATACGCTTGATGTTGAGGCAGATCTGGCCAGTATTGAGGAAAGCATAGAACGCGACCTAGGAATAGTTAGCTGATGCTCATACAAAGATCTCTTTGGTAAGCTGCAGTAGATACCTCCTTTGCAGTGGCGTCTATGTCAACGTCAGGAAGAACGATGGCCGGGTCGTTCCCACCCCTCAAAGTCGATATTAGCACACAAAAATCTAGTATCCAGCACAAAGCCTGGATAACTCACAGCTCAAGAGTGACTCGTTTGAGTGTTTTGCTAGCGCTTGAGTGAACCAGCTTTCCAGTGTGGGTTGAACCAGTGAAGCTGATCTTGTCAATGCCTGGATGGCTCGTGATCCAAGGCCCCAGCTCATCACCACCACTCAAAGATTGAACAACACCAGGAGGGAAGAATTGCTGCGCAAGTTCAACGAGCTTCAATCCGCAGTAAGGTGTGAAAGGTCTATGGTGATGATTAATTGTTATCCCATAAATTTTGCTCGGGTACAGATGATGGGCTGCTTACGATGGCTTGATGATAATGACGTTGCCGGTGAGAAGAGCTGGTGCCAGCTTGGCGGTGAGCAGCATAGCAGGAAAGTTCCAGGGAACGATCGCCCCTACAACGCCAATGGGTGTGAGACGCTGAACGATCGAACGCTCGTCGTTCTCCTCGATAATGGTCTCTTCCTCGACGGGGATGTCGATGATTCCGCGAATCCATTGAATAGCAAATGTAATCTCGCCTGCCGCCGGATCCAACTTGACGTAATCGGTCAGTTTCTGCAAGCTGAGAGTATGACGGGCTTAACATACCGGCTTTCCACCCTCCGCCACGAGAAGGTCCCGGAATTCGTTCTGCACTTCTTCAATTGCATTTGCGTAGGCGTGAAGAGCTTTCCGGCGTTCGTCTAGGGGGACCTTGGACCAAGACTTGAAGGCTGTCTTTCCGGCGAGCACTGCACGATCAAGGTCCTCCGATGTCGCAACAGGTACTTTGGGGAGAGCTTGAAGATTGGCGGGGTTAATCCCATTCCGTGTGTTCTCGGTGGGGGAAGCTTTGCCATCAATGGTTTGGACGTAGGCGCCCGTCAGGTCCAGCTTGGCTTTGACTGCCATTATGGCTTGATTTCAATGGGCAGAGTCTGAACAAGGGCACTTAATATTCCAAACGGATCATGAAAACAGAATAGAATCGTGTTTTAAAATCTCTGCGGCACGTCTTCCTCGTCGAGTACTTATATAAGGTCTCGGGTTCCCATCCCGATTGTTGAGGGGGTGTCTCGGAACGAGCTTCATGCATCGGGACGGACAATAGATACGCGTGAAGCACAAGTGGACGAACAACGTTGAGTGGTCGACAGATGGCTGCGCTCCACAGACACAAGCACCCCGCATTCTGTTATCTCGATTGGCATTACATACTTGATCTTGGCATTACATACTTGATCTTGGCAAGCATCGAGACGTAGCTGAGTCACCGTCGAGGCCAAATGGCCGATGCTAGTGATTCGAATGACTAAAGACTAAGTTGGCTAGTAGCACGTGAGATATAATAAGCTTAAAACGGACGGGGAATGTCCAGTCTAAATGGTTGCAATGGTAAGCGGAGATCATCCTCGGGCCAATCTCCAATTGCTATAGACTGTGATACTAAGATTCCAGATAACTCCATATCCATTTCATAGATGGCTTAGCATTCCAAATTACTCGACACTAGTAGCTAGGGCTATGAGTCTCTACAGGGTCAATGATTAATTGTTATCGCCAATAACTGTAGGGTAGCTAATAAAACAGTGAAGATGGCTGAACCAAAGAACAAGGTGCCCTGTGCTCGAGCCATTGAACAAAAGTGAGAGGGGTGATATGGATATATTTATTCTTGGAGAATAGAGATATAGCAAAGCTGTAGTTAATGATGAGAATTTGCAGTAGTTATGAAATGCCGGTGAGCTCGTCGTGTGGAGAGCCGACATGTTATCAGTGATCGTTGCAGACACAGCGTCGAATCAGCGTCATGGGTAAAATTTTTAGTTGCAGCTTTGTAGCATGAATGTTTGGCATCCAGCCATCGACATTACAGTCACAGCCACTTACGTAGATAATGTGTAACTGCAGTAGAGTCGGATCACAGCCCTTGAGCCGAGGGCAATACGGAATGTATCCGTGGATCCGCGGCCGAGCATCTCCGTCTGTCAGCGATGACTAAAGAACCCATGTTTTCCATCACAGTGAAATGTCACCGCGTAATTGCGGCTATTCTGGATGAGGAAGCTACTTTCAATGCCATTCATGTCAAATGTAAATCCCGCCAATTGGTAATCGTGAATGGAAGCTTATCTCCGTGGCGATCTCCGCGCCAAGCAGAGGGGAACAAAATGATGCAACCGGCCGTTGTTGAATATTAATATGGACTGTTCTCGGGCCTATACTGAACTTGATAACTTGAGTCTTGAGCCTTGATTCAACTTTAGCAAACATGAAGCAATCTCTTTTTCTTGCAGCGGCAATTGCCTTCTCCGGTGTGGCAGCAAAATGCCTCCCACCAGTGGCACACGAAGGGACCCCTGTTGGTAAAGAAATCAAGAACGATGACAGTATGGTAGATCCTTCCTTTGGTGATACTTGAGGTGTTACAGCGCATGCTAAGAGAATTGCCAGTCACTCTTTACGTCACGGGCAAAAAGTCCGACACAGCCGTCTTGTATCTGACCGACGTTTTTGGGATCCAGCTGCCTCAGAACAAACTGTAAGTGTACATGCGTCGAAGAGTTAGAAGCCTCAAGCTTACATGAAATAGGCTGGCTGATAGCTTCGCTCGCGCGGGATATCTCACCATCGCGCCCGATCTGTTTAACGGAACTCCCGCCCCAGAGGATATCAATGGCACGCCTTCATTCAACTTGACTGAATTTCTATTCAACCATCGTCCGGAGATTATTGACCCAGTTCTTACATCGGTGATCAAGTATATCCGCAGCATCCCCACGGTCAAGAAAGTAGTGGCAACTGGGTACTGTTTCGGTGGACGATATGCATTCCGCACGCTCTCAGAAGGTCAAGGCGTCGACGCGGGTTTTGCTGCTCATCCCAGTCTCCTCGAGGACGGTGAGATTGAAGCAATCACAGGCCCAGTATCAATTGCTGCCGCAGGTCAGTACTGTTCATGATTTATCAAGTCTGATCACAGTTATAAGTGCTAACTGGGGAGAGAGCAGAAACCGACAGCATGCTTACGCCGGAAAGACGTGCTACAATCGAAGCTTTGCTCAAAGAAACAGCTCAGCCATATTCAGTGGCGCTTTATAGCGGAACAAACCATGGGTTTGGCGTTCGAGGGAACATCTCGAATCCGGAGGAAAAGTACGGAAAGGAGCAGGCGTTTTATCAAGCAGTGAGCTGGTTTGATGCTTGGGCTTAGGGAAGCAGTAGGTGGCTGTCGAGAAACACGCTTTGTCTCTAGCCAGCTTGAAAATTGCCCCTCATTAGCAACATCCTCTGTCAAATCCAGATGGATCGAAATGTGAGACGAAGTACCGCAGGTTTGGTTTACCGAAACTCCCCGTTACCCATTCGCTGTGCGAATATTACAGTCGACTTCCGTATGATAGATTCAATTACAAATTATGTCCATGGCGTAACTCAAAGACTTTTATACATGTCTATAATCCCACTGCTGACTTCCGTGTGCTAGACGACACGCTCAGCTCAACCTCTTTTAGAATTCCGCCCATGGAGCTAGTGCTCCGCGGCAAAATTGCCTCCTCGTCCGTAGAGATTTTCCCAGTTCCTGGCTCGCTGAAAATCGTGGCCTTGGTTTGCGATATCCCCCAGTTTTCAGACCTATCATCCAAAACCATACTTCCTGGTTGCCGACCACTTCTTTTGCCATATTCATACTTCGGTGTCCGGGATTTGTTTGTAGAGATAAGGGAGCCGAGGAATGGGCGCAGCTTCTCTCTTATCCAGCCCCATGTCATTGGCAGGTTTGTCGTCGTGATTGCGACGAAGGATTCTCGGCAAGCCCAGGCAGCTCCTTCTTTGGGCCCCGTAGCATCGCTCTGATTTATTTCTCTCGTTAGCACGTGAAAATTAGGGGCGGTGAGACTTCAATCCTGGTTGACAAACCTTGAGGATGGAAATGCCTCTGAGAAATCCGAAGATCATGGTCAAAAGACCACCGGAAAATAAAACCGCCAACCCGATCTTTTTCGCCTTCGGAAGTTGAGCTGTCCAGAGCATGGGGATAGGTATCAGGAAGAGATACATGTCGGTAAGGAAATTGAGGTACATGGACAGATGGATCGTGAGTTTATTGACTGCTGGCTCGCAAAAATCTAATACACGAAACGTTAGCATCGCGGATTTGCTTTCTATCAAGCAAATTTGGTATGCACGTACTACCAGGGTATGGATTAATCTGCCAGAACTTATGAAATGGCTGGCAGCTCAATAGCACTGAGCACATGCATATAATGTATGAGACAACGATGCTCACAAAGCCAAAGTAAACACGCTTCCTGTAACCCGGAAGACCGGACTATACGTCTCGTTAGCATAAGACGTGTATGTAGTATACTTCATGTCTAATACGTACCGTCAGGCGTAAATAAAATGCGCACATCGATGCCTTGAGCGTCCAAATGAGTGTCATGTACATTGACCATCCTCCGATAATGGCCTTTGAGCCGCCCACTCTGATAATCAATTGTTAGTCGTCGAAAGTATATTCAATCGATCCATCCTCGTCTTTTCCCAATCGGTTCGTACCTCAACGCATACTCGTGGCTGTCAGGTGAGAGTGCCTCGCGTGCTTCGTCCGTCATGTCGCTGTTCGTGAGACCATGAAAAGTCTCGCCCACTTTGTACGCTATCGTGGTTTCGGCCACGAATGGTAGAATGCTGACGATCATGAGATAGTCCTCCGGGCCCAGCGCACTGACGCCTCCTCCCCTCATCCGACAGTATGTTCGAAAGGCGATGAGAAGAATGCAAAAGGCGAGATAGGTCAAGGCCTCGATGATGTACGGGTCCATCCCTTGGGGACCCGAGGCGTCTGAAGCCATGGCGCAATACTGGCTACGTCGAAGACAGCCCCAACCATGAGGAACTCTAGGGTCCGTTTCCTTATTGTGAGGATTCAAAGGAGAGGGGGGGAGGCATGCCGAGATACATGTATGACCGACAATACATAAGTTGACGTGCTGCTGTACGCGCGAAGCCCGACATGGTTCCCCTGGAGTAATATATCGGCATCTAGATCGTAAGCTAGCGCCTGTCGGCAGTCCCGCCTCATCTCAGCAACAGCCCTGCCCCCGCTTCCTCAGTAATGTCAGCTCGTTTCCCTTGCATGGAAGGATTGGCTGTTTCATTCTTTCAGCTAGCCACGCACCTTCACGGGCCCACTGCCATTTATGACGTGAAGTGGTGGGCAGGGGGAGAGCAGCCCGGGGAAAGATCTGCGTGCTTCGGTTCCGGACTGGCCAAGTCTTCCCGTCCCGCGCGGTGGCGATGCTACATAGTGCCTTCTCATCACTCTTCATTCTCTTCTTTCAGAGAGAGAACTCGCATATGTGCCTAACTCTTTGTTAACATGGCCCACGCGATAGCTCAGCAGATCGGACCACAAAATTGATCAAAAGGTGTCGTTTCATGAGAATGCCCGCAGGTTATGAACCGTACACTTATATTCTAACCTCGTACGAAGCATACGCATGCTGTTAAGAGGGCAGCTTCTGGTGTATGTCCAATCCACCCCGTCATCTGGCCCAGTAGCAACGCGCAGTCTAAAAGTCGGCTTCTGTGCGCACTGCAACATCAACTGTAAGGGGCCATATTACAGGACAGCCCCCGAATTCGCCTGACGGGAGGAGGGATAATACTTCCTTCCCCAATTGAAGCCCTTGGAGCCAGCCATTCTACTATTGATCGGGCAGACACACGTTTTGGTACTGGTTGGAATCCTGCCACGTCGACCTTCCTGAAAGAGACAGCCCCTAATCTTCTGACCGTCCTGTGTCTAAGCCCCGGCTGCTTATTGGGCGGGTATATTCCGTTGAAGATCTACTACCCAAGGGCGGTGTTTTGGTTGTCAGCGCACCGCTTCTATTCGATATTCACAAATTTGTCGGAATGTGAGTACGAACATCATTGCAGAACTTCATTTCCTATACTCTACGGCCCTTCTTCGTCTACCTCTGCTGCTCGCAAGTGATCCCCCGACTAGACTGATTGGCATAGCCCCCATTGATGACATTTGATGTGACGTTAGCGTCGGCCCGTCTGCCTTTTGTCTTATTTTTAGTCCCTTAGCGGTTTTGGATCGCCAAAGATCAATCATGCGGTGATCTAGATAGTGCATGGCATGAATGATGTGTCGGCCCTACAGACATCTACTACCCAAATTCAAGTAGTTATGAGCTGATGCTACTGCTTCTTAATGGGGTCTTGCTTGGTTTAGGTGTTGATAATCCGCTGAGTGATTTCCGTGAAACCGGAAAAATGTACCCCACGGCAGAGCATATACGCGCCCAATAGTCATCAAATGCCACTCACACCTTACTCATCCTCCGCTTTGGGGACACCTAATTTGGCAGATACGACGAGAAAAACATCACAAATTAGGGGAGCTTGGTGACATCTGATCGGTGACCGTAATGCAGCCTATCGCCCTTGCGGCACCTGTCACTACCTGCTGTTCCAAAAATGCGGGCAGTTAATATGCTTCATATACTTCATGGATAATACCAAGTCCACATCTAAAGGAATGCCTCGGCTTCCTTTGAAGTCATGCTTTGATTGGTGCCGTCCCAATCCTGGTCCTGGAGGCGACGAACAAGGCATCAGGCCCTTGCTTCTTTGCAGGGCTGCTACAGGGCGGCCGAACTCTTATAGACTAATTCATCCTGTCTATCCGAGTGAGCTATTTACAAGCAGATAAGGTGGTCGACCCATGCCAAATCTACATCATCCTTGGAGATAGACGATCAAATGACCTAGTTCTCTAATTCATCACTCCACTGCGGCAGATAACCTATCCATGTATACGGAGTAGTATTGAACCATCTAACAATACGTTAAGTAAACACAAAAGTCTGTTCATTGGTTGTTCGTCCTTTGATGTATAGGATTTTACAATTGACCTACGACAGACATATTTGATATCAAGCAGGAGAAGAAGGGATTTTCTGTAATTTCATGGCCCCCCAACTTTTACTTCTGAAAAGAAAGCTATTTACTCCCGTTGAAATTTTACTGATCTCCACGGTCATCGCTGAGCTGCACAGCGTTGAATATATTGCGAATTGATTGTCACGTATACAGCAAGTATTACCCGGTTCATTTCGTATGACACATGTAAGAGTTCGCATTAGATATTAGGCGTGATAATAAGTCTTATAAAAATGTAGCTAACCCATTTGACATGTGGTATCTCATATGACCGCTGAATTAGAATTACTCGGAAACAGACAAATCAGCTGACATTTACGAACTGTTCTGTCTTGTTATTAGAACCCATCCTCTTTTCGAGGCCCACACTAATCAGGCAGCTAATTCAACCCAGTGAACTTTTTCACGATGTGGAAAATGAACCTCACGCTTTATATACCTCACCCAATCCATATGACATACACCAACTGCGACTTATTTCGGACGAGACTTGTCACTTTCTCATCTTTTATCAGTTTTCGTTTACCCAAAACAGAGCATTCTTAGTCCAATATGGCGGCACCATTAGAAATCTTGGGAATGATATTCGGCCATTTCGTCAAGCCGTTTGGGCAACGATCAGAAGCAACAATTCAAGAGGAAGTTCTTAATCGCAGAACCTTGGCATCACTTTGCCGTGTCTCCAAGTCATACAACTCTGTTGCGACCGGCCTTTTATACAACCAAATACGGCTATTCGACGGAGACATTCGTTTTCTCACTCGCACAATCCTACAGGACCGGTCCAAAACAAAGGGCAAGCTAGTGAAACGACTGAGCCTTGAGTTTGAACTAGCCGGTCGTTGGGAACCAGAGACTCTTGATCCGGAAAGGGCCGTCCGCGTGCCCGCAGCCCGAGAAGAACAATGGGATTACGCACGTTGCAGGGATGAGGCACTTTCTGTTTTCGGACTAGAAAATGCGGTGACATCTGCGGCCGATGGTTGGGAGTGCGATGCCTCTGAGTTGGAGAAGCTTGATCTCAACGACAAGTTCGAAGAAGACCTGGCAGCAATCTTGCTATTTCTCTTGCCAGATCTTCGGTCTTTGCGAGTCAAATTTGATCCCATGACTAATCCTTTCGACCCAGAGGCTGCTGGCTACTGGAGATGCGCTATGTTAATGCAGACTCTGAGGCTACCTTATTGGTATTACTATATGAATTCTGGACAGCATCCTGGCAGCCATGGGGCTGAGGAACATGTCAAAGATCTCATCCCGGCATCACTTTTGAGCCTTGAGCAACTCATCATGTGCAATCCATTTGAAGAGCCCGGTACCATCAAATCCACATACCCGCCTTTGATGTGGTGCTATCTCGAAGAGCTTCACCCGTTGTGGGCGCTCCCAAAACTGAAATCTTTGACACTCGAACGTACCTCATGGGGTTACGATCGTACGTCATTCGATCGACCGATACCCTCACTAGAACATTTCACAAAGTCTACTTCATTGGAACATCTCGAGATCCTCGACACGTCAATCGCACCGGCAGTACTGCCACAGCTTCTAGAATGCTTCTCTTCGCTTCGTTCTATTAGCTATGAGCTAGCAGATGCCTACAGCCTATTGAATGACGAATATACCGACAGAGCCATGACAGTTGGTATGCTCGATTCGCGCGGGATACGGGAAACTATCAGACGTTGCAAACCCGACTTAGTGAGCATACATATCAAAGCAGTTAAAAAGGAAGATATTGACGAAGAAGAGCTGGCCACGCTGGACGGCCTACACGAAGAGCAAGAAACGAATGATGAATAGGAAAATTGTTGAACAGCTGGCATGGTGAATCGGGAGTTGACCGTTAGACTACGATGTCAGCAGAGCAACCTTTATCGAGATAATTTCCTCAACCAGCAATTTCCACCATAATGACTTGGCCTTTTGGTGATTCTGTCTTCCCCATTCTCGGTGTCATCGGTCTTCTTTGCACTGAGCTTTAGCAATCATAACTAAACCAGTAATAACATTTTCCACTTGATGCTATGTTGGGGTGGCGATATCGCATCTGCTCCCAAAAACCATTCATGTTCCTTCACGTATCCCTAGGTAATCACTTTTATATTTGTTTCCTTATACCTATAGTACAAAATCCACCAAACGCCCCTTTTCATGATTCTGACCGTAACTGAAGTTCTAATACCATGTATATTGAACAAAAGAAAGTGTCTGTAGGGTAGGTTGCATGGGCAGCAGATAATTTGGGTCTGAGTCTCCGAGTCCCTATTACGTGCTCCAGTTACGCGCTGGAGGCTGGAGAGGTGAGATTTTAGGCCCTTATAAACCCGAGACCGGCGTAGGATCTGGGGAGGCGGAGGGCAGAGCCCCCATCTATCAAACACGCCGTTCACGCCACCGAAGTACTGAAATGACAGCCCCCAAACCTCTTCAGCTAGAATTAGCAACAGCGGAGGATGCTCCTGAACTGACCGAGGTCTGGTTCGCCGCGTTCCAGGACCCGGATTTACGGCGTCTGTGGCCTGACACGGATGGAGTGCGCCAGTGGTGGACGGACGCCAACAGCCACGATATGCGACAGAAGCCCTTCCAACGCTTCGTCAAAGTTATCGACCCTGATACGAAAGACGCGCGAGGTCGACCGCGGATCGCTGCCTATGCGAAATGGGATCTGTCCATGCCTAATGAGAGAGGCCGGCGATATCCTCCGTGGCATGCGGATATGCCGGGCGAGGAATGCGATGCTTTTTTCGGAAGGGAGGAAAAGGAGAGGGAGCGAGTCATGGGCAAGGAGAACCATTACTGTAGGGGCCTCGATTTATCTAACAAAATCTTCTTGGTACTAACTGTGTTAGACCTTGACACAGTCGCGACTCATCCAGACTACCAACGACGAGGGGCAGGCTCGATGCTGCTGAAATGGGGCTGTGATCTTGCGGACCAAAATAAAATCTCTGCCTATGTCGATGCTACCAAGGACGGAGCGCGTTTGTATGAAAGGTTTGGTTTCGTGGATGAAAGCCAACCTGACTCGGGTGAGGTAGCCTCTATGGCTCGGCGGCGACAGTAGGGTGTTGATGCGATGCAGCCACCTCATCTCTTTCCCAGGCAGTTACTTTCGGACACGCAAGACCTTGGGTCAATAAATACAAGCTGATGTAATCGTTTGAAATAATCAATTGTCACGTTCAACATTGATAATTGAATAGAAAAGTGTCAACAAAAATTGACAAAGCAAGATATATACACAAGAATGCGCAACCTTCTTCAACCACTAGCAGAGTGTCAAAGACTTCTTTCACCAGTCCACGCACTGAGCTCCAACAACAGAGGTTATTCAGCTTAGTACGGCTTCTCTCCGATGCTATCTCGTTGTTAGTCACCACCGTTAGTATCATACTGAGGAGAGATACTCACTAGTTTCCAGGTGGGGAGTAGCGGGCAACAACATAAACCGAGCCATCGCTTCCCGAGGCCTTGGCCATGCCGACCTTGGTCGTGCTCTTCCAAATAACCTGGGCTTTAAAGGGGTGAGAAATTGAACAAACGTTAGAAAGCAAAGAAAATCGGATGTCTATGCTTACTGTAATGGCCAAAGGTCAGGTAGTTCGACGAGTCGATTACTTCTCCATTGTAGCTGCTCTTCTCGGAAACGAAAGCCTTAACAGCATCCGTGTAGGGCGTTGAGCCCGTGTATGTCTGGAACAGACACTCGCCCTGGTCCGAGACGCTCGAATGCTCGAGGCTACCGAGGCTAGCGAGATGATCGGCCCACTCCTGGGCATCGGCGACAAGACCGGTATCCCACACGAGATCAGCGTTGCCAACTTCAGCTCGGGCGTCGTTGTGTGCGTCGAGGGCGGCCTGCTCATCAGCTGTAAGAGTGGAGGATCCTGGAGAAGAAGCGGCGGATGAAGTAGCGGCAGGAGCTGAGGAGGTGGCAGTAACGACAACCGACGATACGATGGTCTGAAGTGTTGTTGGTAGGACGACCGGCGTGGATACAGTGGGGATTTCGATGATATCCGTTGGCCACTGAACGGAACCGGGAGGAGTAAACTGGCTCGAAGGGCGGATTGGCTGAGAACTGGGAGTTGGGATGGAAGGTGTCCTCGTTACTGCACTTGTTGGTCGTCGAGAGTGGTGGTTTGAGACTGGAGTATGCGAGACTTGGGGAACAGATCTAGTCTGTCCGCCTTGTCCACTTTCAGAACAAGGCTTGCCTCGTGCAGCAATGGCATTTCCCGCCAGTAAAGCAACGGAGAGGATTGAGAAGCGCATTTTTGAGTTTGTATACGAAAAACGTCACCGGGACGGACTGTTGGTTAAAATAAAAGGAGAGTGATGGACTGGAATCAACCAGGTCGCAATGCTGTAAGAAAGGAGTGACTGAAAGGATGACTTTGATCCTGAAGACCAAAAGAATTTGTGACACTTCTCGGGACATGGCGATCTTTTAATATACCATTTTACTGTTGTTCGTAGCAGATGAGGAGTCTTGGCCATATTTGCAGCGGAGGCTCGGCTCCGTGTTTCACCAGACTGTCCCAAATCTGCGGACGCACGTTATTGAAAAATTAGGATACATGACACATTGGAAAAGAAATTAGGTATTTTACGCAAGCCAACGCCCGCTGGGTTAGGCAATTCGGATGCACATGGCATGCTGGTTAAGGACCCTGTTTGCGTGGCCACAAAATTAATCGACGATCAACGAATGGGTAATAGAAACGAGGATAGAAACAGCCTTTTTCTACTACCGCTCCGCTAAACAATAAGGCATTTCATCATTTATTCCTGAAAGATAATTTTTGTATTACGAGGAAGCATAGAGCAAAGGCGTAGGCTGTAGCAGCAATCAGATATTGGGGTAATGCTTCGTTTGCGCTTAATGGTCATGTTCATGGTCTCAGATCTGCCACGCGTTGCTCGGAGATGAGAGACCTGCTGGGACAAGCAATGAGAGACGTCCACAGTGAGCTCCATGGCGACATTGAGCAATTTTGAATGAACGCGACTACTTTGTAATTTGATGGCTAGAAGGGTTATTATTTAGGATGATCATAACACTTCGTTTGAGTGCTGGTTTCATACCCTTGGCTCCCGCGTCGCAATCCCAGCATTCTGGAGCTGATGCCAGGATCGAGTCCGAGCGGCATCCGACATAGCCGTTTCATTTCATAACAATCGCATGACAGCACGCAGGAGTTTGGAGATTCTTTGATTGCTCGATCTAGAGAATTGTTTGAGGCTGGCTGCTCAATTTTGACACACGACGATAGCCGACTGCGGTATGACGAGTTCTTCGGAAACGCCACGTTATCAGGTTCGCACTCAACGAACATCAAACAATAATCGTTTTGGATTTCTAATGGACGCTTATGGATGTCTCAGTAAAATGTCAAGCACTGGCCAGAGTATATCTGGGATAGTATTTACCAATAAAGCAACCCATCATTCAACACTTAGTCCCAGCAGAAGTTTCACTATTGAGTGGCCAGGCTGTCTCACAGCACGGTGACCAGGTTTAGCCCTAGATCTAGACCAGGCCCTGTGGAAACTCGGAGAGGTACGCGAGGCAGGGGACTCCCAGGGGCGAATTGAGCCATCGGTCTGAATGAATGCACGCACCTCGTGCCGAATGGTTTACGTGCCTCTCGGTTCGTATCGCTGCATCCTGGCCTAATCTCGGATCACGGGGATGTCCTTGGAGAGCACCCGCTCCATGGAAGACCGCAAGCGTGAAGCCTGTGTATTCTCGTCTGGTCTCTTTAACGTTGCTCTCTTTGCAAAACTGTATCTTGAGGTTTTGCCCAGCACCTACCCTCCTACAATATGTACCTGTTCTGGCCGAGATGTCAGGGGACATTCATAGGAATAATTGACTCAAGTCAAGTGGTGTCGTAGCAGTCTTTCACCACATTCAACAGTTCGCTGTCTGTACCATTGTCCTCGAGCGTCCCTTTAGAATTATTTCCACCATGTAATTGAAGAATGAAGATAGCTCAGGCCACGGTTCATTTACTGCAGGTATTCCCTGATTCTCTTGCGTTTACTGAGACTGCCAACGATTGCTTATACAGTAGGGTAGGACCAGCTGACAATGATCAATGGCAAGACAGAAATGGCGGGCAACCTCTACAATGGCGCCACCAGATGACATTTAATGATGCGTTAGGCTTGGGAACTGACTCATCCGCTCTATTTTCTTCATTTTCTCTTGGTCCCTTATACTCTTCGATTTTCGTTCCGAGGCCTAGAATGGTTGGTTTCACTAGCTGCTCGATTACCCATAATGCAGCCTTTGATCATCTTGATGATCTGGTCAGCTCGCGGGAAGGAAACCGATGGTGATAACGAACAATTGTCTACGAGTAGTCACGGTTCCGCAGGTGGCGTCCCACCCTTGGGCTGTAGATAATATCATCGAGTCAGGATTCTAGGCCCGGCATTGCAGCCAAACGTGGGCTAGAGACCAATAAGGAGGGTGCTTTGCAATGGTGGCTCCTATTAGCACTTCACGTTTGCCCTTCTCCCCGACATTTTTGGTTCATCGGCCAGATCACCCAGGGGTGACATGCCCTCGGTCATCTTTCCTATTCGCCGGGATCAGCAACGTTTCTTTCTGGGCTGGCTGGCGCGAGGAAGGACAAAATTATTTCCCCACATTCATTACCCCAGAGCGCTTTCCCCCGCAACCCGGAGTCTTCCCCTCAAATTGTATAGATATGACCTTGGTCTGGATCACATTGTCTTGATTATAAAACTCCCCAGGACATAACCCTAGACCGTCTCATCCAACCAATATCCTCCAAGTTGGTTATCTATTCAACATCATGTCGATTAATTCCGGTACCATTACCAAAGACATGGAGGGTGGCGATGTGAAGCACTTGGAGACGAGCGGTAGGGGAGGGCTCACGGCCGAAGAGATTGACTTTATCGACAACTTCCCCGAAGAGAAGCGCAAGAAGGTGCTCGCCAAGATTGATGTAAGTCTGCCGCGCGGTTGCCTATTCGAAGATCTTGAACTCTGACATGCATAGTGGCGTCTGATGCCCATGCTTACCATCCTCTACCTGGTGGCCTACATCGACAAGGCGAACATTGGCAATGCTAAGATCGAAGGCTTGCTCGAGGATCTTCATATGACGGGAGATCAATACAACATTGCGCTCTCGATCTACTTCATCCCGTATATCCTCGCCGAGGTTCCAAGCAACATGATCCTCAACAAGTTCGCGCGCCCGTCCCAGTATATGGCCTTGATCATGTTTCTATGGGGTGGTATCGTTGTGAGCACCTCTTTCATCCACAATTTCGGACAGCTATGTGCCGTTCGCATTTTGCTCGGTTTATTTGAGTAAGTTAGCATTTCTTCATTGACCAAGAGAACATATTGCTAACGAGATTCTCAGGGCTGGCTTCTTCCCCGGTGCGCTCCTTATTATCTCGAAATGGTATCTCCCCTTCGAGACCCAGACCCGTGTTGCTATTTTATACACCTCGGCTGCCACTGGTGGTGCATTCTCCGGAGTCTTGGCCTTTGCCATCGCCAAACTCGGTGGGCAAGGTGGCTTGGAGGCGTGGAGATGGATTTTCCTGATTGAAGGCCTTTTTACGGTGGTGGGAGCAGTCGGCACATATTTTCTGCTCGTTGATTCTCCACAACTATCCGGCTGGCTCACTGAGGAAGAGAAGCGCTATCTGACTCTCCGTCAAGCGGCCCGCAGCGTCATCAATGTGGGAGAAAAGGGTGAACTGAAGGCCTTCGATCGCGCAGCCCTCTTCGATGTTCTCAAGGACTGGAAGGTGTACCTTCTGACCATCATGTCCTGGTCCAATGCCGCACCCAACTATGGCCTGAAGTTCTCTATGCCATCCATCAACCAGGGAATGGGCTTCACATCCGCCAATGCTCAGCTGATGACAATCCCGCCTTATATGTGTGGTGCGATCTCGTCATACGCTCTCTCACGACTTGCCGACAAGTTCAAGTGGCGTATGCCATTTATCGTTGGCCCCCAAATATGTGTGTTGGTGGCCTTTTCAATTCTCATGTCCAAGGCCGAGTTTATCAAGCAGAATCTCGGTGTCTGCTATTTCGCCGTCTGCCTCGCCTGTTCTGGCATGTACCCTATTCTGCCTGGTGTCACCGCATGGAACGTCGATAATACTCCTAACGCGGCGAGGCGAGCCATCAGCATTGGATATCTTGCTTGTGCCGGTACAATTGGAGGTGTCTATGGTAGCTACATCTACAAAGACAACGAGAAGCCAAAGTATACCACCGGATATGGTGCTTCGCTGGGCTTTGCTGTTGGAGGAATTCTCGCGGCTCTTACCTTGGAGTTTGTCCTGTTTACGATCAACAAGAAGAGGGCTCAAGTCAGCGAGGCTGAGGTCCGGGCCAAGTATACCGAGGATGAGCTGGAGATTATGTCAGATCGCAGCCCGCTCTTCAAGTATCACTTGTAAAGTGCTCTTGGCTACTGGATGATTCGGTAAATTTGAGGGGCAGTGTGCTGGATACATCAGACGAGGGTTTTTCTTCGGGATTTCAGTTTGTCGTATCTTAGTAGTAAGGAATTGAAGAGCATAACCGGGAGAGAAACTCAGAACTAGTCCAATATTAAGCGTACACTATGGTGTTAACATGAACAATACTTTGCGCATTTGTGAGTGAGTAGAAACGGAATATGGCCGACTTCATTGATTACTTAATATCACTATTGCCATGCAATGAGACTTGGAGGTTTAGACTAATTCCTTTTGCTTTCTAGTTCTCCCACTTTACCTGTGCATAATTTATAATACCACCCTCCTAAGTGTGACTTGAGCTTACATCATGTCATGTGCTTGGTATGTACTGATTTGTGCATTGGGTGCTTAGATTTTATATTAACTTAGGGTTCAATTTTATTGTTTATCTACCACGTGGTCCATGAACGCTTGCTCTCAACCTCTGCCAGAACTCCCAGAGTCTTGACAGCCCATGCCTTCATCTCCTCACTCACGGGCTGATACGGTCTCCTCATCTCCCAAGTCTCCTCCTGGTCAAGCCCGATATTGCGTCCTAGGAAATACCAGCCTCCATACTTGGTTATCGCAATGCCCTTCTTGCAGGCCCACTCAGCATTTGCCACCAGGTCTTGCAGCTTCTTGGCCTGCTCGAGCTTGCCCTCCTTCCAGAGATCATACACAGCAGCGGTGGAGCCGGGGAAGATGTTGCCCATGCCCGTGACGCAGCCGCTTCCGCTGGCGTGCAGCGTCGGCAGGAGATAGTCACTGCTTCCGCCGTACACGCCAAACTGCTCGGGGCTGAAGATGCTCGTCAGTCTTGTGAGCTTGCCCACGTTGCCGCACGTCAGTTTCGTGGCGGAGATGTTGGGGTGGTCTGCCAGTGTGGCGAGTTGATCCGAGTCGAGATCAATGCCTCCCGTGACGGCTGGGAAGTTGTAGACAATGATGGGGATGGGGGAGTTATCCGCGACCTCTTTGAAGTACGCTATCAGAGCCGCTGAGGAGAGAGCCTTGGCCCAGTAGCTTGGCGGCAGAAGCAGCGTGAAAGACGCACCAGCCTCAGCGGCGTCCTCGGCATTGATGATGGTCTCGTAGGTGGACTGTGCAGATATTCCTGCAACGATGGGGTAGTCAGGCTTCCCAAGGTCTTTGACAGCCCGGACAGCCGTTACGAGGATGGCCTTGCGTTCGTCTCGAGTAAGGAGAGCTAATTCTCCGTTGGTGCCGAGGTAAACTAGCCCATGCATACCGGCCTGCACCAGAGCCTGGCACTGCTTGTACATTGCATCATGGTCAACTGGTTGCGACTTGTCACCAGCCTTATACAGTGTTACCACGGGGGTATACACGCCCGGGGGCAGGGGTCGTGCCTTGGGTGCCAGGGAAGCTCTCTGCATGATGGATGTTGGTAGAGGATGGGCGCTAAACAAAGTAGGGTGGTAATTGGCTGTGGTAGAGGTGTGCTTGTAGGGTAGAAGATATGGCTGGGGCCAGGAGCAGGACGAAGTGTAATTAGGCCGTAGATTCTTGAGGAATGCAGTGTCAGCCCTCGGGCATGTGTCCGAGGCCAGTTTGGGGCTGTTCCGCACTCGGAGACAAGACCGGCCCATCACGGCTCGCTTCTCCGCACTGCATGTTGAGCTCGCCCCCCTGAGGCCGACCGAGGCCGAGAATTGTTGGAGGAAATGAGTGATCGTGTGGAGCTGAATCCATTTTCTTGTTTACCCTCGTGATGACACCTGCATTTGTGCGTGGACTCTTTCTCTTTTAGTCAACAGGGGATGCAAGAGTGAGCTCCGATTTATCGCACCTTTCTGCGTTACTCGTGTCTTGCTCCATACATATCTCAAACGGCACTATGACAGCTGAATCGATGCAGATGAAGAAGTTCACATTGAATGATTTGCAGAAACACAGCACACGAGACGATTGTTGGATAGTTGTCCACCAGAAGGTGTGGGATATCACGAGTTTCATAGACGAACACCCGGGCGGCCCTGCTGGTAAGACTCCTCCTCTTCGTGTGTCCAATGAATCCTATGCTCATGCTACATTAGTAATACTTAAATACGCTGGGAAAAACGCCACTTCGCTTTACGACGCAGTTCACGCACCAGACATCATCACCGAGGAGCTCCCCAAGGACAAGCTCATGGGTTGGTTAGAAGACGTTTCGCCAGCGGATGACGACATCCAGGTTGCTCCTGAGTCTAAGCCAGTGCCCAAGCCGGTGGCCAAGCCAGTGGAAGACAACTCTATCGTGGAAGACGATGAAATCCCACCCCTCAGTGGGATATTGAGTTGCAAGGACTTTGAAGTAGCAGCCTCAAAGGCCCTCACACCCAAGACATGGGCGTTTTACTCTTCAGCCGCCACAGACCTTGTCACCCACCGCCTGAACAAGGAAGTCACGCGCCGCATTATGCTTCGTCCGCGAATTCTGCGAAATGTTTCCAATGTTGACATGAAGACGACAATTCTGGGCAACCCCGTCTCAGCACCCTTCTTCATTTCACCGGCCGCCATGGCGCGACTTGCTCATCCCGATGGTGAGTTGGCGCTCAGCCGAGCTTCTTCCAATCAGGGAATCATTCAAACGATTTCCTCCAACGCTTCTTTCCCCATGCGTACCATCATGGGTGTTGCGCCACCTGAGTACCCTTTCTTCTTTCAGCTCTACGTCAACTCCGAGCGGAAAAAGACAGAAGAGATTCTGAAGACGGCGAGGAACCTCGGCGTCAAGGCCATCCTGGTGACGGTGGATGCTCCCGTCCCAGGAAAGCGAGAGGCGGACGAACGAGCCGCGCAAGAGGGCACTGTCCGCTCGGCTATCAGTGGTGGGGAGAGTAGCAAAGACAAAAAGGGCAGTGGTTTCGGGCGATTGATGGCGCAGTACATTGATAAGTCTCTGAACTGGGATGATCTGGCTTGGTTACGCGGGATGTGCGGCGACATGAAGATTGTGCTGAAAGGTGTTCAGACAGCAGATGATGTCAAGATAGCTGCTGAATATGGATGCGATGCTGTCGTCTTGAGCAACCATGGTGGGAGATCGCTCGACGGGTAAGATCATACTGTCCCCACCTTGACTCAAGACTTTTCACTGACCGCACGCTCGTGCATATAGATCGCAGCCTAGCATCTTGGTTCTTATGGAGGTGCGAAGGCGGTACCCTCAACTTCTGGAGAAGTTCGAAGTATATGTCGATGGCGGTTTCGAGCGCGGCTCCGATATCCTCAAGGCGCTTGCTCTCGGTGCCAAGGCCGTTGGCATCGGAAGGCCATACATGTATTCTTTGGTGTATGGCCAAGAGGGTGCAGAGCATCTTACAGAGAGTAAGTTTCTCCCGTTAACACACGCCTCAACCATTCGTCTTGGTCTGACTTTGTGTACAGTCTTGAAAGATGAACTAGAAACCTCGATGAGACTTGCAGGGCTCTCATCCCTCAATGAAATCACTCCACGACTGGTCAACACTAGAGATGTTGATCATCTTGTAGACACGGGCGAGGATTCATCCATTGTCCGGTCCAAGTTGTAGAAGAATCGTCTTTACAGGGATAAAACAGGATAGAGGGAGACATACATGTAGATATCATTTTGAGCAACTTTTTGGACTTGTTAAGAACATGAGATGAGACAATAATACTCCTTTGCTACCATATGAAGTCGACCAAGGTACAATTGCATGTGGCCTGACTCGCAAAGACTATCCCAGTGTGAACCAACCTGATGAAGCTAAAGCTGAAATTCTAAACGAATGAACCCGGTAGGAGATGAGATTAACGGGGCCAGACTCGAATCATGTGACAGTCCCCGCGGAAATGGAGGCCTTCCCCGCCTTTTTCAACGGGGAGAAATAAATCAAGCCCTGTCATGATTGCAAATACCACCAATTCTCGTTGGTTGCTTCCAAGCATTTCCCCAACCTTCGACGCGGCCTGCTGCCAATCGCTTTTGCCATGTCCAAGCGTCCACATGAAAGAGTCAACGGCTCGTCTCCGGCTCTGGTGCGTCTCCTCTCTACCCCTTTTTCCTGGGTTTCACTCCACCACTCACCACACCCAATCCCCGTTGCCCCTTTCGCACCGATGCTAACAAAGAACCCAAGCATCCATCCAAGAGATATGTGGGAGGGGCCCAAAATTCTCACAATGGACACCCGTTGCCGCAAATATCGCGGAACATCAAAGCATGTACCGTTTGCCGAAAGCACAAGGCAAGTCGAAAACGCGACACACGTATTGCGAGCCAATCATATTGACAATTGGCCAGATCAAATGCTTGATGTCCGATGCTGGGCCTCCGTGCCAAAGGTGTCACGAGAAGAAGCTGGACTGCGTTGTGAGCAAGAACCTACAGAGCATCATCGATGAGAAGACACAGTAAGTTTCACCAAAACTAATAAAATGCTTGAAGCTCACCTGTTAATAGATTATCCGAGGCTGTACTCTCAGATCTCGAGTACCTGTATGCAGCTGTTGGGGAGATGCGGGAGGCTATCGGCATGTCTGGTTTGCTGCCAATGCAGATCACCCAGTTTCAAGATGGGAGAACATCTGGCCCTACGGCACCTACACAATCCCTCGCGATCCCACCGGCTGGAAATGAAGCGATAGGGCCGTCGTGCGACAACTCCCCGAAGCTTTCCCCCAACGACAGTGACCTACCGCACATACCAATCCACTCACTGTATACACTGACCAAAATGCGCGCTCTTCGGTCCCCGGATAGCCAAGAGACGCGGCAGACGGATGCCATCAACGACTTCATTTCTCACGGAAAGCTTGCCCTGAATGATGCAGAACGCCTCTTCACTTATTACCGGGACACTCTGGACGGATTCATGTATTCCATCGGATGTCGGTACCAGTCGTTAGATGAGCTGCGCCGGAAGAGCCCTATTCTTTCCGCCGCAACTTTGACGGTAGCCGCGATGCATGATCCAAGTGCCAACGAACAGTACGGCGTTTGTCGAGCCGAGCTTCGCAAATTGGTAGAACGGTCTATGCTAGGCAGGCAAGCAGACAAGGACTACTTTCGAGCTCTAAGCATTGCGGCATACTGGCTAAGCGATCTCTCATGGACGCTCTCAGGACACGCCATCCGTCGAGCTACCGAGTGCAACATTCACAACAGTTTCAGCCAGGCTGTGCAAGAACAGAGCCAAGACGCGGTAGATTGTGCGAGAATATGGTCTATACTGTACATTTGCGATCAGCACCTGGCAACTTTATATAGCCGACCAGCCATCATCCAAGATGACGGCTCTACTCAGAATTGGGAAGGGTTTCTGAATGCTCCCTTCGCTACTAAAGAGGACGAGAGACTGATGAGCCAAGTTGAGCTCATGGGCATCACTCAAAACGTACGGCAGCTCTTCGGACCTGACAACGGGCAGCCGATTCCGAAAATGTACTTGAATCAGATATCACACTATAACCGACAGCTGGGGCAATGGATCGCCAAGTGGAATGTCCGGCTTCCAGGTAAACCTCCTTTTCTTGATGACCCCCAGACAATTTAACCCTAAGATGTTAACCTCTTCATAGCCCCCGGCTTTCCACGGAAAGGTGCCCAACTGCACATGCATTTCGTGCAGCTCTACCTCTATTCGCACGTTTTTCGTGGCCAGTCCAGCCCGTTGCCAAGCTACTTCTTCGATGCTGCCTGTGTCGCTGTGGCTGCCGCATCCACAATCATGGAATTCCTCCTGACTGATCCAGACCTCTGCGCTGGCATTGTCGGGATGCCTTCTTACCTGCTCTCCATGATTGCATTTACGGCCATGTTCGCAGTCAAGGTTGCTCACAAGTTCAAAGACGACAACCTGTTAACAATTGAACAAGCTCAGACCCAAATCCTGAGACTCGTGACACTCTTCCGGTCATTGAATGTGGGCAAGTGGCACTTGGCAAATCTCATGGTGGAGGGGTTGGAAAAGCTTGCCAAGTTTGTAGAGCCGACCATGGAGAATGGATTCCATCCACATGACGGGACAGCTACTTTTCCGATGCACACAGCTGATGGCATGGCTGTGTTTGCCCAGACGATGCCGTTCAATCATGTCATGCCCAAGGTTGACGGAATCCCTTGCCCTGCGTTGGATACAACGTTTGGTCTGTCTCCTATCTTTGGCTTCGATCCATCGTGGCTGGAAGAAGGGACGCTTGGTGAGCCGATTCCAACGCATGATGATGACAGTCAGCATATGGCATGAGCAGTTTGTGTGTCCTGTATTATATACAATTGATCTATACCAAGCTCTTTACATTCCCTGGATTTTCCGAGGGCGATACTCGCTTTCCAAATACTCCAACTCCTCTTTCGTGAATTCAACGGCCAATGCCTGAACTACTTCCTCCACTCTCTTGACTGAATTCAACCCCAGAATCGGGTAGCATTCCTTTTTTAGGACCCAGGCGGTTGACAACAATGCCATGCTGACCCCCTTCTTCTTGGCGATCTCCTCGACTCGATTGACGATATCCATGTTTGCGTCAGCAAACCATTTATCTGATTTTGCGTCCAGGCCACTTCGCAATGACTTTTCAGTTTGGTCCTCTTTCTTCAGTGGCTTCGCCAAGAGTCCTCTTGCAATCGGGCTCCAGGGGATGACGCCAACTCCGGTTTCTTTGCAATAGGGGATCATCTCTCTCTCTTCCTCGCGGTAGAGGAGATTATAGAAGGGTTGCATGGAAATAAATTCCGTCCACCTATTCGACTGTGCAATGTACTGCAGTCTCTGGAACTCCCATGTGTACATGGACGAGGCTCCGATGTAACGAACTTTGCCAGACTGGACAACCTCGTGTAGAGCACGCATGATCTCCTTGGGCGGTGTTTCTCGATCCAGACGATGAATCTGAAGCACATCTACATTTCCATTTGTCAGCAAATCGTTACAAGGGTCACCCCCTGATATATGGCTGTGCTAGGGTTCATACCAATATAATCAGTGCCCAATCTTTTCAGGCATTGATCAACAGCATGGAAGATATGCTTTCGGCTCAACCCCATCTGATTCACCAAGGGGCCATCATTAACCGATGGCGGTCTTGATTCGTCATCCATGACTGGATTGAATATCTTGCTGAGGATAACAACCTTTTGTCTAGGGATGTTGAACTTCTTCAACGCCAGACCAATGATCTCTTCCGACTTGCCGTTGGAATAGGTATCAGCCGTGTCCCAGGTGTTGATTCCATTATCGTACGCGGCCTTGAGTAGTTCAAGGCCCTCCTCGGTGCCTAGAATCCATGGCGAGCCTTCCCATTTACTGGAGCCGAATGACATGCATCCCAGGATGACCTTGGAGATCTTGAGGCCTGAATTTCCCAATCTGTACACTGTTAGTGAGGAGAGCTTGAGAGGGGTTGGATGTCTGAACGTGCCTTACGTATTCCATTTTGAAAATAGGATAATTTGCTGATGATTTCTCCTGGGGTGAGAGAAAAAGCTATTGATATTTTAGCGGAGTAGGTGTTCGGGCCAGGAGCATTCCTACGCCGAGTCAAAGAATGATTGGCCCTGAGGAATCCCGGTGGATATCCGTAACCCGCAAGATGTTGCCGGACTTGTTTCCGAGGGCGGGGAAGAGAGCGCGTGCGGGGAGAAGAGAGCGTTTCGTCACCACTGTGGAGACGGATCAAGAAGCGATCCGTAGCTGGCAGAAGCAACCGGACGTCTCCCGCGGGATGCGGAGATTTTGGGCTGGAGAAGAGGACACGGGGGACGGGGTAAGTGTCGCGGGGTATGATCGTGGTTGCTTGCCTACAGAGGACCGTCCATCAGCATACAAACCAAGCCCAGCAGAGGCGTATACTAGGATAACAGTTACATCAAAATTCCGGACTCAACATATGCAAGCAAGTGCGCAAGTAGTTGTCTATAGCTTCAAATAAATCGTTTTCAGATATCTCCCTATAACTCAACCCAATTCTCTACGTCGGAGATACGTATGTGTTTAATGTACTGCCTATGGAATGTGAATGCGACATGTAGAGTGTCTTTTCCTTCGACAGCTTCTACCCATGCGCTTGGATAGCTTAATTCCCTGTTCTCTTTCCCTGAAGAGCTGTTCGTCATGCAAAATCCATCTCCGTCCTCAAGAACCTTGGTCTTCCAAGTGAGACCGTTATCCTCAGAAATGCCCAGGGTGAGCTTCTTCCGGGCAATTCCCCAAATGGCTTCACGGCCGCCCTTCGAAGCCTGGTTGGGGCGCTTGTCATCTTCGGGAGTAATATCATCATAGAGGCCTTGTCGCTTCAAATCGTCTGGCGAGGCAGCAGAGTCGTTGAACACAAGAGCAATCTTTCCCGATGATAGACGAGCAGCGCAGATGCCACTATTGGGGTTGGCAAGCTCAAGAGGTTTTGGTGTGTCCCAATCAAGTCCGTTGCTTGATGTCGCTCGGTACACTCTGTCTGCCCAGCGGCTACGATAGAATGACACCCAGTTTGTCTTGCCGGGCTCCGGCTTGATGATGTTCATGTGGACAGCACCAATTCCATCAGACAATTGCCTCTCATGCCATGTCTTTCCCTCATCCTGGGAATAGAAGACCCCGGAAATGTCATCGTTTCCAATCCATCGGCATCCAGGTTCATTTCGGCAGTAGAAAACAGGGAGGACCCATGTGTTGTCTTCCAGAACGACAAGGGGCTGTCTAGAGAAAATCCCCTTTTTCTCGCCAAGGGGACGCGTCGGGCCTGACCAAGTCGAACCCCCATCATCTGATGTACGGGCTACCATGTAACACTCATCTTGGTTTCCAGCATCTTGAGACGTGTGGAATAGCCAAATGCGGCTTGAGTTTGGGGCCTGGAATAGGACCGGGTTCTGGCAGCTCCGACCCTCATCATATGAAATCCTGTTTGGTTGAGTCCATGCTGAAGCTCCAGGCTCTAGACGTGATAACCAGATGCTGACATCTGGAAGGCCTTCTTGGGAGCCTCCAAAGAACACGCATAGAAGAGTTTTGTCAGCTAGTTGAAGAAGGTTTGAAGCGTGACACTGAATTGTTGGTGTTGGGATGGCGAGACTCTGTGCTTGTGGTGCCATGATGAATGCTGGGTGGACAGTCAAGATGCTGAAGGGAGACAGAGAGGGCTTGGAGGTTTGAATCTTCAAAGGCGTGTCTGGGTAGAAGATATTTGTCGTAGTTCTTTGATTCTATTCAGAGTTATAGAGCCGACGCTAATGGGTCGCTAAAAATATTGCTCCGTCTCCAAGATTGGACCTGAATCAGGGCTCGGTCATCTGTCCGAGCCAATCGCTTTCGCCATCAAAGCCTGTTGCTCCACAGCAACGACTTGACGTGATCGTGTTCCGATTGTAGGTCTGAAAATTGACACTCTTGAGCCCAATGTCTTCGATTATTTCGCTCGTTTGACAGATAGACTTACTTCCAAATTAACAAGGAGAACTTAAACTACTTTTTGTAAGATTCAGTGTCAGGCTTCTTCCTCTCTTTTCCTTCTTACGTCTGTTTCCAGTTTTCGTATGCGTCTTGCTTCGGTCTGGGAGATACTTGGAGGTAGAGTATTTCTCAGTTAATGCACAATATGTTTGTTGAAAATATGATTCTCTACAAAGAGCTTCTTACGACTTGGTAACTATCCGCTCACAGGACCACAACCATCTTGCTGCCACCTCCCCCTGCTTCCATAATACCATGCGCCTGCTGGATTCCATCCAGCCCGAAAACCTTTATATTCAGTCGAATTTTTCCTTGCTCGACATCCTTGATTAGCTCCTCAAAGGGTACTTTATGAAGGTCTTGAGGACCTCCGCCATACGCACAAAGCCGCACGCGATTTGGTAACCCAATGAAGAATGGAGAGAAGTTTTCAAGCATCCACGAACCACCACTTTGATTGCCAACGACGCAAACCGTCCCTTTGTCTCTTGCACAAAGAATACTGTCGTTTATTGTCGGCGTTCCAACCAGCTCCATAACCCTATCAAACTTCTCATCATGCTGGAGTGACTGGGAAATCTTTCCATCGTCGATGATGACCTTGTCCGCTCCGACCTCTGAGAGCAATTCTTTGCGACCAGCGTTTCGCGTGGTTGCAGCGACGTACGTCGCCCCAAGCCTTCGAGCCAGTTGTATTGCACAAAGACCTATGGAGCTCGTAGCGCCTCGGATCAAAACTCTATCACCAGGCTGGACATCTAGACCAGCTGTGAGAGCTCCCCAGGTTGCCTGCAGCATTTCTGGGAGGGCTGACAACTGGGCAACCGTAAGGCTTGTGGTTGGTATCTCTCGCAAATTTTCGATGGAAGCGCAGGTATATTCCGCATAGGAGCCGGGGATTTCTCGCCCCAAGCCTCCCATACAGGTAAATACTCGCGACCCTATGGGTAGTCGCTGAGTGACCTCAGCTTCGTTGTAGCCCGCAATCGTACCATAGCACTCTATTCCTAGAGTTTGGGGCAGGGTCATATGTCCTTGACCTAGGCGAGAGAGCATTTCTACTCAACAGGTAAAGTAATCAGCAATACAATAATAAGCGAACACTGTTCATTGGAGACTACTTACCTCCACGGTTGAGACCAAACCCCAAAATCTTGATGAGTGCTTGGCCAATGGCAGGTGAAGGTATTGTGACCTGGTGCTCGACGAGGGTCGAAGGGGACCCTGGAGCCTCGCAGATGATAGCCTTCATGGTCTCTGGTGATGACATGATTGTGGTAGTTGGAACAAAGCTGCGTATAAAGTGAAGACTTCTGTTGATATCTTCGGAAGGTTGAGTGATGATAGAAAGAAGGCCAGTTCAGCTATATGAGTTCTTGAAAGACCTTTTATACTCCTCCAAAAAGACATGAATCCCTAAACCCCATTATGATTCCTCTCCTCCGACCATGATTACCCGATTCCTGGACTCTGAACAGGCAAGCGGGGATATTATCCCCGTCCATGTCCTCACGGCGTTTGGGCCCACACCACCGACCAAGTTGTCATCCCCGCGGAAATGCTAAGAACTTCCATTGAAATAGAAACGTAATGAACTAAAATGATGGAATTAATGAAATCGAAGGGGATAGGGGCTCTCTGGCTCTTTGGCAATTGTGATGGTGATTACTGAGACTCCGATGCATGATGTGAACCCGACTACGACAATTTTAAAGCCATTAAATCAGACTAATGGAATAACAATAAACACATTCAAGAACCAATTATCGTATGTTGGTAATTGATCAAACCGAGTAATCATATTAGCGAGCTAGAGGCCACAGCTTTGTTATTTTTGCACCTTACCCTCGTCTAGTACTATCAAGCTACCCTAGATGTTGACCCCTCCAGTTACAAAGGTCCCCAGAAAGGCGTTTATTTGTTACTGGGCACAAATCTCCTTGTTGGTTAATTGATAATCGGGATTCGGTCATGTTAGGTATTCGGTGATGTCAAACAATCATTCAATTTTGTAATATTTCGCTTCGTCAAAAAAGGCCCTCTTTGGCTTTGGCTCTTGAATCCAGTCCATGAGGATATCATAACAAAGGTAACAAGTCATAAAAATACCATCTTACTGCGATCCAGCCGTAGCACGAATAAAGGACTGGAACTCATCCATGTTACGAGTCTGCACATATACAGAGCCAGGCCCAGTAAATCGGCAGACAAGACCCTCGCCGGTCTTCATACTTGTGCTTGCGCCGCCACCAGCTCGCTCGATCTTGTAGTCACAACTCCAAGCTACCAAGTGGCCGTTGTCCACAATGTGTTGCTCACCAGGCTGAAGCTATCACAAAAATCAGTTTTCATACCACAAGGTACAGATTATAGGGGGGTGACTTACATCGAGGCGATCAACGGCACCGAAACTCGTCAACCACATAATACCCTGGCCCTTTACGTGGTAGACAAATAGGTCCTCGCCAGAGAACAGGGCCTTACCAAGGCCTTGGGACTTTGACTCCTTGGCGACCTCTGCTGTGCAGGCGAGGAAGGCATCCTTGCCGATAATCCAGTTTTGTCTGCCGTCAATGTGGAGGGTGATGATGTCTCCAAACAAGGTTGGGCCGAGGGCGACCCTGCCAGGCCCGGTGTAAGTGGACTCGGACATCTCGCCGCCAGTGAAGAGCTTCTTCATGGAGAATTTGACTTTGCCTGTCAGCTTGATATCACCGGACATGTGAATCATGGCCCCCGGCGCAGAGCGGACGTTCGCTCCCTGCTGGACGGTGACGTTCAGCACGGCGTTTGTGTCACGGTGAGTGACGGCATAACTGCCACCTGGGAACTGTCCGCTATCTGAGGGGTGTTGTTGTTGGTGTTGTTGCTGCTGCTGAGGGGCATGGAGCTGCTGCTGGGGATGCCCTTGGGCTTGGTGGCCAGGGGGGGCACCAGGTGGGGGAGGGGGGTAGTAACCCTGCTGAGGATGTCCTTGGTGAGCCATGGTGTTTTTGGGTATCTTTGAATGAGAAGAAAGAGATGATGAAGGAAGAAATTAAACAAGACCTTACATGCTGGTGAACATATGCGTCCTATTTATACTCGTGGACGGGCTTCATCAGGTCTTATGAATAGAAAACAGACACAGCCTACATTAGCCAATTGGTGGGTGAATCAGGGTCCTCCACAGGGCTCAGCATGATGAGACGATCGCGTTTGTCCACTGATTTGCTTGTGATGGTCCCTTGTCATACGGTTAGCATGGCCCGGCTGGCCCGATGGAACACTTAGGCGCCACGATAATGGACATGCTACCCCGAGACCCAATAGATCAGCATGCATCAATGCCCCCATTGCTATTGATGGCCTATGTAATACTGTGAATCTTACCATGGGTGGTACGCTCGGCGTCTCCATGCATCCGTGGACCAACGAATGCGATTGTTTCTGGCACTTGTCCTCACCAACCAACATCTAATGAGGTAATTACCGTAAGCACTGCATTTCCCTACGTGAGACTACGTCATCTGGTTTGTGAAACACACGGTAGGGCGAATCATCGAAGAGAACCACCAAACCAAGTGGTCCCATCAGTTGTTCCGACTGCTCTTGTGGCTTAGCAGCTCTTGAAGGCAAGCCCCAACAACGGTTCAATGTAATCAGAAATGACCAGGATCGGCACACTAGAGGGCATTGCCAAGGTGTTTTACGCAATCCTGTGGCACACACACGGCCCATCCTTCTCCATCCAGTTATCCTCGTTGTGGCGGAGTTTAAGCTCAACGTTGACGGTGGCTGTGCTTACGGAGTCCGGCTATTGTCTGAAGGTGTAATACCACAAGGAGGCCTCAATCAGTAAGAGACCATGTATGTATTGGTGCCGAGGGATGCGCATCGTACCAAGTCAATTCATGCGCAAAGGTTTGTACACAACAACCTAGAGGCCCAATTCTACCCCTATAGAATAATATGCCCCAATTGGGGCTCAATTGGATTTGCTATCATTATACCATAATGATTTCCGTTTCTTCCCCGCAATACTCTGCTGCTCCTTCTCCGTGCATGATGCCGTGAATGCATGTCTCTCCCACAAATGAATGATATTTAGCCTTGGTCTGCTTGCGCAACACTAATGGAACGGTGACCCCGTGGAATATCGAGATTATGTCCCCTTCCTCGACATCGAGTGGCCCAAGCCCTACATATCCTTTCGCTGTAATAAACAACGAGCGATTGAAACAGCGTGGCCGGATGCCCGCATAGAATAAACTACAGCCTGGCTCTTTGGCTAGAGAATTATTTCTCTTCTCACCCCGTGTCGAGTAATTAGCACTGGGTTCAACCCATTGTAGAAATTGGGCATGGCAATCGGCCTTGGTAAGGTTTCCAAGCCGCCCTCCAAGAAGGGTCATGAACATTGCTTCGGACCGACCACACGTATCTCGGTATGGATCAGCCTGGATGCCCCGAAGACGCCGCTGCCAACTTTTGACTGCATCTTGGAGCTGCTCCTCGAGGGAATTGAAACGTATGTCGTCAATACCGCCTTTAGGAGACAGGCCTGTTGGTACGACAATGATGACCTCATCGAATTGAAATCCCTTTGCTGCCATCAGTATATCGCTAGATAGAGTAGACTGTGGTGAACCTGGCCGGGTAAAGGGGACCTCATCACCGGTGCGCTCATAGATGTATCGAATATATTGTTTGGTGTTTCCGCAGGCCTCAAAGTGTCCACTCTCCTGTGATGCCGACCGCGACGAGCTCAACGCGTTTTGAAACCCTCCGTATTTATCACCGCTGCACCAAGATGGGAGAGTTAACCCTCCGAGGGACTCGAAAGACGGTAAATTAAACCGGAACGTTCTGAAACCGTAGATCTCAATCAGGTGAATAAACAGGCGGACGAAAACCATATGATCAGAGCCCCAGTAGTCAGGCTGGATATTGAGCTGATCACGAGGGGAAGCTAGTGAAAGAACACCAAAAATGAAGTCCCGCAGAATGCTCTGGTTAAAATCCCGAGAGAGTGTTAGCCATACTGGAAGAGGAGCCCTGTGAATAGAGATATCACGCCGATACGTCTTCCACTGCCTCAGCAAATAGTAGAAGGGACATTTTCGGAAGAGCTCCTTGACAAGAACGTGCATATGCCTCGTCGCCGAGAGATATTGAGCATGCCAGGTAGCCAGCTCCGCGAACTTGTCCATGGGAACAGATACGTTCCCAAGAATAACCACTGGTTTCTTGGAGAAGAATGCCTCTTGGATAACCCATCGCCGCCCCCACCAAGGCAAGCTGAGAATACTTTTCAAATGATCCCATTTGGCCAGCGGTGAACCTCTATCGGTCCAGACACTGCAAAACCTCCAATCATCGATCAAAGGGGGACGGAGATGGGGAGTGGCTGTAAAGTGTTCCTGGCAGTATTCGTCTAACGTCTTCACCTCCTCAAGAAACCCTTTCGGAGTCAGGGCGCCAAGGAAGTCCATAGCTAGTCGGGTTGACGACGACCCTTCTCCCAGCCAAATCCAAGTCTGAGATGCTTGCTGATAAATGCGCGACATAAGACCGATTTGCCATGCCTTCTCGTCCAGATCTGTCTGATTTATACATACTGCATCGACCCATATCCGAACCGTCTTTTCATCTTGGCGAATTCGCTCGATGGCAAGCCAAAGATTCCGATTCACTTCAATGCGGATGGAATCTACAAGAAGGTGGCCTGCGCGACGCGTGCCTTTCCTATGCGACCGTGGGAAATACTGACCCGACTCCCACACATAGGAAAGAGCGAAATACTCGGCAGGGTCGTCCAGAGACTGGGTGGTCAAGGATGCTGAGATGGCATTGCGTTCAGAATGCGACGAGAAGGGTTGTGCTTTTCGCGGGTGGATGGTAAGAAGGCGGACCTCATGTCGATCCTGGTCCAGTTTGCAGTACAGAGTGCTTCTCTTGCGCGTTCGTTTCAGATTCGTTGATTGCTGCTTGGCTCGAGTTGCTTCATTTAGCCCTGATGCTTGGGGGGATGGGTGCGCCATGCGTTCGATGTTGGATATCAGCTCTCGGGCCAATTTTGCAAGCAGTCAATGTTGTCCTTGCCAAAAGTGATGATGAAGGAGGGAACTGTGGCGATGCTCGTCAGTGAGGAGAGAAATGCTCATTTGTTCGTGGCGGAGCAACTCTGTAGGCAGGCTTATGCAGGGTTGCTGAGCACACCAATCAACATGCCCGTAGTCAGCGGGGATGAGCTTCTGCTAAGGGTGAGAGTAGATGCACATTTACAAATTGCACATTGAATTAATCATGTTCTTATAATAATTCTCGAATTCTAGAGAAGGTGTAAACTCAATGAATGGCCGTAGCTATTGTAGACACCGCCATTTATCTTTTTGATAATATTCATAAAGCTGGCAACACACAAATATTGCTTATCATCCTCTGCGTTAAACCCAAGACTTATCTGTTGAAGCAAGGGGCTGAGCAGAGGAAGATCTTGAATATGCCTATGGATAGACTCGATAGCACACACCCGGGCACGTTGCGGTTTAATTTTTTCTCGTTGATAGCTCTTCTACTTGATAACTAGTCAATCAGTGACATAAAGCTAGATAGCACCCTCAGCAGCTCCCATTCCCAGAGGGGCAAAGTGTCTTCGAGCATATGTAAATCCCGAGCCGAGGTACTGGGTGGCTGCTCGAGCTACGACGACATGATCTCATATCGAACAGTCGAGTAAAACGCCTACCTCTAGCAGAAGCTCAAATGCAAAAAGTAAGCCCTCAATCTTTTCAATCGGCTGCTTGATATCCGTCGTACCACTATTCGGCTTCCTCATCTCCAGAATGGGATCAGAGTTACATGTGCAAGGACTGGGTTGTCTCTGCTCGAGCGACTCCAAATATTGACCAAGTACACGGTTTCAATCAGTCGATTGTATCTAGATCTGGACTGCAAGAAGGCACGGGATGCTGTAACGTATCATATGATCCTGATATCGGATATCGCAACAGTGCGAGTATCGCTTATCTACATCCCGTCTTCCGGGGCGACGAGCATGGACTGAACCTCACCGTCTTGACGGACGCATGAGTGTCGAAGGTTTACATTGAGGATATCACCGCGACAGCCATTGATGTGGCTTTCAAGTCAGGGCATTTGATTACCGTGCGAGCGAAGAAAGATATTGTTCTGTGTGCTGGAGTCATCGGTAGCCGTCAACTACTGCTTCTTTCGGGGATTGGGACTCGCCAACATCTATAATCGGCCAATCTTCCGGTTTATACGACTTGCCAATAGTGAAAACCTCATGGATCATCCCTAGACAACAATGCTCCACGGACGCAACAAACCGGCGGCAACAAAAACTTTCAAGCGCTTGATCAAACGAGAGGCTTCACCTAGTCCCCACGTCACGACGGACGAGCAACTAGACTAGTTTGTCCGCGATCTATCAGGTACCGTCTACTACCCTGCCTGCACGAAGAAGATGGGTGATGTCGAGAAGGATGACATGGATGCGGTGGACCTAGAACAAAAAAAAATAAAAAGTGAAAAAGAATCAAGGAGCTGCGAATTGCTGATGCAGGTGTGTGTGAACCCGATGCTACGGTGTTTTGTCTTGGTGAGCGGTGTGCTGAACTGGTCGCACAAGATGCCGGAACACGGCGAGATTGTAAATTAGCGGCTGAGACACGACGATCAACAGTTCGGATCAGCTCGTTAGTCGCTAGCTTATAGACATTGTTATCGTTGATTTTTCATGATCGGATGATGGAATCTGGCTTGCCTCAGACCCAGTGACCACCGATTTCTTCGTTATCAGGGGCCACACACTACCGAATCATCGACGCTAGAAAGAAGCCTCAATGTGACAGGAAAATATGTCTTGATGCCCGATCCAGTATAGGTTGTTCAGTTCTTCGGCTCCTGGAGGCCTGTCTGCTGAACTATAACGAATCAGACGGGGTGTCACATCAATCCTGGTCACTCTAGACCACACGCTAATTGCTCAATTTGCGGTGATCGACGTCATGACCTCGCTTTAGCCTGTTGCCGAAATCCAGCCAGGTCCTACGGGATACGTCATAGGCGCCCTCGATCATGAATGGGGAGACAATCCAGCTTCCCATCACCGCTAAATCAGAGAATAAAATCTCTCGACCATCATAAATGTCTCTACATCCCACCACGGTTCGCAGTGAAGCTCAACTCTCCTTTTGAGACCGACATCAACAGCGAACAGCTCAAATCTCACCCCGACTCTTCATTTCAACCCGCCAATACGTGAGCAATCATGGGGTTCGCCAACCTGGACAAGAGCTATGTGGGCTTCACCATTGCCCACTGCTGCACCTTTGCCCTCGCCATTGCAGTCTGTGGTATCTATGGCAGCGACATGCAATATGCCAGAGAAACCCACAAAGGCGTCAATTCAAAATGGGTAAGAAGCTACTCTGCGCGATACAATACAAACATTCGTTAGAAATACGTATCTGACAATACTTGACAGATTTTCGCGGTGGTGGTTGGCGCACTGTCCGCCCTTACATGCGTGATATACGCCGTGCCCTTCATCTTTGCCAGAGGAGCTTTCTTCATGATCTTCTGGGACGCGATCTTGTTCATCCTCTGGATTAGCCTCTTTGGCGTTTTTGGAAGTGTACGTCCAAGGCATCTGCTTTCTTGCTCCATTTTTCTTTGACTTTTCCATATTCATGGACGCCCCTCCATGAATCTCTAGACATTGTACTAATCGGAAGCCTACAGATGTACATTCATGAAGACGCAAAAGGGGACCGCGATGTTGAGCGGATGAAGAATACCGTTTGGCTGGACCTGACCAACGCCCTCCTTTGGCTCATCATCACAGTGGCCATTGGTATCTACTGGTTTAGGCATCGCAGCGCGGCAAGGACAAGGTGGTCAGGCCGTATGAAGGTCTGAGGAAGTAATACGTGGTGGACCTCTGGCTATGGCATAAGGGGGTTCGTTGAGAGGGCCGAGTAGCTCGAAGTTGACTGGCAAACGCAGTTTCGTTGCGCTCAAGGAATAATACGGGTAATTTTACAACAGCGGACTCTAATGTACCAAACACTTAGCTGAATAATAGCGAGCATCTATTCTCATAAGACTGAACTCAGTGACCATATATTTCTCCTCTCAAACTCCAAATTCAAAACGGCCATCGATGGGCAGTGGTTTGCCAGCCCGATCTCGAGTGAAATATAACGTGCCCAACTTGGGGACGAATGATGTGCTGTGTAGTTGTCCCGAGTCGACCACCGAGGATGTGCAGGTAGTAATTGAGGCGGCCAACCGGGCATCAAGAACGCGGCAGCACCAGACTGCCAGGCAGCGTTTACGCATTCTTCGGCTGCAGGCTGATCTTGTCATGGTCAACGCTAGAAATCTCAGCCGCATCATCACGGCTCAGGACGACAAGCCCAAATCCACGCGCGAGTGACTATAATATAGGTCTTGTTTCCTATCCCACGACACAAGACTTGTCCTGTTCATGAAGTATTTCGATAAGCCTCGATTAGGGCTGGCAGCGGTGGCTATAACACGGGTTCCCTTTCTCACTCTGCAACTCCTCGTAAGGCTTGGCATTTTCAATCTCAAAATCTCAAGCGTGATGCCTAATGTCTATGCTAACTTAAGTAATTCCCAGTTTTGGTGGTATGAAGCATTCTGACTTTGGACATGAAGGCAGCAGGTATGGGTGTGGCGACTATCCTACCTAGGTACGAGGCCGTCATGGCTGGTAACGAGCCGATCGTAGTCTTTGCCTACCATATCAACCGAGGCACAAGCCGATGACCATGTTTGGTCTTGGCAAGATTCGCATCATTAAGCAATCGAGTACTACACAGAAATCGATCAAAGGAACTCAAAAACTCATTTAATTTGATTGCTCAGGTGAAGGAGCATGGCGTTCCTATCAGTAGAAAACGACACTATGATGCTCTTAATGATTGCATTACCATGCTTTTGCGGTCCAGGTTGATGAATTAGTTGTTTCTCACACGCCCACAATCTTCTCAAAGAATAAAAAAATTCAGCACACTCCAGATTCGGACAATGTATCAGCCCGATACGCAAGATTGAAGCCGGCCATTACTTCTTGGAAGCAGCAGCCTTGGCAAGGTCAGCAAGCGCATCGCGGCGCTTGAACTTGGCATCCTCGATAACGCCTTTACACTTCTGTCAGTTCCAAATTCTCGAAGATGAGTACAGGGTAAACTTGCCGGCATCAGCATCGCTTGAGAAATTGCCGCTCCAGGTGACGAAGGTATGGCCCTTGTGGTCGCCCGAGGTAACGGGGTAGGCTCTCACAGTGCTCACGACGGACGTATAGCTAAGAGCGGGGGTTGACGAGATGACGCTGTAGGTGATGTAGTGGTCGATGGTCTAGTTGAATGTCGATGGATGTCAGTTCTCGCATGCTGGCCAATCCGAGATGGGTGCAGTCCTTACCGAGTGCTCCTCCTGCTTGACTTCGAGGACGGTTCCATCCTTGAAGGTCCACTTGACGATGTCAGTGTCGGGGAACACGCCTTTGACCCATTCGCTCTTCTTGAGAGCAGTGTTGAACTTGGCAAAGTCCTGGAGCTTGATGAGGTGCCAGACGTCGGTGAAGGGCGCCTCGATGACGGCCGACTCGAGGACGGAGGTGGAGGTTGGGATGCGAGACATGGTGAGAGTGATGGTGTAGAGTGCAGTGGTTTGATGCGATGGACAGATTGCTTGTAGATGATGTCTTGGGTGATGATTTGGGTGAAGTTGTTGCTCTGGCGGTGATTATTGATGCAGATGAAGATGAGGAGAAGCGGGAGGAGACGGTGGCAAAGGCAAGAGCGATCGTTGGTGGTGATGCTGCATGTCGTCATCAGTCAATTGCGCATGCAGCCACTAACCGAGACCGCTAAAAAGCGACTGTTTCCAGCTAGACGCGCCCAAATGCAGTTGCAGCGGGACAGTCGCTGTAACTCAACCTTATTTCAGCAGCCATCGCCTGTCACCCAAGAATTGATATAGAAGCCAGGTTTTGACTTCGAATCCATCGATGCAGCAGGGAAGAGGACAATTATTATGTATTCACAGTCATGGCAGACGAAAGCGCCAATCCCGGCATAATCTAGTCAATCAATCGGAATAGGCATCTGGTTTCCACGGAACAATATATATGGTCAATATGAGATACACTAGATGAAACAGAATTGATACATGATAAATCTACTCGACGTCTATTAGAAATGTAATGTGCATGTCTTGGTGCCGAGCAAACACCTAGAGCAGGGGTATAAGGAGCTCTCGCTACATCTATAGTCTGAAATGACACGTTGTCTCTCCCGTCTAAGTCACAAAGTCTATCGATTCTAGGGCTGTCTATAGCGTCTTGTTTATTTGGCGATCTCAACACCGTTGGTGGCACCTAATCAAACGTCAGCTGGGATCAAGGGAACAGAAAGGGCAAATTAACTGCTTACCGAGAGCCTTCTTGATGTCACCGTAGATGGCGAATTGACCAGCAGTAAGTCCACCAACCATGACCAGACGAGTGGGCAGACCAGCGAATGAACCGCGGACGCCGAGCTCCCCAGCGATCTTAACCAGGCGAGAGGCGGTGCTCTCACCAGGGAGACCCTTGGTCTTGTTGATCTTGGACAGCATGGTGTCAGCAGGCTGGGAGATGATGGCGGCGGCGAAACCAGCCAGGAGACCAGATCCCAGGTTCACGGCGGTCTGGGCACCAGAGGAGAGGTTGTCCTTGCCGAGCTGGCGGAAGAAAGCCTCAGAGATCTTCTCGAAAGCCACGAACTTGGTGACAGTGTAGGGGACCCTGCATACCCATGTCAGCTCACGCTTTCTAATATCCTACAACACTGGCTGGCTTCATAAAAGACGAACTCACTGCTTGAAGAGGATGGGGCCGAATCCAGAGTAGAAAGCACCAACACCCTCGCTCTTGAGGATCTTGGTGAAGCCGCCTACCAAACCGCTGGCAAAGCCGGGTGTGGAAACGAGACGGATACGGGTAGCCTCAAGAGGGCAGAGGGCCACGGAGGCGAAGAACTCGGCGCTGGCAGCGGAGACGGAGTAGACGAGGCCACGGTTCTTGCGGGCTGTGTCGATACCCAGGATATCGATGGACTTCTTCTTGAAGAACTCGTAACCTCCGAACTTGAAGCCACCCTGGATGAAATAACCGGTGACAGTAGGACCCAGACCGGTCAGGAGAGCACCAGCACCCTCATTCTGGACGACCTGGCGGAAAGCAGCGATGGTACCGCGGTTGTAGGTAGCCGGGTCCAGCTGAATCTTAGTCTTGACCCTACAGTACAGGAGGTTAGTCAAACGAGACTATCTCACGGTGGAGAAGGATTGAGGCTGGCTACGAGAAATGACATACACGTCCACCGGTGTGAAAGCACCGTGAGTCACGGAGCAGCCGACAGCACCAGCAAGGGCAAAGCGAGAGTACAGGTCGATGCCCTGGGGGGCCTCAGAAACAGGAGAAGGAGCCATTGTGACGGTGTTGAAGGCACAAAACAAGCGGTACCAGGCGATTAGAGGGGAGATTGGTGAAGTGAATGAAGGAGCGAGAAAAAAAGAGAGAAGGGGCCTAAGTCTGGTTTACTGGTTCTAAGATTTTAGTCCAAGTGGACCTTGATTCATGATACAGGGTTAAACCGGAGCAACTAATGTGACATCTGCACGCGCCTCGCCCTATTAGAGCCATCGGATTACGGCACCCTGCCTCATGCTACACCCATCGTCGTCTGTCCGTCAGACTTATTCTTGCTTTGGAAGTCCTCAGCCGCGGGTTCATGCAGACCGAAGAACCGCTGGAATACCAAAGGACTTGTCGAGCGTCTCACGAAAGAATCCGGCTTTAAGCAGCGCTATCACCGGGGTTCCTGAGCAAAGAAGTGGGAATCTCGGCACTAACCATATTATTGCGCAATTCTGGGCGTAGAACCGTGCTCGGCCGGCAATCCTTCCTTCACATGCGTTGCGGGAATTCAACGGTTCTCAGAGGAACTGGATGGCCATACCACCTGCGTACATGCTCTGCCCGATGCATTGCTGCAGAGTCACCGATAGGATAAATAGGCGAAGGTGCCGGATCGAGATTTATATGTTTTAAATCTCGCCTCGATCAATCGAATCTAGCTTGCAGAACGGCGCATGCAGGCCTAGCCGAGCCGAGATTTGCCCCACTGCCACGCCTTTGACACGGAAGAGGCTGGCGGAAAGGCGGTGTCAGACCGTGCCTCTCCTCTGGGAGAACCTCGATGGATGTCTGGTCGATGTCATCGTGCTGTATGCGAACACGTCCCGTCCCATTCTGACCCACCTGATGGAACTGGTGGGTAGAATGCAACTCTCTCCAAAGAAACTCGTTCCTGATGATACCCCCTCAAACACTTTGGAGATAGACCTTATTATTATTATTGGTGTTGTGCGTGGCACATGGTACTTTTGAGAGCAGGATAGGGTAGGTTAACCCTACATACCCTGTTTGATGCTACCGTTCTTGAGCGTTCAGTGGGATATGGAAGCTCGTGATGCATGCCAGCTAATATCCGGGCAATTCCCTTGAGCTCAAAACGCCCAGCTGAGCCTCAATTCTTCCAGGGTTCTGACGAGCGAGGGAAATTAGTGGGCTGCTGCCACGAGACAACACATGGGACAATCTGGAGGCCGCCCCCCTTCTCCCCCGATATCGCCTAAGCACCTTACATCCTCGCCCGATCGTCCCGTTATCAATCTCTCCACATCCGCCCAGACTTATGCCATGGACGTCCATAGCACACTGGACTCTCTGCCCTCCGAGGTGGTGAATCGAATATGCACCTTCATCAGCCCTCAAGATCTTCTGTGCTTCCGGCTCTGCAGCCGAGCCACTGCTGCCAAGTCTCTCCATCAGTTCGGTCAAAGATGTTTCGTCTACAACAGATTCCTCCTGACCAGCAAGAACATGGCCATACTTGAAGCCATAGCCAAGCATGACCATTTCCGCACCGTGGTTCGTGGAGTCTACATTGTACCGGCTCTCTTTGAGGGGAGGTACTCCATGGACCAGGTGGAATACCGCCAATGGGCCTCTCAGTCGAGAGCTAGGCGGACACTCTATCCATCAAGGGCGCGTCGCGATGATCTTGAGATCCCAGACGACAAGCTGCTCAAGTATTATCCAGCGTACAAGGAAGCCGTGGCTGACCATCTGGACGTCGTCTTCTCCGGCAGGTTGAGGGAAATACTTGCATATTGCGCCAGCCGGTTCCCAAATCTGACCTCGGTGGGGTTGTCGCATTACAACGCTGAGCGCCAGGATCTTCTCAACCTCACCCGCCGCCTGGACTGCCCCGAATGGAGAGATTTGGTTTCCAGACTCGGATGCGATCCGGCGATCCCATGGCACATCACCTCGCCGTTCAAAGAAGGCGACCCCAACGTGAGGGCGAGTGTTTTCACCTCTCTTCTGAGGGCGACAATTACGCCTGGCGCGGAGAATCTGGTATTGCGGGAACTGAGTACCTGCCATGCAGCATCCAAATATGTCTCATGCTGCAGTGGGCTCATGTTGGGAGAGTTGGACCTGTCCAGCGATGAGCAGGAGCTCATCCTCGCGCGACTCGAATCCATGAAGTTGGAGAAGCTCCACATGTGCATCCGAGACTTCCACGGCCAAAAGCACCCCGAGTATTATCTATTCATGAATAAGATCGTTGCCCGGGTCTCACCGACCCTGTCGGATTTCAGATCCATGAGGTCACCCACGCACGAGGGATACGAATATGCAAAACAACAGATCTCTTGGCTGGCGCACAATACCTCTTTCAGTTCACTATACAGACTCGAACTTGGAGGTATATCCACTACCGTGGGTGATTTTAAGCGGCTCTTGGCAACGGCAGCCTCGACACTGCGCGTTGCCTACTTGTGGGACATCTACTTGACGGTAGACAACCCACCCGCTGGGTCTGAAGAGTGTGCTCGCCTGGGAAGGCAGCTCTGGCGGGAGATGTGGACTTGGCTCGGTGAGAAGTTGGATCCCCTGGGCATTACAATGTCATCCCTTCATGGCCCAGGACATGGAGGTCTACGCATCCGCGACAGACTGCATGGATTTAGAGGCACTCATCCGACCATTAATGCGTCCAATGTTGGCCAATATCTCAAGAAAAAGTCACATGTATCTTTCAAGGAATGGATCTCACAGTTGCGGTTTGAGAAGTTGATGTTAAGCCCCCCGGAGAGTAGCGATGATGAAGAGGAGGAGCTATATTCGGAGTGATGGGTCCGTTCCAAACGTTCACGATTAAAGGCGAGGTACATTGCGCCACGATCGACTCTCATGTCTCACATTGTAGGTCGGAAATGGTAGAAGAGTTAGCAGACTCAAGGTCGCATCTGGGGATTTTGAAGTCGGTCACGTGGAATTTACAGCGTAAGGAGACACCGCATTACGAAAGAAGTATATTAAAGACTAAAAGAGTGACGTAGCCCTATTGTTGAAATAGAACTGCCCAGTACTGATACTCTACTCTGATCATAAGGGGCCCCCTATAGTAAAGCCAACACGCTTGTATCCCATCACCCTAAAATAGAGCCTTGAGGATCTTTTCCAACTTGTAGAGGTCGTCTCCAATTTGAGACTTCACAGACTCTTCAGCCTTATCCACCAACATCTCCCAAGACTCTTTGTCACCAGGGTAAAACTTTTTCAAGAAGGCGACGGCACAGACAGTGGCTAATATGTCCTCCTTTCTCGCGTGCTTGAGCACAGAAGCGGGAAGTTTCATACTGAGGACTCTCTCAGCAGTGATCCCAAGAACCTTCTCGAGGCTGGAGCCCCATAGCCAAGTGCCGCTGAATGTCTGCAGAGAAATGAGTGCCTGGAGCTTGTTGGAGGGGTCAATGGTGGCAGTCCTTTTGGTTCTTTTTCTGGCAGGTGATTCCAGTCCATCAGAAGTCACCCTTTTATCCGGGCTGCCTGTCTCGCTGTCTGCTTGTTCCCCATCATCTTCCATCGGCTCTGAGAAAGTTGCAATCCTTCTATGTCTTAGCGGCCCTCCAACACCCAGTCCCTTACCTCTTTGTACTGTAGGAACTGGCGCTGTGGAAGGCGCAGACTTTCTCGCGGTCTTGTTTGCAAGCTGCTTACGAGGACGCTTCACTGGGACCGGGGTAACCGAAGGGGCGGACTTCCTGGCAGCCTTTGACGCAAGTTGCTTCCGAGGAGCTGCACCCCAGGTTGAAACCGTAGCTTTAGCAACACCCATGGGTGACGAACCAGAAGATTTGGCAGACTGATTCCTCTGACGTTGCTTTCCTTTGCCATCGGCTTCCTCATTCGCCAACCCTTCGACGGCGACAAAGGAGCACCATTTACCGCTGACCTGAAACTGCAGTCCAAGCCTGACAGCTTCTCGCTCAAGCATGTCGGAGAATCGACCATCCAGCTTGTTCTTGAGAAGCTCTCCGTCGCTGTCCTTGGCCTTCGTAAGCCAGCCACGACCCTCCTCGAGCTCTTTGATCTCTTTGCGGGCGGCAAGCTGATGGATGGTTGTGGACTCCCGGGTCAGGTTCACAACCGGGATCTCTAATGTGAGATTCGCCTGTTGGCTTGTTCCGGTCAAAAACACAGACTTGATTTTCCTCTGTGGCGTTGATTCCGACAGCAGGATGTAGACATTTGTTCTAGAGAATGGGTAGAGGGTGGGAATCTCAGTCGGGGTTTGGAGGTATCGAGGAGTGTCAATTTGAGGAAGATGCTGATACTTGTCAATGGTATTGTCCCCACTGGCTTCCACAGTGTGATCGCCTTTATCAAAGTTTGAATCAAACAGGGGCACATTGTCGCGGGGCTCCGCCGGCCACGCTTGAGGACTGCTTGGTTCACTCGTGTCAATGTGCAGCGAGTCTAGCACATACTCGATCACTTCGAACCCCTCATCCTCATCCTCATCGTCAAGCTGCATGTGATTCTGTTCGCTCTCATACTTGATTTCGAGAGAGTAATCGCTCACGTGGGGCAAGAGAGCGCCCTTCAGCATTCGCATCAGCTTCTTGTCCATTTTCTCGCCGTCTTGAATATACTGTGCGAACCCATTCCCTACGCGGGCAACGCCTTCGATCAGGGAACTGCTGGCTCCAGATCCGATCCCGAGGCTGAAAATTCGAGTTTTCCCCTTCGTCTCGGTGACTTCGGTCCTGATGAGCTTGAACAGACGATCTTGATCCCATATGTCTCCATCTGTAAGCAGGAATACCTCCAGATTCATATCTTTATATTGACGCTGAAAAGCGGACTCCATCGGTGGGTATATTTCAGTGCCTCCATAGTCAGCACTAAATGTGTTGATATGCTCTGTAGCTTCATCAAGAGACTCTTGATCATATGTCTTGGATCTTGGCCAGAGAAAAGAATACGTTGAGCCAAAACTGGCTATATTGAATTTAACGCCAACAGGCAAGGACTTGAGGAAAATGTGAAGTGCGTTGACAAGACCTTGTATTTTCCCGCCCATGCTTCCACTGCGGTCGCATATGAATATGACCTCTGGCTTCTCAGAGGACAGTCTGAACTTGGGCGCGAGTGAGACCATGAGCGCACGTTGGTCAGGAATGGTTGGGTGCGTCTCCAAGAATGCACTAGGCTCGCATAGTTTAGTGGCCACCACCTCAATGATGAAGTCCTTATCTAAAGCAGAAACATCTCGAGTCAAGGTGGCAGATGCCTTGGAGAGAGATGGCTCAGAAGAGTCTTCCGGCTCTGTGGATAGCTTGCCGATGTGGATCGAGATAGGGTGAGAGGGTGATTGGAGAGACTTGATAGTGGATCCCTCGGGCATTTCAACGTCAACAGTGATAGTCATCCCTTTCTCCTTAACCAAAGAGCCCTTGATAGTGGAGTTCCCATATCGTGGCACTACACGAGTGGGGATCGTAAGACGAACACCGTCTATTTCGGCATCGTGCTTGAGCTCCCCGAGGTAGGTAATAACGACAGTCACTTCCCCGCCTGTAGGTACGTTGCCCACGGAGGTGAAGAAGACATCCGCGGCCTCGAGGGATTGTTCGAAGAGACCAGCTGTTTTCCCAAGAGCCTTGGCCTCTTCATATACCTTTTTGGCCTTTTGGCGTTCTTTGACGACGCCTGTAATGGTTCGACCTCCAACAATGCAAGAGACCACGGTCACAGAGACGCCATCGAAAAGGGGGAAAATATATTTAACTTCTTCAATAGGGACATCCTGAGAAGGGTTGATGAAGGTTTGTGTAAGAGTTGTGTGGGAGATGGTGTCAAGGATGGTTGCGTGAATATCAACCATGACGTGGGGGAGATACATGGGCTTATGGTCAACGAGAATGTAACAGCCACATAAGGGGGTCCAAGCCCGTGAGGCCCCCATGGCCATTGAGGCACGGGCTGTTTGCTTGGTGCGTGCCATTGATAAGATGTTGGGGAGGAATAGAATGAGTCAAAGATAGGTTGGGGTTAGTTGTGGATATGGCGGATGATGATGACCACTGAGTGGGCTGAGGGGGAGGGTAGGTCAGGGGCTATGTAAGAGGAGGGCTATGTGTGACACTTAGTGTTGTTGATAAGATAATAGAGAGGGTTGGGATGGGATGGAACGGATAGGTAGATAACAAATTTGATTGATTTTGATGGAAGAAGGAAAGAAAAAAAGGAGAGAGAGGAGGAGAAGAAGAAGGGGTGTCTGCCTGCTATATATAGGCGGCTGCTTGATGTGTCAGCCACCCATAGTCCTTCAAGGCAGCCCAGCATCCTATCATTCCCCCAAGTACTAGTTCTCGATGAAATGTTGATTAAATCTAAGTTTCTGACGAGTTCAATTCTATTAGAGGAAGTGAAATAAATATGTACCATATTCATATTCACACAAATACCATACAAAGCTGGAAACCGTTTAGATGATATTGGTGAACATCCAGTCGACTTGAAGGGATATGAAGAGCGTTCTGATATCGATCTTGATCCTACCGATGGTTGCATGCCCTTTGCGACCCCTGCATTCCCCCATTACGATGGTAACATAGCAAATCGTGCTGGTTGATATCAGTCAGTGGGAGTGGAGGATGAGGTTAGGTCCATGGAGGCACGTGATTCCGAGCTCAACCCCTGCACCTCCTGCTCAACCACTCCTCCTCGTGACGTGAGCGGTAATTTCCCAATTTGTCATACGCCCGCGTTAGTCTTCCTAAAATCATCCTTCATCCGACTTCTTCTTAGTCGCTTGAGCATGAGCGGCGTCAGTCTAGAAACCCTAAGACTGTTATCCAGTCGATGGAATAAACGACCTGGTACGTTCAGAGGTGGACAAGGTTTCTTTTTTCTCAACTGCCACGACGGTCCCCTGGAAGAACAGCCCGACACAGCTTCCCTATTTTTCTGCTATAGTGTACTAGAGATGAGTGAAGTACCAGAACCTATGTTGACACTGTTCTTCAAGTGAATGGCGTTGTCCCACAGTAATTACGCATTGATTTTCTCTTGTTTTGGTTTAGCTACGTGACTAGTCTCCTCTCATCAAGTCGAACTATTGACCAGACTTTCTAAGATATTGACACTCGTTCTATCTCTTTGTTCAAAAAAAGACTTTCATCTTCCGAATATGCAACTCCCAGTCTTTCCCAGGTACCATCTCCATCTTCGCTGGGCCCTTTTGGTCCAACAATCAGTAGATAGTAAGCAGTTCCATTTGCCATTCTTTCGTTCACCTTGCTCCTCCCAAGTACGACACACCTTTTAAACGCCCTATTTTCATTGCCTATACAATCATAAAGAATGTCGGAAAGCTGGGATGTATCGTAATGATATGTCTCGGCAATGAGGATTGGGTCAACTGCGACCTGCGAATTCCGTACATTAGCATGCTGAACATTACCCCAGATAATTCCGCCAGTGGGTAGATCGAAATAGCCAATGGCGCCTTCGTAAGCTGCCCAAGACCACGTTGGGGGCGGTCTTTGGAAACCTTGGAAATCTATTCGCTTCAGAGACGTTTCTGTGCGCTCTCGACGCCATAAAAGGCTTCGACAGAGCTCAGTTGGGTCAAAGAACAGGCCGAACTCCCCGATTGCAATGAAAATCTGAGAAATTCTAAATTCGATATTCTGAAATGCAAGCGCCCTGTCAGTCTCCCGTGTGAGCTTAAGTTTGGAGTAAAGCTCATATATCGGCTGGTAAACTCGATAGAGAGGAAACCTTTTGAACCATGATGCTGGGTAGGACAAAGAGAAAATCCTTTTCTGGTCGGTATCCGATGTTGGACTTTGCATAAATATTACATATTAGCAAAGTTCAGCGAACGCTTGGAGTCGACGTCAGTAATGGAACTTGAAACTCACCAAGCTATTTTTGTGAGTGTCTCTGCGCGAGTGTCTTGATGGCATTGCCAATATATCTGACTTGAAGTGAAGAATATGGATCGTCGAGCCAAGAGTCTCTCTTGGAAATTCCAGGCTCTAGAACTCAGGTATGAGTCCTCAACGTCCTTCTCAAAGTCGTCAATAAAGGGGCATACTGAGATGGCAACGCCCTCAGGGAGCGTCAACGCTACATTCTGCCTGGCTGTCCTTGGGGTTAAGAGGCCCTCGTCTGCAGTTTTGGCCGAACTCGCAACCAAGACAACATATGCATTGATAAAGACAGTCGGCACTTCATGGACGGAACTAGGGGTAGCACCCTCTTCACTGTTTATTTCCATGCAATACCTGTCGATCCACAAATACTGAATCCCCAAGGTTCGTGTAACATGAACAGCATCTTGGTAAGTTGCTGGCATTTGTTCAAGCTCTAGTTCTGTCCCATGGGCATTCTTGCTCGTAGCAGAACTGAAATTGAAGGCTGAGGAATGTGATAATGCCACATATCTACTATCAGCGTTTTGGTACACTGCCCGGATTCGATTCGACGGGTATAGACCACCGCCGACATCAAGAAGTAACACCGATGAGTCCATAGAGATGGATCCCGTGGGCATCACACATTGATGGGAAGAATCACAGCAATGGAGCCATCGTCTCATCACCCCAAATGAGACAGGGCCAGGAATCCGCTCGATCATGGGGAAGCCATGTTGTATGTCGTGAGAGTAGTAGCCTGTGTGGTTTGTTAGCTAGATTGTCCTTAGTCATGTGAAACATTGTCGCAGACCTGGATGCGCCACGAGAGACAAAACGGGAGGCCCCCCCTTCATCAGTTTCAGTGTTGAACCATCTCGCAGAAACTGAACAGTATGGCGGCTTGCTAGTCCTGCGGACACCATCACATTATAGAACAGTTGACACAGTTCACACTCTGTGTTGCTTACTAGATAGGTAAGGGAGTAATTGACCGAAAAGTCTGGCGTATCCAACTTGAGGGATTTGCAGATGCTGCATAGTTTAGGCACATTCTTCATCTGCGGGTGACCTGTGTTCTGATCCATTTCCGTGATAGTCTTCAGGGCAAAGTCGTTGTCCACTGGGTAAGAATATCCCTTTGAAAGACTCTGTGAAACACGCTCAGTTAAAGTTAGCTAATTGAGAACTGGAAACCCGTTGACTTACGAGCTACCATTGGCAATCGTTAGCAAACAGAGCCCTTTCGAGTGCAAGGTATGGCATGGAAGGGTTGTTCTTACTTCTGGAAATCTATACTCTGCAATTGGATTGCTCAACGCGGAGTTATCCACAATATCCTTGGTAGCAATACGTTCCAAACCCAGATGAGGAATTGTCAGAAAGTTTGGTAGCTTGGGGCGCTCATCCAGTTTACTAACGTAGCTCGGCAGTCGATAGCTCGGCTCATCCTCATATTTCGACAAGATGGAAATTAGTCCCTGTCTTACTTCCATGCTGTCCGCTCTAACCGGTATAGAGCTATCGTTTGTGCCATTTTGAGACAGGCCAACCACAAGGAGCTTCGATTTCACCAAGTGTATCAAGTCTCCCAAAGCGGACTCCTGCCCTTGTGCAGCTTCGAGTAGATGGCTTATACAATTCTCCACGCACTCATGCAGAACTGCCGTGGTTGGTCCAAGACGGGTTTCAATGGTATAATAGGCACCTGGGCCTCCATCTTTTGCAGCAAGCGCTTCGTTGAACTGCCTAAGCCCATCAGGTCCATAATGAACCCACACCAAAAACTCCAACATGATGCAGCCCATGGACCAAACATCATATCGTCGAGACACTGGTTTGTTCTTGGCAGTGGCAATCTCAGGCGGCTCATACCGGATGGTCCCCCATTTCGTGTCGGTTGAGAGGTACCTCTCCCGTGTACGTTCCTCGTGAGACTTTGCAAGTCCCATGTCAGCTAACTTCAGAGTGCCGACAAGGCATCCATTTTTAGTAAAGCCCAATATATTTTCAGGCTTGAGATCTCCATGTCTGATGTTCATCTTATGCATGTTCCAAAGGCCATCACACAGACCGAGAAGCTGTTCCAAAACTTCTTTGATCAGTTGTTCTGAAAGGGGCCAAAAATTATTTTGTACCCAATAGGATCGCAAATTACCCCCATCTGCCCATGGATATAATATGAAGTGATCATCCCTTCGGTGGACGAAAGCCAGGGCTGATTGTATATTGGCGTGATGCATGGCATTCATCAGCTTCTGGGCCTTAATCTCGTCTGGTGTATTGTAAGGAAGCTCTGGATCGTGTAGGGCTTGCATTTTTTTCAGGGCGATTCGATTACTTGACCCAAGTCCCTGGGCTCTCTGTTAGATAAAATATGTTCTCTCTCTTTCAGTTTCGGAGAAGTCTTACCTGCTCAAAATGAAGTAGATTATCTGGATGTATCTCAACCTCCTGAACGAGGCTAAAGTTAGAATGGCTGACTCCCTTTACATAGATGATAGGCAAAATAGTTTCTGCTAGAAGATCGTAGTCGGAACGGTCGGGTGTAAAGATAGGTGCTAGGAACTTCCACTGTGTCTCATAAAACCTCTCTATTGTGAACAGGCTCCATGACTCCTGATGGAAAACACCAAGAGGTGGCGCGTGCCGACATTCGCGATCGCGATCCGAGTTATCCTCGTCACAGTGGTCGATCATTCCAATTGGAATTGGGAGAAGCCTGTCAGTCATGTCGTATCTATACATCGCTTCTAGAGAGCCGATTACTCCGTGGCCCATGAAAGCCAGAATCGAGAACAAGACTTGAGCATCTCGCTTGACGAACTGTAATATCCTTAAGGGATCTTCTCGGCAAGGGCCGAGAGATTCCAAGTCTTCAATACGCAGAGTCTCAATGATTTTTTTGCGTTTGCCAGGTGGGAGAAATGGCTTAGCATCCAGTTCGCTTGAGACAAAGCCTTTTCTAATCAACCGCCTCAACTTCTCTAACGAAAAGGGCGATTCTGACTCGGAAGAGTCTAAGACGGGTAGGGACTGAGTCTGCTCCTGCTCATGATTCGACCCTGCGACATTAGATGCATTCGTTGAGCTTTCAAGTTCAAAATCATGTGCAGAATGCAGACTTTCGAAAGACAGCGACGCGATATCTACTAAATGATCTGCGATGTGATGCTCCATATCGGCTTCAGAGCGATCGCAAAGAGGGCAATGATTCCGGTTGCCAGGTAAGGTGAGCGTATTATGCTCGACCATGGAAGCGACTTTGAGAGAAGGGATATCGTGTATCGTTTTAACGTGATTTTCCAGCTCCAGAGTACTATTGAAAATTTGATCCTCGTCGTGGTCGATGTCGCAGAACCATACGGTGCTATTACCGAGATCTTGCGTCCATCGGGAAGAATGTTTAACCACCATGTGTTGCTTCCAGTTATCGTATTTCGGAAAGGGGGAATCTGGATCATCGCATCCATTCATCAGGCAAATATACGGCCTAATAATATCGCTATCAACTTCCCCAGTGAGGTCTTTGAGTCGCTCTCGTCTGGCCTCTATGGATGCTTCAACTACTCTTAGTATAGAGTTTGTGATGTTTGGACACCTGCTTTTGATTTTGCCTCGAACCATGAGTTTCCGAGGGCCACTTTCTTCATTAGTCAGAAAGCTGTCGGTCGTGTTCTGTTCTGAATCGTCGTGCAGATCCTGAAGTCTCTCAATACAACCTTCCACCCCGTGTAGACAGGCTTGACTTGCTGGTGAAAGCTCATTGGGGTCTATTCCTCTTCTACTAGCGGATATCGAAAAGCCAAACACTTTGACAGTGTTCATTATCCAAGAGCCAACTCCCACCGTCGCCGGGGGTTGAGTAGGCGATTCCAGTTGTAGCACTACTGCCAATTAATATTACTCCAAGTGAGGAACAGCACGTGGTTTGCAGGTGGCTATAATTCATACCTCTTGTCAGATTATATTTGATGATGTTGAGGAGATCACGCATAAGATGAAGAATGACTGGCTTTGTTTGTAATCGTAACTCCATTGTTTGGGCAGTGGACGGCTGGTCCAGCATGTCGACACGATCCATCCATGCTTGGAAGTGTTGTTGACAATTGAGAATAAGCTGATGTTGGTTTCCAGGTCTCTCTAACAAAACGGGCCGAATTCGGTCGAACAGAACAGCACATGTTCGCACAAGACTGTGGATGTCCTCACCTCCATCTACCAAAGTATCCATGATGGTCACAGGGTTGTATCTTCTTCCGCGGAAGTCACACTCACGCCCACCAGGGCAGCTTTTTAAACTTAGCTTGGTGATGCGGCATTCAGGAGTAGATATGAAGGCAGGCGCTTCGGAGCGGGGTAACGTGCAATTTCTCAGCTTTGGCCGCACACTGCTTGCTGCAATGTGCAGTCAGCTTCATTTAGGATATTGGAAGCTGATTGGTGTGCTGATTTTCAGCTGACATGTTAGGCCCCGTCGAGTTCAGTGAGGGGTGGCACTGGTGTCCAACTCAACTTCGAACTCCTCAAAGACAATCTCTGGTAGATGCCTAATACGCTTTGCATATAACCACATTACCGCCTGCTTTCCCTCATGCAAAAGTTCCCATTCATACCTACTCTCGGTGACGAGGAAGAGTGGCAGCTATTGATGCTCATCCAGCCTCTGTTTGCATTAGAGCTACCATGGGGCTTAACTCCGATAAAATCCCTCTCAGATGCTGAAGCTGCGGCTGAAGCTGCGGACTTCGTTTCAACCATTGGACTGTTCAAAAGTGATGTTAGAGCTTTGCCGGGATGCTTGCCAAAAAGCTTCCTGTCCGCTACAGAATTCGGAAACTGCAGAAAGGACCTTAGGGATTTGCTCACGTTTTTTGATGGTCTGGTCGATAACAACGTATCTATGATCCATGGAGTGGGCGAACTATTGCCTCCATCAGAAGAGACTCCCTCGACATGGGGAGCTGGCTTGTACCAAAACGTTAGCCATGTCATAACCTGGATGAATCCCAAGAACAAAGATGCTGGTGTGTGGGCATTTTTAACGCAACCGTTTACAGCTATCGCTCAGATTGTGACAAGGAAAGTCGACCAGACGACAGGAAATATCAAAGTGTCCGATGCGGCAAGCGAGGCCCCTGAGTATCGCAACCTCGACAATCTGGCGGTATGGGTTCAAAAGCACAAACTGCATAGGGAATCCTGGTCTCAAGATCAACAGCCTCGTGAGGCCATTGCTGAATGTCAAGCCTTCCTGACTTTGGAACATCCTATCACGAAATTTCAAAAAGGAGCAGCCATTCTGAGAAGTGCAATGCGCAAGCTGAAATCACCCTCTTTAGACAAGTCCCCTTCTCCTAAAAGAGAGATTGCCACCACAAACTGGAAGCATCCTAAGCCTAGAGAGCTTTCTCACCAGCTTTATTGCCTTCTCCAAAAACGAACTTGTCATTTCAATGGAGCCCATAAGGCCAAACTTCAACTCGACGGGTTCCTACTAGATAATCTCAACGAGGAACTCAGATTAGACGTTTTCTTATCGTCTTGCCCCCCACCGTGCGACAAATTGTGGCTTCCCGGACATTATACTTCAGCGAAGGAGGATTCAATGAACTTAGACCACGATGAACTCGATCTCTGCCGCCTTTTCGGCCAACATCACCGTCACACAGATGAGGGCATCCCTATCTTGAGTCTCCTCTTCGTTGAAGATTATATGATACTGGAGCCTGGCAGCCTCGATCCACCTCCATCAGCTTTTCAACCCTCCTCTCCCACCATGTCTCTTGCCTCAGTTCTTGAAAGTGGCCTCTTAGGGGATCCGTATGTAAATGGTCAGTTTACGGATGGAGATAAAGCCATGCTCGCTTTATCGCTCGGCCGATGTCTGCTACATCTTTTCTCTGGGGCATGGATGCAAGAGGTCTGGACTTCCGAGTCCATTCATTTTCTGTGCCAATCAGATGAGCATGAATACAGAATATTTGACATACATCATCCATTCGTCACTTGCTCTCTAGCAAAACCCAGTCACGCGGACTATGCGGAGCCCATCAAGCTTACGCCAACCACATGTGAGCCATTCATACGCAATTTTGCCATTGTTCTATTGGAAATCGAAACTGGTAAGAAACTGGACATTCAAAACCCATATTCCCCCAAGTTTCAAGCCATGATGGGTGAACATCTTCAAGGGCTATGGAATAGCCCTCGAGGAGCAAAAAAACCATCATACATTGGCGCTATACTCGGCTGCATCGACTTCGCTGAAGCGCTCCAAAGGGTCAACGATAACCCAATGGCTCGGCTTCGCCAAACCAAGAAGAAGAATCAAGCAGTTTCCATCTGCAGCCTAGAAGATGTTCGAAACATCATACATCTTCGAGTCGTGAAAAAACTCGAGAGCCATTATTCAGAATTTCCGGATACCATCGAGGTTTTTGCAGGCGGATATCTACGGTTCCCGACAAGCACCGGGACCACAACAAAGAAGCCACAAAATAACCCGACGGTCTACGGATCAAAAGCGCCACACTATGATTTTAACAGCCATGACATGCGTTTACATAATGGAGAGTAAGTGATGACCACTGAGCATATGATGAAATATTCTGACACTCAAGAATCAGCTTGATTGGCTATGCGAACGCGTTTTCTCGAGACTTTGAGCAGTTCCACAGACGCTTTATTCGGCCCCTCATGAGAAACGGTGACCAAAAGATACAACGTGTCAAAATTGCATTGCTAGATACAGGCATATATACAGGTCATAGCGACCTCCAGGCCTTGCGTCAGATAGCCATGCAATATAGAAAGAGTCAGGGGTTCGAACAGAAAGAAGACCAAGACCCAATCAAGTTCAAGGAGAGCAGGCCATTCATCGGGGACAGAATCAGAGACACAGTCGGACATGGAACTCATGTAGCTTGCCTTCTTCTGAAATTTGCACCAGATGCTGATATATATGTTGCAAAAATTACGACCACCATGGAATTTGCAGATCATGAACCCGTCAAGAAGGCAGGTTTTCTTTTCCTCCTTTGCTTATCAGGTCACTAATCTTCCCACTTTCATCCAGGCTATCGAGTGGGCAACTGAAACTGTGGCTGCAGATATTGTTACCATGTCTTTTGGTACTGCAAGACCAAGTAAGATGATAGAAGAGGCGATCAATACAGCCCAATCCAAAAGGACGTCCCAGGGCCATAAGCCTATTTTCTTTGCCTCAGCATCGAATCATGGGCTTCGAAGGTCCAAACGCTCTTTTCCAGGTTCAGACTCGAACGTGATTTGCGGCTTTGCACTCGACGGGAATGGAGGAGACAATTACAGTCTGAACCCGGAATATGAAGAAGGGAAAGATCACTTTGGTACTCTAGGAGTAGGCATACCTGTCATGTGGGAGCATCAAGAGGGCGTACAAGAAACTCGCCTTACGTCAGGGACATCATATGCAACGCCAGTCCTTGCAGCAATTGCGGCTAATTACATGACTTGGCTAGATATGAATGCAAGCAAGCTGGGAGAGCCATTATATAAGGCTGCTCGGGAGAAAAGAGGTATCGAGACCGTATTCAGGGACTTGATGAGCCGAAAAAAGAGGAAGGCGGACGAGATTTCATTTATCTCACCGTGGAAGCTCTTCAAGTTCATGTATTCAGAGACTGAAGGGTCAATCCTTCATCCCGTTGTGGATCGAACTTTGCTAGAGGCAGACTCACGGACTGCGGATGACTGCCTTGGATTAATTCGTTTAACTATTGAGGTACCACAGCCGTAACATAATACTTTATAAAGATCTTCTCGTCTCTTAACTTTCTTAACGCCGCGCTCCAGAATGAACGAGAGTCACTCCTCTTCTCATCTAAGCCACACAGCCTTTTCAGCTTCATGTCTTACGAGCATGAGAATGATTGGACACAATATGCAAAATAATGAGGGGTTGAGGGGGTGGATATGCCCTAGGCTTGACCTGAATGGTCGCCCTTGAGAAGCTGAAAGCTCCGCCACCCTGCAAAATCTGCAAACATATGCAGCATGACCTCACTGCATATTCTCGAGGTTACATACAAGGCGTACAAGGCAAACCTGTTGTTTAGACTCTAGCTTAGTGAGGCATGCTCGGGATGCCTTGCTGCGGGGTTTTATATATGTAGCCGTTCCGCATTTACGTTGAGCAACTTAGCAGCGAACATTATTACAGCCATACCTATAACTGATTTTATTCTTTCACTCATCTATATTGTTCATTTATTTGTTCAAGATGGTAAACACCTACGTTATCGCGCCCAACTTCACCACATCTCCACCACCAGTCATCACATATCCCGAAAGCACACCCAGCGCAAATGGAAACCCCCCATTAGATCCCTTCTCCATCGAAGCCGGCCGGGTGCAATTAGGTGATGTGCTCGCAGATCCATTTGGACCAGAGCTCAAAGCCCTCAATCGCGCTGATCGCAAAAAGATCAATGGCAAGTTTGTTGACCGTACCAGCGAGCACGGGGGCCTCAAGGCAAAGAGGAGCGAGCTCTTCGATGGCCGACTGGGTATCTGGGCAAATCTCCTTGCTACTCTGGGGCTTGGTCCCAGTATCAATATCGGCATTCACTGGGAGAGCAAGTCAGATGATGTGATCGAAGCTGAAGCGCTGTGGACCTATTCGTTTGATCCTGATGATACATACGTCAAGAGTGTTCTTCAGTCAAATTCGGTGAAGAGCTATCTTGACAAGTACCCGGAAGCTCCCCTTTACATGGTCTCCGGCCTGAAGTAAGTTCCTATCACCTTCCATATCATACCGTCGGTGTGTAACTCTGACATTGAAAAGAGTGGCTCATGGGGCCAAGGCTTCATCCACCACAAGTACCAATGTCGATGGAAACGCCGGTGCTGAAGCTTCCTCCGGTCTCGCGAATTTGAAACTTCTCAATCTAATCTGGAATCGATCCAAGCATGTATCTTTCAAGACTGCCACCGACTTTGTGCTAGCGGTGCAGCTGAGACACATCATGCTGGATGGACAGGGTGAACCAATACATTCTGTATCAGTGAAGAATACCTCTATGGCAGACGGGACAGCTGACAGTGGAGGATTAGATTGGGCCAAAAAGTATCAAGGTACTGAAGGCGACATCAAGAAATTTGTCGGTCATGAACAGTACGGGAAGATTAACGAGGAAGGAGTCGTTGTGTTGCTGCCAGATGTTGAGTCAGAAGACGATTATTAAAGTGGCTTATTTATGCGGTGAGCCAAATTTTCCGTGTAATTTTTCATATCCATGAATAGCAGAAAATCAACATCTATAAACCTAGGAGAATTCATAGCCAAGTTCATTGATGCGGCCTCTTATACTATGTGTGTGCAAGACACACACATAACCTTGCCTCTTCAACAGTATCAACATTTTGGCCTCGTTCAAACGCGCGTCCTTGTTTGTGACCTGATGCCCCAACGTTGCCGACTACCCGTCTAATTTCAAGTGTTAGATTCTGACAGCCTTCCTCCAGTAGAGTTCCACAAATGTTTGGCGAGCATACCAGTGAAAACCCCTGTTTGTTGGGTTCGGCTTATGCGCAGCCCTTCTAACCAACGCTAGAGCGTACCAAAATGTGGCCATGCAAAACGTCAAGAGCAGGGGCCTGTTCGAACAGAGTCTGGGGATGGGATCGAGTGGCTATAAAGATAGACGTTGAAGCTCCTTGGAGACCGATTTCCCTTTCATACCACTAAAATCTTCACTACATTCTTCAACCCCATATCTTTCTTTGTCTACACGATGAAGCTCACCTCGGCCTCTTTGGTAGCCTTTGGCCTCGCGGGTCTGTCAGAGGCCAGTGGCAGGGTTAACTTACGGCCTCGTGAGAAGAATTCCTCTGCTATCAATGTCAATCTTTCCAATTGGTGGAATGTTACTGACTACCAAGTAATTACTCCATAAGACACTTTTATTTGATAGCTTTTTGAGGTGGTTCACAAACTAACACCTGCTTAGTGGTATGGCAAAGTGTCTGTCGGAACTCCTCCGCAAGAATTGTAAGATATTCAACCCATAAGCTTCAAGATTAAGCACTAACAGACACGAGCAATGTCCTATTCGACACAGGTTCAAGCGACTTAGTGATTGCAAGAAAAGAATGCACAACATGCGGCAACTACACTGTTTTTGACGCCTCCAAATCCAGTACATTTTCCAAGATACCAGGATACCCGTATCAGGCCAGCTACGGTACGGGCGGTAACGCGGAGCCATTGACCGAGAGGGCCGTAATGAATGGAACAATCGTGTCTGACGTCGTCGCTATCAACGGTGTCTCAGTAGCGAACCAGACTTTCCTGCTTGTTGACGATTACCCCAAGGCGCTGGGTGAAAATCCACTTGGCCCCAACATTGATGGCATCTTTGGTCTTGGTCCTCCTGGCGCATCTGTATTCAGCTCAGAATACAACGGCACCTTCATCACGACTTTCTGGAACCTGGTTCAGTCGGGTGCATTGCCTGAGTCTGTGTTCTCACTTTACCTCAACTCAGGCTCGAGTACTTCTGGCGAGGCCACACTTGGTGGTGTTGACTCATCCAAGTACGAGGGAGAGCTTACCAAGGTCGATATAAACCAAACCGTCACTGGTGCAATCGGCGAGTGGTTTATCAACACGCCCAAGTTCTACGTCGACGGGAAGACGATTAAGAATTCAAACACAAGCCAAGAGTTCCCCGCAGCCATTTCTCTCATCGATACCGGCACGGCCTTCATCCAGGCTCCCGACTACCAAACAGCCGCAGACATTTACGCAGCCATCAGCTCCGAGATCAAGCCTCTCGATGATCTAGGTGTTTGGGGGGCTCCGTGCGATGTTATGGAGAAACTCGCACCTGAGCTCACGTTCACTATCGGGTCTGAGGAGAAGAAGGCCAATGTGACAATGCCCAAGGCAGCGTTCAACCTCGGTCGCCACAAGTCTCACCCCAACATCTGCCAGGCAGTCATTCTGCACGCTACTGAGCCGCTGTCTGAGACTGAGACTGTATGGGTCATTGGAAGTCCGGTGTTGAAGGGCTACTATACTGTCTGGGATGGCAAGAATATGCAACTCGGTCTTGGTAACCTGAAGGGCACGCCCACCAGCGGCAATAATACGGCCGTCGTTTCCAGCATTCCAAGCCCAACAAGCGGCAGTAGAGTATCCTTGGTGCCGGGGATTTTGGCCCTGTTCGTCAGTGCTGTGGTACTGGGGGTAAGCTACTAGATCGAGTTGATATTCCGTTAGTTTTATCACCCAGTTCTCAATTCTTCTTTTTTCAAGGAATGCGGAAGGGGATCACACAATTATAGAAAATGTAATAATTAGACGACATCGGCTTATGGGGGTTGATACCGGGAGGGAAGTAATAGTGAGATACAGGCTATGATCCAGTGACAGCTCAGGAATATAATCCCAACCACGCTTTCACGCCATACTACTACCGTGCAGTACCTTTGTTGCTTACATTGGCCGGTTATTTGGCCCTAAACCATTCACCAATTCTCCCTTAGGTATTCCACTCTTCTTATACTTATGATGTTGACATCTTTAAGAGTCGTTGAACCTGGATTAGGTGCTCTATGGGTATTCATGCTGTTATTCTAAATCTAACACTTTTTATATTCGGGCTCAATCTGCTGCCCACTTCCGTCTTCGTCCAGGTTTCCCGTCTTGTTGGTGCGCTCGAAGGAACTAGGGCGCGTCTCAAATCCCTGCCTCGCGCGTCTGGCTATTTATAGACACCACATCAGTCTGAATTCACGTGCTAAGAAACCAGTCTCGAGAGTTTACACTACCTTAGATATCATAATAGCTTAAAGGCTATAAGCTTTCCAGTTGGATATTAAATCAAGACTCTAGAAATAGCATCCGGGGATACATATGATTACGGAACGCGAGGAGCCATGTTGCCGTCATTAATCGCAAAGATCGAACCCACACTAGATGTCGGGGTGAATCGATCTGTAAATCTATTTTGGAATTTCTAAATGAACTAACTGTTAGAATGAAAGGAAAACGAATCGTAGAGGTTGCGCCTATAAACTATTGCGGCTGTCAACATGAACTGAGCAATCAATGAAGGAACTACCCTAGAGCATCCCGCAAAGTTCTTAATAGCGGTGAGTTTTCAAGACACTTGATAGAGTGTCATGTGTTATTGGGTATCTATAAGCTAATGAATCAATTTAAACAAAACGAGAGGTGATCAGGCATCATGGCAAGTTCTCATGCCAGGCCAAAGTTGCACGCCAACCAACTCAAAAGGTTGGTTACGTTGTCAGTGTTAAAATGAGCTAGCTAGGCATTGTCTCCCCGCCTAGATTATTCAGTAATTGAATGCATTGCATCTTAGCCCCTGTGTTGTGTTTACCGCTATGAAGAATATCTCTAGTAGAAAACTTTCCTCTATTTACAATTACTAGCGTGGAAAGATGCCAAATTGAGGCACATTTTGTGATGCCTAGGCGATCAAAATGGCGATTTCCGGATCAGCCAGGTTAGATTACACAGTTACATTGTCGAGCATTGACCACAACAGCAGCTAGCAAAGTTAGCAACCGGGATATGGAAAGTCTCTCTATATTTGGGACAGGAGAAAGGCGGACGGGCGTAATGCATTCGCCTGCTCCTGCGAAAGCACATGTTAAACTTCGGGCGAGCGCGGTTCGGTGGGAACTGGCGTATTCGCGACGCTTGTTCCTATTCTTCACGTGAGTGTATGTGCGCTATTGGGAAGGAATTAGGCTACCTATTGTTAGACACGGAGAAAATAGCAGTTCAATTAAGATGATTGCTGACTCTGGTCATGGTACCCCAACCTACCAAGTTCGCTCTCATTGGCGCCGTGGCAGTTGACGCGACCCTTGTTGTTCTGGCATTAAACCGAAGCCGTCGATTGGCTGAGATACGAGCTCAGAACAAGATGCCGGGACTTGACAGAGCTCGGTTCCGTAATCCGGTTAGAATACGCTCTGCCGTTGTAATTGCCGGCATCCTGTCTGACAGCGAAGGGCATGGGGGAGGACCTGTAACAACGGAGACTCCGACATGAGCCGGCTGACCCAGGGATTGGCTGCCCTCCGAGATCGTGCCTTGCAGAAGCCGTCGATCGTCTCAATTAATTGAAGAGATCTAGAGAAAGCTTTGAGTACTATAAAGGCTTGACCTCCGTTCTGCTTTGCTTCTCGAAACAATCCATTCCAAAACCAACACAGATAATTTTCTTTCTTCTTTTTTTTTTCTGCTTCTTCTTCTTAGCTCTCTTCTTCCCTTTCCTACTTGCCTAATAACGCCTGGACGCGTCTTATTTTCGCAAAATGAAGTTTACTCTCGCTACTGCCATTGCGGTGGCCGCATCTGCCGTATCCGCCATCTCGCCCCGCGCAGTCACAGACACTGAGATGGGATGGGGGAAAGCTCTCGCTGGAGACTCGAAAGCCTGCGCTGATTTGGGTGTCATCTTTGCTCGTGGAACCTTCGATCCTGGGTAAGTGACGCTTCAATACCTAGTTGTGCATAACATTGAATGCTAACCATTCGACCTACAGAAATATCGGTCCTTGGGTCGGTGCCCCTTTCCGCGATGCCCTAGCGGCCAAGACCAAGAGCGTTTCCTTCCAGGGCGTGGACCCCGGCGCGTATCCTGCTGATCTTGCTGGCTACGTCGTCGAGGGAGGTAGTGAGAAGTGCGCCTTGTCCATGGGTGTTGTCATCGATGCCTATGTCAAGGCCTGCCCCAAGGCCAAGATTGCTGTAACTGGCTGGAGGTAAATGCTCATTTCCCTGAACTGTTCCCTCTCTGCAAGCTCTAACGCTGGATATTTAGCCAAGGATCGCTGTGCGCCCGTAAGAGCTTCGGCGTCATGAGCCCTGCGTCTGCCGCCAAGGTCATTGCCTACGTTTCCTTCGGTGATCCGTATCCCGTCTGGGCGTCAGGCAAGAAGTTCCCCAGCATCCCATCCAACGCCAAGCAGATCACCTTTTGCGAGTCTGCGCCGACCGATCCTCTCTGCGGTAGCCTGCTCTCCGGCTGGCCCAACACCGCCACCGGTGTCATCGACCATCTCAAGAAGATCTGGTCCAACGTCGACCAGGCCAAGATGAACTCTGCCCAGAAGAGCGCCCTCGCCAGCATGATCGTGCAGCTGCCCTTGCAGGCTTCAAAGCAGCTCAGCACCCTAGCGAGCGACATCAAGAACAGCCACCTGCAGCGATGGATGCTGTCGCCCCAGCACTTCTGGTACGGCTTGGATGGATCTACCACCAAGGCTGCTGAGCAAGTCGTTGCTGCCCTGAACGGCAGCAAGAAGAAATAGAAAGCGGTTCATCGGTTTGGTCGGGCGGTTTTGATTAGAACTTCACTTCTAGGTATATTATGAATATTTCGAATCTTAGCTTTTGGTGTTTTGTATTATCGTTATTGCAAGGTGTTTGAAAGGGGCAGGTCTGGCGTTATGATAAGTAATATTAAGAATATTTCCCGCACTTTTAATACTCTTCATTTCAATTTGACAATTTATTGGACATGATGAGATTATTGGCTGATCCAGATTCAGTCATTCACACATTCACGCGTCGATCAATCACTCAATTGGCTTCACCGGGCTTGATTGAGATGTAAGAAATGCACTGTACAGACTGTGCGATAACAAGCCTGCTGTGCTTATCTTACAGTGCGAATAAACGGATTGCGTGAGAGTGAGTGAGAATCCGCATCTTCAACTTTCTTCTCCGCTCTTTGCTTCTACCTCATCAACCAGTTCCGGCCCTTCAAAATCAGTTCCGTTGTTGTCTCAGTCCAACTGCTCTGGACACCGAAACCATGACTACAAAAGTGGCAGTTGGGCACTACCAATCTCTAGAATATGCTTCTCCCACAAGCCCAGTGCTGATCCGGGACGAAATTCACGGAGACTTCACCATCATAGAACCCGTGCTGATCGAACTCCTCCACTCACCGTGCCTTCGCCGCCTTGTCGGTGTCCTCCAGCACGGCCTCAGCGGTTTTCTCGCCTTCACGCCCCCAATCACCCGCTTCGAGCACTCCGTGGGCGCGTTTCTGATCGTGCGGCGCGCCGGTGCAAAGCTCGACGAGCAGATTGCCGCGCTCCTGCACGATGTCAGCCACACCGTCCTGAGCCATGTCATGGACTGGGCGTCGCTGACAAAGCCCGGAGAGAGCTTCCATGAGGTCCACAAGGACCGCTACATCGAGTCGACGCCTCTTCCCGACATCCTCAGACGGCACGGCTTTGGTGATCTGAAGCCGCTCCAGGAGGAGCTGTACCCGCTGGTCGAGATGCCATCGCCGCACCTCTGCGCAGACCGGCTGGACTACGGCATCCGCGATACTATCGCATTTGGGTATATCAAGCTCGAGGAGGGCAGACGGATTCTTGCATCAATTCAAGCCCACCCCAATGCAACGTCGCCGGGCCGGTTGCTTGTCGCGTCGGACCAGGATCTGGCATTGGCCCTATGCCGCGGATATCTCGCCGCTGATCGAGACGTGTGGTCAAACCCGGGGCATGTTGAGATTACAAGGGCGATAGGGGACGTGATTGGGAAGGCTGTTCATAGTGGCCGCCTCCTGGAGGAGCAGATGTGGACGTTATCAGACAATGAATTCTGGGAAGCACTGAGAGAGGCGACCGATGACGCCGGACGCGAGGTGATGAATCGTCTCAAGTCAACTACTTCTATGCCTCATGAGAACGGTCTTCACAAGGAGGCAAAGGTTCGAACATTGGATCCCGATGTGGTTGATTCTCCTTCATCGGCAGCCCAGCAGCCAGTGCCGTTGAGTCAAGTGAGTGAGACATGGGCCGAAGAGAAGAGGGCATATATTCTTGCAAGGCAGAGTCAACGGGTAGCGTAGATCACACGGATGCGTGGGCACATCATTTTCTCAAACAAGTCGATAGAGGCCTTTCAACAACCCTGGCAATATTTTATCATAATAATTGCATGTCGAGCCAATCGAAAATCGAAACTTTATAGATCAATGTGTCAAGACCCGCCGTGCTTCTTACCCTTCTTCTGAATCGGAACTTGATTTCTCTCCAAGATAGATGTAGTAGGGCAGTTCAGAGGTCACCAGACACCACCAGAATCTGCCTGAACACAAATTACTACTGTCTGAGATTGGACAAATCCAATCGAGCTCGTGAAACAGCTTCGCTGACACCTTGTGACCCTTGCTCTCACATCTTGGCGTAATTTTTACCACCTTGTTGCTCTGGATTACTAGAACGATGAGTAGGCCAGCGACTCTTCCGCATCGCGCAAACTAAATTATCGACAAAACAGATTTTGTTTTGCACCCTGCCTTAGCTCGCAAGTCGCAAACTGGTACCCATGAGCGGCTGTGCTCTAGGATCAAAAGCCAACTCAGACGCCTCATTGGCATTCTTGGCATCTACTCTGGGAAGTGGTCAGATGGATTATCTCGTATTCCCGAAGTCTGCACTCTCAGGAGAGTAAAACAGGTCAGGTGATTGATGACATTGCGCAACGGGCTCGCAAGGCTAGGTCATGTATGAGGCCTTTGGCACCCTGAAAGGACTTCGGTCGTTAGTCGCCACATAAGCTCAAAGCTGTCATCAGAAATGACCGAAATAAGTAGGCGGGTATGCCGGCCGCTACTACGACGAGCGAAGCGTTTCATGTAGATATCGGATGTCGGTCCAGACTAGCGGCGATGTCGACTGGGTAATCTATTTGGGGGCTACCGATCGTGAGGTGGCAAAGAAGCAATAATTCAGCCCATGTGGGATCACACGGTCCTGCCGCGAGTTTCAGATGGAAACATTCTGATCATACCAGGCACAATGTAATGTGCCCATAGCTACAGCCATCGGATTATTCAGAGTAGACAAATGATTGAAAGGATCGATCTCAGATACTATTGAGTGGAAAGAAGCGCCTTTTCTCTCTTTCTAAAGACAACTGATTGTGGCACAAATAATTCTTGGCGGTATCCCTTCAGCCTCCCCTGCCCTGCTCGGCTCTTTCCAGAACGATAGCCCCCTGTACATCCACAAATAGGATCAATGGAGGCTCGGTGCCCCCAGGTGCACCCCTAAGACAGTATCACCCTCCCTTTGAGCCTACCTAATTTGCCTCTGAGCTGGATGAGAACTTTGGTTTTACAATGAAGCTAAGCTGCGGTAGAGGGCGAGAAAACAATACTAAGCCTTGGCTTGCAGGGATAGGTAAGCTCGACAACATTATTGCCATTTAGGATCAAAGTGCATACCTCGAGTCTCGGAAGTATATATATATTGGCAAGTGCCCCTTAGACCAGACTTCCATATCCTTACCACCTCAGTCTTTAGACACTGTCACTCGAGTCCTAAATTATTAGCCTCTCGTTCTTCAAAACCATTCATCATGTTGTTCTCAAAGGCCTACATCCAGTCCCTTCTGCTCTTCTCCGTCCAGTCTGCCCTAGCAAACCCGGTGCCCCAAGATGGCGATGACAGCTTACGAGTCCGATCATCAACTGACGAGTTGCCTGAGCTAGCTGGAGAACCCCTTTTATTCAAGATCTCCGGCGACGAAACCCAAGTGGACCTGCCCGTCGAAATCATCAACGCGGTTATCGAAGAACAAGCTACTCGGGACCTTGAGACCCGAGCCACTGAGGGCCAATTGAAGGCTGTGACGCTGCACAACAACGAACGAAAGAAGAAGAACCTGGCCAACCTTGTCTGGGACGCCAAGTTGGGCGCCGATGCTTTCGCTTATGCTAAGAAGCTTGCCAAGCTCGGCAAGCTGGAGCACTCCTCCGGAAGCTCGCGACCCAACCAGGGCGAGAACCTCGCCCGCGTTCCGTATGTTTCTCCAATTACCTCCAAATTAGATATGGTGCTGACAGACATTTAAAGTGTATCTGGAAATCCCACACCCAGTGTTACATCCACTAACTTGTGGTAAGTTAACATTCAAATTGTTCCAAATTGGCCGTCCTAACGTCCTTTTAGGCTCAATGAGCGATCCAACTACCACAATGAGATTATCCCCAATGGAAACTTTGGAAGCTATGGCCATTACAGTAAGAAAATGAACCTCACGTCTCAATAAATCGATATTTTACTGACCATTCCGTTCTTCAGCCCAAGCTATGTGGAAGTCGACCAAGAAGATGGGCATTGCTGCTGCCAATGACGGCAAGGGTAACTGGTGGATCGTTGCTCGTTACTCGCCCCCTGGAAATGTCGTCGGCCAGCGCCCCTATTAGTTGCATTTAGAAGCCATCCTAGGGTATTTGCGAGTTTGTAGTTTCAATTAACGAGCCTCATCTATCATAGCCATTCAGTGTTCGATCCTTAAACTAGTTGTGCTCGCGTTCTGGCCGAGACCGCCTCTGAGATATTTGATCTCTCTACCCCCCTTCAAGTGTGCAGTGCAAAGCCGTACATGAAACTCGCCGTAGACGCCAGAGTAACCTCGATGGATTCAATACGGGTGTTGGATGCTGATCCTGTCGGACATCATGAAACGAAGAAAACCTATATTCTTCGGGCCAATCTGCTCCAAGGGTTCACATATCTGCCTGCCCATTCCTTGCACTGATTAGTTTCATCCTCGGCGAATTTTTCCCGTCGTCTCTTCTTTTGCCAACCCTCGTGTCTTTGGATACTGAAACTGGTGTCTTCGTTCATTTTGATCAACTTTTTTAATACATTCCTCCGCTATTTCCGCTGTATCTCTAAAACTGGATGTAGATCTGCTATCTGGGCATTTGTGCGGTGCGGGAGCGAAAGGGTCGGCAGGTCCAGACTCGCTGAAAGGTTCTGGCTTGTGTGCATTTCCTATTCCACCTAGCATCCTCTCTACTTCCATATCAGAGAGTCCTGCTGTTGGCTGTCATTTTCAAGTAGTCTAGCCGAATGATTCTCAAGGCCATCAGCTTCCGAGAAATCTTCAACAATATTGACTACGCCTAGCCCAGCCAGTTCTCCAGTCTGGGTGGATTGGGTCTTCGGGTTATGATTAACAAGGCTGCGTATGATGTGGTCGTATTGTAGAGTCTCAGTTGGTTCATCAGTCCGACAAGTGACAAATCCCCACTCCATATGCCTACGACCCTTCCTTGAGCTCGGTTGAGTGGGCCTCTACCATCTGAAAACGATTGTCAGGGAGAAGAGGAGGTGCGAGACCTAAGTATTATCTTTCAGTTGACAATCAACTGCTCATTTCCAGCCCTCATCCGGAGTCAAACTAGAAAGGGGGTTATTAAGGGTCTTAACTCTCAATCAATAAGAACAGAAAGCCACATATAACTGCCTCGCCGCTGCTTTACCCCGCCTGGTTGACGCAGCCAATATTCGTTGAGAATAACCGCTGACAAAGCTCCACATGCACCCTGTCAGCTCAACCACATGAGGGAAATAACTATGGAGTGGTGCCATCGTCCAAAGATCTAGTAGGTAAGGACGCAGTATATTCGTATCCTATTACAAGTACAGCAGCCAGGCATATAAGTTCCAAAACCACTTGTTAAGCGGCTGACATGGCGCAGGTTCTCGCCAGCGGAAGCGGTTGTGACCTGGTAGATTTAGTACTAGCGACTTCGAAATCCATCTTGCAGATTGCCAAAGTTCTCAGTGGTCGCCAGACTGATAGAGAAGTAAAGAAGCTCTTGCGTCTTTTCATCGTCCACTGCATGCTGGTGTTTGACCAGGTCCAGCGGATTAGGACTTTCCTGGTCACAGAAAACGACCTCCTTCGTCGAGTTCTCGGCTTGTTTGAGTCTCTTATCGCGCTCGATGCCACATCGAATCATCCTTATGGACGTCAGCAGGGGCTCAATAAGCGTTGGGATGTCATACGGACCCAGAATTCGGATGCCAAACTTGCATTTGCCAGCCATTGTTTGGTCTTGGACCGAACTTCGACCCTGCATGCTTTGGATGAGTCCTTCAATGTGTGGGAGGAAGACGTGATAGCAAAATATCCAGAAGATGGATTGGACTGGTCATTAGATAACTACAGCACAGGAAAAGAGAGAAGAACAGAGCCATCATACGCTGTGCATAGCGCAGCACGGTCAATGTTCAAGGCTCTTGCTCAAAGCACGAGTTGTGAGTGCTGTACCAAGCATGATGCTCTGCTCTGTCTTCGCACATACAGCACGCCTGAAGTTTATCAAGGCGATGATAATGAATCCAATGACTTTGAGATGCTCCTTTCATCGCACCATGACTGGCAAGAAATACATGTGCGCACTATCCGGGAACGTGCTGTGCACTTCATTGTCGACAACGAGACACAGCCATCGCTACCACCGAAGGAAGAACTGGACTACAAGCCTATGCCAGTCAAGAAACTCTGTGATCAGCTAAGAAAGATGCAACAAATGGCCTCAAAAAGGCTCGAGCTCAAGGTCGAGAACGGTCATCTCTTCAAGCTGCGGTCCGAAAAGAGCAAGTTTCGCATCGACAAAAGAAAAGCCCCCGTATCATTGCAAGAGTTCATTAGAGATAGCCCTCGATCCCTAACAGAAAAAACCAAACGAATCCTCGCCGTTTTATTAAGCTATACAGTTCTTCATCTACATGATACCCCATGGCTTCAACCCAGTTGGAATTCCTCAACCATCCTATTTTTTCAAACATTGTCCGCCAATATTCCCTTACGACCGTTTATACAAACTCAAATAACTGTTGAAGATCTCAATGATCAGGGTCAGGACGAGCAAAAGCCCCAACCCAATGCTGGTGGTGTTGAGTTCCTTGGGAGAGATCCTGACGGTACGGATCCTGACGACATATTTACGGATCCCGATGAAATCGAGCATCCATTTCCAACTCTAGTCACCCTTGCTATTGTACTCATGGAGCTGTATTTAGCGGCGCCATTCGATATACTCGCCAAGAACTGTGATTTGGACTTTGATGGAAATGTCGACAGGGGATCGCTCAATGTGGCATCCGTGTTCAACGAATATAAGCGAGAAATTCCCCAAAATTCTCAATTTCATTATGCTTTAGAAAAGTGCCTCGATCCTAGGATCTGGAAAGACAACAATGGTCGGAAGCTCGATAATCAGGCGCTGAGCATCAGGCTTTATAGAGAGGTTGTCCGACCACTTGAAGATGAGCTGTGTGATGCCTTTGACTTTATCAAAATCGAGGAAATCGATGCAACTGCCGAGAATTTGGACTTCAGGAGCTGGGGACAGGCGATTTATCAACATGAGGAAGATGCTTCTTCCTGGGGCATGCCAGTATCTCTAACAGAGGAAATATTCTCCAATCAACGCCGTGATTGGGCAAAGATAAATCCTCCTATTTCGTCTCATGCCCCTAGCCCTTGTTTCGGATCAGGCCATCACTTACCTACGGGCTCTGAGTACGTGGCCGCTCAGTTCTATGACGATGAAAAGCCTTCCGATAGCCATTCACGTCTAGAGTACGTCCTAAACCTTCTGTTTCTTCCAATTCTTAGCCGCCTATCTCTTCTGTTTTATTTTCCACTTGGTTTAGATGATATAATGTCTAGTGTTCTGACTTCTCATGTGCAGAATGGACGATTATATGCAATGGAGATTGAAACATCAAGCGGTCCATCGGAAGTTCATAGATCCCTTCCTAAAACAACTGCCAGGGAATCCCGTCAAAATTGCGGTCCTTGACTCCGGCGTAGACGACACACATATATTACTCGATACTGGCCAAATTAAACTTAAGAGAAATTGGACGACAGCAAAGAAGAAGGATGTTACCGATCACTTTGGTCATGGAACCTTTACAGCTAGTTTATTGATAGATTATGCTCCGGACTCGCAATTATTCATTGCTAAGGTTGCTGAAGGAGCTCCCTCGCCTCCTGAAGTCGTTGCAGAGGTACGTCTAAATCAGTATTACATATGACACGCAAAACGCCTAGAACTCACTATCATTCTAGGCAATAATGACAGCTGTAGATGAGTGGAAGGTCGACATTATCTCTATATCTTTTGGATATCCTACCAACCAGATGGAAGGCTATGAGCAGCTTGAAAATGCCATATTATATGCCTATTCCAAGCGCGTTCTTCTTTTTGCGGCTGCCTCAAACAGCGGGGCGAACCTAGACCGAGCCTATCCTGCTCGCGATCCTCACGTCATCTGCGTTCACTCAACGGACTCGAACGGGAACAGGTCGAGATTCAGCCCAACACCGCTTGCTCAAGAATCCAACATTGCTACCGTTGGGGAAGCCGTCGAGTCTGCATGGCCTGTCAAGCTCTGCAACACGGAAACAAACTCACAGTGTGTACAATGGAAGTCGGGAACCTCATCTGCCACGCCAATATTAGTAGGCATTGCGGCATTCCTCTTGCAGTATGCCAGGATTCACCTGCCAGACAAAGCCCATATGCTAAGGCGTCAAGAGAAGATGAAGAGCGTGCTTTTGAAAATATCTGACAAGACTCAGCAATCTATAACCCGTGATGGTTATAACTACATTGCACTCAATCTGTTTGCGGATAATCTCTTTGGGAAAAGCAAAGTTTTCATAGATGAAACCATTGGGGAGTTGTTGAAACGTTAAAACATAGATACCTGCTGAGATCAATCAAATAAGTCTTTTCAAGCATGGCACCCCCGTGTTGGTCATGAGTAACAAATTCTTTGTATGCCTAATCACAGATCCCGATTACTCATCTCTGATCGACTGGAAGGGCGTAAATTACAACCCTATCGCCCTCCCTCAGAGTTTCCTCGCCCCACCTGATTGGCGGTTGCTTCAACTTGCGACACCATTGAGAGCTCCGGGGTGTCCTTTTTGGACCAGGTTGTATTTCTCTCGAATTCAGCGCCTTCGGTATAAAACTCATGGTCTTTCACTCCCTGTGTCTTTTTACTCACGCGAACCTTGCTCACTCGAAATGCAAAGACAAAATTGCTGCTTCCTTCCCAAGACATGTTCTTCTCCGTCTTGTTCTCTTTCGCGGCCCTAGCTCCAGGAGCTGGGCTACTACCGCTCAAGACGGTTCCACCCACTCCTATTGATGCCTTCTTGTCCCGGGATCGAGACTCGGTCGATTTGGCACTTGCGCCATATACGGTCTTGAGTCCTGTGATGACGTATACTGGCTTTCGGTAACGAGATCTTTCCAAAAATTGTCGCACCGCTGGTGCCTCGATACACTTTTGGATGTACTCGTTTGTAGGGACGAACTGCTTAGTTTCAATTTTTTGAAAACTATAAAGCTCTTTTTCACTAGCTTCAATGAGCAGGTTGGGCAGAGAAAAGGGCGCAGAGAGCATACCGGTGCTCCCAGCTGACGGTGACGTCGACGCCGACGCCGATAAACTTTAAAAACTTGGTGAATAGAGACGATTTTCCTTCTCTAAGCTTCTCGATAGAGTGTTCAACATCCTTCTTCTCTGATGAGAAGACCTCATCCTCGGTTGGAGGGGGCGTTGTCGATAACGGTTGCTCTGGCTTCTCAACTGAGGTTAAGACATTTCCTAGCTTGATGGGTCCTTCCGGGGGGAAGTCCCAGGTTGGGGCGTAAAAGAAATACGCGACTTGGTTTTCCATTAGAAGTCAAACAATGGACTATAACAATGTGCTAGAATCTCTGACGCTGTTCCGTATCTTCCTACAGATGAGTGGTCTGAGCGGGGTTGAGGGAACATCTGCCAACGAGTGTTTATACCACTGTGCCCCACTTTGCTTCCTGCAACCAACACTCATGCCAGAGGAAGAGTTGGCACTTGGGTATGAAATATTATAAGCGTTTGCTTTAAAATAGAAAAAAATGAAAGCATTCGTTCTCAACCCAATAGCGCCCAACATGGTTCCTTACCACTGTTTGGGTTGACCTGGACCTTTGTCTTTCTCAACTCACATCCATTCATTCTACCCTCCAGGTGCATTATTGTGTGCTGAGGGGCTTGTTGGCCATAAATATCACAGCTCATTGACATCAATGCAACTAAACCAATCCATTATTTATTGCTCTTAAATCTACTAAACGCTCACTCTGACTACAGCTATACAATCACCAGGACAGCCGTCAACTTAACATGGCAGAGCTCCAAAGCAGGTATCGCACACCAACCGCCCCCAAATCAAGTCCAAGCAATATCCTCTACCCCATACTTGGTGCCGGTCGACATTACTCCTTGGGGGCTTCCTCCTTAGGTGCGGCAGGAGGAGCCTCCTCCTTCCTAGGGTAGTATTTGGCCACCCACAGATCAACCAGCATGTCCTTGGTGACATCATGCAGGTAGTAGTTGATAGGGACACCAGAAGTGCCATTGGCAGCCTTCTTGAGATAGTCCTCCAGGGCAGTCATCATGGAGTTGATGTCGAGGATCTTATTCGAGCCGTCATCAATGTCAGCAAGGGCAGAGAGCGCGGCCTTGACATCGCCCTGCTTCATGGCAATCATTTGACCGCCAGTCCTGGCAGCTGCAGCAGACTGCTGGACACTTCCCTGGTTGGCGTTGGTGGCGTTCTGGAAGGTGGCCAGAGCCTCCAAGTTCGCCTTCGGGTCAAAGGTGGCAAACTTCTCAACACCAAGTTGGACTTCGTGAGCGACCATCGATGGAATGGTACCCATGCAGATCATTGTAACATGAGAAGAAATGTTCTGTGTGCTGAGGAGATTCTTGACGTCGTTGGCGATGGAGGCACTAGCACCGAAGCCACCAGAGGCAGAGGCGAACCATGCGGCGGCGTCCATCTGAGCCTGCATGGAAGTGGCCATGGATGACATCGTCTCATTGACATTGGTGTCAGAGGTGTTGAGAATGTGAACCATGCCAACGAAGCTAGATCCAAAGGTGGTACCAGAGATGATGCTGAAGTGGGTTTCGTTCTCCTTCTTCTCCTTGCCCCTTTCAGCACAGAGCTTTGCCATGTCCTCCTTGTTGGCGCTCAAGAACTCGGAATCGCCATAAATGCTGTTCCAAACTTTGATTCCCTTGTCTACATCGATGACAAGAGGTGCCATGATGTTGGCATTCTTGTGTGTGCAGGAAACCGAGATGACAAGTGTACCAGAAATGCTGTGTCTCTTGACCTGCTCATTGACCTGCTTGCTAACGGCATTGGTCAGTTCGGTCGATGCCGACTTGCCCAGCCAGCTTCCCTGACTAGCAATGAAGGAAGTGATCTGGTCAGAGTGGGAGCTGGAGCCCTCCTTGTTCATATCTTGGGAGAAATATTGAACATCCATGTTGATGGAGTCTGCGGCAAGGGGCATGGTTTTAATCTGAGTCTTGACATAGTCAATGGGACTTTCAACATCCGCTCGCACATCAGACAGACCTGCACGGTCCTTAACAAGCTCCTTCTCCATCTGAATCTTGGTGTCGACATATGTCTTGGCAGCAGCCTTGAGGTCGGTATCCAACGTCTCCACCTCGGCCTCGAGGTCAGAGACATCGATGTTCATATTCAGGAGCTCGCTCTTGGTCATATCAAGACTTCTCCTAGTGGACAAGAGAGCATTCATGTGGTCTTGAGCCGCATCAATCAGCTTTTGTTTCTCAGAGATGGCTTTAACAGTTTTAACGGCCTTCTCGTTGACAACGCTGGCCAGAACCAGGCTGGGATCGTATGGGATGGTGGAAGGCATGATTGAAGTAGAAACTGAGAGATGAGGTGGGTGGTGGTTTCAAAACAGGGTGTTTTCTGAATGTAGTTGTGTTTGTGAGTGGCTAAAACCGAGATCTTAGTGAGCGAGCACGGGGGTTTATATAGTCAAGTCAATGTTCTCAAGCAGAAAGCATAAGTCATGATATTTTTTTTATTCAACCTTATGCTCTACCTTGCGATGAGAGGGTATCGTGGAGTTCCAAGCCATCCAGGCCAGCGTTTGGATTAGCGGCCGCTCATCCCCGACTCAAACTTTGCTCTACTCTCACCGCTCACTCTCAAGACCATCTAGGATTCAAGAAGATATCATATCATCAACCGAAATGGTATGGTCTTTCACGTCTCACCTCTCAATAAGGACTAGACTTTCGTCCCAAGCTCGAGTGTTTGACCAGTTGATCATCTTGGCTAAGCCACCAGCGCGTCTTGCATCCAGGGGTTCCTCGAATCAGACCTTGCTTCACGAAGCTACTATTCGATAGATCGGTTCTCGAACAAGCGTTGTACTCGTCCATGTGGTGATAGGGCGTTCTCACGTGCAGCGATGCCAAGTTGCGCGGCAATTTGATTGGGCTTGACGGTGAAATCAGTGTCAGCAAGGAAGCCACCTCAGCTGTGCATATCAGGAAAGACTAACGCAAATAATGGAAACATTTACCCCGCAAGTAGCTGAAAAGGAATCCAAAATTCCCTTTCGGGTCAGTCTCAACTTCGAAGACCCGGCCCGAACCGCACATTGGACGACGGGGATGGAGCGCAGGCCCTTGGGCATACCCAGCCCAGTGCCCGACGTGGCCCTCCACACATCCCAGTCCAGCGTAGATTTTCCTAGGCGGAAACCAATTTCAGGTGGGAAGGAAGTCCTGCATTTAGCTATTGCTCTAGTGAGAAGCTAAACCCTTAACAACACAATATTCCGCCATTGTCATTAATTTGGGCCCTGTCTGGGGCTGATGGTGCATACTGACCGGTCGGAGATATTTTGGCCTACCACCGATCATCACTGGTTACGAAGATGGGCACTTGATATGTAGCTTAACAGTTCTTCAGAGGACAGTCATCAATCAGCCCAGTTGAAAATGGTATGCATAGACCAGAACCATCTCCTGGCCACTCTCTGTCTGACCAATCCCTATTTTCTTCTCGGACTGATCCTTCTTCCTCCCTCCTGAGAAGCATGCCAGGGCCGTGGCAGGGGATCAGAGTGCTGTGAGAAGAAAAACTCTATGACTGGCCGTTGGAACACCGTTGGAGCTAGACTTGCCCTGGTCTAGTTCTCACGGACAGACGGTGATAGTCAACGCCAAAGCCCAATACAGGGAGGCGTCCGCATTAGTGTGAGCGTTTGCCTCCACTGCCTAGAACAATAACAATATGCAGGCCAGCGCTGACCCGACCACCCAATAACAGCCACAAACTCCCCTGGGCAGGAAAGTATGACTCCTCCCACAGCTCGGAGGATAAGAGCTAGATAAAATAGGAAAAAGACTGGCGGCATAGCCGCTGGCAAGCAAGCTGAGCTGCATTGTGCTGAAGACTGCCGCTGCTGAATGCCGGGCCCATTTTCCAGCTCAGCTTGATAGGCCTGTGCTGTCATTGGGCCTTTCAAATTACCGTGAGAATTTTGTGCCCAAATGCGAGATTCAGCTCAGTTCTAGCTGGACCCAGAACTCTTGGCGCTATTCAGAACCCGGCATTGGATGGTCCTCGTCAGGCGACTTCAACACAAATACCCGATCAAGAGCGGTATCCACGGTTCAAGTGCAAGGAGTGAGAAGAGTAGTGTTACCGCGATCTCAGTGTGTCCACCGATGAGGAAAGTCTTTGTCTGGGTCAAGTTGTTGTTCGTATTGGGATTGCACGGAAAGACCGTGATAGAAGTCACGGAATCCAATAAATACGTTAGGTAGTATATAAGGCTCCTAGTCGAACACTTTCCAAACTTCTGAATACATGCAGTTCCAACACAATTCGCTTATCAGTTATCAGCAGACAGTTATTTGACTTGGCTCAAAATCTATCCCATTTACGACTCCCACTCAGCCCCTACCAAAATGTTCATCTATGCCGGCAAACTACAGTGGTTCAAGTATGGTGTAGGCGAGCTACTAGTCGTGGTTCTCCCCAACGGGCCAGTTCGTGTCGACGATACTGTCTATCTCTCCACTCAATGGACCATTGATGCCGCTGGCTCCAAGAAACAGAAGTTGTTCTCCGCCCAGACGGTCCAGAAGGTAGTCAAAGCTGACAATGGCGATGACACCTTCATCCTTCATGGAGGATACTACCTCTATGAGATCAGCAGCCAGCAGGGCTACAAGACTATCAACATCACCATGTCCAACCCTGGCGGCTCCAAAGACCATATGACCCTCGAGCGTGTTTATCAGTCCAAGGGTGAGGTCGCTGCAGAGTCGGCCCGCATCTGGACGGGTAAGTTCGACTGGCCTCAGAACGCGAGCGATGAGCCCTTCACAGCTATCATCCCCGAGGGGTTTGGTGCTGGAAAGCCGATCTTGGCCTTCTGGCAGTGGACCGTCGATGCCAATCTGGAACCCAAGGTCCAGTGTATTGCCCAGGGCACTCAGACGGCTGAGACTCCCGCCGACGACAAGGTCAAGTTTACCTTCTCTGATCACTACAACCTCGCTTGTACCTGGGACGTCAAGACAGAGGAGCTGGCCGTTCATATGCAGGACCCCGGCAAGCATGAACAAGATATTGGACCGTTCAAGTTGGCTGCTCTGATCGAGTTCCATTCAGAGTGAGTTATCCCATTTTATGCACCTTTTGCTTCTCTATCCTAGCCCCTCTATGGCTGCTAACTACTTGGAACTTGTCTACTAGGGACGTCACTCCGCCCGATATCCCTCTAGAGAAGAAGACATTTGATGTTCGATATCCTCAGGCAGAGCCTTCCCTCCCCCGAATTCAGGCGCCGCTGCCCTTTCCTCGAACTCTGCTCGATACACTATCGCATACAGCAGCATACGTTGACCAGGCGGGCTACCTAGCCAAATATGCCGTCGGAGTACGTATTGCCTTCACCCAGTACTCATTTCCGCCCAAGTCATACTTAGCAAGTGCCTGTCATAATACTAATGCTTCTGATCTAGAGATACCATGCTCTTGATCAGTCTTACCACTCCTTGCTCAAGCAGATAGACCAACTGAACAACCAGATCCGCGAGCTATCAGGCAAAGTGAACGAGCTCACCACGGTCAACGAAGCAGAGAAGCACGAGATCGAAAGCCTTCAGAAGAAACTCGCAGATGCCATGGACGCCGCGGCGAAGAAGGAGGCTGAGCTGACGCAGCAAATCCAAGATCTACAGAAGGCCCTAGCAAAGGAGGAGGCCCATGACGTAGAAGACCACAAGGCCTTGGATGAAGCTCAGAAGCAGCTCCGGGATGCCAAATCTTCCATCGTTCTTCTCCAGAAGCAGCTCCTTGCGTTGCAGCTCGCCCTTAGCGAGAGCAACAAGACCATCGCTCGTCTGCAGAGCCAGGTAGCTAACCTTAGCAAGACTGTGAGTGAGCTGAGAGGCGAGCTAGAGGTAGAAAAGAAGCATAATGAAGATCTGTCGCGTGAAAACAGCGATCTGAAGAGCAGGGTGGCCTCGGCGGAGAAGGAGACCGCCACGGTCAATAAGACCCTGGAGCGCACCACCGAGGATCTGAAGAAGGCGCAGGCCGACAACGATGAGAAGGACAAGATCATCGGTGGTCTTGAGGAGGGCATTGTGGCAGTGAAGAAAGATCGCGATGCCAAGCAGGCCGCGTATGATGAGCTGAAAAAGTCCACTGATGCTACTATCAAGGAGCTCCAAGACGAGTTAGCCAAGCTCATGCGCGGTGGTCATTCTTGGCCCGGGGATGTTCCTCCCCCTTTTGTGGACATGCCTCCTCCTTTCGGGGGTACTGGATCCAGCCCTATGGATGAAAAGTGGTGGAAGAACATGGGCATGGATGAGAGTATGGCCCGGAGGCTGGGTTTGGAGAAATGAATGCAGGACGTTTGAGAAGTTGGATAGGGAAGGACTATCAAGAACAGCCAAGCTTTCTTCTTCATTGCTCCTCAAGGAATGCTCCAATGCATGTATCAAGGAAATAGAGTAGTGAGCCGTACGAATTCCATTAATTAAGACATAAAATGAGCTCCAGAGTCCTTGTTCGAGAAATTATATGCCTTGTTCCACGCTGGCCTCCTCAATATCATGCAAACGTATTATTTGACGTTTCGAAAACAAATTGATCCCGTATCATACCATCACCAAATGCCAACGCCTAATGCTATCCGGATCCGATGCAAGCTCGTTTATATCCCCCAAATGCTCCGAAGCCTGTCCTCCGCAATAAGAAATGACCATGTCATGTGCGCTTCCGCACCCTGCAGAATTCCTAACAATTTTTCTTGTTCACTACGATCCGTGAACCGATCGCCGCCTAGTAAATCATGGTCAGCCTCAAGATTCGGTGTACTGGCCGAGCTGACTTACACATCGCTATCGCCATCCCGGCAACGGTGGCGGCGGGGAGGTATCGACGATCACAGAGCACGATTCCGCATATCCTCCTCACAAGCTTCCGGATCAGGTGGTCGACGGAAACGCAGGCTGCGAGACGGTCTAACCCGAGGATGGGGATATGAGGGTCATGGACAGCCAGGAGGATATGGCAGATATCTGAGTACTGTTGTCCAGATACTGCTCTTAAGTTAACATACCGATATTGAAGTGGACACTTTAGTCAGGCTGTGAAGGTGCTTACCATGGCAGTCATTAGCAAACCACATCTCAGGGAACCCACCCTCCCCATCACCTGAGCTCCAAATAGGATCAAAGGACGAAGGGCGGTGTTGATCCCAGCTGTCCAGATACGCCTTGAGCTCAGCCCAGCGATCCTTTGAACGAGACTGGGAGCCATAGGCGAACGTGAGCACGTCCTCAGTGTGCGCCACTATACGCCGCGTCCAGGTGAAGTCGTCGGCTGGATCGATGGTCCGTGAACCGTCGTCGAGGTATTGGGAGAGGGGCGGTGGCACCTTCTGCGCTTTGAAGCATATGAAGATCTCTTGTCGAATTGCCACGAATAGTGAGGCCTGACAGAGGGAGTATCCCTTCGCTTCTGGGTTTTGGGAACGGATGAGAATACCTGTGTCGAGGACATGTCCGCTGGGTGATTCGCCGGCGGGGACTGTAGAGCAATGGGCCAAGTAAGTAATCGATCTCGGAAGTTCAAATAAAGGATCTTGTGGCTTACCCGTCATCTCGTCGTAGAGCCGCAGTATCAAGGTCACCGCGCAGAGAAAGTCTCCCTCGAGAGCGGGATCACGGTTCGCCAAGGCAGGAATAAAGTGCTGGAGACACTTTGCCTGGTAGCGATCTGCGGCCAATGGATCCCATTTCTTTAATATTCCAAGATGTCTTGCGGACACCGCCGTGATAGCGTAGAAGATGATGCGATGCTTGGATGCCGCTTGGACAACTTGATTGGCAAAATGCCGAGACTGGTCACAGTAGTCAAACTGTGTGGAAGACCCTTGATGTGAGCTACAAGACAATTCAAAAGGGACCAAACGAAGTTGGATTCTGTGTCGGTTTATACGTACCCATGTGGACAGTTCGTTTTGGAAATAGCATATCAACATTCCCTCACTTCTGTCATGTAGAGGCCATAGTCGCGGCAAGGAATCCGGTGACAGTCTAGCTTGAGAAGGTTCGCTCAGAGAGATTGAACCTGGGGATATTAAGCCACCAGCATCATCTGCTGAACCGGGGCTATGTAACTGAGGGGGGACTGAGGACACGGAAACATCTTGTTGTCCGTGGCCATCTGAATCTTCCTGGGCTATGTCCACTGTTGAGTGTATGAAGAGAACTACCAATGATTCTCATTAGCCAACAAATGACGGAAGACAATGGGGCAAAAGCCAGGTGGGTTTACAGGGTCGACCAGGCGGTCTTGCCAATAGGATTTCGGAGTCGACAGGACTCGTCCCTGAATCGGCTTGACTTGATCCAGGTTCCTTCTGAGACTTTGGTGTCGATGCTAGAACAGAGGCGGATTTTTTATGTCCATCGCGGAAGGTGAAAGGATATGCTACCTGGTTGCACTCGCGGCCGGATCGCTGGCAAGGAGAGCAAGAGGGTTTCTCGCCATCGCCTTCATCACTTGTGTTAGATTGTTATAAGAGTTGGTCTATGGTTACTTAATTTAGTGGGACATACATTTGATGTGTAGACGACGGCAGGGGGCGCTATCCTCATGCAACTCGCGTTAGTAACACCCATAACCAGTCAGCAACCAGGCCAATGCCGGGGTGTGCAACAGCACGTAGATAGGAACAGAGATGAGGGGAGAAGCGTACCAGGACCGGCGGTTTGACAACCGTTTTGGCGGCATCCGGGTGGATTCATCCAGTCGACTCGGAATGAGCTGACATGGAATCGAACGAGATGATACGAGACGGAACGGGGCGGGATGTTTGATCAGGTTGACACGCAAAAAGAGGGGATGAGATGGAGAAGCGTTTTCTCTCCGAATTTCCGATTATCCCCACACGCTAAGCTCAACCATTCGCGCCACCAAAGACTACGGAGGGTTCGGTTTACGTGGGGAGGTGTAAGTTTCTAGCAAGATCCAGGAGTTAGATACTGGAAAATCAATTGTTCCTTCAAGATTGATCTAAGCTAGGCTATCTCGAGTTTCCAACCAATTTTGCCGTACCCAGACGTAAGTGTACGGGCTTATGTGAGGGACACAAATCGTCATTTCTCTGGCATAATTCTTTAGAGTTGTGAATTTCAATCAACTCAACTCATTAATACATCATTGGCCTAGAACTACGAAACTAAGCTTTCAGAGAAAATAAAACTCTTAACAACACTCTATTATTACCAAGTGCTTGCTATTTTGGCTGTAGTATGAAGTTTTGTACTCGCGAATTGCCAATAGGTCTAGGGTAGTTTCATACTCGGAGTATCGGAGCGCTTTTTCCGCTTTGGGATACCCTCCATCACGTCGGAGCAAGTTCGTCATGATTACAACGAACTCCCGTCGTATCTCGAAATGTAGACGACTATCTGCATGCCCTGGGTTGCCTTTCTTACAAATCCTGCGTGCATGTACCACACCGCCGACCACCATCCCCGAAGGAACAGGCTGCGGATAAATTCAATTGGTTCACGTGCATATTCACGTCCAAGGGAAGGTGGTGAGGCAGGTCGCCTTGAATGGAAAGTCGGTTGATGCCTGTTACGACCTACCGTCGCAGAAGAGGACTATCAGCGGAGACAGACACGATTCGTGGAGTATTCCGTCGCCTGGCTGATGTTGCTTTTAAGGGAGCTGGGTGCTCAATCCAGTACGCGGAGCTCGGGCACGTGATCTATATTGATTGAGGATGGAAGCACGGCGGAAAAAACAAAGAAGGCCTCGAGGGGAGATTCCGGAGAGCCCGCCTTTATCAGGGACTTTAAAACAAGCGCTTGGGAAAGATCGGAAGCCCGCAAGAGAAATTCGCTGTTGAGAAAATCGGCGTAGCGAGGCAACAAAAGTCCAGGATGCTACCCCTTGATTGGCATGGGTAAAGAGGGACCTGGTACCCCTCAGAGATGCTCAACCCCACTCTCCAGCTCGGGAGTCGTATTCGTGTTCGAGATCGGGGATTGGATCCGAACTGCAGATTGCTGTGGTGCATATCTGGAAAAAAGTCTCCAGCGCGGACGCGTTAATCATCATGCGCGAGCATTAAGTGCCATGCCTGGATTGGAGTCCCGTATATATACCTGCACGCGACGGCATGATATACATAGTAGACGCCTAAGGGCGCTGGTACGTGCTGTTCTCCAGATGCGATGTGGTAGGGGCGGGAACGAACCCTTGATTACATAAGACGCTTCTTTTCTGCTAATTTCCGAGACTTGGTCTGTCCTCCGTCATTTGCTGTAGCCTCTGAGCTAGACAAACAAAACAAACCAAGACAGATCCCCAAACATCAGCATCTGGTGTCTCGTACTCGCCAATCTCATCAATCTGTATCTGTGAATGAGGAGCGAAGGCCTGGCCTGGCCGATTCAGCCCGCGATCGATGGAGATGGATAAGATCACGCGGTGCATTGGGCGGACGGGTTGCTCTCGGAGCCCGGAAGCACGATATCAATCTTCGTACGATGTTGAGATCATCTTGGCCCAAAGGCGGGCTCCATCTGCATTTCGCTAGCCCAGGGAGGGGCAGCGCTGGCAGGCTGCTGATTGGCCCTGCGGCACACGGCGGTCAGGGCCCTGAGCCGAATTGGTGCGTTAGATGGCAGCCTTCAGCAGGGTTGCGGCAGGGTTCCAGCAGGGCTCCACAGCGAGGCCCCAAGCTCTGGCCAGTGAACCAGCCGCCGGTACGAGTACGGTGATGGAGGGCGCAATGGGCGAGCGATTGACGAGCCGCAGCGCCCGGCTTCAGTGTTCCCGGTGGTACGTGCAGGGCATCGACAGTGGGCGGGCCATTGCCTGCAGAAGGGACCTGGAGCCTTCAATTGCTGGTGGGAAGTGCCTGGGCGAACATCCCGGCAGCGGCCCCTCCCCAAAAACCAAATTTCGCAATCACAAAATAAAAAAACGGCCGGCGCCACTATCTTTTATCCCTCGTATTCGATTCGACATGCTAACGTAGTGTGCCGTTCAAACTTTCCTGCTTCCAGTCCGCTTGTCTCTTGATCAGACAGCGTCAATTGTCAGGCTCGGCCTCTCCCTCGACTGCCCTGAGCTCGCCTCTCTCTCCTGCCTCATCCTACGCGCCGATACTCGATCCTCGATTCTCTTGGCCGTCCAGGTCAAGCTGCGTTCGCTAGCCGCCATGGACGCCCTCCTCGAGATCCTCGACCCCTTGGTGCTCGACAAGGCCTACGCCTACGTCCTCCCCAGAACGACTCCTCTCGCGTCCTCAGAATACTCCAATGCGACCTACCCCGTCTCCTCCCACGTCGACCCCGACTCCTTCTTCTACTCCGAGGCCGAGTTTGCTTCAGCCTGGGGCCGCGATCACCTCTACCGACAGATCTCCTCTTGCTTGATCATTGCCGGTTTCGGCGCAGCTTTCCTCTACACCCTCTTCTCAGCCTTCTCCTACTACCTTATCTACGACCGCCGCCTCGAGTACCACCCGCGATTCCTCAAGAACCAGATCCGACAGGAGATCATCTCTTCCTTCATTGCCATTCCCGTCATTGACGTCCTCACCCTGCCCTTCTTCCTCGGCGAGGTCCGCGGCCACAGCCTGCTGTACAGCAATATCGATGACTATGGCTGGCCATGGCTCATTGTCTCGACCCTCATCTACATGATGTTCAACGACTTGGGCATCTACTGGATTCACCGGCTCGAGCACCATCCCAGCATCTACAAATACATCCACAAGCCTCACCACAAGTGGATCAGTAAGTACTCCCTGCCACTGTCAGGAGACGAGGCCGTTGTCGTCAGAGATCTAACCGCCGCACTCCTTCAGTTCCTACCCCATGGGCATCTTTTGCTTTCCACCCTCTTGACGGATGGGCGCAGTCTCTCCCATACCAGTAAGCTTCCCAATGGACCTCATCGCTCAATCCTAGATCTTCAATGCTTCTAACACGCCTTCCCCTACAGCATCTTCGTCTATGTCTGCCCCATGCAGAAGCATCTCTACATGTTCCTCTTCGTCGTTGTCCAGCTCTGGACTATCCTTATCCACGATGGCGACATGATCACCGGCCACTGGCTCGAGGATATCATCAACTCTCCCGCTCACCATACCCTCCACCACATGTACTTCACCTGCAACTACGGCCAGTATTTCACCTGGGCTGACAACTACTTCGACTCTCACCGTGCCCCACGCCCCGAGCTCGACCCCATCAACGAAGCCCTCAGGGTCATGCGCGAGAAGGGCCTGGTCGACGAGAAGGGCAACCCCGTCAAGAAGCCCAAGAAGGAGTAAAGAAGAATATTCCTGGGTTGATAGCCCTCCATTTTGAATCTACATCCACGATACAATATCAGGCGGAGGCTCGGTAAATCAGGGATTGGCCGCAGCTGCGCCCTTGGGCTGGAGTTGACCAAAGGAGAGAGACGGACGACTAGGATCGTCCCTTTAGTTTCCTGGCAACAGCTTATTACGACATGCACATAGAGAGACCAAGTAAATAGAGCCTAGAACAACCATCTTCTAGTATGCTTCCAGGGGCAGAACGACACGACATCAAAAGCAGCATTGGCAGTGGTCACGCGACAGCAAGTCATGGAGGACGGGCGTTCCACGCTGCGTCAGGCCAATCGGTCACGGTGACGAGGGGTATAGCGCATTGTTTATTGCGTACCCTCTCCTTACCTTACTTCTTTTTTTTCCGGCTTGCCGCTTGACCACAATTAGGAGTTTTTAATTTTTCTCACCGCGGAGGACGCATTTCACGAGTATATATATATTGCATAAATTGTCACGACCTGCCTAGCACCTATTTAATACAATGAATACCAAGCTTCTGCAATAGCCTTTAGTGACATAGACGGAACGATACACCGAGTAATGAGCTGCCTGCCGACCTTGATGTCTCCAGCACTAACGTTGGTGTGCCTGCCTACGGATGATCGACTGCCACCAAGTGTCATGAGACAATTACGCGGCAATGTAGCGATCGCTAAGGCCACTGAGCACGAATCTACACCCCCGCAGGTCTCAACTTATTCTCGGCTCATTGATTAGGGGTCGTATCTGGCTGGAGGTCAACGACTAGTGCAGGACCGTGCTGAGACATCGACCATGTTTTCTTGGTCGAGGGAGCGCCGCCCCTTTGCCGAAGTTCAGCTGCTCCGGCTGTTAGATTAGGGGCTCGGAAGCTGAACAAGCTCTTCAGCTACTTAATCTCGAGGATGGACTTCGTTGACCATTCCCCCAGCTTCTCATAGGACAGCAGTGACGTGGAGGTGTACCCGAGTGGAGTTTGACGTTAATAAACATGCGGTTTGATTTTGGATTCCTAGGTCAGTATATCCTGAATTTGGGCCGTCTCTCCCAAATATGACCTGGACTTTGTCCTCTTCTCCGTCTAGACCATGGCTCACCCAGTCACTCTGTTTTACACGCTGAAGCAATACCGAGGCAGAAGCATTTTGCTAACATCCAACCTACAGGCAAAATGCCCGGCCTCTGCCTCCCAACCCGGACCCGGCACGCCAAACGGAGAGAGTCGGCCCCCCCGCCCGCATACCAGCCCATCGAGGGCACGGAACCCCCGACGACGACGACAACGGACAAGCTGCGCCGGCTCTCCCACGACTTCAGCACGCTGACGATGCGGAGGAGGAGGGGCAAGCCCAAGGACGACGAGATCCCCAAGCCGTCGCCGCGCGAGGAGGAGCCCCCGCCACCGGGATCGGACGTCACGTCCCTCATTTTCATGGACATCGCGCCGCGGGAGGCCGCGCCCGAGTACTACAGGGGGGAGTGGCTCGCGTGCCTCGAGTTCACGACGCGGGACCTGCCGCGGCTGATGGCGGAGGGCTTCTTCTGGGACGAGGGCAACGTCGTGCCGGAGGGAGGGGGCCAGGAGCTGCGACAGTATGAGCAGCAGTTTGGGTTTCGGCACGCGCGGGTGTACAGATGTAAGAGCGGGGGGGATGGGCCGGAGTGGACGGGGACGATACGGGTGTCGGCGAGGGATCTTAGGGTGCTGACCGAGTTTGAGATTGGGATGCTGAGCGTGGATTTGGTGTTTAGGATGGAGGCGACTTGTGGGTCGGGCGAGAGAAGGCAGAAGGTATATCAGTATAGCGCGCAGGAGGGGGAGAAGAACTTCAATGCGTGGTATGATGAGGCGGTCTTGAAGGGTTGGTGGCCGTGGCCCTGAGTTGTGATTTCCCGAGGGATGGGAATTCACGGCCTGACACTGACTGGATATGAAGCGTGGGGCACTCTATATGAATTATGAATGAGAAAAGCTCTTGTTTTTGTTGGTTCGATTCGGATTTGCCTTCACTGTCATCTATGGCGTGGAATATCGTGATACGGATGCTGAACCAAGTGTCACTATTCATGTGATCCAAGGCTTCTTTCTAAAGAATAGAAGTGCGTTCAAGTTATATTCAATCGAACCTTGTAAAGTAAAAATTGCTCCCAGTTGCAGCTTACGATTGGGACAGGTGAGTTTACCGAGGATATACTATTTATTGGCTTCTTGCCTCACTGTGTTGAGATGTCGGGTCTGGTATCTTCTGTTGTTGTTTTCAACTTTATACTCAGACTTTCCCCAGGATTGGCTTCTTAGCACTCATCCGTAGGCATGATGAGATTTAGGAATTACCTATTTTGAAGAAAGGACTTTAGGATGAAAGTTAGGTTTTACTTGCGACCTTTTGCAGAGATGTCACGAATGAGTCATACAGCCACTTTTACCTAGCGATATTTTGACAAGTTTTCCGCTATATTCGGTTGATTGCGGATCTAATGAAACAGTGCTATATAACAAACTCGTAATTAATTCAATGAAATTGATAGGTACCCTCTCCTGAGAATAGAAGTTAAGACCGAATGGAAAGGCCTCCGCCGAGTTCGCAACATCTTGTCTATATTCATAACAAGAGACCTTGAGGAGCATGCAAATGTGCTATTTGTGGTATCAGAACTACTGGTTATGAATGAGTGATTTAATTTGGGAAAGGTTCCGAGGGAGGGGTTCGCTCTGGCGCCAAGCATGAACTGCTGCATGTTTTATGTTTGTATCAATGCAAGGTTCTCCCTCCAGGAGGATCTGGGGTTCGAATATTACGAGGAAACATGTCTCAGAGTGAGTAACATCTCATTGTTGAATACTACTCGAAATTGAATGTGTGCTTCAATACCCATCACCAATCGGACAAGCGTGATAATGCACTCATCTACATTTGCTCTGGATAACAGCCCGTAAACCATTGCCTTTTCATAGTATAAGTCTGTAGTAGGTACATAAAGAGGGGTTGGCATCTCGCCAATCGGAAGAAGCAAATAGTGGTATTCTCCGGCAGCTCATGGTCCGCATCACCCATTTTTGATACTTTTGACCAGGGTTATTCATGCATCGAAGGCTCACCACCTCTTTCATTCACCAATGAGGGTGGGAGGCTGCTGTTTCTCCGGATAGGTGGGTGTGAAAACCAATCCAAATGCATTGTTAAGTGTTTCAAATTGGAGACGCGGAACTACAACACCGATAGCCTGTTTCGTCAGCTTCCGAAACATATTGATGCATCACTCATATATTTTGAAAGGTTTCCCAGGCACTTCTACCCTTTCCTACCGAGTTTAAGAATTGTCGGAGAGAAAGAGAGTGAACCAAAATCAAGTGCATCTCAAACCGAAGCTCATACCAAAATGGTTGCCTCTATCCTTCAGAGCGCACTCTGGCTGGGCGGCTTCGTCTCGACCGTCATGTCGCATGGCATGGTCACCAAGTGGACTGCAGACGGGAAATCTCAGCAAGGATTCATCCTTGACTACTACTATGCCAAAGTAAACGGACAGCCAGTGCCGGACATTGCTTCATGGTACACCGAGAACCTGGACAGCGGCTTCGTTGCTCCAGATGCCTATCAGAGCTCGGATATCAACTGCCACAAGAACGCCAGCCCCGGCACCCTCTACGCCACTGTTGCTGCTGGTGGCACGTTGACATTCACCTGGGCACCGGCTCCGTGGGTTCACCCGTACGGGCCAATCCTCACCTATGTAGCCAAGTGCAGCGGAGAGTGCACATCGGTTGACAAATCCACCCTGAAATGGGTTAAGATTGAAGAATCTGGAAGTAAGTTTGACACACGTAATTGAAAACTAGTTCTGGGCTCTGCATGCTAATCATTTCCCCATTCTGAAGTCAACTACTCTACCCAGAAATGGGCATCCCAGGTCCTGATTGACAACGGCAGCGTCTGGACCACCAAGGTTCCAGCATCGCTCGCGCCTGGAAACTATGTGTTCAGGCACGAGATCATTGCTCTTCACGGCGCCGGTTCGCTGAACGGGGCACAGAACTACCCGCAGTGTTTCAACGTCAAGGTCACTGGCTCGGGAACAAAGAACCCAAGCGGCGTCGCCGGCACTGCGCTGTACAAATCAACGGATCCCGGGATTTACCTGAACCCCTACACGACCATTACCAGCTACGCAATGCCCGGCCCAACCCTGTGGACTGGCTGAGTATCAGACGCGGCGGGTGGCTCGGGTCCTTCACGTGAGTTGAAGCCGTAGGCGCCGGGCTTCGATGGAAGTGGCCTGTTTTTGGGTCGTTGTTATTTGGATATGCATATATTGAGCGTTGCTTGCATGGGTTCGAGTAATATTTTCCATCGATGAATGAGACACGATTGCACAGCTGAAGACCCATGACTGCCTGAATAAATGTTACCTACTTCAATTCTTGGTAAAAAAGATCGGAAAAAAGTTCCACGGCAGAGCACACCCTCCCGTAAGCAGATACAACGCTGGAGGGAAACCTTGTCCAGATCGGCCAAGTCATACTCCTCGTGCCGGGCCGAGATCCAGCCCTCAGGCACTCGCTGTTATCCTCCTTCAAACTCTATTGTGGCCATTATTGGCTTGGGGGGTTGCACCAGCTGCCTCCCGTACGGTGAATCAAATATTCGTCCGGACAGGCGCTCTTGGCGTCCAGCCACGCAACGGATGGGGGCGAAGGAAGACGAAGGAGGCCAATGAACATGACTCTGTGCCTTAGAGTCGCATCAATCTGTGCCAAGTGTTTGCAGAGAGTAGCATTCCGGCCAGGCCCGTGCCCTGAGATATTAATTTGCCCCTGTCGGCGTCCCTTATATTGGATGAACTATCCCACGTTACAGTACAACAGTGCCGGGATGTAGCTTATTCTGCCTTTTTTCTAGCCGATAATATCCCCGTATTTGCAACGGTTTAGGCACTCCTACATGAACTAAGGTTGCCAAGGTGCTGTCTGCCCCCCCTGTTCCAGCATATACGAGAACAGCCGGGTTGGATTTTCAGCCTGTTCAGGGAACTGGCTTTGGCGTTCTCTGTCGGCATCACGCCAACATGGAGCGATTGCTGCATATATGGGTGGCAGCGCAGGTCCCCAGGCCCCTTGATTGGTTGGTTAATAGGCTCGAGATGCATCTTTTTTTCAGCCCGTCCCCCCTCAGCCGTTATCAGGTCCTGTATATCGGTCTGCATACAACAATCCAGAGAGATACTGAGGTTTCTTCACATGTTGCAATTTCCAAATCGGGTATAGAGAGAGAGAAGAGGCCTCATGGTCAAGGTCTAGAGCGCGGCTTTCAGAGTTTTTAATTTATCTCTGCATGAAGACTGTCTTGATCCATCGCAACACACAGCCTTGGCTAAAGTATAAAGAGCTGCGACTCGAACAATTTGTTGATGGACTTTCTATTCTCATCACGCACCTTCACACCCGTTTGTGAAGCCCTATACTCTCTCTCCTAATTCTTATAATACTCTTAACTATCCTAATTCTTTCTTCAATCTCCCAACATGCAGCGACAGGCTCTTCTGTCCCTGCTCGCCGGCGCATTGAGCCAGGCCTGCGAACTCCCCACCGACCCTATCCCAAACACCATTTCTGATGGGTTCGGGATCCGAGTTCAGAACGCAGATTTCCCTGCCGTCAATGGCCGGTACTGGAACCTGTTCGAGGCTGGTGGTGGTGACCAGCATTTGTACCTGAGCCCAACCGGCGCCTACGCCTTTGACCTCACCCTCAATGCTGGAGTGATTTCAAAAGGCATTATCCATGCTGTCATCAACGGAGAGGTGAGTAGCTGAATTGAACGAATGAATGAACTTGAGCCCATGAGACAAGACTAACGCAAGCACATGCAGTATCTGATCTCTGACAACACCACCAAGATCTTCATGACCGAGCGTGGTGACCCCAGGGCTCTCTTCCAGCCTGTGTACGGTTGCCACCCTGTGACTGATGAAGTCCAAGTTGAGCTCCAATTCGTCGGCCGCGAGGGTGATGAGGCCGGCGGCAACGTCTGTGTCCGCACCGGAGCGTTCACCGACAGCTACGAGTTCCGTTACTCGCCCCCCGAGAACCCTGGTAAGCTCACCACCCCATCAACAGTTCACCGACTTCATGCTGACTCGTGATTCTAGCCCACGACCCAAGCAGACCCTGCATCCCCATTACCCTCGCGGTTGATCGCAGCGAGCCCCCCGCCCAGCCTACCCCAACCCCCACCAGCTCCATCCCTCCCGGTCCTACCGTCACCCCTGGCCTCTTCGCCGATGTGACCGCCGAGGGCTACGCATTCGTCGGCTGCGCGCCCGAGGAGGGCAACGCCAACGACAACACCACTGAGCGCACCCTCCCTGCCTCGCTCTACGCCTCCGACGCCCTCACCAACGAGGTCTGCGTCAACTACTGCAAGTCCCTCGGCTACAAGTACGCCGGCAGCGAGTACAGCCGTGAGTGCTGGTGTGCCAACTCCTACCTGCCCACTCGCCAGCCCGGAACCACCATCTCTAGCTTGGCCGGCTGCAACATGGCGTGCGGCGGTGACGCCTCCCAGTACTGTGGTGGCGCTGGCTGGCTGAGCCTGTACTCTGCTTGCGAGGAGGGTGCTGCGTGCACCAACGCCGAGTTCTCGGCTGTGAGGTCCATGCGCCCCTTCCGTGCTTGAGGTGTGAAGGTGTAATTTTGAGGAGGATGGAGGATAGGGGAGTGTGGATTATGTAACTAGGAATAATAGTAGTTATTCAATTCCGTGTACATGGGTTCATTCTGGGTCGTACCTCAGTGTGGCCGGGCTATAAGGGATAATAAATTATTTAAAAGTAGCTTGTAGCCTATATATTTGTGATTTTCCACCATCAAATGGCCCGAGAACTGATCATGTTGTCTGCACAGGAGCATGGAGTTTATAGAACCGGTTCAGGGGACTGAGCACAAAAAGCTAAGATGATTTTTTGTTGATACGTCAGGTTTCGTATCATGTGTTATTGAAATTGCCACACTTAAACGTCTTTTCTTATAGACGAAATCATTCTTCTAATAGGAGGCTGTCGTTTCTAGCTTAGATTCGCAAGGTATAGTAGGCATTCTAGACGGATAGAATTATGATTTTAGACGGCTAACACTTCCAAAGCTATACTTGGGACTAGAGAGAAAACTCTTATTTATGTTGAAAAAATAATGATTTCACTTCTACCAATCAAAACGATGACCGGATAAGGCACTTTCACCGAGCTCTCACTCATATCATACCATCAGTCAGCATAGCACAGATGATGGGTTGAGAAGGAAAGTATCAATATTGCCTATCTCTCTCATATTTCAGTATTTTATAACTGATTGGGGCGATCAAAGGTAAGTAAGACGAGATATTTCTACGTTAGGGGTGGATATAGGCGCTCAGCTGATTTACCATGGCGGTCCATTGGAGTTAATAGAGTCTCTCTTTTCCTTAAGAAATGCCACGTCAACGCGCCTCAGATACACAATTTCTACGAACTGAAGAGTTGGGCTATTCCTTTTCTAACTACGCTCACGCTCGGTGTAGTCATGTAGAATGACCTTAGTATTTTCATTCGGACGTAAGGTTGTAGACTCTGACCCATCAACGGCATCAAACACCAGGTGACCCGTCACTCGTGTGGGTGTTTCCGCTGGTGAATTGCTAATCAACCTCAGCCCTAGCTTAACTCCGGGCCGCTTCTATGGTGGCGATTGCAACACGTCTGAGCTGAGATTAGTTTAGTTCCATTCTTGTCCACAGGCTGGAGCAACATTGAATCCTGCATAGAGGGAAGGGTGTCAGTGAGAAATCCACAGAGCGAACCAACTCGTTGCCTGACGGGGCAGATCTCTACTCGTCATATTCTCCCCCATGGCCTCATTGCTGCCTCATGGTCATTATCGCCACCCCGGATATAATGCTCCGTACGACGCTGACTTGATACCATATATCCAGCAATTAACTCAATACCTAGATTGCCCATGCAGGATTGCCCATTGAAAGTTGATTTCTGGTTCAAACACTTAATGTCTGTAGATGTTGATAGGAGTTGTTTATTCACCAAGAAAAATAGCTCGCAGAACACATCATATTAATCATCTAGCTGGAAGTAGGGTTGAAGAGGAGGAGTGCTGACATGCAGAAGCGCCTGACCATTGCTATCCAACCATGAGCGTTCTCAGGGCACCACGCTGGGACCTCATACCATGATAAGCCGGTTAAAAGTCCGAGGTATGCATTGTTTTCTGAGGATGCGGCTCCATATAGACGAATTACTTTATAAAATTCTAGATGAGTCCGCTGGTCATTGAAATTACAATAATGAGCTCTCTGAGCTATCAAATAAGAACATCCTGGAGCTAAGAGTGTACTTTGTTTTGCTATCAGCTTTGATGCTCTTGCTTTCTTGTTTATGTGACCCTTGTCCGCCCCTTTCTGTCATTGTCCTTGCTCGAGCGATTGCTGCCTTCGGCTTCGATATGGCTTTTCAACTTTGGGAGTCTGCAACAGCTTCCATATATAGAGCATGTACAAGTTTACGGAAATATGCCCTGAATTGGTGGACAATAGAGCTTGTGGCCATGATTGGGACCATAGCGACCTACCTGGCCCTGATCTCACACTTGCATTACAGGCACGAAAAGCCGACTAAAGAGTGGCCGAAGCAATGGTCTCTTGTGATTTTCAGCACCCTTCAATCGTCCGTTTCTTTATTTGCGACTATGTTGAGGGCTCTCGTTCTTTTCTTTGTCGCGGCAGCCATAAACCAACTGAGATGGTACTACACGCAGCATTCTACCACCGGCCGGCGTATTGGATTCCTCCAAGCCCTTGACGATGCTTCTCGAGGTTTATTTGGGTCTCTTACGCTATTATTTTCTCGCGACTTTTTGAACTGGTCGTCCATAGGGTGCATCATCACCATTGCGGCGTTTTTGGTAGGTACCCCTGACCCAGAATGCCGTTAAACAGGAAACCAGAGCAAAAGATCCAGTCAAAGGGGCGCATATAAATGTCGCCGATATGTACAAGCTGGTTCACTCGAATGGGAATCAAGATGCGTTGACTGCTCCAGCAAATATTGAGGCAGCCATTGTTAATGGGTGGAGACACTATGCATCACTTCAATTTGAGAAAGACGATTCTGTGATGGAGAAAGTGTTCCCTACGCCTCTCGTGTGTCCCGAGAAGAGTAAGGTATCTTGTTCATGGAAAAATATCAACAACCTTGCCATTGACTATGAGTGCGCAAAGAAACCCACTCAATTGCTCGATCTGGACAAAGACTACGAGCTCAACATGACAGCCAGCATGACTAGGCCCGAGAAATCCACCTTGCCTCAGAGGGAATATCCTCTCATTATCCATGTTCGGGCAACTGGAAGACCGCGAGAGAAAGGCGAGGACTATGTCGAGCATGCGGAGTGTGCGCTGTACTGGCGAATCCAGAATCTTAAGGCAGCCATCTACAATGGAACGCTTTGGCAGGAAAACACAAAATTCCTTCCTGAACAGCCAGTGGAACATGAGGGCTCGTCAATCAAATGGAATATTTCATCATCTGTGTTCGAGGTCATGAACAATGCAACACAGGGGCTGAGCACCAGCATGAGCTCGTGTTTCAACAGGACTATCCTCAGGAATCCCGACTCCGGAAAGCTAACCTATGATGAAATGACGACCCGGGTTTTTCGACACAGCTGGAACAAAAAAGCGGATAGGAACCTCAATACCCTCGCTCTCCAAACTACGCTCAAGAGCTACGTCAAGAACGTTGCACTCTACACATCTGCTGCCATCCGTGCCAAATCTGACCAAACGGCTCCCGGTTACATTCACAGGAGAGAAGAAATTTACGTTATCAAAGAACTTTATCTGATTTACCCGCTCGTCGTGCTGGTTTTGAGCATTCTATTCTTCCTGGTGACGATATACATGACCTGGAGCGACGAGATCTGGAAGAGCAGTCTTCTCTCATTGCTCCATCATGGGCTCGCTGACACCTTCCCTGATAACCTCCAGACCATGGTCGAGATGACAGACGAGGCCGAAGATAAAGCGTTCGAACTGAAGAATGGTGGTGGGAAGGGCTTGAGACTTTACGAGAAAGGGCAAGTTGAAGCTCGGATGTCTAGTACTAAAAGGGGATACCAATCAATCATACCACTCGAGCCGTATGGCGCAAACAGAAACAATGACTGATTTAAATCCTTCACCTGAGAAAGCAAGGAGGACAGACTTTCATGTACATGATCTCAATCAATCTATCTGCTGATAAATACTATGCTACATTAAATATATCTTTCCCAATCCGGAGTTTCGCACCACTGGGATTTATTTTCTTTAGTCATAACTAAACGTACCTATAATCACGCGCCAGAAAACACAGAGAGCTTTCCAATAAATCAGAAGCGGAACCGAACAGTTCTATCAGTGAATTGTGCATGATTCGCTGGTGGACTGCACTGACAATTTTTGGCTGAATCAGGGTCTAGATCATGCGCTCTTAAGCTCACTACCTCGAAAGTTGCTAATTGGACTTGGTTCGTTACAAAATCATAATGAAGTACAATCTTGGTCTATATCGAGTCCACTAGTTGACTATATTCCTACTAGCTGGCTATCTAGTACACTCGCGTAACTCGCGTACAAACAGGTGATTTGACTCTGGACTCTGTATAACAATGGTAGGGGGGGATAGATATAGGCCATCAGCTCTCAGCTTGGTGTATGTGACAAGGAATACTCTTTCCCCCCTGCTGGTGGGTTGATCCCCTTTCAAGCAATTAAACGGCGACCTTAAGATAAGTCTTCGTCTCGCCCTCATGCAGGGGCTCTCCAGTGCTAGGGTCTTCGCTGCCAGGTCCCAGCAGACGTAGGTAGTAATAGTCTCGGCCATATGAGCCCTGGTCCGCAGGATAGTGCTTAACACCCCAAGTCGTCGCACCGTCGGCGCCACCTAGGAAATAACCTGGGATCTCCTCGCCTGTTGTAGCATCCTTGTGGGAGTAGAGCTGAGGGACGGAGCCCTCGATCTTATACATGAGCGCAGCATCATACGGGTAGGGGCTGAGGACGATCGGCGTCCAGGCGACAGCCGTAGGAGCACCTGCTGGAGTCAGGTCTGTGTCCGTCCAAGCTTGGAGGCCACCATCAGAGCACCGAAGAGCGGTCTTGGCGATATCGTTGCGGGTAGGAATAGTAATCTTGTTCACAAGAATTAGAAACTATTGAATAGCAAAGTTGAGAGGAAAACTTACACTACCCCACCGGATCGTCGGCTTGCCGTTATTATAGCCGATGGTGTAGCGGTCGGTATCGCTGAATCCATCAATGGCCGTGTTCTCCGCTTCGGAGAGCTGGATAAGCCAGGGACCTGCGACTCCAGTAACCGCGTCGTAGTTTGGCCACACTTCGCACCCGCTGCCACGGGATGTAGCAACGACGTCCCTCAGGGCGCTGACAGCAGCCGGGAGGAGGGTGACAAGGGCGGTGCGGGCAAGCATCTTGAGTATTGTGTGACTCGGAGTAGGAGCAATTGAAGCTAAGAGCAGACGATGAGGATACGGTCTGGGAAGTTTAAGCCTGTGTTGGTGGGAATACACTTTGCTTTATATCCTTTTTTTTGCTCCAGGCAAATTAGGCAGACGAGCAGCGCTGGATGTAGGAGCTCAATCCTAACGATGCCCTACGGCAATCAAGGCCGTGAATGTTGCCTGATCCGATCTTGGCAGCTGCTTGTAATCCACGATGAGTGTTTTGATGGGCTGATATTGTTCGCCTTCATGCACAAGCACCGTTAATACCTCAATGGGTTAAACGATGATAGTTCACTCAACTGCGTTACCGCCATTTCGTGTAAGGCACCTCTCCCCTTGGCACTGAATCGCGAACAACCAAAGTTCATTGAGCTTACAGCTATACCGAATTGAGATGCCAAAGTTCGTAAAGCTGACTGAGTACCACCTTGTGCGCCTGCCTTAAACTGTTTGGCCTCAAGGGTAGCGAAATTTTCGTATTTTAATTTTGTAATGATCACACCTGCGCCTCTTCCAAGTTGGGTTATTTGGCTCGCAACGCTTGATGCAGGAGGTTAGCCGAGTTACATGAGGACGCCATTATGGCCAGCCCTGTGGCCAATAATATCTCACGGCTAGAGAACGTCCTCTTCATTGAGCCATTAATAGTTTCACAATATCTTTTCATATCGTAATTACCCCTCATATCGAGAAAGATTATGATAAGGTCATCCATAAGTGACTGAAAGTTCAAATCTGCCATTTGGAGGGTAGGTGTATCTCATCCCAACTTTGAAATTCTACCGATTCGCTTGTTGTTGATTGTGGCACAGGCACAGCAGCTCCCGTCATTGAGAAATGGTTTATACCAGTAGAAATTGAAGCGGCGGGCTTTGTTCTATCTGATGCTTACGGGCGTTTTGGATAGAACAAGGTCATGTTTGCCTACCCCAGAGCAAGATGTAATGTTGTCAACGATGCATTAGTTATGGCATTTCATAACCTTGAGTAGCACCCAAGGATTGCTTGCAAGGTAGGATTGCCAGGGTAGGTTCCGCGCCTGCACAGCGTGAACAGGCAGAATCTCAGGCTGCTTTGTTCGTGCGGGAATTTCTCCACAAGAGAGCTCATTCGCTCTCACGATAGCATACGGTCACTAAATCTGCCTTAGGTTCCATGGAGCTTTTGTTACATGTTTTTGATTGTTATCAACATCCTACCCTTACCGCCAAGGGGGAGCTAGACTAGAAGCGAGAGGAGAGTGAATACAGCCTCGGAAAAGAGGCGTCTTGCATCTCTCCAGCTAATACTAGGAATCGCACTATGGTACCATTGAAGCAGGGATAAAAGGTCCGGGTTTCGCAAGTCATGCCGCTCAGAGGCCTAGACAAAAGCAGCTGTTTTTCGCAGCCTAGATAGACAGCACATGCTTTTTCCTTCATTCAATTGAGACCGTAACTTGTGACTGACAAGCGAATTGACTGACCGCTCGCGAAGCCTCTGTTCAATTGAAGCCGCCCGTGGCCTCCAGAGGCGCTGTGACGAGCGTTTCAAATGTTTTCTTCGTGAGAGATCCCTCTATTCTCAATCCGTTCAATCGCTCGAGACGAGGAAGGTCTTCGTACGATGAATCACAGTGCGGGTGATGAAGCTGCCGACTAACGCAATAACCGCTGTGTGCCACATACAATGGTTGTGTTGTGGTTGTGGGGGTTGTATGTGTACGGCTCCTCTCTCACCGCTCGCTCCAGTAGCTAGGGAGGATAGATTTCTAAATATATGATCTTAATAAATCTATCTGTTCATAAATACTATATTATATATCCCTTTCCCAACCAGGAATTACGCGCCACTAATATTTACTTTCTTTAGCCATAAGTAGCTCTGAATATGCATACCTCACTAGCAGTGAGTGGGCTTAATATACGAATTCTCTCCCGATTGACCTTAAAAGAATCCAACCCTGGGATTTATTTGATTTATTAGTAATTGCAGGGCCCTCGAACAAAGTCTCTGTTTTCTTTTGTCTTTAAAGCCATTCATGCTTGGACTGATTGAGGCTCTGAGGAATGGGTTAATAGAAGAGCCGCCGGCGAAACTGCTCCCCGGGACTAGCTGGAAATGGCAGAGTCCGGGATTGAACTCCGTCTATTCGAGCCGGTCTTAGTAATCATTGACTGGAGGAATAACTGCCGAGGCCAAACTACAGCTGCATTCCTGCTTGTGGCTGGTGGCTAAAAAGTTGATCTGCTAATCCCGAAAGAATGGCCTGGAATCCCGATTGGACGCTTGCGGTCTCAATTGAAAAGTTTCTCTCCATCCTGGTTCCAATAATTTTCTCTTCTCGAAGTATCACACAAAAAAGTCACGATTAAGAGCATAATTCCTTTCCAATATGCGCTCTCTCGCGACCAAGCAGTATAGCAAGCCCGATGGCTTTGAGATCCTCGATCTACCGCAGCCAGAAATCCAACACCCAGATGATGTTTTGATTAAAGTCAAACCGGCCTCTATCAATCCGATAGACCTGCATGTCGCCAACGGGCTGGGCAAGGGTTATATCCCTGGCAGGTAAGCCCTCCTTCAATGTTTCCTACACGTGGGGTCACTTTCTCACCTGGATCATGAAGTCTACCATTCAAGATCGGATACGATGTCTGCGGCACTGTAGTCGGCACTGGCTCCGAAGTGTCGTCGAATATCAAGCAGGGGGATGAAGTATGGGCTCGAGTTCCCGAACAGTACCGTGGCACAGTATCGGAATATGTCATCTCTCCGGCATATGCCACAGCGCATACACCCAGTTCATTGTCACATCTTGAGTCCGCATCGATGCCACTGGTATCCCTCACTGCCCTTCAGGTCCTCGACAAGGCCAATGACATCATAGAGGGGGGCCTCGAGGGCAAAACTCTCTACATCCCCGCAGGCTTATCTGGAGTAGGGAGTGCCGCTCTGCAGCTCGCTAAGAGAATATTCAAGGCCGGCAAGGTCATCACGACTCTCTCAACGGGCAAGATAGCCAAGATAGATGAGCTTATTGGCGAGAGGGTAGCCGACCAGATTGTGGACTACACCAAAGAAGACCCCGGCAAGGTCATTCCGGTAGGCTCCGTTGATTTCATGTTTGATATTACCGGGCAAGCAATGGCCAGCCTACATCTGATGAAAAAGAACGGCTTGATCCTGACGATCAACGGAGTCCCTTTCGGGGAGAGCGTTAAACAGCGACTCCCTAATCTGCCTCTGATCCCACGATTGATCATGGGCACATATGGCACGGTCGTTCAGTTTAGGGCCTCGAGGTGGAGCGTGAAATATCTTCATGTATTTGTACAGCCGAGCGCGGAAGATCTCACAAGACTACGTGGCTGGGTTGAGCAAGGTTTGATCAAGCCAGTGGTGGGAAAGGTTGCCAGATTTGAAGACATAGAGGCTATCCGTGAAGGGTGCCTGGAGATTGCGAGTGGGAAAGGAGGGATTGGAAAGTTTGTCATTGATTTAGAGGCATAATTTTGATATAATAACAATCTAATCCACTGGACCATCGAAGTACCGATACGATCACGGAGCATTTCCTTCGTAGGGCCTTGTTACCATATTAATAGATTTCTGTAAAGTAGTGGCCCCTGCTTGGGAAGACATGCAGACCTCTTCTGAGAGTGTAACAGTAGTAAGTAGTAGTAAGTGAGAGAGCTATGCAGCTGCTGAAAAAAAAAGGGGAAATTCCCAAACACCAAGAATTTAACAACTTGACACTATATCCAGTATCACAACACATTATTTGAGAGTGTAACGTGGGGAGTATAGTATCAATCATATTGGCCTCCTTCCTTCCAAATTCGTTGTCTTCAAATGATGCAGCTTCGTACTTTATACATCTAATATCCGACAAGCCGTTTGATAGTGACAGACCATTCTCTTCCATGTTTTATGGCTCTGACTGGTGATCCACATTTGTCCGCAGCCAGGATCACGGCCCAGTCGGTATTTCTCATGTTGTCTGAAGGATGGCAGGGATAGTATCTTCCCCTATAATATTGTATATTCTTTATTGTCTTATTATAGTTACAGATGGGAAAAGAACTCTTAAACTCTCTGAGCAAGCTATAAAAATAATATACTTATAAAATAATAAATAAATAATAAACTAGTGATATTTTTATTATATATATATATTTATTTTATTAGTTAAAATATTTCTTTAAATATTTATTAATATTATTATTATTATTATTATCTTTATTAAAATTATCTCCTTAGTATTTATATTAATAGCAATTTATATAATATTAAAATTATCTAATTATTCTATTAAGAATATCTCTAATTAGTTATAACCCTGATCTACCCTAGACCTCTATCTAGTATAAGTTACCTAACTGTTATATACAGAGTTTCTATAATCCTAATATAGTAACCCAGGTAGTATTCGACCCAGGGAATAATACCTACCTTATATAAGTCACTCACCATGAAAGTTATTAGTGAAAAACTTCAAGCTGAGAATTTTATCTACTATTGTTCAAATCTATTAAATCTATCAGACGCGGCACAGTGATATTTAGATCATGCCTTCCACCTGAGCATAGTCATTGAGGCCTTCGGGAACTCGTATGATTCCTTCGCCTCCCACTTGCTCTCCTTGACTTCAACCTCGCTCTTTTCGGCAGTGTTAATAACACCAATGTTATCGCCCGCCACAGTGTACACCTCAACATTTGCCCCGCTCGGAATACCATCCAGTTTCGTCGAGAAGCTCTTGCTCTCATGGATGTTGACCACTACCAGAGAGACAACACCGTCCTTGATTGAGGCACTGACGTCCAGCCACGGTGTCTCCATAGCTCCCCTAAGCCAGTCAGGCTTCGTTGATCCCTCGTACTCAGCACATTGCACATTGACGGCAATTGTAGTGCCCCGCATGTACTTGCAGAACAGCAGCCACGGCCACCACGTTGTCTGCTTGTAGATGCCATTCTTGGTTGTCATAAGGGGCGAGATGACATTGACAGATTGTGCAATGTTGGCCATGCCAATGTACTTGCTCTGGCGAATGAAGGCATTGAGCCAAGCTGCGACCGCGAGGGCGTCTGAGAGAGTGTATCTGTGAGGGAGTGGGAGTTAGCATTGGTAATTCCAGCACGCGCGCCTCATGACTTACTTCTCTTCAGCACCATCGCGTCCATTGGCACGGGACGAGTCCCACACATTCCACTCGTCGAAGCAAATCTTCTGCTTCCTCACATGGGAAGGGATCTTGTTCTCGGCATGGACGAGATCGATGAGAGCGCCTGTCATCTCGATGCATCGCTCAGCCGCACGAGGAGCTACGCACGTGTCAGCCTCGGTCGAGCCTATGCATAGTGGCCGAACCATTTACCGGTAACGTTCTCGAGATGGTCGTTTGAGCATGTGTATAGATGGATGCTGTGCATCTCTATGAGACAGCCGTCGTTGCCGCGAGCATGGCGATCGAATTTGATGCACTCTTTCAGGACGTGGTAGTCCCATGCGTCCTGACCCTCCTTTCCGCACAGAATCAACTCAATAGAAGGGTCAAGTAGCTTCAGGGCCTTTGCCCACTGAAATGCCTTCTTTGCGTAGTCCTCCTTGGTCATCTGCTCGACCTGCCATGGCCCCCACATCTCGTTGCCCAACGCCCAGAACTTCACGTTGTAGGGTTCTTCGTGGCCGTTCTTCCTTCTGAGGTTGGCGTAGTATGTGTCCTGCGTTGAGTTGCAGTACTCGACCCATGCCAAAGCTGGGAGTATAGTCAGTATATTTGCCCAATGCCGATAGCGGAAAGCAGAGACGGACCTTCATCGAGGGTGCCTGGATACGAGTTAGCGGACGCTGACGCTGCGACAAGCATGGGCGAATGTACTGACCTGTGTTCATGTTCAAGGCGATGTACGGCGCGGTGCCAACCTTCTCGCACCACTTCATAAACTCGTCCGTACCGAACTGGTTGCTCTCGAGACCGATCCATGCGAGCTCAGGCCTAGGAGCGCAATGTCAGTCAATGCCCTCGTTGTGAAGTACAAGGAGCCGCGATTGTACCTCTTAGGCCGATTCTCCCTGGGACCGATACCATCCTGCCAATGGTAGGTGGCGCAAAAGTTTCCGCCGGGGTAGCGAACGACAGGGCTGTTGAGCTCCTTGAGAGCTTCGATCACATCTTTGCGGAAGCCGTCTTCGTCGCTGAGCGGGTTGTCTATATCGTAGATTCCGCCGTAAATGCAGCGGCCCATGTGCCTCGGATCAGCAGGTCAGCAAAGAAGTGTGCAACTTTCGCGAACCCTCAGAGGAACGCGGCGCATCTGAACGTACTCTGTGAAGCCGCTGTAGGTTTTGTCGTCAATGTCAGACAGCTTGAACGCAGGGTTGACACTGATGACAGGCTGCTGTTCGTCCGGGATCTTAGTGAAGGTCGTCATCTTGCCAATTGTCTCGCTCGCGGCGCTGACTTGCTCGGTGGCTCGGGTTGTAGGGAAAGAGAAAGATAGAGATCAAATAAGACATCGATGATCGCAAGGATACGGCAGACTGGGTAAGAAATAGGACGCCTTGGTCGCCTTTTTCTCGCGGCGCACCCCCCCCTCTCGCGGCAAAAGCCGATGTGGGGAGTCGTTTCGATGGAGAATGACGACTCTAACTTAAGCTTACTGCCAATACAAGCCTCTCTTTGTTAGTCGCGCCAATTGGATAACGCGGGGAGATGAAGCGGAGTTATGCGGAGTGTGAAGAGTGCGCAGATCGTTAGGAATGTCGGGGGAGCCCATGTCCCTGTCAAAGATCATTAGCCGCACCATCCAGAGAGCTTGCTGTGCTCCAAGATTCGGTCTCTCTCCGAATTTCTCAGCTTAACTGACTCGGCGATTTCACCGATCCTCAGGGATCGCCCAGAAGCCAAGAGGGGGGCGACCAATAAAGCACGCGTGCCCAGAGATTAGGTTGACCGATGTGCAACGCCGCGTGACTTTGTGTGGTAGTGAGGCTGCTAGATCCCCTTACCGGTCCAATAAGAACCGAATCCCCGGATTACATCGCGATATGCAACCAGGCAATCTTGGTCCCTTACCCCACGGGGTATCTGTCAGTTGGCACCACGTGGCCAGGTAGCTGGGACCCGAAATACTATGTAAGGCGCCAGCTCCCATCACGACTTTGATGAGAATTTAGAACAAGACAACGGAAGGGAAGGCAGCATCAATCGTTCCCATTGACCTCGTTCTCTCGTCTGCCTCTTTCTCACCTCGATCAGCCCCTCACTCTTGTTCTTCCCACCACTCTCCTTACGCAGACTGAGTCCTGAACGCTCAGCAAGGCAGAGAACATGGCAAACATCAAACCTGCTCCTGCGGACACTCGCGCTGGAGAGGACAAAAAGACTGAAGTCCACCACGTTCCTGCGGAAAACCGCATTGAACACTCTGAAGTCGTTGGCGATGGCATCCTTCCCATGGTTGCCAAAGACAAGGTCGATGAATTCGGTGGTCACGCAAAGGTTGATCCTAAGGAAATCAGCCTTGTGAAGAGGCTTGATCTCTATATGCTGGTATGTGCGCCTTTATCAGCCCGAATTTGCCTTCCGCTAACCTCGAACTCATTTGGCAGCCCATCCTATGGATCATGTACTTGTGAGTATAAAACTTAGGTACCCACCAAGAGTTTTGGCTGATCTCGATTTCTAGCTTCAACCTCCTTGATCGCAATGCCCTGTTCAACGCGAAGCTCAACAGTCTCGATAAGGATCTCGGTCTCCAGGGGACAGAGTACAACACCCTGGTCGGAATCCTGAACGTTGGGTGAGTTTCAAAAAGCTTTTCTGCCAAGGCGTTTCTGTGCAAAAGCTTATACCATTGCTCTAGCTACATCGCCGGCCAGATTCCCTCCAATATGATCATCAACCGTGTTAGGCCCTCCCTCTACATGGGCTGTTTCTGCGTGGTCTGGTCTATCATCTGCACCTTGACTTTCCTCGCTCAGAACTTCGAGCACATGCTGGCTTTCCGACTTCTTCTTGGGTTCGCGGAAGCCCCCTTCTACCCAGGCGCCCTGTACCTTCTCTCGTGTTTCTACACAAGGAAGGAAATCGCGACGCGCATGGCTATCTTCTACACCGGTAACATGCTGGCTGCGTCATTCTCGGGTCTTATTGCTGCCGCAATCTTCTCGACTCTGGACGGCCGGTATGGCATGGCTGGCTGGCGCTGGTACGTACAGGCCCAATAAAACAGGGATCCCGCCCTTTTCTCAGCTATCAGACTAACAGCTCTTCTACTAGGCTATACATCATCCAGGGCACTTTCTCCACTGCCGTCGGTGTTGCCTCCCTCTTCCTTCTGCCGAACCACCCCCTGAAGACCAAGTGGCTCACCCAAGAGCAGCGAGAACTTGCTCACAACCGCATTGTTGCCGACACCACCGAGAAAGAGGGAGCGGCTAGCCCCTGGAAGGGCCTTTACCAATGTGTGGTCGACTGGCGCACCTGGGTCTTCGTGCTCATGTACAACCTTCATCTTTCTTCCGTCAGCTTCGCAGCTTTTCTCCCTACTGTTATGCGGACTCTCGGCTACAGCACAAACATCACCCTGGTCCTTACCTTCCCTCCTTACTTCCTCGCGGCGATTCTCGGCATTGTCATGTCGTGGACTTCTGGTCGCTACAACGAGCGCACTTGGCACATCACTGTTCTGAAGTGTATTGTTATGGCAGGGTTCATCGTGGCTGTCTCCACGACCAATATTCCCGCGCGCTTTGTGGCGATTTTCATGTTCGTCCCCTTCAGTTTCGGCATTAACAACATTATGCTGGGTTGGATATCTGCCACTCTCTCTCAGACGAACGAGAAGAAGGCTGTTGCCTTGGCTATCTGCAACTCTTTCGGAAACCTGAACGGCGTTTACACTCCCTACCTTTGGCCTGACAGCTCCAGCCCCCGTTTCATGCAGGGTTTCCTCAGCTGCATGGCCTTTTCTGCTGTGGTCATCCTCACGGTCTGGATCATGAAGTTCGCTCTGAAAAGGCGGAACAAGCAGATTCTGCGTGATGACCCCAACGCAATCAGTCTCTACGTTTACTAGACAAGGTACTAGCGTTTGGTCAGTCACGGAGCACGCGTGGAATAGCAAGTACTTTGATTGTCACACGGCAATCTCATATCAACTTCGACTGCCTGAGGCAGTCGGTTTTGGCTATAGCTAAGATCATGGTCTCAAACCGCAGATAGTACGCAATTGACTTTTTAAATTCGATCAAAGCTAGCTCATCTATCGTGAAGAGAATTGTGGAATGTCATGCGGAGTTTGACATGTAGGATAAGTCAAACTAAAATCTGTCAATACTCCACTAGGTGTATCACAATCCCACTCAGCACAGCTATCCTCAGTCGTGTTCATATATGTCTGCTGGAGAGGAAGACCTGGTCGCTGCTACCGAGACAATCGTTATATTGCGGTCTGTAATCAGGGAATTTTGGCGAGGCAGAGGTAACTGTCTTTGTTTTCCCTCCTACTAGATCATTTATATGGTAGACCGTAGACCCTTTCTCTTGCGCCTTCTGCTCATGCACTCAGGCTTCAGCACTCAGCAAGGTCTTTTGTAACGTGCACTGCCGTCTTTCCAGAACACAGTACCCCTGTTCTCCTTGTGAAAACCTGCACAGAGAGCTATATGAAGTCAGTTGTGATAGATTGTACGCTGAGCAATATCTCCTCTCCAGGTTTCAGATATAGGTATTAATACTCTTATATCTCTGTCTATATATAAAACTAATTAATATAATAGTATATTATAGTCTATATATATAAGTACTAACTAATATATATTAATTTTACTCTTACTTACTCTCCTATACCTCTGTATTATTCCCCCTATTCTATATCTTAGTATCTAGCCTTATAATACTCTTTAAGTTATTTTAAAAGTCTTTAAAGTAGTCTCTACTTCTAGAGTAGAAGTCTATATATAGGGTAATATAATTATTTAAAATAGATTAAAATCTTCTATTTATAGATAGATCTATATATTTATTATCTTAATACTTAAACTTTGATCGCGTTGGTCGTCCTATCCGCGACCCTCGCCCTTCCGGACGTAGCCTCGACGCTCGCATGGTGGCTTGGGCGTGACCCGTGGTCCAAAACATCCCCGACCCCTAAGCCTCCAAGATGACTAAACGATAGGGAAGTGACAGGAAAAGAAGGGATAAGAGTGTTATTCGTTCTGTTTGACTAGATGTACTAGATGCGCCTTTTTTCTGCATTATTTGGTAGTAGCGCGGCCTGCTAGCAATTTGCTTTCTTAATGACTTTCTGTTCTTAGTTTAAGAGCAATTGGCATTTGTGTATATTTGCGAGAAAATATCTTGAACAGTTAATACGCCTAGTGACAGAATGTCTGTTCCGGTTTCTTATGCTACACCCGATATATCGATCCTCCTTACACTACTGATCTGTGAATACCAAGACTAATCCAATTGGATTGTAGCTGATTTTAATGCTTAGTATGTGCTCGGACATGAAATGTAGCAACCTCTTGAATCCAGGAGAAAGGGGTGTGATGAGCACATGGTAATGTCGCGCGTTTTCATCTGGAGGGGAAGAATATTCTGGGGGGTTTAAGCTATCTACTGGAATGGCTAGCTTCAAAGTTGCTCTATGCCATATGCCGAGAGAGCCAGTTGAGGACTTGGTCAGGGTTCTCCTGGAACCACGTGTAGCCATCCCAGCGCTTATCGGTCCCATTGATCCAATAGAGAGTTTTGTCTTCGATTGGGATATTGTTGAAAATTGCCTGGACATCATCTGGGGAAGTCATAAAGTCCGCATAAACCTGATACATGAATGTGGGCATTTTGACGAACTTGGCGCTTGGGATTGGCGTTAGCTGATCAATATGGAAGCTGGTCTGGAGATAGACGCGCTCATCAAGATCGTCCAGGTACGATAAGGGAACACCTCGACCTTCGAGGGCACGAGTCATGAACGACTTAGCGGAAAGTGGCTGGACCGCGACCATGCATTTGATGCCCTCGAAAACCTGGGGCTTGAGCCTGACTGCATGGAGGTTGGAATTGGCGCCGTTGCAGCGACTGAACAGACCGATGTTCATATTCTTGGTATCTTCGCGGTTGCGGATGTAGTTGATGGAACCAATTACATCGCGTGACTCGTAATGGCCCGATGTATAGAGCCCGTTGTTTCCGTTACCACTCTGTCCGTGGTTGCGCAGATCATAGGCCAGAACATTATACCCGGCATCGTGGAGGAGCTTGTAGTCCGGGATGAAGTTGACTTCCCAGTCATTGCCTGGCACAAGGGCATTCCAAGGCTCTACGCCCGGCAGACCCGCCCTGTTGAACCACCGTGGGTGGTTGGCGATGATGACTTTGTTCGATCCATTCGAAGGAATAAACCAACCCTCGATGGTGACTCCATCGTCCGCTGGGAAATAGACGTTCTCGTACTCAAGGCCTTCTTCGTCTGGCCAGTGCATTAAGGGGGCGATTGGGTAAGACCTAAAACCATTGGCCATACCCTGAAGCATAGCTACGATCTCAGGCTCAGGTGGTTGCGTAGTGTTGGTCTGCGCAGCGGCGAGACCAATGAAGGGAAGAAGCCGCAGGGCGAGTGAAGATCTCATCCTGTCAACACAGCTGGGTGCTTGTGTTGCAATAAAATGGAGTATGATATCAAGAGCGCTATGTCACTGGGAACTTCGCTAAGAAGAAGGTTAAGATGAATATTTTTGAGATGAAGTCTGGCTCTGAGTAGTCATCATATCTGGCCTTAAAGTAGACTATATATGGGAAAATTTAACTCTGTGATTACTATTATATCTACCTCATAAATGAAAGAAAGCTAAAACTTATCTTGTTATCAGGTATGGGTGTGACGAAACGTTGATCAAAGGATGGTGATGCCTACCATTACTACATAATCCGTGAGTGTATTCCTGCATACCAAATGATGTATCTGTGTGCGTTGTGAGGATTAGGTTTAATCACCTACTAAATAAGGAAGTTTTCGGCCTCCGGCGGAGATGGGAATACCTCTTATGGCAAGGTATAGTTACAAGGGGGTTAATGTCAGACAAGTGGCGCAGTCTCACGAACATTGGCTGGACACTGCGTCCATCCGTCGGAATTTCCGTCGGGGATTGTTATATGCTTCTGAAATTTCTCGCCCAGGTCTCACGCTGGTAGAGGTCGTAACAGGACTCTCTGAATTCATTGACTTTTTTTTTTCAGAATGCTTGGCTAGGCGGATGAGAAAACCGAGAAGCACCTATTGAACTGGCTCGTCTGAGAACACCGTGACTCTGGATAGCCACGGTGCATGATTAACTCCAGCACAACCAATTAATATTCATACGGGCCTGTTCCTTTGTTTTCCGCGCTTTAATGAGGTGGGCGATACACACATGACCTAGTGTCTGGTCCTGACCTTCCATCTATTAAGGACAACTCGGGTCCAATCGATCCCTGTGTGATACTTATTTAATAATATTTCTTCAGACAGGCAAGAAACTACTGCCAAACTAGATATAAGACATGACGAGTGTATTTATGACGTCGGATCTTGCATTTGTTAAAGCCAGCAGTCTATCCACCGGACCGGAGCTTACACTCCAGAACCGACCTAAGATTGTTGACCAACAAGCTATTATTAGTAGGGCGCGTTTGTCAAACGATATCGGCCACCGGTCCCACAATTTTCACTCCTACGCCCATGACTCGACATCACGAAAGTTTGCTTCCTTTCCAGACTGAGTCGAAGAGTCTAAACACATCACAGTAAATGCACAATACACTTGCTAAGACAGAAGCTACAGTAGCGACATTCCTCCACCTATCTTGATCTTTTGATCGGACGTAGGAACCCTCAAGAAACAGCTTACTCGATAATGGATTGGCTAGGTGACATTGTCAATCTAGAGGAGTTGAACGACGTTGATCCTATCGACCCCAGCGAATGGGCCTCCTTGACAACACTCGAAGATGGTATCCACAGCGAATCTCTAATGGATCATTCGCTGCCAGCCCAGCTTGTACCAGAGGCCAACCCCAAGAGGGTGTCGCCAAGACCACCAGCCAAGATTGGGACACGCTTCTCACAAGACGCGGTTCGAATATTGAGAGCCTGGTTTTCTTCCCACGAAGGAAACCCATACCCCAATGAAAAAGAGCGACTGACCCTTGAATTGCAAACTGGACTCAATAGCACGCAAGTGTACAACTGGCTAGCCAACGCTCGCCGACGGAGACCAAGGAGTATGTTCCATGAACCCGCAACGCCCAGTCGACAACAGTCCCCAGTCCCTATCAACATCCCACAGAGACCAGGAACACCAATGATCCCTCTCCAGAGATGGATGGACTCGCCGCCCGAAGATGAGCCCGTGGAAGTGGCATCCATCGTCCGCGCCATGGAAGATAACTCTTGCCGCCTGAACCAAGCCGAGAATCTCGCCCGTGGGTGGAGCGGAGGGTCAAGCCGATGTTCATCAGCAAGCAGTGTTGATTCGTCCCACTCTAGGAGTAGTTCGCTACGCTCCGCGGCATCCTGGACGTCCTCGAATTCTATAGGTACTAGACGGAGAAGCCGGCGCCAAGGAAGCAGAAGAGGGTTGCCTCGGAACTTGGAGCTTGCCAAACGACCCCTCGTCTCCCCGACCAAGCCATACCAATGCACATTTTGCACGGATTCCTTTGGCAAAAAGTACGAGTGGCAGAGGCACGAGAAATCCCTTCATCTCCCTGTGGATAGATGGAAGTGCTGTCCCGACCAACCCCGTGTCGTAAATGGACCCGAAAATCAACTCTGCTGCGTGTTTTGTGGCGAAACTAATCCGAGTACTACACACATGGACAGCCATAGCCCGACGTCGTGTCAGGAACGCGAGTTCGCTAGGAAAGACCACCTGAAACAGCACCTACGACTCGTTCATAATGGCACGTTGCTGGACAGCTTCCAGGCGTATTGGAAAGCGGATGCACCGGACATAAGGTCACGCTGCGGTTTCTGTGGCGAGGCTTTGGGTAGCTGGACGTCGAGGACTGATCATCTGGCGGATCACTTCAGAGCCGGGCAGGATATGGCTGATTGGAAAGGGGATTGGGGTTTTGATGAATTCATCCTGGCCAGGGTTGAGAATGCTATTCCACCATGTAAGTCGTCGACCACTCTTGATAACCAACAGCTATTATCGGAACTAATCTACTTTGCATAGACTTGGTTGTGAACGAGAGAGACACACCCTTTCCCTATGCGGCCAGCACCCCGCCTGTAGAAGCACCCAGGTGTGCTTATGAGCGCATCAAGATCGATCTGCTATGGTTTTTGCAATCCTTCCAAGACCAATATGGTCTCATCCCCAGTGATGACCAATTCCAATTGGAAACTTGCCGAATAATATTTTCCCTCGACTCTCTCACGTCAGAGGAGGCTTTGGCAAGGGACAGCGCGGCTTCATGGCTCAGGGATCTGGTCACTTCCAACCCCGAGATTTCACAGCGCGCAAAGCTTGCCCCCGTGAGGCGGGAGAACGAGAGTGCATTCTCATCACGGTCGATGCTTCCCACAGCAACCAGTTACTTCGAGGGTTGTCCTTTAGAATATGAGCTTCGGCGCTTCGTTCGACAAGCATGGGCATCAGGCCAGATGGACTTGACTGACTCAGAACTGCAAGATGCAGCATGTACAGCAATCTTGGAAGTCGACGCACGTTTCGCAATGCCTCTATCCACATTTGTGGCGAAGTGGCTGGTGAAAACCAGCATGTCATCCACAACATGGTTACAGAAATTCAAAGAAAGAATGGGAGCTTTGAAACTGAGAGTTTTTGGGGCCATGAGCTCTAGCTCGAGCGAGTCACGAACTAAAAATGATAGAGCAGTGACTGAGATGGAATTTCTGCCGTTTTATGTCAATGGAGAGATTACATCAACCCAATCAACTACGCCCAATCTCTCCCTAGATGCAGGATTTGGCGTATGGGATGTTGGAACTGATTACAACCAACCTCAAACCGGAGACCCAATTAACCCTGCTATCGGAAATGAGCTAAACGCTGAAAAAGAAGTCCCATTCGATGTGTCAACGCGTCTTTTTTTCCCAGTCGGGGACCGGTTCGGGGGCGTAACGAACAAACCACATCACGGGCCAGAGTATCACCCCGGCTCGTGGATTACCAAAAAATTCTACTTTCTCAATGATCCTAAGTATCAGCAATTGCTCTCTAGAGAGCTGAAACGATGGGTCAAGGCTACAATCTCGCCCAACAACCCTACAATGCACATACCATCTGACGAGGAGCTGCGTCATCAAGCCCGATGTATGATGTATGATGAGTACGTTAAGTTGAAACTGCCCCAGTAGAGCAAGAAGTTTGTGATTCTAACCTGGTCAGTGACGCATCATGGGATCGGACTCCCGCGGATAGCCCTGAGTGGCTGCGAAGGTTTAGGGAAGAGGCCGGTATATAGTGTAAAACAGGATGAGGCCGGAAGTGGCACCGACGAAACCTACCAACTTAGAGTTGAATAATTGTGACGCAGCAAGAGGGCTGGATTTGTGCTCAATATAACACATTTTTTTTTAATAACCTTCCCACTAATCTTTTAGCTTTTTTCGATAATTACCGGCCCTGTAAAATTAGCTATCGAGATCGGACACATATATATCACACAGGGCGTCGAGGGCGTGATTGACAAGTTGTGACCCACGGATGGAGCTCGCTTCGCCGAAATTCTAAACGGGATAAACTGAATTTTCATAATAGCAAAAGGCAATCACGAATAGAAAGGATCGTTTATTCATCTCGATGTGATACTCTTCATTCATCTAGCTAGTCTTAGATCTCATAAGACGATGGAAAGATTCAAGAAAATCGCAACAATGCCACACCGGTTAGCCACATTCTGGGGACAGAAATGCGTATTGGCCGTTCACCGATTGTTCCTGTGGATGAAAAGAAGACCCACTGGGCGCGTTTGACAATCTACAAGTTGTGGATTACACAAACTTACTGCTCCTGCTTGTATAGATATATTCTTACTTCAGCTTGTTCTGTTGTGAGGCTTGATCTATCCACCCCCTCGATATCTCAAACAAGCCAACTTCTAGTTCCAGTGCGGTGGATATGGATTCCAGCGCGGGCAAGCGAACTAGAAACCCGTGGCTAGGCGTTTTCGGTGCTGCACTTTTCTTGATATCTACCCATGGTCGGTATCCAGTTCAACTACTCCCAGACACTTTTGCGGGTTGCATTATTAATCGATATTTGAGTAGGATTCGCTCAGTCTATCGGAGTGGTGCAGTCATATTTGGAACTTAACCAGCTACACAATTACCAAACAAGCGACATTGGTTGGATCATCGGACTCTATTCACTGCTTAGCTTGGTGCTGGGCATCATAGCCGGGCCACTGATCGACTACTTTGGCATCAGACCGTTGGCGGCTCCGGCATTAGTTCTTTCGACACTGCTGTATTTCGTCATGGCAGAGCGCACCGACTACTGGCATTTCATGCTGTGTCTCGGCGTGCTCGGCGGTGTTGGCGGAGCCGTAGCCAGCACTCTGGCAATTTCAGCCGCGGGCAAACTCTTTGTAGAACGGCGAGGAACAGCTATTGGGTTCGCTTTGGCTGGAGCATCAGTGGGAGGGGTTGCTATACCACTTTTACTCAACGCCACGTTTCCTCGCTTCGGTTGGGCTTGGTCGATGCGTATATAGGGATTCATTATTCTGGTGTTGAACTTGATTGGGTCACTCTGCCTCGTGCTCGTTTCGGACCAAGTCCCCTTGAATACAGACTTGGGAATCCGCTCAGCGGCGCCGAGCCTGGAAGCCTTTGGTTCTGGAACATTTTGCTTTACCACTGTGGGTTTTGCATTGATTGAGCTTGCCATGTTCGGTATCAATGGCCTGCTCCCTACATTTGCGGTGTCTGTCGGCTTTTCATTGCAGACCGCGTATGTCTTGCTTTCCGTGCTGGCAGGAAGTTCCTTCTTCGGTCGCATAGTTGCTGGCGTAGCAGCAGACTACATTGGAAGTTTCAATGCCTTGGTTATCATGAGCACGTTCTCGGCTGTTGTGACCGCTGCTCTGTATGTTCCCTTTGGAGATACCTCCCCCAAGGCCCTATTTGCCTTTGCAAGTCTCTGGGGATTCGGGTCCGGGTCGTGTCTCTCCCTTGTACCAGGTTCGTTTTCGACTATACCAGACCTATATATTGAGCTAATCAAAATATCAAGCGTGCGTTGGAAAGACCTGTGGGGGGAAAGATTATGGAAGATATCATGGTATGTTGATTCGTCTACTTGCTTTTTTTTAACCACTTAACACGCTCAGGTACAATGCTATCAGTAACGTCTATTTCTGCTCTCCCTGCCGGGGGGGGGGGATGTTGGGTCGGTTTGGGCCGAGAGCAACCGCGGGATTCTTTCTTGCCACGGCAATTGGCTCGAGTATCTCTTTCACCTTGGCAAGGTGGCGCCTTGGGGGGAAGTTTTTGAACCTCACTGAGGCGATTTAGAGGATCCTTTGGAGGAGAAGGCAGTTTTCGTCAAGGGAAACCGCTTGGGTAGCATGGTACTGATTGATTGCTCTTGCAAGCGCTTTATTAATGTATTGACATTGTCGTTGATACCTCGACAATATTATCTGGAGGTAGGTAGAACGAATAGAATCTTACGTGTATTTGTATTAGTCTAAGCTGCAGCCGTGTCTGCATGATTACGCCTAGTAACGTCATTGGGCCTGATCAAGTTGTTTATCAGTCTTTCCATTGGCTATCCCCGGAAGGCCCTCGATGGATAAAACGATATATCAATAAATTTAACCCCTTCAGCTGGCGGCAACTTCGGCAAGCACTGCACTGTCATTGGTTTGATTGGATTAGCCACCGCGTCTCAGGCGTATCTAATCAATGTACTCGCATGAGACACTGACAAAGGCCACCGTTTGGGCCGCCACGGGCTGGAATGTCGGTGTATGACGTTTCCCATGTTCGGGTGTTTCTTCTACCCCCCATCATCGAGCATAGTTGAACCGTGCCTCCAACAAAACACCTACGATTACTCATTAAACCTCCTCCAAACACTAGGTTTGCGATGCCTTTCCCCGGCAGCGCGCTAAGTGCCCAGTCCCTCTACGGGACTGTCTTTAGCGTAGGAGTCCTCGCTCATCTCTTGGTATTTCGGTTGGGCGAATGGGACGGAGTGCCCGGTCGGATTGCTGCGTTCTTTGCTGCAGTATACGCAATCTCCACCGCCGCATCAATCTATGTCCTCGCTGAAGCATATGGTGGTGCCTCTGTAGTCTTCATGAATGCGTCCGCAATATTCTTGACGTTCCTTCTTGGGCTTTTCGCATCCATGTTGATATACAGAGCTGGATTCCATCGCCTTCGACCATTTCCAGGACCCAACCTTGCCAGTATATCCAGCATTTACGCAAATCGAATGGCAATGACGAGGTTTAGATACTTCGATGAGGTCGACCAACTACATAAGTTGTACGGCGATTTCGTCAGAATTGGTACTACACCCTCCAATAAGGCCATGAGCAATGAGTATCGTGCTGACTTCCCTCTTCCTTCATAAGGGCCCAATCATCTATCTGTCGCACAACCCGCAGCTGTCCAAGCAGTTCACTCCAGCTCCTCTCGGTGTCTCAAAGGCCCTTGGTATAACACACAGCTCCCTGCGGTATCCCTTCTCACATCTCGAGATCCTCGTGAGCACGCACGGCGTCGTAAGACGTGGGACAATGGACTGTCATTCAAAGGTTAGCCGCCACGCGTTTATTGCCGCCCTTGTTACCCCTCCTCCTCTTGCTCCCTATGCTCATTCAACTATTCACTTGAGCCATAAGCTAAATCATTATAGCGATAAGGACTTACGAAGCCAATATTGCTAGATGCACGTCGCAGCTTATAAACAATATCGAGGGAAGCCTTGGTCGCAGCATTGACATGAGCCACCATTTCACCCTATACACTTTCGACGTGATGGGGACACTTGCGTTTGCTAAAGATTTTAAGATGTTAGAATCGAAAGAACTTCATCCGATCTTCAAGTTCCTGCATGAATCAATGCTATCAGTTGTGATATTCGGCCACGCGATGTGGTTCCTCACTTTCTTGAAGAACATCCCTGGCTTGGCATCTCCGATTAAAAAGCTAAATGCCTGGGCGGATCAGCAGATTGAAGATCAGATCAGAGTAAAGTAGATCCCAATGGGAGGTATATCCGCATTTGAGACTGACGATGTCTTTAGGACAAACCCGACACTCCGAACGTGTTCTCGTGGCTGTTGAGGGATTACACGATGCTACCCAATCCCACCTCACAGGACAGAATGAACCTCCAAGCAGATGCTTCCTTGATCGTTGTCGCTGGAAGGTAGACACTAGAAGATATTCTACTGAAAGATAAACATCTGCTGACAGGTGCAGTGATACGACCGCATCGACATTGACGTGCCTACTCTTCGAGCTTGCTAAGCACCCTGATGTGTACCAGAAGCTTCAGAACGAGGTAGACGCACATCTTTCAGACAGCGAAGAGCTTCAAAACGACTCCCTTATCGGAATGAAGTATTTACAGGCGTGCATTGATGAATCTATGAGAATGCACCCGATCGTTCCTGGTGGCGTGCAAAGGCATACGCCGCCGCAGGGGCTTCAAGTCGGGGACACGTTCATTCCTGGAGATGTCATCATCCAGGTTCCTATGCACACCGTTAATTATGGTATGATATTCGCCTTCTCCTCCAAGATGCAAAACCCAGCACTGCCTCGTTTCTAACGCTGTACCTTATTCTTAGACGAACGATCGTTCCCCCAGGCCAGTCAGTTCATTCCTGAGCGCTGGACATCGAGACCGGATCTAGTCACGGATGGCTCTTGCTTTACACCATTTTTGACGGGTAAGAGTCTTCGAAAATCACCTTCTGCTAAATGCCCTCCTGCTAAAGATATCTATAGGTAAGTATAGTTGTCCTGGGAAACAGCTGGCTTTGCTAGAGATACGGCAAGTCATCTGCGAGATCTCTCGTCGTTACCATATAAGTTTCTCTGAACCCCAAACCAGGACGTGCTTCCCTGAGAACATCATCGACGGCTTCAGCTTGCATTGCCCCAAGCTGGAATTGGTCTTCTCACCTAGGAGCACACACTGACCTTGGTGGTTGAAGATCAATTCCTGGTGAGGAGCTGCAATTAGTCAACCTGGATGTGCTGGGTTGAGAGAATGGAGGCTTGGATGTGCTGAAGCGGTTGGTCTTGAAAATTCAATGTCGTGGATCACTATTAGGTAAATAAACGACAATCAAGCCTTGTCTTATGTACTCGAAATCTCCCGCCGTGACCCCTAATCGGCCACGTTAATTGTCAACTCCCGCTAGCCTATCGACTTTCCTAATAATACGTCTAAAAAGACCAACCTCTTATCTCACGGCATGAGATTGGCTAAGGCGTAGGTTCCCTAGGTCATAAGATGGAGCGTCCGGCCGGAGTAGGCAGCTGTGGTTCAGACGTTTGTGAACATGGATGAATGAGTTAATAAACGACCACTATGAAAGCTACTATGCTTCTTTTCGGTAGATACCGAAAGCAATCCTGGCCTAGGGATCCCTGAAAAGTTGCTGACTGCATAGCCTTGATTCCGGATAACCTTCTAGCAAGGCTGGGAGCGGCCAAGACTTGGGGACTTTGCACTGGCGAAGCGCCAGTGGAGAGGAATCTTTGTTATCTACTTCAGAGATGACATGCTGCTATGAAAGGTCTAGATGCTGCTCGTTATGCATTTAGCCCTGCGTTTATTGGCAGCGAGGATGTCGTTTTGATGTTTCTGGCAGGTCAGTTGATGCTTGGCTGCATGTGCGCGCGAACCGATTAGGAAGTTCGCGCAAGACTTTTTGCGGTACCTGCTTAGCTCTAAAATCGCGTCTTGCCTGGGGCAAAATGACCTCTTGCAAGTCGTTGACATGAGCAAATCGTATGGTAGCTGGTGTGGCCGGGTATATAAGACCATGCCCTCCGCTGACCCAATGCTTCCATCGATCTTGCTTCCATTGCGCCTGGTTAGGTCAATTGATATTGGGGACGTACATCATGCGGTATTCTTCAATCCTTTCCACATTCGCCTTGGTGCCATACCTAGGAGGTGTTGGAGCCTCGGTGGCGATAAGTCGGCGTGAGGAGGAAGAGGCAGCCACAGCCCGTGTAGCCAAGAGCTTCATCATTGAATATGCCTCTGTATGAGTTACCCTCGAGATGTAGATAAAACTTCAATCGCCATGGCACGCTAACAGAAAAACAGAGTACGGCCAAGGCTCGCCGGCAGGATCTCTCAGAGAATGACGATATTACGGTGGTGAAGACTTTCGACAGCGAAGTCTTCCATGGCGCCAGCATCGAGACGGAGACTTTGTCATTTGACGAGCTCGTTAAACTGCCAGACGTATTACATGTTTGGCCCAATGAGAATGTCCAACTTCTTCCTACGTTCGATCAAAAGGCTGCCGAGGTCCGCGAGGCGTTGGAGTACACTACACACAATGTGACAGGAGTGAACAAGCTTCATGCCCAAGGCCTGTATGGTAAAGGTGTCAAAATTGGCGTTGTCGACACTGGTATCTGGTACAATCATAAAGCTGTGAGTGGCCTGAATAAAGGAGTGAGAAAGACAAGAACATAGCTAATCTGTGAAAAAAGCTTGGTGGAGGGTTTGGTGCTGGCTTCAAAGTTGGAGGGGGGTATGATTTCGTCGGTAATGGCGGTAGGTTGAGTCCCCTCGACTATAACGCGGGACTTGGGCTGACAGTAAATCGCAGCTTGGCCGACTGAGGGGCAAAAGGAGCCTGATGAGGATCCTCTTGATCAACGAGGTCATGGAACACACGTAGCAGGCATCATTGCCGGCCAATCTGAGGGTTGGAAAGGTGTTGCTCCGGAAGCCACTCTCTATGCCTACAAGGTGTTCACTACGGCTGGCAGCACAGATACTAGCACCCTAATCGAGGCCTTCTTAACCGCATACGATGATGGAGTTGATATTATCACCGCATCCATCGGCGGTGCAAACGGGTTCTCTAACAATGCTTGGGCTGAGGTTGCCTCCAGGCTGGTAACTGAAGGCGTTGTGGTTACCATCAGTGGTGGTAACTCTGGATCTAACGGCCCATTCTACGGAAGCAGCGGCTCCTCGGGTAAGAACGTCGTCGCTGTCGCCTCAATCGCCACGGACATCTTTCCCGCGAGTGCCTTTGAAGTCACTGTCGGTGGCAAGACTGTCCGTGCTGGCTACATTCCCTCGACCAACTATTTCCCAGCGACCGTGTCCGACTGGCCCATCGTATCTCTTTCTCTCGATGCTGAAGCCGCGGCGGATGGCTGCGAGACATATCCCGAGGGGACCCGTAACCTGACCGGGGTCGTGCCAATTGTTAGACGTGGTGGCTGTACCTTTCAAGTCAAGCAGGATAACCTGGCGGCATTGGGAGCTGAGTACATCCTCATCTACAACAACGACCAGCCTATTCTCTCCCCGTCAACTGAGAACGTGGACAGCTTGATTGGCATGATCTCCAAGGAAACAGGGGCGAGTCTTGTGACCGCCCTTAAAGCAGGCGACGAAGTCACAGCCGACTTCTCAGTAAATCCCGAGATTCCCGTTGGTGTCGATTACAGCATCGGCAACCTGCCCAACACTTTCACTTCCTGGGCGACGCTGTACAACCTTGAGCTGAAGCCTGATATCGCGGCCCCTGGAGGCAGCATCTTCAGCACATGGGTCGATGGCACGTACAACATCATCAGCGGCACGTCAATGGCCTGCCCCTACGTGGCTGGTGTTGCGGCTCTCTATATCGGAAAGTACGGCAATCACCAAACTCTCGGAAAGGGCTTCGCGTACGAACTCACACGCCGCATCATCTCGTCAGGAACTGCTGTTTCGTGGTCCGACGGCACGTCGGCCAACCGCGCCTTCAGCGCCAGCACTGCACAGGTCGGAAATGGGTTGATTGATGCATGGAAGGTGCTTCATTACGATACTCAGCTGGAGTTCCAGAAGTTTGCTTTGAACGATACTAGGTATTTCAGCCGATATCATGACGTTACTGTTTACAATAAGGGCAAGACAGCGGTGTCGTACGAGTTCTCTCAACAGCCCGGGGCGGGCGTTGACACGATCACCTGGATCGAGTCTGCAAAGACCAAGAGGATCCGCACCTTTGCCCAGCTGTCCCCCAAGGAGTATGTTCCTGGAGTTAGTCTACCTCGTGGCTTTACCCTTGAGCCTGGAGCCAGCAAGAAGGTCACTGTCAACTTCGAAAACCCCGACAATCTGGGCTGGAACTCGACGGCGCTGCCTCTATATGGTGGCAAGGTCGTTGTGACAGGTAGCAACGGCGAGATCCTCTCCGTACCTTATCTTGGTGAGATCATTTTCTAATTCATGATGAGGCATAATTTTCTAAGAGTGACTTAGGCCTCGGAGGCGACTTGAAGAACGAGCTTGGGTCTATCATCGAGACGGGCTATCCCTACTCAGTATCGACAACCAAGAACACTAACTTCAAGGAGAAGTCTACGTAAGTATTCGCAATCGAGATCCAAATTCAAAGAACTGTACGGCTGACTCGTGAATGCTACAGATACTCCTTCGACCTGTCTACCGGCGCGCAGGACTTCCCCAAGATCTTCCTCAAGCTTATCTGGGGTACCACTGAGGTCCGCTGGGACATTTACAAAGCAGGCTTTTCGGAGCGATCATGGAAATACCCCCCTGTTGTTGGTGAGAACGATTACGTTGGCTCGGCCGCATCATGGGTTGGGGCCGGCCAGGTCGACGTCTTTGATCCCTCGCTGTACGATCCCAACGAGACGTGGAGCTACCCGGACACCAACGTGTACCGCAGTGTCGCCACCTCAGAGTTCGAGCATTGGTGGTTTGGAAAGCTGGCGAACGGAACCCAGATCGAGCCTGGAAAGTACACCATTCGCTTCGCGGTGCTGAAGCCTTTCGGGAATCCGTATAATGCCGATAACTGGGATGTCTACAGGCCAGATGCAGGGCTTCCTCAGATCGAGGTTACTGGAAAGTATTGAAGGCATCCTAAGATGAAGAGGCCTTGTATTGCGGCATGTATTTTATATACCGTGACTAATATATTAGTATAAACACACGGCCTGGGAAACTCGTCGTTGAGGGTGCGTGCATAGAAAGCTCTTCTCCTAAAGCTGACATCTACACTATCCTTATGTTTGCCCATTCCATTCCCTCACATCTCATGATTTCCCCATTCATTAGCCCATGAACATATGCCTCTCCTATTAAAGAGTACTCCGGCTTAGCCTCGGGCTCATCGCTAGAGGAAGTAATGTCACCCGGCCGTTCTCGGAGGATGAAAGGTGTGCATCCGCCAGCGATAACGTAAACAGCATCTCCTGGGGCCATAGTTGATGGCCCGAGCCCAAGATAACCATCGCTAGTGGTAAAGAGGGTCCTCTTTCCAATGATTGCACTGACGTTCAATGTCGCAGAACTGTCTGTCAAATCCCACGTCATGGCCATTTCAACATTTGGTGCCGTCTTTCCGATTTTAGCGAGATCGAGGAAGAATGGAGTGTGAAACCTTTCCGCCATTGGCTCATCACCAGTTATGACCTCGTCCACGAAACGCGAGAGCCAGGATGCAAGGCTGGAAATTTCTTCAGTGGAGATAGGAGACAAGTCTTCTGAAGTATTTACAAAGCAAGTTCGAAGAAAAGCTTCGGCGGTAGTCGTCGATCCTTGGTAGCGAGGCCCCAGACTTTCGGCAAGGAACATGAAGACAGTCAGTTTCCCAACAAAGCCGAGATGTGCAGGCGGAGTATTTGCAACAGCATCGACAGTGCTGCATTTATAAGCCAGAGCCTCCATGGTGTTTGGTTTATCTTTCACTGGCCAGGAAACAGAGGCGACAGAGCTACCGGCAGCCCTCCACGGACGTCCGTGGGATAAACTCACGGGCAAGCCTACCGGATCTGCAAAGTTGGGCACCCACGATGGCCACGCTGACTTATGGAAGTGGTGCTGCTCATCGCGTTGATTCATGACGCAAATGGAGAAATTCCTTTCGTTAGTCAGAACCCATTTTGTTGCTTCTATGCAAACATCCATAACCGGCTGCGTGTAATTTGGCTGAATGTCAAAGGCCGGTTCTCTAAGTCCAATCAGGCTGTATATCTTGTCATGTGGAACAGATGTCTTGAACAGCCTTGTTGCATGTAGCGAGTTGAACAATCTCACGCTCGATCCCATCCTCCAAAAGTTCATGCGAGTTTCGTCCATGCCCAAGAGTAGATCGGGTCTAGGCGCAGTATCCATTGTCTCTATTACACCAGTCAGTACATTTTCATCATGTGCCATTTGTGATTGGTTATTTACCTCTTCTGTCTAAAAACACGGACAAGAACTTGGAAAGAGGGTATACGACAGCCATCATTTTCGCCCACGAAATCTCATGCCGACCGCATTTGATAAGAAGTTGTGAGCCCCGTGTGACTTCTTGGACGACCCAGCCTCTTTGGAAAACAGGTCTTTTAAAAATGTCATGGACGGCTCTCCAGCCAACTGAGTCCGCAGACAGATCAGGTACGTCTGCAAGATCAAGAATCTGGCTCAGATTTTGTAGATTTGGCATAGGTGGTTTCGGAACCTTTGTGAGATAATTCCCGAGGGATTGAAGAATTCCAAAGGCAGCTCCAGTGTTCGGCTCTTCTTCTCCTACCCATAGCACCACTCTTTGTGATTTACTATAGACGTGGCTCATATATCTCACTTGAATCTCGCGCTCCTTTGTGCTGCTTTGGTCGATACACAGCTGATCTACCCATAAAACTCTGCTTTTTGTGGGATGGCGTAGAGCACGCAGCGCATCTCTCAAGCCCGGGCTGATGCCGATGAATTTGTCGTCATCAACGAATATTGGTATGCTCAAGTCCCATCTTAGAGTGTTCCGATGGTTTTCGTCGTCTTGTGAAGACCATGCGTCTATAGTAGGTCTATCGCTGGGAGTTCGGTACCAAGTGTACGAAAGGGCCTCGTATTCTGGCGGCTCATTGAGATTGATCACCCTGATTGTGCACTTCAACCTATCATGCCCAGTGCCTGGGGCCAGGTCTATAACACGGGTTGCGGGTTGCCCGGCTGCAAGTAGTTTATAAAATTGAGGCTTCGCACTGTAGTTGTACCTCTCTGGCGCGATAAGGCCGTCCGGGGTCAAAAAATCATGGAGAATCACACCTTTCTCTGGTTCCTCTTGCCCTTCGATTTTAACGGTCCCAGACGGATGAATTGGACGGAAATGCTTCTCGACCACACCACCCTCTTTGATCATATACTCTACAATAGAAGGTCCCGACGGAATCTCTCCGATAGTTTGAATTTCAGAATGGCTCGCAGAAGAAGGTTCGATGTTAACCTCTTCCTCATTTTCCTCATTTGCTTGCACCTGAGATTTTATATCGTCTGCTGTGATGGTATGAAAGGTCGCGGCTGGCAGAGCTTCTCTGATTTTAGCCTGATCCTCCTTTCGCGCAAAGACAGCTTCCTTGACACAACGTAACAGAGGGTGGGATCGATTATGTTTGTTGTTCTCTCCATTGAAACAGTTTCCGCAATAGTCAGCGTCTGCGCATATAAAACATTTGTATCGGATACCCTTGATGTAGGATTGACCATGGGGACATTTGGGGCCGTCGCAATAGACACCCGAATGGACGGTCGGATTCTCTGGATCATGCTCAGGTTGGGCAGGCAATTCGATGATGGGATTTGACTCCATCTTCGTCCGCTTTTCGTTTCGGATAGGCGAATGGAATAACAATAACACCCGGATCGGGATCGCGAACGTGAGTCGTTAGAGGATGAATGGGAGATGGTTAGACCTAAGCTTATATGACGTGATATCTAATGGAATGGAACTCGGGGGTTTTCTGACGCGGCAGACTAGGCATTCACACCTATGCGATGGGGGTGGCTATACATTGTGATGTGCCGATCCTGCAGCTCGAGGTGGCTTAGCCGGTAAGGCGTCCAGACGCCTCATTCACCTTGACGAAGTTCATATCTTGTTCCCGTGTTCCCAAGATACGAATCGGAAGAAGATGATCGCACGTCCCAGTGAAACTGACAGCCACCATTCGATGTGCATTTGAGCGCGACCCCCCCTTTTGCTTTTCTTCCCTTTCTTGTCGCATCGCCTTTCTTTCATTTGCTGCTGTGTCATCTTTTAGACCCGTCCTCGCCCAGTGACACGTACATCCCCTAACGTGGTGTAGACCATATCACTCTATCAGCTCTGCCCCGAAACCAGTTGTCATAGTGCAATATATTATCCATGACTTTGTAAAGATTTTTGCTTGCTGTCTTCTCTTAATATCGCCCCAAAACTGGGGGCTGCGAGGTGGACTCCCGCAAGCAGACGTCAAGCCGTGGCCGTTCGGGTTTTGAGTTGACTGGGGTCATTTGGCGCCGCCTACAGTGCAAGAAAAAAACAGGGAAGGGCCAATATAAGCTCTTAAGACCCTTACTTGGTACGATATGCTCGCTGACTTTGTTTCGTCTTCGTTGATCTTCTGCTCCGCCCCGGATCAGCCGGGAACTTGCTGCAATGCTGAATTATGGCTGTGCTGGTGGTGCTATCGCTATTATTGTAATTTTGCATAGCACGAGTGCGAATACGTGTGCTGTATGAACGGAGAGTTGGGTCCTGAAGGCTAACAGGGGTATGACAAGACTCGTGCTGATCTTGATGAATGCGACAGAGCACGTATTACAGAGCGCTTATTCATTCACAAAGAAGGCTCATTTTGGCGACTACAATGGCGACCGTGATACTACACTCACCGTATTGCATTTCAGGGCTGTAAATCAATAATGATGGGCAGTTTCAGCGGGTGTTTGGGGCGTTTTGCCCATCAATGCTTTGATGATGCGACAGGGATTTCAGCCCCTCTGTATCAGAACAAGCTGTCTTACTCTGATCCAAATTTAGCTGCACCAGGTACCGTTGGCTCACTATAAACTGTCCCGTGGGCCCGCGCTGATTCAACGCGCAGCCTCACGCGACCAAAACAACTCGACATACTCACTTCCCGGACTCTCCAGCTGGCTGGAGATATACCGCCGCCATCATGCTGTCCATTTTGATTATCCCCGCGGCCTCAGCTCTGCCACTAACCTACCGAATGGTCGTCGCTGGCGTCTCGGCCCACGGTTATGACATTCGCGCTCTTCACCTCCCCAGCATCGGGCTGCCCAAAGGTCCCAGGCCGGGAAAGCCACCTAGCATGTACGACGATGCAGCCTACATCTCGGACCAAGTCACTGAGCTTGCCAATGAGGGACATGACATCTTGCTCATTGCGCACTCTTATGGAGGCGCACCGGCTACCGAGGCCGTCAATGGGCTGAGTAAGGCAGAGAGGAAAAGGGAAGGCAAGCGTGGTGGGATCGTTGGCCTCGCGTATATGGGATGTCTCGTGCCTGGGATGGGCGAGCCTGCGTCTTCAGGACCCTGGAGTCCTCTCATGGAAATTGGGGTTCGTTTATCTCGCTCTGCGTGAAGAGTCTCGGGAATGCTAACGCAGTTATAGGAGGATGGCTGGTTCTACTACCCTGATGAGAAGACCACAGCCAAAATCTTCTTCTCTGATCTCCCTCTGGACCAAGGTTTATACTGGGCCTCAAAAATGGTGCGACATTCGGCAGCTAGCTTTATCTCTCCCTTGATCTATACTGGCTACAAGGATGTTCCTGTATCCTATTTGATTACTGAAGGCGACAAGTCTATTCCACCACGCAAACAAAGATCTCAGATCAGGATGATCGAGCAGGCGAGCGGCAGGCGAGTTGATGTATCAACGACGACAGCTGGCCACGTCCCGTCTCTAACTGCTCCAAGCGAGGTCATTAACTGGATTCTGGCAGTCGCATCGAAGCTGGATGCCAAGTAGTCTTGCACGAAATGAAATTCAATTAGAAGCAGTAGAGCCGTAATTGAGTTGCAGGCTCAATCCGAGATTCCGAAAAGGACTGACATAGCCCAATGATCCTCAGCACAGAGAGGCATTTACGCACAATCAGTCTCACGCGAGGGACGAGGAAGCGGGTTCAGGCCCCCGGGTATGCTTCTGAGGGGTCAGCATCTATTTTAGGAGATTCGCCGATATTTCTTAGGATGGTACAGAAGAGTGCACAGCCTTAGGGACTGGAAGGTCACCCAAAATCCGTGGATTACCTGATACCTATGGTGCGACCTCTCCGGATGCTCACCGGTTGACGACGTGTCCGAAATGCGTCACCAAAAGATCAGCATGTCATTGCACCGTTATCTTGAGCCGAGCAGTGACTGCCGGAACATGTTGATTTACATGAACACGTTGTGTCTTGGATATGCGAAGGTATATCGCTAGGAAAATCTTGGGGGTGCGAATACGCACATCTTTATTTACCGAACTCATGTTGAGTTATACACGAACCCGTCATACAGAAATCCAACTTGACAAAATGAACTTTATCAATGGGTTGAGCTGTTAGGGGCTGTCAAGAGTTTGCCTGTGGTTCATTTGATTACCTACGCAGACGGGCAAAACTGCGTAAGGCATTTGTTCCACCCATCAGAAGCAGATGGAAGAGTTGGAGTTGCGTTGAAATGGACAAGGGGCATTGCATATAAAGCGTCACCATATGAATATTATCTAAACCTTGCCAAATGATCCCTCCGATCCAAGACCGCTGCAATGAAGTCAATGTATTAGCAATATCGATTCGGTATTCAAATATAACGGAATAAATATACGTAGAAATTCAAGTTTAAGAAAACCCTTAACATTTGGGTGAACCTTGGGCATGAAACAGGAAAATACCAGTGATGATCCCAGTTCCGGTCTCACACGGAGGACGAGCACCTGTGGCGCTGTCAGTGACAAACTGTCCCTATAATATTACCCCACTCATCGCCATTAGTAAGAGTAATCTGGGACCAATTTTTGACCCTCTGGCTGGCACCCGACACACTCCGTGAAACACGTGAGTTTCATTTTCACCAGCTTCATAGACTTGACCTCACTTCCTCCGTGGCTGGACGCTTCAGACATCCCCATCAGATCGATATCAGATCCCCAGAGCTAGCTGTGGCAACTTGCTCATCACGAAAAATTGTGTTAACAAAAAAAAATAGACTAATCATTTCGCATCTAAATTACACTATATCTTGCATTGCAATAACACATTCATAACTAAATATCTTTCAGGTAGTTTGACAACAAAATACCAGACTCTTCGTGTTTAAAGTCCCTTCTCATAGTCGAAAATGCGATGTGCGTCTGTCAACATCAAGACATTTTTTCTTCTCTCATCTGTTCCCACTCCACGAAGAGCATCACCCTTGTATCAACTGATGGACTTCCATCTGCGTACGGTCTGCGATGCATCAAGTTCCAATATCCGACGTGGCTGTTCAAGCTCCACAAAACCTGTCAATTGTTTGATCCCGGACCGGTGACACTCCATTTCCATCAGGGCCGTGGAGTCAAGTTCCGTTCCGTGTTTGGGATGCCCTCTGTAAAGACCCGCATTGAAGAACTCGCGGTAGCTCCGCTCTGGGAGATCCTCTCCGCTGGGAGTTTCTTTCGGTTCCCATGGGTCAGGCCCTATGAGGTGCTGTTGACGGCGACGGTGAAAGAACCAAAACAATCCAATGACCAGTGCACCGAATGTAAGGCCTCCGAGAGTGACGCCGATTATGATGCCAATTATTGACTTCTTTCCGCTAGATCCGCTCTCAGTTCCTGGGCCTATAATTCTCATCAGCTGCGCAATTTAATATAGAACTTGTTCTTTCACGTACCGCCTAGCGGTGTGCTAGTTGAGGAAGTATCTCTAGTGGAAGTAGCACCGGTCGATCCAGACTCATTTGGAGCAACTTCAGTCGGTGCAGATCCGGATCCAGAGGTGACAGGGTCAGAATTAACTGCTCCACCCGAGGTAATTTCACCGGAAACACTCGTACTAGAGGAAGCTTGAGAGGAAGTTGACGGCTGGCTGGAGTGGGACGAACTAAGTGTAGAGGTTTCCTCCGTACTCTTTTGGGTAGATTCAGGTACGATTTGAGATGAGCTCTGAGGCTCTGAAGTCTTTGGGGCTTCGCTTGTGGAAGATTCTGATTTGGTGGGAATGGTACTAGTTGGGGGAGCTTCACTTATTGGAGCAGGCCCAAGCGTACTGAGAGAAGTCTGTGTATCACCTGCATCTACAGGTGAAGATGTAGTAGTTTGAATAATACTTGAGATAACATATACTGGGTACGTGGGGTAATCACTAATTTGTGTTATCATGCCAGTCCTTTAGGCGGGAGGGATTGCGTACCGTTTCACGAGGGAATCGGTTGGACCTGTAGATATCAAAGTCGGCACATCACGAGGATTCTGATGTTTGTCGCTTATGACGCCCTCTCGCCGGTGCAAGAAGGAGTTGAACTTGTTTTGCACCACGTTTCTGAAATCAGAGAAGCTCCGATAAGCGCCGATGACGAATTGGTCTGCGTGTTGTGTTGTGGTGGCTCGTGTCGGCTGTTCTTTTGATCTGGCTGATATGGCTCCTAGCAATAGAGTCTGTATGACGAAGCCCTGCAACAGAGGATGAGGTTGCATTTCAACCGGCTTTACGCGCGCGTATGTGTTAGCAGACTGCGCTTCATCAGCGATTGAGAGAGGACGGGTTAAAAGAAAACACAGCAGCAGCATCATGTGGACAAGCCATGCGCATTAGAATATTTCATGTGGCAAACCGGTAATTGAGAAAAGGGGTGACGATCTGTTGACAAAGGATCTTGAGGTTCCGTCATTAGTGTTGCATCCGCATGCACGTTGGCGGCTCTGGAAAACTCGGCTCTGGAGGGGTTGTCCATAGTCAGATCACCCCTGCATAATGGCTGGCGGTTGAGTTGGATTGGGGTCGGAAAGGTAACCTCGGGGACCTCGGGGTTCCTTTCTCTCGATCCTCAGGATTCAATTGTAGCATTATCTCGCAAATTCGCATGTTTCGAATTTCAGCTGCCAGGTGAGAACAAACGAATCGATTTTCACCTGGTTAAAATCCACTTTGATAGTGGCGAATTAACCACAAGCTTTAGTCTTTGGAAACTTACTTCATTCCTATGGCAATATCGGCAATACCATACCTGTAGCACACCAATCTCACCTAAATTCCAACCTCTAGTCCCCGTTTTCTTTAGTTAGTCGAATAAAGGAGCCTACTTTATTACTAACCTCGGTGTTTATATCTCTGTGAATAAATTTTCAGATCCTTCAGTTCATGATGAAGAATCGATTCGCCCAGGTTGGAGCTTTTCACCCCACGTATATCCAAATGAGCTGCCACATAATGACAGTCACCAAGAGTCAGGGTAAGAGCAACCGCCATTAACGCAGTAGGAGAATCAGAGAGAAGGAAGTGGCCGCAATCGTTTTTACTCGATGACTGAAGATCTGGGCCTTTATATTCCCAGACGAGGTGGTAGCAGGTTGAGGAGAGCACGTCGTGGTCTCAAAATGCGCGAGTGATCGAGTGCTGATCGTACTATATCCCGAGAACTAACTCATAGTCCTTGTACTGAAGGTGTTGGTGGCCGAGCGAGACATCTCTGTCGTGGCGTCCATTGGAGCCGAGTCGTGAGTTCTCATCGTCAAGGTCAAATGATCTTCGCCTCGAACTCCAAGAGCCCACTGACTACTGCCCGAGGCACAAATCTCGTGTTCAACCAGGTATCCGTTTATCACATGGTAGGTAGTATTGATGGCATGGTTGACCCTCGAGGATATCTCCAACCATTATCTAATATAAAGTAGAAATAGTTAGATGACATTGATGACGTGTAAACGCAAGTGGGCATAGGAGGAAATCACATCGCTCACTCCACTGCTACTATATGAGTATTTCGCCTCGCAGCTATATTGAGGATCTACCCAATTCCTATAATCAATGAATAGTCCCTTGCTGCTGAGACGATCATGTAGGCACGGAATACGAGTAACCTGACACCCTCACAACACAGACACACTTTAACACAGACACGCTTTGAACTACGACTTGTTGTTGTAAAGACAGTTGTGAATTGCTCCTGGCCACTTTGCATTGTTCACATTCCATTGTAGCGCTGAGCATGACATCTTTTGACGTCGTCACTTTGACTAGGCCATCGCTCCTATCCTCTGTGTGATTATCCTCCCGTTCCACATAAGGATTCTCAAGCTTTTCAAGAAACTCGACTCCTATGATCATTATCAGCACTACAGTCGCAGAGAAGAAGTCCCCAATAACATTTGGCATGAGTGAGAAGACAACTCGATCGTTTTTCTAGCGTTGGAAGCTTGCAAAAACCTCGTTTCTGGCCGTTCTAATAAATTGCCCAAAATGTCAATCACCCAACGAGCATGGGGTGTCTGGTCTCGAAAAGGCGTTCTTCGTGGCTGCATACCGCTGTTTCACGTCCACCGCCAAGGTAATTCTAGATGAAGCTGCCGCTGCCGGGATGAGCATTGACGTCGACGCTGTGGTTGGCGGCATGACAGATTTGTACGCGGCGTGCCTCAAAGGGAGGACGACAATCATCGAGTTCCTCCTAAAGCATCGGCCTAACGTTTCCAAGAGCCTATGCCAACCGTAGTAGTTTGCTCGCCAAGCCGCGGCCGCTCACGACGAGAGCGTCGTTGACGCCATTCTGATGCACGAACACGATTGCGGATCTGATATTGGGAGGTTGCTCTCAGCTAAGACCGATCCTGGTACACCGTGTTCCATCAGGTCGTCCTAGAGGGTCGGACGAGAGTTCTTGAGAGACTACACTACGAAATTAAGGATAAAGCCACGGCCCAACCGCTGAGAGAAAGGATTCAAGGGAACAGGACGCCATATGAGCTTGCTGCGTGGTTAAAGATGAGCCTCGGGGAGCCCAATGTGCCTTGTATGCCAGTTGACGAGGCTACGCTTGATCATGCGACGGCGGGGTTGGAAATATTTGAGCAAAAGTATCCAGCATTGAAAACGAGTGATGAGTGAGCACCCATACTTTTTAAATAAACAATTGGTTTTTGGTTTGTATTTATATTCATATGCGTTTAGGTGCCTTGAACAAGTGACGATCAACATCAGTACAGCTGCGTAAAGATTTGGTCTATCGTATTGCCCAATCTTGAGCTACTGTTTCAGCATCATCTGAGCCCGTATTTAAGCTACACAATAGACACCTATCCATCCCATTGAAGGATGCAGTGTCTCACAATGTCGCTTTTTTTGCGACATCCAAATGAAAGGATCATCGTTCAGGGGGTGGAATCTTTTTAAATCCGATTATTCCACTTCTACCAGCCAGAAACTTGATAGGATGGCTCCTCCGTCTGCATGAGCGAAAGAAACTATGCATGATTTGTTACTTCTTCTCCGTTTTAGAGGGTGAAAATGTTTTGATGAGCGTCACTGTGACCCAAGCAACGGCCACAATGGTCACAGTGAGGCGGATTTCTTTGACGATTGAGACTGTTGAAGGAGGAAAGAGGAAGGAATGAGCATGCTCCAAAGCCCCGGAATGGGACACCGTGAATTGTTCCATCGCGCGCGGGATGTGCTACTTGTTGATACGTGGTGTGGGATTTATGTCATGTTATCATCGATCCTGGTAAGTGAGCCGACAGCGGAAATTAGCTGTGGAACCACAGCATGTTATCTAATCGTCCTTGAAACTAAACCCTTTCTACATTAGTCTCAAGGCATAGAGCAAGGACGAGCGGCTTGATTGATCCTGTTTTGTAATGTGATAGACGCCTACCCTATACTCACTAGAAATCAACCTCGACCTTGTAAAGATTAAGGGAACAAAAAGATAAACTAACTAAGAAATGGATTCAATTTGAAGTAAGTTGTGCTATATTGCGTCACCTAGGGACCAAGGCGAACCCCCAGCAGACGAATCTTCGCTCCAAGACGCACTACCAAGCCTCCCATCCGAGGTCCTCTGCATTATAAGTCGCCTCGGATGCCTCTATCGCCCGACGATCATGGCTTCTGTCATGCATCCAAGAAGTAAGCGCCTCCTCGCCATTTACCATACTCCTCACCTTCTTATGCCTTAAATGAATAGGGTGTTCCATCGGATCCCATCTGACCCTTGCTCCTTCTTCCCATTCGATGGGCATAGGGTCAAATTGGACGACGCAGACATCGTGGTCTTGGTCAGGACCCCACTGGATGTCTGCATCCGGATACATGAAGAGTCAGTTGCGGTAGTGAGTAAATACCAGTCGCTAGCCTTTTTCGCCCATGGGAACCCAGGAAGTCCTTGTTCACTTGTGACACCGAAATGAGGCTCATCGTCATCGCCAGGAGGTAACGCTTCAGCTGGATCATCAACTGCTTCTTCGCTTGCGGCGTGCTTCTTCCAGGCTTGCGTCACCTTGCGGACCTGGTGCCACATGGTACCTCGAGCAGCCAACTCGCCACGACAATGCGCAACACATTCTTCAGCGGTAGCGCCAGGTAGAAAGAAGAACTCATATCTAAAACTGCTCATGTGATAAACCATGCGGCAGTCCTCCAGACCATGAGAGAATGTGCACCCATCAAAGTCGCGTGGAGTTTCTGGGTTAACCATGTAGAAGATCCAAGAAGGCAACTTGGGTGGAATATGCCCCTTATCATTGCCTCTCCACGACATCAAGGCCGGCTTGCCAGTATGATCGTTAAAGGGGACGTTAATTTTTTGAGCTTTGCCCCCGGATATTTGGGCATATCTCCAGTCCACTTCCTTGCAGACATGCTGACTAGGTATTGGAAACCGTCGCCGCGGGCTTGAGCGACAAGCAATTTTGTAATGTAGTGGGGACGAAGGGGTGTAAAATGTTGAAACTTATGAGGTCAATTTGATCACGATGAATAAGGTTAAAAATAATACCGAGCCCCGAAGAAACCATTGTTTTTGTATTTTCCTTCGTGCCTCCAGCCCCCTCTTTTCTGAGAGGGGTTTCTACATCACCCGGCACCTCCTCTGACTAGGTAAGGCCCGGATATCAATCTATCGGAGGTTCCTTACTACGGTCATAAGCCAAATAACGCACATGTCGCATAACATTCATGTGACCGGATGTAGCTATCCGGTTTCATACCTGGCCTGCTGCACAGGCGTCTTATAGCGCACTCTCTGAAAATGCCTTGCAGCATCAAAAAGTGAGTCAAGGCAAGGCTTGTTATAAGCGAAGCAGAGGATAAGCAAGTTGCTTTACTCGTCTTTTACTAGACACTTTTATCTAAAACGGGTGCTTAATCATCATTGCAATTTATAAGTAGGCAATGTTTGCGTACTGTTAGTTAGCACCAAGCTTGATCTAAGCTAGACTGACTTGAAGTACTCACATTAGGTGCACGCGATGCTTTGTTCCGTAGATTGATTAAGGACAAAGGCCGGTCAAGAAAATAAAAAATAAAAATAGAAATGAGGTATAATAGTTGCGCCACAAGGATGGACAAAGAGTTCCCCCTGAAACCGACAGATTACAATAACCACCGAAAAGCAACCAGAAAATGATGCAAATTTCTGTCATATAATCTTCGTTGGCAGCTTTCCCCTTCCCTATTCCTCTTAAATTCCCGGATTTTGTTAAATCCAGATATCTCTGAGTCCCTAAGAACTTGCTTGCCGACCCTTTGTCTCACACCGATCACCTTGCCTTGTGTGGTGGTATGAGAGGAAATGGCCGGAATTCAGGACTCAATGCCAACCCTCTGGCACTTCAAGATCCGGGAGCCCGAGATTGAACCTGACGATGATTTAAAAGATGATATACGCTACAGCCTCAAAAAACTATCCAAGCTGGTTGAGTTAGACACCTTTGAGGCAAACATCGAGAACGGCCGGGCTGTGGTAAAGGTAGTAAATACCCTGGTCAATGTTTCTCAAAGTCACCTAACGGACGGCCTAATCGCTCATGCATTGCTAGGTCCGTCTGCAAAAATCCGAGATTGCCATCCAGCAGAGTAACACACTCGAAGATGGTATCAAACAGCTGTGCGAAGCCATGGTTGATGGTGATTCAAAAAACAGGCGACAAATGGAATTACTTAGCAAACGATCCTTTCTAGGAATTGAGCCTGCGTCCAGCGTATTCCGAACATACTGGACCGCGTCGTTCTTCAACGCAATCCTGGCACAAGGCTCTGAGCTCATCGACCAGGCTCCCTTCCGCGATTTAGGCCAAGACAAACCGTACCTCGCTCCTGTGTAAGTAGTTGGCTATTTTCCTGATATCATTCAAACCTGACATGGTTCATTCCAGTGCGCTTGTCTTTACGGTTGCTGCCCTCGGAGGCATTTTTGACGTCTTTCGAATGTTCCAACAACTTTACAACAAGCCCCCCACTAGTGTTGAAGAAGTGCAGCGCACTATAAAGGAGTCAATACCCACCGTAGAATCTTGGCTGAACTGGCTTTCTGTGAGTTACCTGTTGTCGACAACTTACGACATAAGTAATCTTTTCTGACCAAGAATGTCATAGGAGTCAGAGGCGAGCGAGAACGAAATCGAAGCGGGAACACAGTACAAGCAGAAGCTGGAAGAGAGAAGAAGACGCTATAAGAAGGATCTGAAACAGTTCACTGATACTTTTGATATCTTCCTCGAGAACTACAAAAATATTCCAGGTATATATCTAGCATCAATTCATTGCCCTGATCCAAAGTTGTCCTGACGAAGCATCTTGCTAACCCATGATCTTCCATAGCACCTTTAACCAACGATGGAGCAGTAGACCTCCGTTGCGATGTCTGGACGTACACTGCCTGTAGTGATCTCTGCGACATGATGACCTTGGCTTCCCCGCTCCTCAGGAACAACAAGATGCTCGTTGAAGCCAGGAAACAGGAGCTAACACAAGCAGTCCAATCGGGAATCTTCAGTGCTGTGTCTGCTTCCATGGTGTGCTTGAATGGGGCTTCAGTGGCTGCTGTTGATACTGCCGCCGCATCTGCAACTGCTGTCTCCGTCACAGGGTCTCCTCTTGCCCCTATTTTCTTCATAGGAGTCACATCTATCTTCTCGGCTTTGGTCGCCCTTAACTCTTTCAATAAGAGTCAAGAGCTCGACGCGGATTGCAAAAGGCTTAAAGACGGTAAGCTATATCATTCCAACCTCTTTCTTATTCTTTCACCTAAGACTAACCTGTACAATCAAAAGTTTTTGAGGCGATCGTTTCTTCTGCGACAGGAGCTCTGAACGTGACTATCTTAGCGCGGAAACTTCAACATGGCAGGACCAAATTATCGTCCCCCTTGACAGACAAAGACTCGCAAGATCGATGGGAGCAGGCCATGATCGGATTCGACCGTATGTCACTGGAGAAGAATGAAGGATGTTCGGAGTTTGAGCTACTGATGATGTATGTCAATGACGGGGCGATTGCGCTGCAGAAGCAACGCGAAAAACTCATCGTCTAAGACAGTGTAGTGTTTTTCATTGATCTCAATGTTTCGTCCTTTCTTTCAAGTCTCTTTCTTCTCTCCTTGATGCCAAAATTGATGTAAGACTTAGAATATAAATAAAAATTTAAGCTTTTGGTTGATCATTTGAGATATTGGTATCATCACAGGGTATCTTTGGTACCCTGCTGCAAAAGAGGCTACCTCTTTGTTATCCTATCAATCGTGGCAGCTTCATTGTTGTTAAACTCTATTCTCTTTCTCTTCCGTATCCTATCAATCGTTCCTGTTGTTAACAGGATCCTGCCTGGTAGCAGGAGAGACAAATAACCAACCATGAGGTAGCAGTCTAATTCAAAATATTTGGGATGCGTTGAGTTTTCCATGACCCAGCGAGTACTCGCCCTTGAGGGAACTCCATAGCCCCGAGCTCGGACTAGAAGTAAATGTAAGTACATACTTATTTGGTGATAATGATGATGCGAATCCTTTTTAAATGAATTATTTGTTTTGTTACGAACCTCTTAATTCGAGTGGAAGAACATGTTGTGGGTCAGAATAAGAATTGTCTGAGAACCCCTGGGCCCAGATTTTAGGATTTAATTGTTCAGCTCCGATCAGCCGGATCGTCATCGCGTTCGCAGACGTGTTAGCTGGATAGAGTGGTGATCTGTTCATCAAGTGCGTTTGAAGTTTCGCTACCGAGGCGACAGGTCTGTAGATGATCAATGCGCGCGCTTTCGGCATTCTGCCGGCACAACACCACACATCCGGATCGGGACCTCGCCGACGAGCCAGGCTAGGATCAGAAGGTGGCATCTCTTGTGGCACTCACGCACGGGCAGACGGGACTCAAGGCTTCTTAGGGGCAAGCATAAGCTTAGCATACGTGGCTTTCTTATACGGGTTAGCATAGGGATTCAGAGAGAGGGATGATCGAGCCTATTAAGAGATAACGTTGCCTTCCCCCTGCCCCTTGGCATGAAGGAAGCGACGATCATTTATTGAAAAGTAGCTCATCCAACGACATGCTGTGCCTTATTACGTTTTAGAAACAGGTGAATGACATTCTCGCCATCCCAATTATCAGACAATACGAGTGCCTATCCGTACGAAGCGTTACCCGGATATTCCGTAGCTCGTTATGTCCGGTGTGTTTAGTTTACGAGGAAGTAAAATGCCGCCACTTACAGGCCTCGGTGTGCCGTTTCAAGTCACACACTACCTGGGCAAAGAGATGGCCTGGGAGCCCGTCCCGTCCTTGGGTTGCATATTCGGCAATCTTGGTTCAGGGCCCGGATATGAAGTCAATAGATCTTAGGGTGCGTTGCATTCTGGGGTGAGGTATGTGGTAGTTTATAGAGCGAATTGCAGGCTTGAGACTAAACTTGCTAAACCGGTTGACCCTATCATAAATTGATCACTCTGCATAGAGCTTCGATGCGGAGAAAGCAAGCCCGGCTATTGCAGAACAAAACAGAAGGGAGAGCAAAAGGTAGGATCGCCCAATCCAGGATGCCTGTCAGCCCCCTTGATTCTCTTCCGTGGTAATAGAGGACATCTGATCTAGTATCTCACTGTTACGTATAGGTATGGCTGTACAATATCATGGTAGTTTTCATCATCGATCATAATTCAATTCGCATGATATCTCGTAAACTATGAACACCAATCCCTCGTGCGCACAGTTGTAACAATATCATCTTCCTCTGTCAAATCAAGACCGATTTACCACTTGTTGCTGTTGATCCAGGTGATGTAGTTGCCAACGCGGGTGTAAACACCGGGGTAAGCGGCCTGAGCACAGCCAACACCCCAGGAGACGAGACCCTGGAGGACAGCAGCAGAGTTGACAATGGGACCACCACTGTCACCCTGGCAAGAGTCCTTGCCACCAGCATCCTCAGCGGCGCAGAACATGTTGCTAGTGACATCATAGCCGAGGCTAGAGTAGTCAGAGGCACACTCGCTTCGCTGGATGACGGGGACAGAAACCTTTCGCAGGTTGGTGGGCAGGCTGGAGCCGCCGGAGCTGGTAGTTCCCCTGTAACATTTGTTAGTGTCTTGGTCATTATTCTTAGGGATATAGAGCGGTACTTACCAGCCAGCAACGGTAAGGATAGTTCCGTCGGCGGGGTCAGAGCCCTGGGTTGGGAGAGTAGCGTATTTGATGTTAGTACCCTCAGAGATGGCGGTGGACAGCCTCCAGAGAGAGATATCGTTGTCCCTGTATGAAACTTAGCTGAGAAGTCTTTAGAAAGACTCAAATGGACTTACAAGGTGTCGTAGTCAAATCCAGAATGGATGAGGATCGACGAAACGCTGACCTGAGTTCCTCCCGAGGAGCGGCTCTGTTGTGTGGTTAGCACATGGCATGGGAGACTTGAAGTCAGCCATCACGAGGTGTATGATTGCGCCTCTGACGTCAAACTAGTTTATTGAGTAGCAGAAAGTAACTTACGTTGCTTCCAGCGCGAACCCTCACGGAAGAGGCGCTGGTACCGTAGGAGCAGTGTCCAGCAGTAGCAACGGTGTTGGCGTTGATCAAGACACCACCGCAGAAGTGCGAGCCGCCCTCAGACAGACTGACAATGTAGGGGAACTCGCCGGTAGAGGCCTCAGTGCCACCGACGATCATGGTGGTAACATCGTCGCGGACCTGGCCGGGGAGGGTTCTGTCGACGGGGACAGCAGCGGCAAGAGGCAGCAGAAGGGCTGCAGCGACAGCGAGAGTTGGTGCCATTGTGGAAGAAAACCTGGAGGGATTGATTGATCTGTGTGCAAGAGGAAGCTGGATGCTGAGGATGAGTTTTCAAGTCATTTTAGTAGACGATCGTGCTCGTTTATATAGTCTTGATGCCGTCTATACGGCGGCATCGTGATGCCGGACCTTCCTACTTGGTGGTTTACAATAGTTCCATAACGCTCAGTGTGACTGGGACGATGCATAGCGACAGCTTCATCCGACCGGGGGTTATACCAAGAACTCGAGCGGTCCCTGCCAAGGTGCTGCACCCTTGGCGAAAGCTTGAGTGGTTCTGGGCGGGGATGACCGCACCCCAGATCAATATTATCGAATATCGCTGATCTGCATGTTAGTGCCGGTAGTCTTAGCTATAAAGCAAGCTTAAAAAGAAGAAATAGGCCGACATAGCACTAGAGTTACTTCCGCTAGCAATGCTCCATAGCCCACTTACAAGCTTGGCCATTAAACCATTCTGCCTATTGTCCAGTCCTGTGCCTTGCAACTTCGGATCTGACTACCTCCATTCAATAGCAGGCGTGCCTACTTTGTCATCGCTTCATAGGCCCTTCCTGCGGGGCAGAGGGTTCCATGAATCGGAAACGGCAGTTGGAAAGCCAAGGTAGCATTTTGCTTATCTGTGCAGCCACCTACCACATCCAATTTCGCTCAAAGATTAACAAGGCGCCTCTATAGCCCATTGTGAGGGGACGCTGCGGTATCATTGGCCCGTCGCCACTTAATTACTTTCATACGTTTCTTCCTAAATCGGTCACGCAGCGTGACCTTCGATGCGAGGGTAGGCACACACCCTGCATTCGTGATGGCGAACATCTTCCCCCTTTGATATAATACGGGACTTTAGAGAAAAGATCCAGCCACTTCCGGTCTATGGAGGGGCAAGGCGTCTGCCGATCCTTCGGCGTCGTATGATACGGGCTTATTGCTGGCGGGACTCGCCGACGGACAGCTCGGTGTTCCGCCAGTGCTAAACGAGCTGAATGCAAGTAAGCCAACGCTTTCGTCCAAACCTGTTCTTGGTTGAGGCAACATCGAGTACGATGCAACGGTAATGGGCTGCCTCCGAGGAATGAAATGGGCCAAATGATGAAGTTCCCAACTGTTATTAGAACTCGAAGAGGCAGTTGAAAGGATTCCACAAGTGTTAGCTTCCAGGCAAAAATAACGCACTGAGACATAAAGTAACTTCCCATGAGAACCTCTCTGGCTCTAGACTGCGCCGCATGTCGTATTCAGCACATCACGAGACTTGGTCGGTTGGGCTCAAGGGCTAGTTGGAGTGAGGCGCGAGACGAGGAGGGACGGAACCGAGTCTGTGACTTTACACCCGCCACTCATTGAATATTGTATTCATACATTGAAGCCTCTCCCGCAACATTGCGAGCTTAACACCAATCTCGGCCCCAGGATACTTGCGTTCAATTATGACTACTTCGATTATGAGCCCTGGTGTGGTAGGAAGATCTGTCGTTCAATTAACATTTTTCTTATGTAAAAGAATACTAATGACCTTTTGGCCCCGTACATTATGCAGTAGCAAGGTTACTCGCCATTTAAAAAATTCTGTAGGGCTCCCCAGAGCAAATCGTGACTATGCTCTTCCAGAAGACTCGGGATAAATGGTCGGCGCTGAGACCTACCTGTTGTGCCGAACGTAGTGTCTGGATCCGTCGCATGTCCAAAGATCCTAGGGTTTTCTAACGCGTCCTCTGACCACGCAGGCCATCCTGGCTGGCCCTTATGAGCAAAACGGAGTATAGCCAGACCAATGGCTCTTGCTATGCAGGCTCTGATGGTGAAAGTAAATCGTTGGAGTTTTGGAAGCCATATGCTACGTCAAGAACGTGACTGGCTTTGCCTTGAAATGGCCCGGGGAAAGGGTTGGGAGCGTTGAAATGATAAAGGTATCGTCAAAGGGTGTTCGGCCAACCTCTGGCTGCAATTTCGAGTGGAGCATAGAAGCCAATATCCGTGAGTAGGGTCACAATTCGATGGAAAGCTGTGCAATCTGATGTTGGATCGGTAATTTGGTAGTCCGAAAGGATGGATGTGACAAGCTGAGGTGTCCTGCTTAGTGACCGAGTCAAAGATGCAGCGAGACGAGATCCGATATCTTTTTTCTGGGAGTCTAATGCGCCGCTCATGATGTAGCCACAACAGCCCTCATAAAGAACAAAGGTTTCCATCGTGGAAATGAACAAAGAAGAAATCAAATTTGTCAAAGAGCGCTTACACCCGCCTGACAGTCACCTATCCACAAGTCTTGGCGTCAGGCCTTCCCGGGAATGCTGTCTGTATCGGTGGGATACTCAACATCTTGCGCCCTGAGAGCTCTTTGGAAAAGAGTACCATCAATCACAGGTCGGTTAGGGATATTCCTAGGCACCTTGTCGATGATATCCTTGTGCGGAATTGTACGTAGCTTCTCAACCCTCTGCTCAGGCAACAAATCTCTCAGACCCAGGCAGTCGAGTACTTTCGCGTACGCCTCACTGGCTGTTTCGAGAGGTATTGGTGCCATGGGCAGCGCGTGTCCTCCCATACTAATGACACGACGGAACAGAGGTTCATTGCTGTGTAATAATAAGGTCGCAGATACTCCACCACAGCTCTCGCCCATAGCAGTCACATTTTCAGGATCGCCGCCAAATCCGGCAAAAAAATTCTTGATCCAGACGAAGACGTTGATTTGGTCCTTTATGCCATAATCCCAATGGTATCCAGCTTCTTGTAGTTCAGAAGAGGCCAGAAAGCCGAAGCTATTTGTTCGGTAACTGAGTAAATATACCGAGTTAGGGTAATCCTTTCATGTATCAGGAGAATGTCATGCTTGCGACTCCTTACTTCAGTGAGACTCTAACAAATGACATCCCACTCTCAATACCAAGGGTTACCAGTCTTCGCATGTCAGTTTGAGGCCAGAAGTTGGCCCCCAATAAGAACCCGCCCCCATGGATCCAAACAAGAACAGGCAACTTCGCCCCTGTAGGAATGTCTCTAGGGACGGCAATGTTGAAGTTCAAACATTCCGTTTCGCTTTCGACCGGCTTGTCGCCCGAAAGAGGCAAGGCCTTTTAGATGAGATGCTCATGTTCGATAGTGATAGTGTTAAGACTCATTTTTGCAGGTACAAGCAAATGAAGATTCCGATGACGCTTTTGACTGCCATCCATAACGTCGTGATCTTAGAACCTCATTTATAAGGAATGCGAGGGCCGTAAGTGCCTACCAACCTGCACGGCATATATCAGACTGCTCAACTGTGCTCCGCCTTGGCCCCCGCATTCCCTAGACGGTTATGTGGGCAACAGCGGAATTATTATACAATATTACCTAGATTACCGGTAGGTAATATAGGTAAGTATAAGTAAGGCCTGAATTTTATCCGCTATATTAGTATAATTAGGCAGTATCCGAGAACTAGGCTAAATTCATGGTAATAGTAATAAGAATAGTACTAAATATTCTACAAGGGGTCGGACTTTGGCATATCCTGCATATTTTTGTCAAGGTTTTACGCGATCCACAGATCTATTCAACAGTGTTCAACATGACTATTTGGACTTTACAATTCATTGCACTTTAGCTTAACCCCCGCGTTTTTGTTCCCTCCAGCCACTGCCCTGTCGGACTGTCAAGTATACTAGAGCCGTGACAGCGAGGAAAATAACTGATGAAATTGTCGAACTCCAGCCTACACCAACTAGTTCTAACATTGGAAGACAGAGGGCGCTCGAAACTGCCGAAAGCAGGTATCTGAGTAAATAATGACTTGCTGCTACTGATTAGCACCTCACTATCCACGTGACTCGCGATAGAGGCTCACCAGACGCTTCACCGACGTGATCTTGCAGAATGTCGAGTATGTAACCATTTAGGCTAGGAAAGGCGGATGTTTGGCCTACACCTTGGAAGAACATGCAGATGACCGGGACGGGAATCCCGCCAAGCCTCCTGTCTACCATCCAGCCATACAAGGCCATAGAAAGGGGCAGAACGATGCCAAGGAACGGCAGGCAGCCTCGCAGACGATCTTCAGGTAGTCTGTAGCCGCGCTTTTCCGTCCACACTCGTACCGTGTAGTCAGCCCAGTGCCCCCCAATGAAACCACCTACGAGGTAACCAGCACCAGGAGATATATAAAGAAGCCCTGATTCGAGCGGGGTCGTGAGATTCAACCGAGGGTTCAGGATCAGTCGTAAGGGCGTGAGAAGGGCGAACATATTCCATCCAACAGCGGATGATGCAAGAACCTGATAATTGGTGAGCCAGCATTTCACGATACATCACTACGCTCCACTGCTTACCACCATTAGAAAATTTTTATTCCCGTATAACTTGACCATACTGTAAGGGTTGAGCCATCTGAGCAACTTTACTACAGCTTCTTTCCTTTTATGGCCACTTATCTCCGTGGCACGGATGTAGTGAATAGTTTCGGGAAAGTAAAAGAGGGCAAGTATGCACGCTACACCAGCCAAAGCTGCCTGCATGTAAAATATGACTCTCCATGTCTGGTAGGTGACAATGGCACCACCTAACAGAGGACCGAAGGCTGGGCCGATCATGGACCCAGAGAGGAGCCATCCCATCGATGCTCCGCGTTCGGTCTATATGAATGTTAGTCATGGCTTGAGGTGTCTAGGTTAGCGGCTAACAAACTGGGTGGTAGATGTCAGAAATGCAGCTTGATCCCAGGATGAGGAATGATGTGCTTGGGATAGCTGAAAGCCCGCGAAAGACGAAAAATGCGACAAGAGTCGGCGAGAATGCAGTGCCGATAGAGGCAGCACAGAACATCAAAAGGGAGAACCGATAGACCTGGGTGCCTTTGTCAGTAGAACGGAACTGATCTGGTAGAGAAAATAAACTTACGGCTCGGCGTCCAAACACATCGGCGGACGGACCCCAAACCAATGCTGCGGCACCCATGACTGCCAAATAGACAGCATTGCTGATTCCAATGACAGAAGCAGTGGTGCTGAAAGTCTGCATCAATTCAGGAATGGCAGGGAAAATACAGGTGGTCGACATGGAAGTCATGAAGCTGCAGAGAGCCAGAAAGGCCGTGATGGACCGTTTCTGCAGATTACTGAACCGGGAGTAGACGGTCGCCTGCACTTGTCTGGCTTCAGTGTCTCCATTGTTGCTAGGAGGCTCGAGTTCTCGAGTGCTATCGTTTTCATAAAATACTAAGTCCTCCAGAAGCACGGCTGGGGCTGTGTTCAAAGTGGTCGTTGTCGATGCCATGAAGAAACCTGGTAAGCGATGGTTGGGGTAATAGCCAATGCAATTGAACGGCGCAGTGTTTCCTGACTGCAGGCTCGGGTCTGATTTAATATTTTTAAAGAGAGCTTTAACCGAGCTGATGAGTAAAACCCGACGAGAGCCGGAGCGACCAAAGCCGATATCGGGAGCATCTAACGAGCATATCGTAAGAGATTGAGAGAGTCGCATATTCAGTATATCTCGTGCCTTTCAGTTATGTATCATATAGACCCTTCTAATAAAGAATTTTGAAGCTTAGACAAGCTATATATTTCTATGTAAGAAGAAGCTACCCTTGTAACTCATTGTGGATGCCGCCAATGAGCTCTGATGGAACGAAGCAGAAGCGTCATTTTAACGGCTGTTGAGACGGTCGTCTTAGTCACGCCGTAGTAATTAGACAGCTTGTCCTGCTGAACAGTCTGGCTGTGGAAGTCGAACGCGTCAGTGGTCCAGGCAAAGAGCCTAACGACGAGGCAAAGACCGCCGTACCAGCCGATGCCTACAACTCACGAGAAGGGGTCCTCGAAGGGCTCCGGGTCGCAACAGACCCAACCGCTCTCGCTATCCTCGTTGAACGCTTCGGTGTGTTGCCTCTAGTGGAAGAGGTCGCCCTAAGACTGTTTGGCGCAAGGCAAGGTGCCGCAAGTTGCCGGCTCAGCTGGATCTCCATCCTTTGTCATATTGACAAATCAAGACCGTGAACGGGAGGGTTGAGGTGCATAATAGTACAAGCCTTGGCTAAAAGCTGGTGAATGCGTCTTGCCTGAAGGAGGTGCAATGAGGTGTGATTTTGATGAAAGAAGATTCCTAAGGCCTGGGGACATCTGCTTATTGTAGTTTGGAGGTATAGTAAGGTTATAGGCACTCGCGGGGTCCCCATGGGTGGGCAAGGGGACCTCATGTCCGAGATTCACTAACATCCCGTGAACTGCGTCTACTAATGCAATCAACCAGGGAATGGTGGCAGGTGACTGAGCCTCTAGTTCCTTGCTGTTCACCGTTTGCTCGTGTGTTAGTGTGAAACTAGACCATCAGATATCGAACCAAGAGACTTGGGGGACGATAGAAGGGTGGGCCCGACATGATGCGTGAAGCAGACAAGCCTCTGGAATCTTCGAAGGCTTTCCAACTTGTAGGTCTTTCCCAAGCACTACTTTTCAGAAAGAAACTAACAATCAATATGCTAGGGGGTCTTAGGGTTGGCAAATGATATGACTTAATACTACAAGGATAATAGCCAAGTTGTGTAAGGCGGGATGCCTCCAAAGAAGAACCACCTACACAGAGCATCATCGTTCGTAGTAACTAGGGATTTATTGTATCTAATTCGCAGTTGATGGAATTCTCATAAGTCGATATTAGCATACGTAACGAAGTCGTAAGCAATCAGTTAGCTACATCACGAATATCTTGTTTCTCTGTGTTTCTCTGTGTGGAATCATCGTAAAGAGGTAGTGATAAAATTATTGAGCACTGACTACAAAACAGGAGTGAGGTAACTCGTCCTGTAGGCCTTTATATCCCGAGTCCGGCATCATGGGGTCGGTTCTCTTTGGTAGGGCATCTCTACTCAAACTTCCTAGGAGGCTGCCAATGATACCAGTAAGTCTTGAAAGTGTACAGACAGTAATAGACTTTGCATACTTTGGGTGGAACTTCAAAACAGTTCCCTTTTGGGCTTTTAATCCCTTCTCCCAAAGCTCTGTGATCGGCCGCTTCTACAATCCAAAACACCAAGACCTATAGATACGCTCTGTCCGACCAATTCCGACTGCCTATAGCAGACCAAGTCACTGAACACCTCAGCCCTATATAATCCTCCCAGGATTGGCCTTTGCATCCTCAATAAGCTCCCTGATGCTTCTAAACTGTATTCCCTCGAAGTAAATTTGTCTATGCTTGTCCACTCGCTCCTGCGGATTGCACAGAGCCTCGCTATGACCCATTACATCAAACACTGCTTCAATAGTATCCATTCCGTCCGTCGAGTCTACCAGCTGTTTAATACTTTCTGTCAAGGACTTGGGAGCCAGTCGATACTCGGGATCATATTCCTTGATGACGCGCCATAGATCGAACCACGTTATCTGCTCGCCAGATATGTACGTGAAGGGTTCCCACCCAGCGTCTGTCTCCAACAAGCGAACCACGGCCGAGGCGGCATCACGTGAGGCCGTACAACTGATGGTCTGCGTTCCGTTCCCGTAAAGCTTAAATGTTTTATCTTTCACATCTTGCACCCAGAACCTCTCATTGGGCAAGTAGCGTTGGGAAGCTGGAATGACATAGTCAATCAACCAACCGACACTGAGTATTGTCCACTCGATCAACTGTTGCCCCGCAAGCATGTCGTAGATGCTTTGGATCCTGTCAGCGCCGTAGTATGGTTGATCGCGAATATCTTCGAAGTTACCGACCCAAACGGATGGAATGAAACGTTTGCAAGTCGGAGTTGATTTGCACGCCTCGAGAAGTGACTCATGGACTTCAACAAGCTCGTCCGAAGATGAGCTTATTGTGCAGATGACGGCATCACAGCCTTGAAGTAGAGGTGTAATCAAATCAGATGTATACTGCACTTGGTGCTGCTCGACGCTGAGATCGTCTAACCATGCCTTGCGGGAGCGGCTGATAGCAACGACATGATGTTTCCTCGAGAGAAGCTCGTCAATAAGATACCTCGCAACAGCTCCTATACCAACAATTGCGACCTTCATGGTGTTGTTCTTGTGTTTGCGGGGCAAATAGAGCCGTTATTCTAAGCCCTGCCTGAAGAAGAGTGGATGCGTAGGAGAAAGAAAATAAAGTTCAACGCCAATGAAAGCTGCCAGGGCCCGACAACTCAGCTCAATGAATACGAGAAGGGGGGATGAGATATTGTTAGAGTGAGGAGGTCTTGCTTCTTGGGAGCAAACATCTACAAGGAAATGATTTCCTTTTATTAAACACAACCGCCCTAGTGATTGCTAAGTTTTCTAGAGAGCAAAGTTCCCATCTCTTCTTTCGGCAAAAAATGGACGAAGAACGGTCAGGAAGGGGGGCGGCATGCGCGGGGGGCGGCATGCGCGGGGTGCGTGCGGACCAACAAGTGAAGATGTTACGACAAGTCTGTCTAAGCGGGGAGAATACACATAGCTTCGGAGTTGTTACCAAGAAATTCCTCGAAGAAAGCATCTGAAGTGCTATTATTAGCAGTATCTTGTTCAGTGGAACCCGCGGAACCCGTGTTTAGCACCTTTGTCCAGAATTCTGTGTGCGAGGGGCGCGGGATTCCAAATCCGAAGCAGTTACTTTCCAGGAAACGGGCGACTAGCCTATAAGCCGCCCACCGGAATTGATAAGCAAATCTATAAGTTATGCGGAGTTTGATGCGGAGCTTAGTAAAACTCGACATTTGCAATATCCGCCGGTGTAACTTCAAGTGCGCAGTTGTATTCAGAGCAGGACTTATATGACTCTCAGGAAGGTACAGTTGAACTCTCGAAGAACAATTTCTCATTTTATCGCAACTCACCTCCTGAACTCTATCTAACCTTCCCACGCGTTTCAAATTTGTTACATCATGTCCAAGACAGACATCACCATCGTGGGGGTTGGCAACATCGGCGCGGCCATAGTCAAGAAATGGCTTGAAAAAGGCTTCACGGTCACCATGTGGAACAGAAATCCTGATCGCCCATGGCTCAAGGATCTCAGCAATCTTGGTGCTATCTTTGAGCACGACCTCAAGGCGGCCATTGCAAACAGCGATGTCATCTTTCTTAGCGTCGCGGCTTATAGCAACATCACCGAGTTCTTCTCATCTATTCTACCCCTCAAGGAAGGCCAGCCCCCAAAGACAATCATCAACATTACCACAGGTACCCCTCAGCAAGCCCGGGAGATGGAGACTTGGCTGAAAGCCCATGGTGTTGCGGAGTATTTGGATGGTGCTATAATGGTGACACCTGAGCTGGTCGGCACGGAGCACTCATCTGTCTGGCTTAGCGGTGAGACAGAAGCAGCGTTTTCCAAGATTTCTAGCATTATGTCACCTATTGGCCGGTCGCATTATGTCGCTGAAGACCCAGGAGCAGCATCCTTGTGGGACATTGCCGCACTTGCAGCTATGGACGGCATGCTTACCGGTGGTCTATTAGCCATGAATCTTCTTAGGCGGCAGAAAAAAGCCCCAGATGGAAAAGCACCATCAGTTGAGAACCCAATTCGGAAGATTGTAGTCCCTCTGCTTTCATCATTTCTCCCCTTCCTCGGAGACATCGCCGCAGCACTGGATGATGAAGACTGGGGTAGGAACTTTGGCAACCCCGTGTCGATGCAACTGAAAGGCTTTGAGACGATCCTTGAGGGCCTGAAGCAAGAGAAAGTTAGCACCGAGAGCCTTCAATTGTTCCATAATCTTCTGCTCCGCACAAAGAGAGAGAAGGGCGACGATGCTGGGTTAGCACCTATGGGCATGTATATGCTAGAGGAATAATTAGTCTGCCTTGAAGGGTTGTGTATGGAGTAGCTCTGGCAGTTTGAGAGCGTCAAGGACAGTCAAATTAGCTATAACCCTAAAATATAGACGCGTACTGCTGTGCTCACATACCTGATCAGTGAATGGATATAAGATCTCAAAGGTGCGGTATAATTTTCAAAGTGTATCGGTATACGGTAACACCAACAATTCATAACATAGATACACTCAGGGATGTGCCCCTTCCCACTGAGGAGTGTTTGCAACGATGTGGAGCTCCAGGCCGCCTACGAGAAACTACTAAATCGACCATCTTTCTCTTACATATCGGTCGCATTGAGTCGGGGCCCACTTGTCAAATTGGCCGGGTTAGATAAATTAGCTATTTTTAAGTATCCGTAGGAAAAGATATCCTTTTTACCCCTTCTTATTTTCACTTTTGAAAATCCCTTCTTATAAAAGATACGTCTTTTGCAACGTTACGGCGGCTACGAGAGGTCAATTGACTAGCTGTAAACGTGAACTATTTGACCAAATGAGAATAGATATACAACTTAAAACCTCCTTTCCATAGCTGTTGTGGAAGGTTGTTAGATTTTGGTGTGGTTGGCAGTCTGTATTTCAAGCTCGCTAACAGCTGTGGTGTTGTTCGTTTTTCCCCCAACACAGTATATTAGATATCTATGAATCCCTCAGCTTTGTTGGTTTTCCCTGTATCTACCCTCTCACGCATATTCCCTCTCAAATTTTGCATGTTTAATTCCAACAACTTCAATGGCGACTGACCAGAGGGATCCGTCTTAAGCTAACATCAATACCCTATTAGAGATGCATGGTATTGTGCTCTTGGAAGTATCATTCGGCTAACCTACTTCTACAGATCAAGCACCCTGGAATGCAATTCAACAGATTGAGATACTGCAAATACAGGGGTGCTCCGCAACAGCAGCCAGCGAGAGTTTAGTAGTGACACATGATGAGTGCCATTCACCCCACATTGCCAGCTCGGGACACGAATATTGCCGCCGTATTACATGACTAGGTCTACATGAGCCCAACCCCATATCACATCGGATTGATTGGTGAACTACCCAGGTACCCTGTATTGAGCACAGCAGAAGTATTCTTATTATAGGAGAGCAAGGTAATCGCACCCCGAGACTCTTTGACATAAAAACCGGCATGTGATGCCACCTAAACAAAAGTGCAGAACATCGGCGTTCACTTATACGGGCGATTATCGAATGCCAATCAACATTGATTGGACCGTTAGTCGTCATTTTATCTTCGGGCATCTCATCCACCATGTCGTCCCAAACTCAGCCTCAACAAAGTGATAACGCTTGGTGGAACCATGGAGAGGAGACTCATTCTCTTCCTCTATCACAAGCTGTACCAATGGACATGAGTGTCAACACGTGGTCTCGTTTTGGCCAAGTATACGAGGCCTATGAATACAGCGGGTGGACTCGTCCTGATGCTTGCTGAGAATGATTTTCTCTTCACGAGTGGGCCTGGCACTGTTTGGGCCACCTACCATGTGGAAGCAGGCACTGATCTATATCAACAATCAAGCTTTTGAGTCATACCGACCAAATGAAGCTCACTCAGTATTTAAGGTCAAGGTGGTCACGGATGTAGAAGTTCATGCGGTGACCCATGCTAAAAATAGCGAAACCATGGACACTGGAGACATGTCCCCGAACCGAGAAACCGGATGCTATGAGGACATCTGAGTATGAAATGACGGATGCCAAGTGCCAGGAGTACAACATTCTATCTGCATCTTCAACTTTCCTATAATTCCAACAGTGACTAAGGGCCGCTGATCTTGAGTTGTGGGGATCCTGAGAACCTATCAGAAATTGATGTCAACAGTCCCATCGGAAGCTCACAACACTCGCCAGGAAACGTCTCGGTATCGAGTATTAGTCATTTTCTGGCGAAACATCCACTAAATGAGGCATCGGTAAACAGGTCGGTGATTGATCTCTTACAGCGGATAAGCATGGATTGACCGTAGGAGAGAAGCTAGCCAAGCGGGCAACGCCAGTGACAAATACAGAGGTCGATGTCTCCATGGTTCACGGATCTGGGCCAGCATGATTCCACTGGGCTTTCCGCTATGCTAGGTGTTATGCTATACCGGCTAGAGAGCATACTAGAGAGAACTCTTTCCCCCATACTGGTTGAGAACACGACTCAGAAGGGCCATGAAGAGTGCGGCCGATCTGTCCCTATCCCTAATCCCACCAAGTTGAAGGCAGCGGGACTGAGCGGCGGTGACGATCACGACGAAGAATCGGAGGATTTAACTTCCGAGACCAGAACCTGATCCAAATCCCCTTGAGACTTTCCCCAATGATACTTAATTACCCATCTTTTCCCCGGTTCTTCAACCACATCCCTACATTAGTCTCGCTGCGTTCTTCACCTTTAAAAATTACAAGTTTTCTTGGCGTCTTTCCAAGGTTCGATTATGTTTCCTACACATGGTCTTTATCATTTCTTGACTTTTTGAGTGGTGCTTTAACCCATCCTCAAATAAAATTCCCGCGGCAGAAGCAACCAGAGTGGCGATGTTCGTCCGATGCCGGTCAATGAATCTGTCCTTGTCTGTCGACACACAGCTCAAATTTTGCAGCCAGAACCAGCCGCTGTACATCATGGACTGCCATATGGACGTTTCAGAGCTGCCACTTATGACATTAGTAGCTCAGTCGCTGCAGTCTCTCCTTCACTCTCCCTGCCGACATGCTGAATATCCGCCCTAGTCTATTGCCCACAAAGCAAATCCATGACTTGGAGGCAAGAACTCTGAGGCTGGGCGCGAAATATCATAGCCTTACGGCCAACCACCAGGTTTAGCCTTGAGGATCGTTGGCCGTAGCCAATTCTGTTGGTAGCCCGCAAGATGACTCCTGCAGGCGGCCTGCATTAAGTCATTTCTTACCTGTCCAGGCAGGCAGGTCAAGAGTATTATAGGAGATATCCTCGTTGATCTAGAGCGCGATCAGGATCGATGCCTTGCCATTTCAGCTGTCTCGCCCATGCCATCTGGTCACACATATTGGAATAGTTTGCTACCTCGATCTCCGTGATTCTTCGTTTAGCTGGAGTGGCTGCCATATGTGCGATCAACGAGGTGGGATTTTCCCAGTTAGGCCTCTTGTCTGTAGTTACTGGTGGCTTCGTTGCTGGTATCGGAGAGTGCTTCGATGCGGTTGGCCTCGATCCAACGCCGAGCTATTGTTTCGGGGCATTGCTGCCGACTTCGTCACTGAGCTTATCAGGGCGTCGACTACCTCTGGGGGCCCTTAACCATTTACTTTGCTCAGGATGAGAAAGTGATGAGCTCTAAAACATTCTTCAACATCGGCTGTGCAGTCCATGTCTATCTCGTTACCGAATTCCAAAGGCGATGTAAGTCTTTGATTTGGGCGGCATTCAGCTGCTCACGCTCCAGGAGAACTTCGTGCCAAATCCCGCACTCCAGCCATACTTGGTCCCAACTGTCTTCGGGTTCTCGGAACTAAGCTGCCATAGGAATGGAGAGCCGTGTCCGTGGCAGCAATACGTACAAGGCGATTGCAGACCGCGAGAAAGAGATCTCGGAGCAACGTAGCCACCTCGTTGGGGACGAAGGGAAGGTGGAAGAGTAACCGCTCAAGGATGCGAGAGGGGTGAAGTCTCCGAGGGGCAGGCGCTGAGGCTCCGAGCTGTCACCTACCAAGCCATGGCTTTGGAGAAATTGTCCCAACGCACCCGTGTCAATTGTGATCTCCTCGTGCCATTTGGTAGCCGGGTATCTAATAATAACACTTTTGAACTTTGCCTCAGATTCATTGCGACATCAGCGGCACTCAAGTTCACGAGCATCAAAGGTGGAGGCGGTCACGACTCTCTTCGTGCATGCTCGTTGGGTGAGAGTAGGAGCCGGCCTGTGTTGCCCCTGAGATAGTGAAATCCAATAGGTGTAACGGCATCTGTCTAGTACTTCCAAGCGGCTAGCAGGTGTTCAGCGGATTCCAATTACGATCTGAGACTTGCCTCGCTTGGAAGACCGGTGTGTTGATAAATGACCAATCTCCAGGCATGCGATCTCTATAGGAGAAATAACATTGTGGAGAGATATTGAGAGCAGCCTCCCTGTCATCGACAGACTGGTGTAAAACAGGCAAAAATAATGATTTACCACTATTCTAAATAGAATCGATATCGTTCCCGGCTTTAGAATTCGAAATTGCAGCGAGCAGGCCTGCCATTGAGGGTCTTGAACCGGCACCTCTCTAGTTTGCTCTGAGTTTCAAAAACAACGCGCTCAGACGCCCCCATAGATTCTTGGTCAGTCTTTGTAATTCCGGTGGCTATAACTACCGTGGTAGAAGCCGTGGGAATGTATATAGAACCTCTTCGTAGGCCTTAGGGGGAGGAGCCAGTTGTAGTAGTTTCCCGGTGTCGATGTGAAATGTATGTGGGAAGTTTGAAGCTAGATGGGAGTTCAGGCAAAAGAACTGCATCACCAGATAGGTCTGGGAGGCATAGAGGTACCATGTTGATGGTAGCTTTGCGTGAGATGCAGGATAAGAGCTCCAAGATTTGATCGATGATGCTTATGAGGTGCCTAGTACAGCACCTCTTATGTAGGAAGAAAAGGACCTTGGAAAATGAGTTTGCCTGTACTGCGACTGTCCTCGCCACACAGCCAAAGAGTAATCGATAGTAAGAGAATCATTGCTTCGCCAACGGTGTCGTCAGTAATTCGAATAGGAGCAAACTGCCTCATGGTAAGAAGGCCGCTTAATTTAGTGTCATCCTGTTGGTCTTCGAGATCGGCAAAGGACCGTTGCTACTGGCCATCATCGTCGCTTTCTTCATCGTCGTCCTTGCTATCGCCGCTGCATTCGCTTCTCAAGCCACCCTCGCTGTTACCCTTCTGTTTCTTTTCTCTCCCTTACTGTGTCTGTTTCAGGGACTCGTTCGTCCTCAATAGCTGACTTATGCAACCAAGATTAGTCACACGGATGTAACTGCCTGCAACATCAGGGACTAAGAAGGGGGGTGGAATGGCGGCAGGTATCGCCGATGGTAGTAGTTGAATATGTTAGGATTGATGGCTCAGAAATTATGTTTTGACCTTCCATGCTCACGCTAAATTAACTCGGTCTAAAGTGATCCGAACAAGTCATGAGGGGGCGAGGAAAAGTTGACCTGCGTTCTATAGAAGAGACCGTGTTTACGTGCCAATGTGAGCCAGTGAAGTATACCAGTGATGGGAGATGACGACGTTCAGGAATACCACTGACGCCACAGTCGGGTTTGCCCGTTGGCATTCTGTCCCTCAGCACGATAACTCTCAGCTATTTCTCTTGCGGGGATGCGGGATTGCCACCACCAAGCTTGAAATCCAATGCTTTCGCTGAGTAGCTCTGATAGCACGGATCAGGATCTGCATTCACAAGAGCAGGATTGAGCTTCGCGTACGCTTCCCCATGACCCAGCACCTATACATGACGGAACCTCTCTCGCAGGTGATTCCTCTGTAACTATTCATCACTGAGTGTGTTAATGTGACGTTGACACTTTCGACCACGTGTGAGGGAGGATGATGTGGAGAGGATGATGTGGAGAAGGATGCTGTGCTAGAGTCGTTCGAACGCGATTTTGCGTGGCTGCGCTCATGGTTCCGTGGGACACCATACGCCATGTCGATCGAAAAACGGGTGTCGGATTGTCGGATAACTACCGATTAACGAATATTGTGTAAGTTGGATTGCACATAGTAGTGGAACTGAGCCTGGGTGCCATGCGTGTATGAGGTCGCGTAACTGACTATACATCGTACAACACAACTAGTGAGCAACACTCGGATGCTATGAGCTTTATGTAGACAGGCATACGTTTGTGGCATCTTGGATGCTTCTTCGTCCAAGACCCAAGAACATAGGAAGTGTGTTTAACTGTATATAGAATGCCTTGGCAAGAGATGAAATACAGCAGTGGTGTAATTAACATGGATCACAACTTCTCGAAGATCCTGTTTCTTGTTGGCTTGCGGCATAGAAGAGCGGCGGACCGCAACATGCGCCTTAGGATCAGGCTTAGCGGGAGGCGAGTGCCGAGCTCGGCCGCTGCCTCGATCTTGAGCTTTCCACCATGCAATGGTCTCGGTAGGAGGAGATGCTCTTCTTTTGAAGGCAGGAATTATGGAGTTGCTGAATTGCGGGGAGCAAAAGCTAGGAATAGGACAGAGGCAAGCCTGCCACACTTGACCGATATATGAACTCAAGAATTGAACAGGCCTACAGGACAGTGAATAGGCTAAGTGTCTGTACAGCTGGCCACCACCTCTGTTTCTGTAGGTACTCTCGACATACTTTCTCTAGCTTAGGCCCTTCGTCTGAGTCAAGGACAAGGGTAGGAGTTAGTTCTCGTTCGTCAAGGATTGATAGGATCCTGAGCAGCAGTCAGTCTTCGAATTCAAGCACGAAGGCAGACACCAATCTCTTTACACCATCTAGCGATATATTGTAAGGATAGGCGTTTGGAGACAAATAACGGAACTTCTTCATGATTTTAGCCTTATCAGGGCGGGTTCTAGGAAGTTTCTCGCTCCCCTCTATTATCGTGTGCGGAGCGGAAGCAAGCAACTGAAGGTGCCTGACGAGACCACCAAGTATGTCTTCCTTTGCGTATACTTGGCCCGCTCCGCGCCGGCCAAGTCGGGTATATCTTCCTGCAACGCTGTACTGGCTTTGTTCGTCTTCTGAGCAGTCATCGGTCTGTTTACCCGGCGCTGGACAGTAGCTTTCCTGACGTCGGAGCCTGTGCTGTGGAGATTGGGAGCTCGCCTTGAAAAGTCAGATGTTTCTGTAGCCGAGGGATATGATAACGCCTCTTCGGTGGTTGCCAAAGTTAATCTTGGCCTGCACCTCGCGCTGCGACAACCCGTTTGTCCGTCTTTCCATTTGAACAGCGAAGAAAATTCCCGTGGAGCCCTCCTTATTCGTGTTCTTTTGTCCGTCATCCACAAATTCATGCCCGCAAGCAGCGTATTCCCCATACAAGTTGGATTGGCGCTCTGAGGTCGTGGGCAGAGGAGTGGAGAACTGTACCAGTAGTCCAGACAATATGTTCACAGTGAACACGCTCCAGGCAGGAGGTCATGTTACTGTCGACATTTCGGACAAGCTGGGCCTCATCAAGGCTGAGGAAGTTCCATTCCATGTCTTGAACTTCTGGAATCTTGTAGAAGTATTGCACCAATATGGCGTGAGCCTCTTTTGGATTGAAGACCTTCGTGTAGTCAGCCGGCTCGATACGGTCAGCATCGGGCAGACTCTTGTGATCAATTTCCATCTGTTTGAGCTGCTGTGCATCTTGATCCGGATCCTCAGGATCCGCTGTTATAATAGTTCGCTGGATAATAGGACGGCTCGCACACTCCCCGTTGGAAGCATCAACAAACGAAAAGCAGCCAATGGACGGTAACCCCATTCGAATCCAAGATCTTGTACTTATTGCCGCCACTGTGCTCGTACACCATTGAGGGCTCGAGGTGATATGGCAGACCAGTGAGATGGAGCTATTCAACGATGCTCCAGCGAAAGGATCTCGTAGTAGTTGAGGATTGCGTGTGAAAAGTTATTTGGCTCGGGTTCTTCTGATCGACATTCTTCCGAACAGTTGGAGGTCTTAATGCATCCCACGTCCCCAATCTAAACCTTTGTGCATCGATTGGGCTGGGCAGGTGAAAAGGGGACCACCATTCAGCGATTCGTTCGGAGCGATATTGTGGTCTTCCTGAATTCGCCCTCATTTCCTAGCAGCTAGCAAACATACTGCATTAACAACAAAATATTCTCAAAAACCGCCCGAGAAATAATCCAGTCCGGGTAGAAGTATGTAGCCATAATGCCAATTATAGTTCAAGACAATTGTCACTAAGGCGCAGTAGAGCGCTTGTGCTCCCTACAAAGTGAGACTGTAATAGACAATAAAAGCACCATGATGTCCCCAATGCTGTACTCATCAATCCGAATTGGGGGG